CCCCCCACGCGAAAACTCGGATTCCTCCGAAAGCGCATAACGACGTCGACCTCGTTGCCATCGTCTATAACAGTAATATAATATATATGTATATAATGCTTGCAAATCATTCACGAACCACGGTCCCGTGCAATCTATTATCGGAAGTGAATATTTATCTGGAGGATACACGAGCGAACGCCGTTGGACTGACCCGACGAGGAACGTAATTCGATTAAGCCGCGCGCCCCATTTAAAACCGTACGAGACGACTTACGGAATATGTATGACTGGAAAGCGAGTGGCAGTAAACGCAAAGGGCAAAGTAAATGGACCTCGCGTTCCTTTGGTCCAGATAATCCGATCAGCGTTAAGCGATCGTTACCTGCGAGACTAATGGGATATGCGAATTTTACCGTTGACTCCGTAAAAGGGCTTTTTACGGGAAAAAATTCTTAATAAATTTTTACGCAAATATCTCTATTAAAATTATTACGTCACTCGGCTCTTTGTTATCGCTATTCGTTTACAGTGGGTCGCGCGCTCCTCGGTAGCGTCACTCCATTCGTACGTGAGATTGCGCGAGAGGTTGATCGTCATTTGCTACGACGATTGAAGTACAATGACTGTGGCACTTGTGCAAAAGGGGCTATTTTCTCGGTGAACTTAAAGACACGTCACATTTAACGATCCTAGGTCGTGGCTGTTACTTATAGATATCGTTATGGCATAATAAAATTACTCGTAATAGTCTACGTCTTTGTATAAATATATACACCGTGTATAAGCGCCACCTAGTGTATCTCGTTGCGATTGCTACTTGACGCCAGAAACGAAGCCTGCCTTTTTTTTTTATTACCTACAAGCTTTTTTCAGGATACCACGCCGGTTACGCGCGATTTAATCAATATTCGATATTAGTTTTATATCGATCTTGATCGGAGTGATAAATGAGCTTTCTGTGTAATAATATTGTTGAATCGTCGAACAGTCTAATTTTTATAGGTTACGACGTTACCGAATTGCGGCTATAGTCGTTTCAGCTTTAACGGGACTCTTTGTGTCTTGTACTCTTGGCCAATTCGCAATTACACTGAGCGTCCATTGGCTGTGGTAAAATGACACGATACGAATCAATGAAACAAAAATTGTACCGTCACTAACCTTTAACTTAGTTGCTTGTATTTATTTATTTTTTTCACGAGAGATAAAAAAATCATTTTTAAAACAGCCCTACCAACTTACTACGCGAGAAGCAAGGAAAAACGTACTACTACATAGACCAAAGATCGTATCCGATTAGCCAAAAGTATCGGATAGATTAGAGCATTGTTTCATCTATAACGTAATGCAAGTACATAGGCAGCATATACGAGATCAAGTACCCCTTTTGTATACGTACATAACATACTAGATCAGACTGCCTTGTTACGGAGTACGCGCGTGTCTGAACTTGCATATAGGGCCTTCTCCCCCGTCATATAATATATATAGATATACAGTTAGCCATGCGACTTTATACGTGTGATCTTGGTATATGTATATACATATATATGATTTAGCGAGCGGCGAGATAACGTCGATCACATCGTTACAATAGTGACGTAACGATAAATGTTATTAGAAACGCGATAAAAGGTACACTTACGACTGGACGGCTCGTCGCCGATACCCGTGCCATCCTGAAACTCGTCGTCAGACTCGGTGCCAGAGTCGTGATCGTCGTCCGTCTGAAAACAAAAAAGAGAAACACTCATTTAAACGAAGGCTTCCTCGCTATGGCGTAGCTGACATTGTTGCAATAACGCCTTGGTGTCTGCTATTGTCCTATACGCCTGTGCCCGTGGAGGAGAGTTTTATGGCGACACGCGTGCATTCCTATCTTTCGGAGGAGAGGGATGAGTGAGATAAAAGAGAGAGACTGTGACGCTAAGAATACAATGACAGAGAGGTAAAGCTTCCCGATTTCGCGTGGAATTACTCATGGAAAAAAAAAGGAAGAAGAAATCTTGCCGTAAAACGCGCCCGACCCTTGCCGACCGTTACGTATTACACCTATAGCGTACGTCGACTCGGGCGACTACTCTACGAACCCACCTAAAAACATCGTGGCGGCCTGGCGAACGTTCCGCTTCCAGTGAAAGAGAGACAGAGATTCCTGGCGAAGAGAAAAATTGCCAGCTCGATTCTGCGTCCTGCGACGAACTTTCCATTGCTCTCGATGATGCTTCTTTGTATAAATTCGACAGAAACGAAGTGGCACCGACACGGTAACAATGCGTTATCTATAAATTCGTTCGCGAGTAAAATTTGTTTTGACGAACGATCCGCCTATGACTTTTCAACAGGAGAGTGTCCTAAACGTTAGGTTTTAATCGTGGATCGACTGTACCTTACAGCTCGTGCAAGGTCGTATTACCGACTGCGAGGAGGAAATTCCCGATAAGTCGCAAGTCATCTACCTGATGCATCGCATGCTTTGGTAAAACGATCTACCTCTGTTTGATTCTACGTGGGACATAACCTCTTCGATAGGGACACGTCACTTTTGTGATTGGATGGTAATGACAATGACGGACGAACGATTAGGATCCAATACACGTGTAAAATATTTATATTGATGAAGGAATGGGGATAAATGAAAATATACTTTAATCGAGGAAAAGACAGTTTGTGTTGGAGATGTTAGGCTACTGGAAAGAAACGAAGAGGAACGACGCTTGGTATTATGTTTATTACGGTACGACCGCCACCATTTTAAATCACGATGCTGACCTTCGTACAGCATGAGAAAGGTTATCAGGCACTGAGAGTTTACCTCCGAATTTTCAATTGAAATTCCTGTTTCGATGTTATTGATTTAATGATATTAAAGTAGCACGAAGTTGGTTTCACTTCGAACGGAAGATGCGTATGAATTAAGATTCAAATTTTTCTATGACTTTCGTCATAGAAGTGTTCACTAACTGCGCTCTAGTGTTGTTGTTGAGAGTGTCGAGCATTGAGAAACTTAGAAATATATACAAACCTTCTCCTGATTTGGATCCTCGTTCAGCGAGTGAGTTCTTAGCTTGTGCGTTAAAAACTTCAGCATAGTTTACTGATTTTACGTCACTCGGCACTACCACCAGCACCACCGTCACCGCCACAACTAACACTTTCACTAACACCTTCACGACGACGATCACCACACGATTCCGCGACACTGCCTTCCTCTTGTTCACGGTGGTCGCTTTGATGCCATGTATTTCCAAGCTGTTTATTTCGGGCAAGAGCACCTTCCGTTTCTGACCAACGACGACTATATCAAAAGCAACGTAGACGACGTTGGTGATGATAATAACGACGATAATGACGCTTATGATAACACTGACAATGTAGAGTACACTTCAGAAGAGGAATGTACAAGATCGTATCGTAAAAATTTCAAGGCGACGGAATAAAATCGTGACCGAGTGGTGTGTCAAGTGGTTACGGGTGCGTGTTGCGTCAAGATCGTTGCGAAGGAATAAAAATGAATGCGTTGTGTAGGACGCCTTATGGATGGATCGTTGAAGAGAAGCTTCTGCTTCTTCTCTCGCACTTTTACTCTCTTCTTTTGCCTTTTTTCCTCTTCCGCTTACGTTCCGCGTCCTTCCTCAGGTCTGCGTACCCGTCTGGCTGGGATACAAACCCAGGCGAAGAGTGAGACACGAACTCAAGGTACGTATACAGGCGAGCGTCTCTGCACGAATATAATAAAAAAAACAAAGAGTGAAGTACGTTAGCAGGATTACACGGCACAGAATGGAGGTACAAGATGATTCGATGAGATTTTCATTCTCTTCTCTTTAATCGCAAATCCACGACTCTTCTCACTGACACTTCATCTAATTTTCCCTCTTATTTACACCATGGCCCGTCTGTTCGCAAATATTTTCCAGCTCGTCTAAATAACTCTAAACGATCAAACTCTTGAGGTTACAAGTGACATTCTGTCGACTCGTGGCTCGATCACTACTTTGTCCGAGGAACGTTGGTATTTATTCGTCTACCTGACTGCGTGCCCTACCTGCCTTACTGCCACGTCTCGCCTGTCTATACTGCAGCGAGAAATCAAAGTGTGGATCATGAGGTAGTATGTCGCTACGATTTCAAGTCACTGGATCGCACGATACTTTTTTCTTCTGCTCTCTCTCTCTCTCTCTCTCTCTCCCCCCCTCTCCGCAACTCTAGAAATTTACTCGATGGCGAAGCCGAGCGTCGCTGCTGACTCGCGCGCTCGTCAACGCCATCCTGATGTCCCCAAGATACATGAGCTACCAGGATATTTAAATAATCCCTGGTGATCGTCGTCCTCTACGAAATTATGAATCCTTAGAAACACGAGAATAACTGCTCTGTTGTTACCAAGGGCCAAACTACTGGTACCCGGAGTAATTCGCACACTTCCGTATTCACCCACAGTATACTGTTTCCCTCCAGTATCTTCAGAATATCACAGTCAAGAGCAGCTTCCTCCTTGATGTAATGATTAAACTGACACGGCACAATCCGCATCACGCAGCCCAAGCCGCGAATAACAAGGTAGAAAAGAAAATAAAAGGCGTGGAGGAGATAGCTATGATCTCGGATTTATATTTCGTTCTTCGGCTTTTCACAGTTCCTCGGGTGTTGACTCGCCACCGGAGCTCGTCGAACCGTCTGTCAATTTTGGATGTCAAGCAGACGGATGAGCAGCCGGGCCTGAGGACCGAATAACGAGTAGACTCGTATCATGCTCATACGTGAGCCATAATTATCGGGGCTTCCGCATCCACCTATTACGTCTACCTGTTCTCGCTATATCTCCCAATAACGTCTACCTAACCAGCTCACGCCACCACCACTGCCACTTCGCGACTGCGGTAGTGAACAGACCGTGCTTCTCCTAGTGCTTCCCCACTATTCCCATCATTATCGCGCCCCACTTTGACTCCTACTAGAACTCCCCTCCACTCCATCCTCATGGACCCATACAATCTCACTGATCCCTCACTTCCATTCGAGGCCGAGTGTACTTTCCTGAGCAGCATATGTATTCGTTCGTGAGCTTTCGTGCCTTCTCGTGATATCACACGCCACTGATAAACACCGGGCCAGGGTGCTACGCTATGCTACCACCCCATGTATTTTATTTGATCACATATATATCTATGCATCCCTGTATACATTGATAATGCAAACCTCCTATGCACCCGCTAGACATATTCTTTTCATAGGATTAGGTAACAATAATTTTAAAAAATGGAATTGCACAAATAGCTACGTATGTACATCTGTGTATATATATATATTCTATGGGGTTACATACGGCAGGAATGTTGGAGCCGAAAGGCACTTTGCTACTGCTAAAACAGAAATTCGTAATATAAGAATGGAGATTAAGAGGAGACTCGGATTATTTAGATGCAGAAAGGAAGGTAGAAAAGTTTTTAGGAAGATCCCAAGGTACTCTGGAATTACTTGCTTCCGTATGGACCTCAATGATGCTTAATGTTGTATACCGTGTGCGATTTCTCAAGTTAGTTGCTTCAAGCGTAGAGACTTACTTCATATGAATACACCTTGTCGAACCACATGGAAAGCTCATATCGAGCGCACTGTCCATTAAATATCTATAGAAACGTCTGTCCGCGTGATTCGTATACGAGAAAGCCAGAAGGTATTTCCTGCTCGATTTCTGAAACCCATCAAGAATAACCCTGATCGGTCTGAAGTAGGATTACATACACGCGAAGTCGACATCTTCATTCACTTAGCTTGTAACTTGATCCAAGAAGATCCCAGATATCAATTTATCATTTGTCCATACACAGGGATTCGTTTAGGTAAATAAAATTCAATTTAATAAAGAAAACAATGATCGTTTACATATCCTGGAACTAAACCATCCAGAAATTACATTCCAATGCATCCCCTAGCGAATGGAAGAACTTCCATCGATGTGAATTCTTCTGATTAGTAATATCGCGACGTATCCATCTTGAAATTATTAGAATCGATAGTTCCGTATCTCCAAGAGATATCAAGGTAAATCGAAAGTAGAAGAGGAGGATGTTTATTGACCGGTGTGTCGGTCCAGACGAGTAGCTATATATAATACGTCACGTTAAAGGGAACGTAAACCCAAGACCCGTCACCCATTCACAATCCAGCTTCCCCTGGGAGGGGACTACCGTAATGGTGGTAGTAGTATGCAAGCTCGCCTTGAGCTTTTCCTTATACATACAACGACAGCACGAAGCTTCGTCAGACCCGGTTACATTCCGTTACCACCATCCTTCCAGCCCCTCGTACACACTCATACCTACCACTCAGCAACCGTGACTAAGGGTGCTCGGGAAATCTCGTCTACTCTCGGCTACTCTCGACTGGAATAAGTTAACCTAACCTGATAGACTAGTCGCGCTGGGTGAACGGGGAAACGGGAAACTACAGATTAAATTCGTTTTGCTCAATGGACCAACCGAGCGTACGAGGAAGACCTTCCTTACCAGAGAAACCAATCGAAATCCTCAAGAATTCTTTATGCAGTTACAGAGTTAGTGAACGTTTACCAATTCATTGAAAAGCTCGAAATTTTCACTCGGTATTCCAGATACGTATTCACAGATACTTTTCACGTTACCTCTGCTACGGTATAATGGTCTCGCCCGAGGCTTAATTTCAGTGTCATGGCATCTCGCGGAAGTGTCTCATGGATTGTGACAGAAATTTGTTAATATTTAAATCTATATCGTCCAACCAAATGTACCTTCCTTGCATCGACTTGTCGCGATGCTACAGGAACCGATTTACGTTGTTAAAACGCGACGATAGCAATGTGGAAACTGCTCTCTCCTTGACACTTTCCCCAGAGAATCTTGTGTCGTTGGGGTTGCGCACGCACGTGTACGCATAGTATATACACAAGTTGTAGATCAACGTAGATATGGCGCCCGCGCACTTCTTCCACGTCATTATACCACTGGCAGACCCTTTACGCACATTGCTACACATCGAACGTGACTATGTAGTATATAAGCTTTATGTGCATGCATTACTTTGACTTGACTCGGCGCAATGGGTTCTGCGTGATCCGGGATGATCGAATCGCTACGCTGAAACGAAGTGCGTTGGGGATTGAATGGAGCGTTCTGCTTATTGAATAAAACGATGACGGGTGCGTACGTGTGCGCACCATGTGTTACTTTGTCAGCAAGTTTTCTGTGGAACGACCATTCTGTTTGTCGGATGTATCGGTGATTGAAGAGGGTCAAATTCCAGACTGTTATCGTTCATATGTTTCCACAAAGAAAAAATGGCAGATTGTATTACCCTGCACCATTTGACGATGTAACAATTTATTTATGACAACATTGGGTATTGAAAATGTTCAAGAAAATCAAACAACTTTATTGAAATATATATCTGGGAAATTAAATAGTTGATAGACAATTTCGATATTAGTGATGTTGTCAAAATTTTTAAATTCTCATCATATTCTTTTATTTTGATCCTAATTGTTTCGCGTGAGCATGGTTACGTTATGGATAGACAATGCAAGATAACATGTCAAGGGCTGTATTGTCAGTGTCGAGGTGACAATGGGATTTCCCGATTGCCTATAAATCTTGTTCATACCGTCCGGAAGCCAGGATTGGTCCTGGGGAGGATTCTAATCAATAGTCAATACCCACAGGACGTGGATGAGTGCATCCTGTGGGATAGGAACGTGTGGTACATGTATGTACAGATAGGTAGAGCCGTGACATATGTAGGTGGAACTTAGCGAATGCGGTGACTGATAGTACTTGGTGCTAAATCACTGGTTTTTTGTGGCAGAAGAACCCGATTGGACGAGAATGAATTCCATTCAGTAGGGAAGAAACTCCTCTATTACAGAGGAATGAGATCCAACTTTATTCAACCCAAGCAATATCCTTCTGTGGTAATACCTGTGGGCAGCCATTGGTGATATTGAAGTATTTCTTTGTGAGCCATGTATTTACAAAGATACGAAAAAAGGTAGTACCAAGACTTTGTTGTTGTCATTGTTTTTCTTAAATAGCAGAGTACATTAATTCGTTAAATACAACGGGAAATTAGGTAAATGTAGCTAGAATATTATCAGTACAGTTGGCAGCGAGAAGACAATGGTACGGGGATCTTATTGTCCAGGAAATACTGTGTAGGTTGCCAGAACTTTCCGAGTTCTGGTAGCTTTGCCAAAAACGACAACCGGCTTTCTTTGGATCCCGTATCATAATCTTGTTTCTTCGTTGTTTCGTGGTTTAACTTTATGCTTTCCATACTGTGAAAATGTCCAAGTTATCAGTCGAGGAATCTCTGAACGAGACACAGTTCTACGTAGAACCTTGTATCATACGACTCCGTGCATATTGGCACGAATATAAGGCACTGGAATTCGTACTAGTATAGTCATGCTCTAGGATATTTTCTTATCCAGGCACAAGTTTAGAATATTTTCCTTACTAGGTATACTCTAAGAAATGTTGTGCTTCAAAGAATATTCCGTCATAGTTTACGAGAGTCTTTATTGAGCACCAGTGCTCAATTCGGGCTCTTTATCAATATTAAATAACTTTTAAATAAATGTTAGTGGAACTGAAATTCACAGTTTTGTCTCGTGCTTCACCTTAGCCCTGAGTAATTGATTCGATCGAGGCACACCATAGGTACTACTCAAAAAACAACCAGGTGAACTTATGACCCTGCTGTCGGTGGATTCTGGAGTTGGATTGGGAGGATCCACCGTCTCGTTATTATCAAATGCGTATCGCCTCTGTCGACTTTCTTCGTGACTATGAACATGATTGTTCTTTGCTCTTATCTGCAATTCAGAATCCGTCTCTTCCTCGTTATCCGCGCTATCCACATCTCCTGCGTAAAACATAAATTAGATGAATTATGTGTTTTAATAACACATTCCTTACTTTACAATTTAATTTTTCACTTACCGTCCGAACTATTAGTAGAGGGTAGGTAGAAACGAGATTGCGGAGGTTTATTACTACCACCACGACGTTCCCTCTCTCTTCCTAAGTTACCAGAATTATTGTATTTGAACTCTCGTGGGAGAGTGTAACTCCGGGGCAAGGATACTTGACTACCCTCCATGTCGCTGACTTCGCCCTCGCCCTTAGAACTTTCCTCCTCGCCATTATGACTCGACCGTAGTCTGTGACTCAGGTGACTCGGAGGAGTCCAATGTGGATAATGATGAGGAAGGCACCGGGGCGCTAATAGAATTTCTGGTGTTTCTGCTCTTTCCCTCTGCGGCACCTTCCAGAGGTTAGAAGGATGAGAATTGGGATAGTAAGGTGAGGCTGGGGGAGGTGGTAGTAAACAGTGCATCTTGACTGGCGGCCAAGAGGATAAAGTGATTCCACCATTGGTGTCAGGTAATGAAGGTGGCGATGGGGATAGCGGAGAACTAGGAGAAGTGTGGAGCTTTGTATTCGGGGGTGGTTGCTGATTGGATGCTGACGGTGAAGAGGAAAATGACGACGTTGAAGCCGAAGGTGGTGGAACGAGCTTTCCTTCTTTTATTTCCTCCTGAATTGCTCGCAATTCTCGCAGCTGTTGCTGCTTCTTCTCTCGTAGTTTCTCGTGGATTAGATTCACGCTAAGACACCCACCGACGCCGACCTCCACTTCGTTCCTTTGTCCATTCGCATCCTCAACCTATTGTCATATATCATTAAGATTATCCAGAAGTACATTTCGCATGATCTAACAATTTTTATGATTGTATATGCTCTTACTTGAGGTATTGCGGTTGTACATGGTGGCCTTCTCCAAAATGGTATCAGTTGTCGCGAACCACCGCTGCCATTCAGTCGTTGTCTCGGGTCTCCTGTAGGTGTTATGGTTAAAGATGTTGCCTGCGGTTGGGGTGGTGGTGGAGGTACGAAGGTTGTGGGTTTCTTTTTTTTTCGATTCGGATTCGTAACTGCAGGATTTGCAAAACGGCAATTGAATACTCCTGGTATACCGCCATTACTCAGTTTCACTCTTCGCATTCCCATATTCATTCCGACTTTCTTCTCCTCGTTGTAATCTATCTGTTTCTCTTCTACAGCATCCTGACGTGACATAGTAAATGTCAAATGACTGAGGTGACACCAAAAATGAACTGTTTGAGTTTCATGTTCCTACAGACCTGCTTGGACAAAGTAGTGACAACGTTTGTCGTATTCATTCGTCCACCGGCTTCATACCTGAGTCTTCTTACGTGAAAAAATCTGCTAAGTTGAAAATATTTTATCATCTGATAAATTAAAAAAGTACTGTACAAGTGACGTGTGGTACATTAATAAGTACTTGCCTATAATAAAGTCCCATGAAGAAGAGTCCGCCAAAAAATAAAGCTAAAAGCGTTAGAGCAAGAGTAACCGGATGTGGATGATGTGACAGGGGATGCAAATCGTTTTTATGAACTCCAGCCGCCCACACGCCCACCAGTAGACTATTCTCCAAGAACATTACTGTGTAGAAAATCACCTGGAATGTTAAAACGGAATAGTAGATGGCGTTCATTGACATCTGGCTAATGGTCCACATGTTCTACCAACCATTTTCTGTCGGTGATTAGTTTCATGAAGATTGACGTATGCAAATACGTAAACGAAGGCAAGGAGGGACGCAAGAAAGGCCTTTCTTGGAAGTGGTAAGCCTTCTCCACCGTGAAATAATCCATCAGGAGTCAGCAATAACCACGTAAACATGGATAACCAATGAAGTGCTAATACAATCAGTAACCACTGGCTACCATAAACTGATGCATACGCAACCAGAGCACCAACGCGGGCACTTACTGTTCCTAATCTCCAAACTAACTGTGCTAGTACACCTAGCCATGTGAGTACTAAGCGTTCTAAATTTCTGAGACGTGCAGCACCCTTACTAAAACTGGCCACTGCCCAGCATACACTCCATAGAGACAAACCAGCAGACACGGCTGTTAATTCAGCTAATTTTCCACTTTCTCTGGTATCTCCTTTAGATCCTATCTCTCCATGTTCATTCTCGTCAGTGATTCCAGTTGATAACAGGTACAATTGCAGAAGAAGCATTGGAGCTGCTTCACAAAATGCGTGAATAAGCCTTAGTACACAAAGTTCCCTGACCTGTGTAATTTTAATAAACGTATATATTTAGATATAAAGTTAATGTAGTATGAAGTTAATTATAAGAGTCCTTATTAGGTTTTTTACCTCGTGCTTAACGTAGGCCAAATCAACAGGAATGAACAATTTAAAGTATCTCCACAAAACTCCAACTTGGGTTGAGTGAAGTAATAATATACATCCAATTACCCAACCATTTGCTTTCTTTTCTTGATTAGAATTACACCCAGTAGTGATAGTATTTCCACGGAATTGTCCTCTGGCACCCCAAAGATACCATCGTACACTGACCACCTGATAAGAAACAGATGATATAATATTTGTCCATTATATATCATGTAATATAACAAATATATTTTTGTACAAAACTCTTTCCTCACCTGTGATATAACAAGCGAAGTTACAACAAGAGTAATAGTCAATGGAAAGAAAGCAGGTGGTGCTGTAGGGTGATGAGCAAGAGCATACCCCATAGCAAGGTCAAAAACAACATCACAAAAATAGGAAGCCAGTGATATTATATTGAACAATACATCGCACAGAGGAAGGAATTCGTGCTGATGCTGTTGTTGCTGATGCTGGGCCATAATGGGCCTCTGTTGCCCATTTGGACCACCCAGCACCCTCTTACTATCTGACCAATCTCAGCCTGTAATAAAAAATTTCAAACGAATAATCTTATGACGGAATTTCAAAAATAATAAATAATAGTAACAACAAAATAACAAAAAACAGTACAAATTTAATCGCTCATCGTATTGAAAAATAATTAGTAAAAATTTCTAAACTAAAATCAAAGTATGTATTTTTCGTAGCGTAAAAATTTAATATCGGCATTAAAAAATGTATATGAATACCATCCACCTATAGGACAAAAAACAAGGTGCGGTGAGAACTTCAGACATTCCAAACCCTCCACCTGAGTTATACATATTATTTCTCTCCTCTGTTTCTGCTTTGTGGTCATAAGACGAAACGGGGAATTCCCGATTTCTATGAATTCGCAAAGTCCTAACAACATGCGCAGAATACAAACCAAGTTGGCACACGGCGTGGGACAGTCAGATAGCACTTACCGCATTCCTCACATGTCATTGGCGAGTGATCACAAAAGTGACATTCTTAACCTGGATGCTGCGCTGGTCGACCTGGACCAGCTCAGGAATGCGTGGAATTTCTTCCAGAAATTGTTGTCGCAGCGCACGAAAAATAATGCGAAAATTTTCACCACTATCTTATCGACTATTTCACGCAGAACCTATTAACATTTTACACGATCACCATTCTGCAAATGTGAATAACTGTCGTGAGAGAATATCAGTCTTCTCTCTACCTGTTGATTCGTAGCCGCTATTTTACCACAGTATCTACTCTACTACATGGGGCTGCATACCTGATTTACACGGTAGTGACGCCACCGAGGAACGTGAAAACTTCTTATTCTCTCACGGTAATTTCACCTGCCAAGGTGGCTGCAGGTAATGGTCCTTGACAGTACCTGACGAGCCATGATAATTCATTGAATTTCACTCAGAGACTGGTAAATGGGTATTCATTGTGCAGATTAATTATTAATAGATAATTAATTGTTAGTAAAGCAGAACTAAGATTTAATTGCTTGAATTATATTAAAGCATATCATGTACCACTATACTAAACAACATTGATGATAGTGCTGGGATGGAAACAACTACATAATATCTGGGTGTGAGAATCCTTGCATTTTGATATAAACGAGAGCAACTTTCGATAAAGTATCGTTTATAATTAAACAATTACACCATTATATGGATGTATAAAAATGCATGATTCTACAACAGTGCATACGAATTTTGTGCGCGATTGACGCCTCGACACTTGGAAAGTCACCGTATAAATAAACCATGTATACATATGTATATATATGTACAAAATTAGTACTAGAAAAATTATTAAAACTATACATGTTTCAAGTTGAATCGATGCTGTCAAGATTAATAAAGTCATCCGTAAATTTCTATTATTGCACTTCTTCAGGACATTCTTCTTCTTCCTCCTCGCTCAGTGTTTAGAGAATAATCTCGTTTTTAAAGTTTCTTGTAAGTTCTTTGTGCGGTAGGACAATGGAGTTCAAAAGAATCTTTTCCGCCGCCAAAGTTACGCTCGTACCTAAGATACAATGAGAATTTACGATACTAGTTAAGTTATAAAGTACCATGAAAATGTCAGTTTCTCACCAAGAATTGTGATGGAGGGATTCAATTTGCCATTGGTATTGAATAATGGGGGATTTTCCATTTTTGCAAATGGTTTGTCAGGATTTGGATCACACGGCGTACCTTCTACTCGTGCCCATTCTCCTACTTTACTGTTTCTGCCCATGATACTGTGTAACACAATTGTATGTGCTTGTATTTGGGCATTGGCCAGCACAATGGATTCAAATATTCTTACTCCAGCACCGATTACAGCATTGGAGCCTATACTAACGTTTGGACCCAACTATAATTAAAAAAAAAAGAGATTATAGTTAATTTGTGCGAAAAATATATACACTCTGATTTGCTGTATATTGTGTACTATACCACAGCAGTGGGATGAATTGTTGCAGAGGGATGAATATGCACATCCCCAATAATGTGACATGGACCGTCCGGAGCAGGGGCAAGTCGCTCTGATTGTTTTAATCGATATAGTGATAAATAATGTCGATTTGCATATATTGCAGATCCAGCAGTTTTCACTTGAGACCACCAATTTGTAACTGGGAGTGCAAATAATCGACCTGTTCCTGCCAGTCTTGTTAATATATCTTGTTCTAGGGCAATGTGTGCAGGATCTTTACCATTGCCGTTTAGCTGCCTGTAAGAGTGAAATGTTATTTTTTACAATGCTATATCATAGCGTATTAAAACTGCAGGATACGCTTAAGTGAAACACATACATAAAATTTTCATGCTGTTGAGCAGCATAAAAAACATCGGCCATTGTTTGAAAAATGTCTGGTGAAGCTATATACACTCCACAGTTAATTAAAGTGGAAACAACAGTTGACGGTTTCTCTACATAATGGGCTACTTCACCATCCTTGCCCAGAACCAAACAACCATAATTTATAGATTGTTGCCTTGTAGCCTCAGTAGCCATTATTGTCAACAATGCATCTTTACTTTTATGAAATTCAACCATTTCTTGAAGAGGAAAATCAGCACAAACATCTCCATTCATGACAAAAAAATATTTTGGAGCTCCAGCACGAATTTGATCACGGAAATGATACATGCCACCTGCTGTTCCTAGAGGAGTAAACTCCTGCAGGTAACGGATACTTAGTCCATAAGTATTAGTCATTTCTTCTACAAACTGTCGCAAGTCATTAGCAGAATATGAACCAATTATTAAAACTTCGCTAAGATTAGGCACTTTTGCACAAGCTTCAATATGATGTTGTATCATTGGTAGACCTGCTACTGGAAATAATGGTTTTGGAACATCTAAAGATAGTGGACGGAACCTGGTCCCTGCAAATAAAACAAAGATATGTTTATAGCTCAGTCATTAGCTAAGGTAGGTAATGTATTAGATTATTTATTTTCCTATAGTACAATGACTCACCTTTCAAGGGACCACCAATAAGAATGACAGCTTTCAACATTTTTTTACTATTTCGAGTAAAAGTTATTAAACTACTATATTCGTCGTTAATCTGATTCAACTTATCAGGATTACGTTTGATTTGACACGTACGTCTTTCGACACGTCAAGTAAACAAAGTTCGTTGCTGCAAACTATATAGAAGGTCTGTGCTATCTTTCGCAGGAATTTTGATGCTGCGACACCTATTAAAGGAAAATGTCTTTCAATTTTCTCCCTATGATATCGATGGAAAAAGACCAAATTCAGTACCATTACATGACGCTTAAAAACTTGTATATGCAGTTCAAGCTGCTACTCTACTATGGGATGCAATGAATGTAGTAGCAAATCAGCCTAGACATATACCTACATATGTGTCTATCCAATACAATTTCGCTTTACGGAGCCACGCTTAATTAATAGAACGGACTTCAAAGCTATTTTAATTGATTAGAAATAAATTACGTTGTTACAGTTCATGAAACGTATAGTGAAATTTGGTACATAAGGAAGGTAAGCAATTCTTGAGTAATTTTGTTGTGCAGTGTTTAAAGTTTGTATAGCCAATCGTCTAACGTACGTATCGCATAGCTAACCTATATGATATGAATATTTTGCTTATCGATAAGGAATTAATATATAAAAACATTAATTTGTAGGTGAAGTAAAACATTTTCAAGATGTTTAATCAAAGCGGAACTTTGGGAACAGGAGCTTCAACTACTTCAAATCCTATGAAGGATTTTGAAGTGGTTTCACCTCCTGATGATTCTGTATCCAGTTTGGCTTTTAGCCCTGCATCTATTCCGCAAAATTTTTTGGTCGCTGGCTCTTGGGACTGTAACGTTCGTTGTTGGGAAGTAGAACAATCTGGGAAAACAGTCCCTAAATCTATGCAAAACATGGGAGGACCTATTTTAGATGTTTGTTGGAGCGATGTAAGTGTACTTTTTATTTTTGTTTTATTATCGCTAATATTCCTTCGCATGTATTTGCAATGAATAACATTGGATTATAATATTTTTTTTTGGAATAGGATGGTACAAAAGTTTTTATGGCTTCCTGTGACAAAATGGTTAAATGCTGGGATTTAGCTTCTAATCAAAGCGTTCAAGTAGCAGCACATGATGCTCCTGTAAAAACTTGTCACTGGGTAAAAGGTTCGAATTATTCCTGCCTTATGACAGGATCGTGGGACAAAACTCTAAAGGTAGTTAGCAATAAAGTATTTATAAATTCTATATATTATATATTATAAAACATCATTTTGCTTACATAGTTCTGGGATACACGTAGTCCAAATCCCATGATGACTATCAATCTTCCTGAGAGGTGTTATTGTGCTGATGTGGTATGTTTAATAACAGCATATTGAAACATTCTATCATAAATCTTAATATAAGTATTATAATGTGTATAATGTGTATAATGTGTGAACAATTATTATTAGGACTATCCCATGGCAGTAGTTGGGACAGCAGGACGTGGTTTAATTGTATACCAACTAGAAGGAACTCCACAGGAGTACAAACGAATTGAATCACCATTAAAATTCCAACATCGTTGTGTCGCTATTTTTAGAGATAAGAAAAAATCTCCAACAGGATATGCTCTTGGAAGTGTTGAAGGAAGAGTTGCTATTCAATATGTTAATCCAGCGAATCCTAAGGATAATTTCACCTTCAAATGTCATCGATCGAATGGAGCGCCTAACGGCTATCAAGATATTTATGCGGTATTCTTGTTAACCAGTAATGAAAATATTAAAATAAATCACTATTAAACAAATGGTTATTATCTCACAGGTAAATGACATAGCGTTCCATCCTGTTCATGGTACCTTGGCAACTGTTGGAAGTGATGGCACATTCAGTTTCTGGGATAAAGACGCTCGTACAAAATTGAAACCATCAGAACCAATGGAACAATCAATAACACGTTGCTGCTTTAATCACAATGGCCAGATTTTTGCCTATTCCGTTTCCTATGATTGGTCAAAGGTACATTAGTTTATATCTACGCGTCATCTGCGTTAAGTTTTAATATCAATCGCTGAGAGTGCTTAATATTATTTTATGTCCATTATGTATCACAGGGCCATGAGTTTTACAATCCTATGAAGAAGAATTACATCTTCTTAAGATCCTGTTATGATGAATTAAAACCAAGAAGTCCTTCGTAAGGATTGACAACAAAATTTATCATTTTCGCATTGAAGCAAAGGTTCAGCGTAATTAATACTATAAGCCACTCTTTTTCATTCCTATGCAATGTATTGGTCATTTTTATACTATCGTCTATGGTATCAGCTTAGTTTTCAGTGACAGAATTAATTTATAAATCCATACCGCATCACGTGACTCTGCAAAGAAACTGTGCATAGGTACATTATTTGTATGTGTGTACAATCGATGCACCTTCCATCGATGAACCTTTTGTACTATGTACAAGTGAAATATTCATGTAATTTTTATTATAAGAGCAACGTGTAAATAATAAAGTATTGTCATTTCATAGATTTAGTAATGAATACAAATACCAAATCATTTCAGCCTTGAGCTTTATTCGAGATAATATTAAAATAATACACGATTTAATGCTAGTAACAATTACATTTTCCATTCATAATGGAAAGTGAGTTAAACTCAATGAATATTCTGGCACTTTTCATTGAACTTTTTGAAGCTAGTTCATCGTTTAACTTTTTAGAAATTCGTCCAAGTCTGATGAGTCTGCAACATCTAAATCAACTTCTTCCAATGATGGACCTTTCTGGAACGTTCCTAATTCTGCACCAATTAATAACATTAAATTCAAATATTTAATATAAGAATTGAATAGTTCTACATACTGGGTATAATTCCTGTTGTTTTGTATTCTTCCAGTTCCTTTTTAAAAGCTTCCTCAAATGTTTCCTGCCGTTCTTTTAGAATTTGTTGTTGCTTCAATTCATGCTGCAAAACTTTCTCAGAATGCTTTCCTGCTAGCTTTGCTAATAGATCAGAGAATTAATGTCATAGAGATTATTCTTTTAACAATGTACATGCCATTACATTGTAGTATACCTCTTGTAGAATCGAGTTCAGATAACTTTTTCTCTTTATATAAGGCTAGCTGAAATCTGTGATCTAGTTGTCTACTTTGTAAGTCCAAAGTTTCATTCAAGTCTTGCAGTTGGAATAAAGATGTTTCAACTTCTTCAAACAGTTCCTGGAGTGTTCCTAAAATATATCTATTGCAATTTCGAAACTGATTTTCATTTACTGATAATACATATATGGATCACATGCTGGATACCATAATAACATTGGCAGAAATTATTATAATATATAATAATACCTATTTGATCCATAAGGTTTTGGATATCGTTGTTTATTTTGGGTATAGCAGCCAAGGTATTGTTTAACTGGGTAACATTGTTCCATTCATATTCCAATTGGTCATGAATACTTGCAATGAGAGCATCAGCTTGTTGAGCTTTTTCTGCATTTTCTTCTGCAAGCTCATGCAGTTCATTCCATCTCATTTGAAAGTGATGTAAAACATCAGCACCAGCATTATAGTTGACATTTCTAATATTGGTCAATTTTTTAGGTTTGGAACTTTCAGCGACCGATAAGCCTCTTATACTGAAACATGGTTAACAATCCATTATAAGACTTCACTAATAACTTGCTTGTATCATTTCATGTAACTTACAAAGATTGTAAAACAAAAAATGGCAAATCAGCTTGTTAATAAATCTATCAACATAATACTGACAAACAGATAACAATGAAACTCTGACATTAGCATGATATATTTAAAAAGAAAAATCCTAATTTTTCCTAGCAAGTGGACAACGAAAAATTAATTTTTCTTTAATTACCTAGCAGATATACCTTCTTGTACAGATTGAAACTTGTTACGTAGCGTGCCGAACATTTTAATGTTTACATGAACATATAACACAGTAAAACCCTATTTTTATATTATACGACTATTATCTATTATGACATTTTGCCAGCATTAACTTTCCTTCCTTCCTTTCCTTATGGCTGTATCCCCAATGGGGGGCATGTGCCAGTAACTGGTCCTAATAATCAAGGTTGGAAGTTCGACACTAGATGGCGATGTACCTTGCGAGACGGGCCTTATTCAACTCTGCGTGAGGGACCTACAAAGTTTATACACCGATTCCGAACAGTGTTAGGCGAAATCCGTATAAATACTCACTTAAGTTTTCATATGAAAACCCATTGGTGAATGCCGCTGGAAGCTGGGCGCGGACCTCCTACCTTTCGGTCGTGAATCCGCTACCCTATCCACTGGGCTACAGCCGCCCCAGCATTAACTTTATTTTGTAAGGTTCCCTTCCTTTCCTTATGGCTGACTCCTCCAATTTTTGTAAGGTTAAGACGGTCATTATCCGCGTAATATAGTATATCAACCTTTAAACATTTAAAAAAGGTCCACTAGCCCTCTATGATCTAAACTGCATAAATATTGCTGGACTAAATGATCATAGTTTATGATTTGCTCCAGTATGCAGGCGCCAAACGGTAAAAACTGGCGGTTAAAATAAAACATTCTCCTGTTATTGTAACATTCATTCTAAAAATTCGAAATTCAATACCGATTTTTTCAGTACAATCGACCGTCAAATTTTTTCTGTCACACATTCATTTGATTGATCTGCAAGAAGACTAAGATTAATAAATCCGAGATTGACAGCGAAATTTAAGCGTTGCAAACAATTCGGAAATTATTTAATCATCAAACCATCGTATTACTTATATAGTAGTTTTCGACGATATACGATGATCGGATAATGATATCTTCCACTTCGTCCTATGACGATGACCTTCTGAACAGCGCTTACGCGAATATCGGCCTAATCGCAGACAGAGCCTGGGCTGCCGATCAAGACGATTCCTTCCGAAAGCTGAACCATACCTTGTGGGTTCAGGTAGGATCTCTCTTTTATGTAGAGGGTGAGTTAGCGCTCTACATTTCCCACTGATCAAATTTATCCTCTTGTGATAAAGGGAAGTGACGCTAAATTCTGCTAGTGTATCGATACTTTATACAGAGAAAAATTCACATTTGTATACAAATTTCTACGGATACTTAAATGATTAATAATATATTACAAAAGATTATTTATAGCAGAGCGCGTTCGTATATTTGCTATCTCAGAAAATTATATACCGTATAAGAATAACATCTTTATTAAATGTCCACGATACAGTAGAAATAAAAGTAACCATACTTTCACCGAATTAGAAATAAGTTATATTAAATTCCAGAAAACTGATTTCAAAGAAGCTTGCACTAGAGTGTCTAATGGGTACTGAGCTCAGCTCAAATTAACAGTGATCAGAACTTTAATTAAATCTTATATCTACGCAGCTTCTTTCGTCAGGTTACTCAAAAAAGTCTTAACTTCCGGTAGAACTGTAAGCTGACTGGAACATATCAGGATAGTGGTTATTATCGGTCCAGACGAGTACGTGATATCATCCCTGGATCCTGGCTAGCTCACTATGGAAATTACGAGTACGACGAGGAACGTGAAAAGCTGTACAAACAGGATAACAAACCACCGGATATCAGAGTTGAAGATATTTACGTCTCCGACGTTGCCGAACCATGGATGCTGGAAGAAGTGGAAAAACACTTCACCCGGTTAAATAATCGGACGCCAATATTGCCAGAAAATGAACTGTGGGCACTTTAAAATTGAAAAACAAAAACTGTAATTTCCATAAACCGTTTTATATACTTCCCATAGGCCCACAACAGAGGATACATTACCAGTGAGTACCGAATGGCTGGAACAGACAAATTGGGATAACATTCTCCAACAACGTTATCCTAATTTGAAAGCAGTATTGTCAAGGAAGAATAAAAACAGAAAAGATTCTACATCCACTGAGTTGTTTGACAGGCAAGCAAGGGGTACGCACTGATCCATAAAGTATTAATTTTATTACCGATCCATGCAAAATAGCTTTGCGATATTTTATCGCCATGAATAAAAAATGCGTTAACTAAAAGAACGTTGACACAAATTATAGAATTATACGAGAAAAATATTCGCCCGGAGGATTATGAAAAATATGTTCCACCACGCTACACCGTCGACACAGTAGCTGAGATGCATCTAGAATTGCGTATTACGTGTGAAATAGTTCGTGACCTATGGAATTCAATGAAGCCTCACGAGTACCTTAATTCCGATCTCCGGAATCAAAAGCGTGAATACTGCAAACCGCAACAGCATCCACAAATCCAATACCAAAGTTACAACCGGAAACAACAGCAGCATCTACAGGCTAACCAGCATCAACGTCTGCAATGCAATGTGCAGCAACCTTTATTACTGAGACCACCACATCAGGCATCATGCTGCGAAACAATTGGTCTAGCACGTAGAGCCGTACCGCCAGTCTTAAGTGCAGAGGTACCTGAATTTTTTCCAAAAGGACCTGGACCATTTGCCAATGGTCATCAGGAACATACGGGACCATTGCAGTTCTTTCCGTCGTCCAGCGAGAGAAGTTATCAGGATGAATTGTTCCCTTATAACAGAGGCTGTGTGCCAAGCAACTCTAGAAAATTATATCAGGTAATCAATGCCGTTTAATTAGTAATGAGATAACAATTTATTAAATGATATTTAGAGAAAAATTCATATTTTACTTGGTAGAATCCCAGTGTACCCATGGCGTCATCCACGCATACCAGTAACATTATGCGAAGTCAGCAACAGTGGATTCAAAGAGCTTATCATCCTCTGCAACTTCATGTTCCTGTTTGTCCAACCCAACCATTATGCCCCATGATGCAACCACTATGCCCAACGATGATGCAACGTCCTCTGTTGGTGCAGGAAAAATTTCTATCCTCGAGTCACGTCACCTCTGCACCTATTCCTGTTTATCAAAGGCCATCCGAGCTTTACCAGGATCCATCCCAGAGACGTAAGAATCACGGGGTCGATTTCAATAACTTGATTCTGTTGACAAAAAATGCAGTGAAGGCCCGAAGAAGCCAATCGAAAAATTCTCAACAAAATTCCACTTACGCATTGGAGAGTAAACGGTCCAGTTTGAAATCTGAGACGAGTGTTTTTCAATGGGTGGATAAAGGTTATCCCAAGAAACGCAGAGAACTTACTCCATTGGATACGGTATCCTTAGAGCTCAGGGACACTGAAATGACTTTGGAATTTTCAAAAAAAATTTCAGATAAATTTGAATCACATGATACAGACTCCGCGATGGCGGAAGAAGATACAATGATTAAATTTTCGGAAAATGACGTACCGTTAAAAAAACGGTTATACAGAGATGTATTAACAAATTCGTCAACCAGTGGAGTCATGTTGGATAACGTGTTTGATAAAAAATATGATGAGTTAGAACAACAAGCTATGGAACAGTATAGAATATCTGAAGAATGTTTAGCTCTTAGATATCAGGTAAGTTTGACTTTATTTTGAATTTAAGAATTATTTAGACCATAACCCTAGTCTTTTGTCTGTCAAAATTTTAAATATTTCCAACGTGTGTGAAATCTAGGAGTTGGAGCGTCAGGCACTGGAGCAATATAGAAAAGGTGATAATAGCGTTGGAAGTACTATCAGCAATCAAGAATTGGCATCATCGAAAATTATTCAGCATAGTCAGGTTCGAGAAGTATCCGAGGAGAAGGAATGCATTGGTGGCCATAAGTGTTCGGGATTCGGGCAATGCAGTCCCGTGAAAGAAACTTCAAGTAAAAAAGAAAAAGGTTACAGTCTAGAAAATGTCCGAACAGAGTATTATAGAACGTTTAATTTCTTTAATATTAATATTTGCGTAAGCTTTGCAATGAATTAGTAAAAAAAAAATCGAGATTGGTCGTTCAATGATGCAACTTTAAAGAAACATATATCCGCAAGGTACCCCCGTGCCTCGTCGAATAACGATTCTGAGACCAGAAAATAAGCCTGGAACTAGCAGTAGAGCTGAGAGGAGTATCATTGAAAAAAGTGCCAAACCAGCAGCAATCACCAAGAGTCTAACGAAATTGAACGAAAAACTTTGCGGAGATTCGAAAAACACAATTAAGGGTGCATCAGGCGATAAAATTGAGAAAACTGGTATATATAATTAAAAGATACTGGTATATTTCATTATAAAGAAGTAGGAAGTGCCTTTGATTTTCAATTAACTTTATTTGCAGTTCAAGCACTACCCAAAAGGCGTCTGATACTGATGTCACCCTTAAAGAAAGAATCAGGGCCCAGGCTGATGAAAATGGCGGACTTGAATGACACCTCCAGTCTTCGACCGATCGACAGACACGTTTCGAATGTTTATAGAAAGGCGGAAGCGATGAAAACCGGATGTGGAGATGAGAAGGTCACGTTGCTTCGATCATCTGGAGAGGAAGGTATCCGAAAACACTTTATTCTAGCCAACGAAGAATTAATGGATGGTTATCCGGAAAGTTTGGCCGTGCAATTTTTCGAGCAGGAAGATGGATTTTGCCTGACGACGGAACAGCACCAAGAAAGCATTCAGCGACTAGCAAGTTCTTTCCTCTCGACAATATCCCGACGTATCGCAAAGAATGACAGGCAGGACCAAAAGTTTCAGAGAGGTCGAGAGCAATTGGGAAATGAAAAAATGTATGCAATCTGTGTACTGTCGTCTAAATCATTTGTGAGGAAGTTGAGGTTAAAATTATTTTGGAATGAAAATTTTTGGAAAAATTGTCCAAAAAAACAGCCGTTAACACTTTTAACTCTATGTAATCATGTACCTGGTTGTGACGTTGTTATGTCCAAGAATTATATTCGTGGAATTTCGTATTTCTCAGCGAAAAAATTTCCATGAGAAAATGCAATAGCATTCTTGGTAAACAATTGATTGCTGGGTTCGATACTTCAGAATTTTCTTTCATGTTGAGTGTACTTATACACTATAGATATATCGTATAAATGGATCTTTGTAGAATGGAAGATTATACACGGTAGTCCGTTCGGTCGTTTATTATCGTGGGCTGTTCGGAATAGAGAAAAGGAGATCAAAATAATGATGGTAATTTAATATGGAGAAGAATTCGTAACGTGATTTCAACTACCATCCTACGGAAGATGGAAGTAAAATTGCAGAAATATGCGGCCACAGTAAAATTTCTGATGGAACAACAGTAATAGATTTTTTGTGTAATTTTTTTATTGACCAAGATCGTATTGAATTAATTAAATTGGCTTTTATAGCTTTTGTTCAATCTCAATTGACAAGCATTGTATCAGATTGTTGTTTATCAATACGTTTATTATTATCGTTGACTATTATATCGTTATCGTTATACCGTTAACTCTTTATGAAATATTTTGTTTGCAAAAAGTAATCATGCTACTGATATTACAAATAATGATTTTCATATATTGCGCTATGTAATTTCATTATTTGTGTATTAAATGTTTATCGAAATTTTCCAAAAAAAATTCCACCAACGAGTCGCGTAGCAACGAAATGTTCGATTGACATAATTATTTGATCATACAAATGATCTTTTCCGATTGCTGAGAATATTTGCGATAGGGTTGATATACAATATTTACATAGTGTTACAAACAAGTGTATACAATATAATTTATTGAAAAGTGTAAACTTGATTGACAGCTTTTTTTTACTGTCGCATTGAAAATATCTCTGAAAGAGAAAACAGTTTGCGTTTCTTATCGAAGATATCAATGTGTGCGATGCATCTTGAAAGGCCATTACGCAAAGTGCTTGTGTCGATGAATTCATGAAAAAATGATTAACTATGAACAGCGTTGCCGATTTTACGTTACGGAATTATGAAAATTTATAGTTTTGTAAAAAAAAAGATCAATTTATTTTCCGCTAAAATATTTTATTTGCGTCGCAACGTAACTTGCTGACGATTAATTGAATCGTGATAATAAATGACAATTGTAATAATAAAATTTTTAAAGAAAATATTAATTTTATATTTTTAAGATACGCATTAATTATACATATCGTTTTGTTCAATTCAGTTTTTATACGGCGCAATTAATGTGATTGTGATTTCATTTATGGATATGACACGTATACGTAGCAGGATAGTAATTCAATTACGCGTCTTATTACAATAAATGTAGGTAAGATGGCAATTAGCTGTGTTGAACGATACTACTTATTGAATTGAGAAAAATATTTTGTTTGATCTGATAGCAACGTAAATCATATATACGGAATACACAGAACAATGTAAAAAATATGATAATCAAATAACGACTGACATTAAAAAGTTAGAAAAAATAATCAGTATACTTTATTGGACTTAATATTAGTAAAGCCATTAATAATGATACATCATTATTTTTTTATTAAAAAACATGGGATTTCATCATTAAATATCCTTTTAAAGTTATCCACACTGTACAATATTTTCAGACGACTCTAACGTTTCGAGCAGTGGTGTTACATGAATTTATAAACATTTTGCAGCTAGATTCAAATTTCATATACCTTTGACTGAAAAGCAAAGAATATAGTGCACGCGTCAATAATATTTTTTTTCTCTAGTAACGGAAATTATTTCAAAATAACTTGTATACTCGTGAGAAAAGAACATAAAAAATTCGTGGTTGAGTTTATATTAGATCACCTTATACGTACGTTGATCTTTTTTCCAGACGTTGCTCATATAACCGAATCCAAAAGAAAAAAACAAGATCGACTCGACAGATCTTAATTTCACAAACGCTGTGAGTTGAGCTTCTTAGTAGTGACCTTCAGGGCATAATACATTATTTTTATAAAGATAATTTAACAGGGTTACAATATTATATTGAATGTAACGTGATACGGTCGAGCAGAGTAAAAAACATGCGTATATAATATTCCCTTAATATTTTCCTGCAGCTTCGCCGATACGAAGGTTTGAAAAACATACATATTTACGTTACGTAATTGCCACGCCCCACGTGGAACTGGTTTCAGAAGCCATGTTCCGGAGAATGTTCCAGCGCCATGGTTAACGCGTCAAATCGGGCTAAACATTTTCAACGGACTTACATGTACGAGCCTTCTATTGTGAAACACTGCATCGACCTGGCAACAGCGCCACCAGACGACCTCGATTGGAGCGATTAAAAGGCACAGCCGTTGCCTAGCAACTACTTGGGGCCAGTAAAGTGAGGTCAGCAAGAGATACCAACTACAAAAAATACATCTGGATATACATAAAAAGAAACAAAAATAAATTTATGAAAGATGCTCACAAACGTTTGATCATAAAAATGAGTACTAAAATTTTAAAACACCAATTAAATTTACATTCATAGGATATATTGTAATTTCTTTTATTAAAAATGCAATAAAAATTATTATCATGATAAAACCATTAATCTAATTTAGTACGATAAAAATTTCCTTACAAAATGTCGTCGTCGGATCTGTCATACGTAATCATATAAAAGCTTTCAGTCGAGTTTGCAACTGCATTGTTGTCGTACAATATTTACAATGGATACCAGAAGAGTAAATACTGCTTCCCATAAACCAAGTTCCTACCAGCGACGTACTTGTTCGTGAATGTATGCCGGGAGTTCTATAGAAATTGCAGTGTTGCCAAGCGGACGCTGCTATTTGAAGCGGGGCGTCGTATGTCTAAGCTCGTTGTGTATGTGAGTGAAATATAGGTATACTCGGCAGTTACAGTCTCTGCTAAACATGGAACTTACGACGCAGGAACTGGCTCTGCTACTGACGACGCAAGACAAGGATGTATTATAAGGGGTCGCGAGCAAGAAGGAAAAGAAGTAGGTTAGGTTATACTGAGTACCGGATGAGGTTGAAAGAAGTAAAGTCCAGGGTTGCCAGCTGCTCAAACGAAGCAGAATCTTCTGGGTAAACAAGACCGCTGACGGCAATTGTAAATTACTTCTAAGCAAAAGAGACATTTGCAACGACTCCTCAGCTCACCTTGGGGGCAACTACGTGAAGCCATAGCGAAATTTCCTTTTCACGTTATATTTAGGCTCTGTCTATTTAAAATTACATTTCACGCTTAATGTATAAATTGGATAAGAATTTTCACCAGTGATCATTCGGTTGTATCGTATTTTTTTTTCGTTTAGTATGTGTAAAAAATTAATCACAATAATTTTCGAAGATGGTTCTGGCCCCATAGAGATGGGATTCTGCCGAAATAAAAGGAATAGATATCGGCCATTTTAACTTCCCCTACAATCCTGCCAATTAGCACCAATGTCCGTGGGGGAACACCTCGCAGTTACCTCGCAAGCGTATTAGTTGAGCAGAAATAAATGAAAAAAGATAAACGTCAATCAATTGGGAAATCAACCACAACGATACGTCATCTATAGAGACATGCACCACGCTACCAATGAGCAAGCTCCAGGAATTAGTCATATCGTTGAAACTTGTTCGTATACAAAGTTCCTATAAAAGTTAAAGAGTGACGCGACCCTTTTTCTCTGTCATGTATACGTGGCAGCATTTAGTAGGCACAACTTGAACAAGAGTTGCCAAGCGATACCAGGAGTGAGACGAATTTAGAAAGTTGTGCGCAACTGGCAGTAAAACTGGAATTTGGAGAAAGAGAGGGGATGCTCGAGCAAAGGAGGGTTGGTGGGTCAATGTACGTCGTGGAACTTCTCCCGCTCGTTTCCCCGTTGCGACCGCCCAATCCACATCCTACGAGAGAACCAGCACCGGTCGAATCTACACAAAGAGGATTGGATCGCCGTCAGTACCAACGCCAGACCGTAAAATAATTTCCCGTACTAAATGGGTGGTGGGTGTGGTGGGGAACCAAATCGATAGTCAAGTATTCAATGGAAAATCCCCAGCTAGCTCAAAATTTCGTTAACCAATTGAACAATTGTAATTCGTTAACAACAAGACTCACCACTGTTAAAATCTAGCTGTCGTGGACATACTGTATAATATTAAAAACTGTTACGAAATTATAATTAAATCCTCCTTCATAAAACCGATCATTTTAACTATTTTATGAAAAGTTCACAATTGTTACTGCCGTAGACGTAATTGTATGTAATCTAAGAACAAATTATTCTTAAATTTTATTAGAAAATGTCGTTATCATGCAAGACAGAGTATAATAACAAATACTGATAGCACACAAATGCACTCTTTCGTTACATATTAAATATACAAATTGGAATTGCGGTATTTATTCAGCTATAATATTGCACCACATTACAATTATCCGCTAAAGCTAATAACACAGTACTGGATGCCATAGTAATAATAGTCATCTCAACTCTTATAAAGCATCCAATTATATTAAATCTATGACAACCTTTCTTTACGACGCAATTCTACTATGTATGAAAATGTACATGGAACGCTGTAACGTTTCAGGCATAGTTAAACTTAATATTAGCATATTCACCCAGCCTTGGTAGGGCTCTTAACGGCACCGGTATGTTGCAGTTAAGAGCGCAGTATAACGGCGCAACTGGGCGAGTCATTAATCCAAGGCCTCAGTGTACAGTGGTTGGAAAAGACCCAGCCGTTACGTGTTCAGTGTAGCTGGCAAGTATAGGAGTGACAAAGTATAAAAATTTTCCACCAGCCCAGGGGACAGTACTTTGAAAGAGGCGCCTGAATGTAGTGTCACGATCAATAGAGGCCAGATTCGGCTGGTTTCGACATGTTCCGTCAAGTTCCCCTGGTTTCCTCCGTCCACCACTACTGCTCTACTACTACCACCATACTATACCAGCCAGCCAACGAGCGAAGCAACTGCCGTCAGTCGACCAACCAGTAATCTTGCACCTCTCTCCCCCAAACCTTATTTTAGACATGGACACGTTATATGGCAGGAACTCATACTCTCATAGGCTTTTTTACAAAAGGAATACTAAAAGAATTACCTGTTAAAGGAAAGTTCCCCTGAAATTAAAAATGAAGGTGTTGAATGGAAATATTGATAAAGCTGATTATTTTGAACTCTGAAATTCTGGTAGTGCTAGTGGTCAGCGCATGCGCCAGCGCTAATGCGCCGCGCCGGATGAGTAGTAGTAGTAGTAGTAGTAGTAGTAGTGGTGTGTGAGAAGAGAGAGGCAAGATCCACTGCAACGGTCGAGGATAAAGTATACGCGACGGTATCGCGAGGAAATCGTATGGATAAGAGGAAAGTTAATTGTTCGGTCGTATTGCGTATTGATCTAAGTCCTTAAGAAATTGAGCGAATTCCTATTTTCACTAAAATAAAGGGGTAACCTTATTGATCATATTAGCACGTGTTGTTCTTAGTACTCCTTAGCAACCTCCACAGACGGTTAGTGTTGAGACAAGTCAGAAGAGAGAATTTAGTAGCTAACAATATAGATACATAGTTTCTCTCACAAGCTCAAGTGACGCAAATAAAAGAATAGTTGCTATCATGAAAATAGGGTATAAAATATACATGTGAGCATAAAACCGTAGAATAACTACTAGGGTAACCATCCCCTTGTACATTATTTGATACTTTCATGGAGAATATCGCACGAGAGTATCATCAATCTATAATGATAAGTTGGAGGGTAGGAAAAAACGATACGATAGCCAGAGCAGCCCATTCGCAAGGTATATAATTGTATGGAGTACTTTAATCAAGTAAAATTGGAGAGCCCCTGGAGTTTCTCAGAAAGCTCCTTCTCATAAAATATAATTTGAGATATGGAAGGAGGCGGTGCTGTCTTTGTGACAAAGGAACAGCAACTCACCGCATAATTCTCGTAAACATAAAGCCCATGTACCTCCTGACGCTTGGATGCTCTGGGTATTGGACAGCTGGCATTTACTGTGTTCGTATATAGGGAACCATGTACTATATTAAAAGAGGGGTCAAAGGCGGAAAACTCTAGTTGGTTTATGCACTACGCATGCGTTAAGTACATCCTTGTCAATTTCATCGGTGCCCTTCCTTTCTGGTATTGTAAATATTACATTAGGTTAGGTTCACTTAATTTCAATTCGAACCCCCTTTTGTACTTGTTGGGTACAGCGGAGGGCCTACACACACACTTATACCAACAGTCGTACATCATGACTATATAAATACGCCAAGTGTGTGCTAGGTTGGAACTAACCCAACCGTCCAACCAGCGATGAGGCATCTGGAAGGAGGGGCAAGATGTAAGCTCTTGGTACATACTCACTCATAATGTTAAACAGGGTCGACGCGCGCCGATCCGCGCGGCCTTAGAAAACAACGCAACTGAACACTCTGAACCGGCCACTGAAAGCGCCTGAACAGTTCGGTACAGCTCTGACGTTAATTTACCCGTTGTGTTGTTTTCATCACATCGACGCCATATTGTCTTTTCGATATAATTAATAAGTTGGAATTAGTACGCAGGCCTCGCACCTGCGGCGCCGATTCTATTTCACTGAACACCGTTACGAATGAGCCGCGTGCAGTAATCTGTCATAACATTGTCCGCCATTTTGAATCGGTCGGTGCAATCCGAATGCAGTACACCAGCTAATAACATTTGATTGAATTTTGAATACTTTTACCGAGTGTGCTGCGAGTTTGACTCAATTCAAAGTCAATACGGCGATCGGCGTGTTTTTGTGGGACACGAATGCAGCGACTATTGTGCAATTTGACGTTAGTTGGTAGACGTTGATGAACACGCGATTAATTAAATATTCCTTGGATTTGTGGCCATGAACATGATGTTTATAGAACATTACCGACAGTGTAGATGGGATTAGCCTTCTTTCAAATGTGATACTATTTATGAATTTTTCTCCACGACGATGCTTGTCTTCGATTTTTGAGTGCTACGCGAAACGGAATATTGAAAACATCTAATTACACTAAGATTGGTCAATTGAATTTTTATAAATATTCACACTCCTATGAAATCATTAAGTGTGAATGATTAATAATTGCATATGTTACATGTGACCGATCAACAAGCAAGATTGTCTAGTTAAAGTTATTGAACTTGTTTAATTTTTGTAAAACTCGTGTATGCTTTGTAGCATTATTGACAATGCTTGTAAGTATTCATATACTGAATGTTTTTTTGATTATAGAAAATAAAACAAACGTATTGGAAATTTCAGTGCACTTATTACTGTACAAAAGGAATTTACTGACGAAATACAATTACGATGCAGTATAACAATCATTTAAATATTGGATTTTTTGTGTATTTCAGATTGGAAATGAACAGCCCATTGGAGCATGATTTTGTTGAATTAAAGTTTCCTTCAACAGGAAAATCTCACAAGAAATCATCTAAAGCTGTCCTAAAGGATTTCGGTATGTTGCATAAATCTTGTTAACAATGTCGCTTCTATGAAGCTCAATAGTATTGTATATTTTCAGTTGATATATTTATTAACTGTTTGTATATAATTAAAAATTTAATTTATATTTAAGTCAGTTAATATTGTTTATTAATGATCAATCTCTTAATGAATTAAAAACATATATAAATTTTATACAAATCTCCTTGATATTTCACAAGCTTATTATAGCATAACACAAACATTATACCAATGCATGGAGAAATACAAATTTAGCAGTTATAGGAAACTTAATATGATTGTAATAGTTCTGTGAAATCGTCTTGTTTGACAGTAAAACTAATTTTCACCATTAACATAAATCAATAATATCACTGTATATCACAAACAAAAGTTCAACTTCTATAATCAACAACTTGATGTTCCATTTTGATCACTCCATAAAAGTATTTTCGAATGTTGTCACATTTTCTGTAGAATCAGGACCAAATTCAATGTCATAAAGTATTTGCTGAATTTTAAGCTTGGCTTCAGCTCTTTGCCTCGAGGTAAATCTTCGCAATGTTTCTGCGACTGACATACAAAAATAATGCTCTTCATCAGCCACATACGATTGTGAATTTAGACAATGGTCTACTTTCTGCAAATGGCTTCTATCATCTTCAGATACATGACAAAAATCAGCTGCTTCTTCTGATGATTGCTCCTGAATTGTAAAAAAGAAATTTCACACCTGATTGTCAGAACTATTTGTTAAACTTACCTGATAAGACAGCAACTGATTATTCTGCTTTTTCATTTTTAAGTCATCCTGATCATCATTCTTATTTTGATCGGAATGACTCCGATCATTTCCATTCTCACAATCCAAAGCAACTACCCATTCGCTTGTAACATTCAGATCTCTTTTTGTCTCAGTAGCAGAGTAAGGTCCCGGTTCCCTTTTTATGCTATTTGTTGTAAATCTTCTTCTGTGAACTATATAGTCCCATATGAATGACATATGATCAAGTAGTGGCCAGGGGCCAGCCACAGGTCCTGCACGGGATTTTTGATCGGATTCGCATCCTGATGATATTAACTTTTTTTCCCTCACAAATCTGTCTCGTAAGCTTCTCCATCTATTTTTTGCTTCTACAGCTGTAAAAAATAAAATCTAAGTTTTCTAAGTTTTCAAAACCATCAATCTACCATATTATCATCAAATTTTTTCAAGAATTAAATAGTGTTCTGCCATTTACAATTACCTTAAAACTATTTTAAATTCTACCAAGCAAAGAAGAAGAAGAAATATATTACAACCTCTTCTGCGATAGGTTATGTTATGTTATTGTGTACACGCAATATCACTGTAACACATTGCATATCAATTGCAGCACCAGATATGCCTCGTGACTTACGTTTTACGTTGAGTTTTCCCGCGATGTTTATCCACGCTTTATCTTTTATCGCATGGTATCCACGAAATTTATTATCATAAAGCAATGGATATTTTTTCACCTCCTCGATCAGCTGTATGTCATCAATCAGTGACATATCGCGCACGCCGTGCCGTGGCCCGTCTTCGCGTTACGTTTTTCGCAAGTCGGAGGATCACGTTGCAGTTTCACTGCAGTCGCTCTTGCGTCTTACGTAAAGTCAATTATGGCGGGAGAATCGTACCGTCGCCATTCGCATCCAATCTCCTTTTAGTCCTTTAGTCGATATCGACTGGATACCACGATTAGTAATGCTTCGGTAACGCAAAAGTGTCTTTACTGTCTTCTTCTGTAATAAACGTATACGCATTGTAACTGTAAACATTAGCGAATAACAGAGCTGCAAACAAGCAATGGCGTCAATGCGGAGCTTTTCCATTCGTCGTTGCTTACAGTTTCGTGGCGTATGCGTCCAATGCGTCCGCTATCTAGACGGCGTCTATTCGCACTGGATAATAAAAGCAATTGGACTTACTAAGTTTCTTCTCGTTGCCTAAACTTTTTCCACTTTTCAAAAAATGCTAATTTCTTATTGGATAATATTTTGTAAGTAACCAATGAGAATTTGCACTTTTTGAAAAGTGCAGAAAGTGTAGGTAACGAGAACAAACCTATTCTTCTTCCTTCCGTTCTTGATGGCTGCCTCCTGTAAGGAAATGTGCTAGATTTATCACTTATGTATGAAGTGTCCGTACAATTGAAAAGAATATTCTACCAGAGAACATTGCATACTATAAAATGTGAGGTTTAGAAAAAAAAATGGAGTGCTTGTTCAGACGTGATTACGTAAGGGAGCTTTTAGCACATAATACATTGTGTCGGTGACAAACTTTTAAAGATCCTTGACTTGACTTATCGTGCTTCTTTGTAAAACGTTATGTATAATTGCAACTGTTTATGGCAAAAGTTTTTTTTTTATATTGTGGTTCCCGCCATAATTATTAGTTGATAAAAGCTTTGTGCGCTACCTGCATTGCGCACGCAGTGAAGTATACTTCAGTCTGGTAACGTTAGTGCAGCAGGTGGGCGGGCAAGATAAGATAGTACATAAACAATCATATTGTGACCAGGATTCACATTTACGAATGATAGTCATAAGAATGTAGAGTATGAGTACTTTATAAGTATGGTATAAAAATATGGTAAAGAAATTGAATAAATATATGTATAAAATATCAATGAATATCAGCCTCTGTTGGTGAATGTTACGTCAAGGCGCTATTTTTAAACTAAGAGAAATGTGAGTTCGTAAAGGTTAATAAAGTTGTTAATGTAATATCAATTAATTTTTTGTAGATGCACAAAACTGTCGGAGTACGGCAATAGACGATCCACCAGTAGCGTTTTGTGAGATTTGTGGTCAACAATTCTCAACCAAAAAAGATCTACGGTCACATATCCTTGCTCACTTAGGACAACCTCGAGTGGTCCTCAAAAGAATTTCCAACCTGAAACCCACAAAGAAAAAACATAACGATACGTATCGCTTGGATCCAGAAAAAAAGGGTTCTTTGAAATTGACTTTGAAGAAACAGAGCAGTACCGATTCTTTAAAGCTCACTTTGAAAAAATCATCTAAATCAAAGGACTTCACTGTTGTTAATTCAAATTTTGATTTCAATACAAATATTTATTGTAAGCAAGAACTGGCAGGTACAAGGAAGAATGAACAGACTAATGTTAAGGAAACAAAGGAAGGAATCGAAGAGACATTCGAGAATGTGATAGAGAGTCATGAGGTATTAATTGTATTTATAAATATTCTAACCATACATTAGTATGTATTAGAGTGTAGATGAAATATTAAGTTTCTACGTGTTACGTCGATAGGAAAATGAAGAAAATACAGATTTTAAAACGAACGAGCCTCATGAGTCTTTGGACGAACATGAAAGACCTTCAATGGATACTAACGAGGGTGACTCTGGTGTAGGGAGTGATACTGTAAATCCTCAAGAACGAGAGGATCAAAATGTGGATGAATTATCAGCTTTGGATTATTTCGACAATACAGAAAAAAGACTGACTGATAATGAAGATCTAGAAGAATCATCTGATGCTATAGAAGCAACTTGTAGAGAAACTATTGAAAATTTAAAAAAACTTGGAGAACAATCCAAGTAAGCACTTATTCTATTAGTACAGTAATATATCCTTAAACAAAAATCTTATATATAAATCTTACAATAATTCTATATAATTATTCATATATGTATTTTAGTTCCAGAACGTCTAGCCCAACATCAAACGAAACATCAGTTGAAAAAGAACAAGAAGTGGAGGAGGATATTGATAATCCATCAAACATGGTCCAACAGTTTGAAAACAATTCAGCCATTAACATAGTTTCAAAATCGCCAGTAATTCCCATGCAATCGCCAAACCATACTTCACCTTCTGATATGGAAAAGCAGACATCAGTTTTACCGGACGCCAAATCCAGTTTTAATAACAATCAGCTGCCCAGTGATCTGTCGTGTAAGGATAATGAAAATAACAACAAAGGAAGTGATCAAACAGTCATAAATGTAGCCGATAGCAATGCTGACTCTACCGGATCGATTTTACAAAATTTCCTTATTGAGCATCAGAGAAGAAGTGAGAATGAAGCATCGTTAAGCGATAGTCCACCACCAGATGAAACTGAATACGTTTCTTTAGAGAAACTGGCAGAGACAACATGTCGTGTTTGCAATGAAAAGTTTAAGGATATTGCACAATTGGATGAGCACAAAGCCAAAGCGAGTCACTATCAATGCAATATACCGGATTGCATAAATTTAGTGTTCAGTTCATCTCTGGAAGTTGCTCTGCACAAAGCTCAAGTTCATGGAGCGCCATTATCACCTAATATCAGTCAACTGTCACCACATTTAAATTCGAACTCGCCTCATTTAAATACAAATTCACCCCATGCTGTCTCGATGGAGTCCACACACGTTTCTAGCACATCACAGCACAGCAGAAACTCTCCATTGACATCATCCCATCAGACCAGTTCCCCGACGTATGCTACTGTACCAAACACCACGCAACAGATGCTGCCACCAGTAAATTTTGAACAGCTTCCGGCTCCTGTGCAACAATTGGCTCAGCAAGTGCAGCGAATGCCATTGCCGCAACCTCAGTTACCGCCAAGTCTTCCTCCTGGAGTAAATACAATGATTCCTGGGGCAAATTACTTTGCGCAACCCGCAGGAAGGCCACCAATGTACAGGGTTACTGTACCACAAGGGATGCACTATCCTACACAACTAGCTCATCTGTATTCACAATATGGTGCAGCACCATATCCACAAATGGCAGCACCACCGCAGTTACATCCACCAATGCCTCGAAACAGATATTCTTCAGTCATGCAGGGTACAAGGTTTGTGCGCTGTTAATAATTTGAGACTGAATCTTTAACTTAATTTTAGTAACTACTGACATTGACGACTTAAACCTTTCATCTGTGTATAAATATTATCTCAGTCGCACATTTAGAAAATGTTTGTATACATTCTTTTTGTTTAACTACTTCAGTGATTGTTATTTGTTACTGCTTGAATCGACCATACCTTGGCAGCGTCAAATTGTTATATTGATACTTGATAAAGCAAGTAAACTTATCAAAAGCTTAAGAAATGATGCTGCCCCATGCGTCTCTCATTGCTTATTCTGGTGCAAATATAGAAATGGTCAATATATAATTTGATTAATAAAATAATTATCTGTTTGTTTAGAGCACCCAGGATGTCACAACCAGGTGCGGGTCCACGGCAGCAACGCATGAAAAGGCCAATTCATCAGACGTTGTCACCACAAACACAAAACAATCTCTCCGCCATGAAACAAAGGCGACTCGACGTTTTGTTACCTGACAGAAATGAAGATGCTGACTGTCACGTGATAGCTCAACAGAAGAGAAACGACGGGCTACCCGTGATACAAAATGTGCAAGGAGCAGCAACACAACAACCATCAAACAGAGCCGACTCTACGATACATCTGACGGACTCTATTACTCTCAGTGTACGACAACCTGGTAAGATTATCTGCACAACTTCTTGGCGGAATTTGCTAGCACGCATCTACGCTACTTTTCGTTCATGTTCCTCTGCTGTCGTTTTCTTTTAACGTAACGGAAGGGACGCATCTCCATCCAAAAAAATATTTTTACTAAACTAAAGGTTCCGCCTCAGCGCAATCACAGAATTCCTCCGCTGCTGGTGCAAAGAAACCAAACGCGGAAGCTGTAGCGAATGTATTGGCTGCGCGCGGTATTACGGTTACACCTGCTGCGAATAAGAACAAAGTGAGCGAACAGAACAAACAGCAACAACCGCAGCAACAGCAGCAGCAGCAACAACAGCAGCAACAACAACGGACGCCACCAGTACAGTCTGCCGTAAATGTTACGGCGATAAATTTGAACTCTGCCATTTCGATCATACCTGCAAGTTCGCAAAGAAAGGAACAGCAGCAGCAGCAACAACAACAGCAGCAGCACCAGCAACAACAACAACAACAGGCTCAATTTGCGGTACCGCAAAATAGACAGAGTAAGCAGTCAGCTAGCGACGTTGAACGACCGCCAAGACCTCCTACGGTGGATCTGACTCAGGATGGTCCACCTCCACTGGTAGCAACTAAGCGAGGGCGACCTTCCTTGTTAGCATTTTTCATCTTTTATTACAATGAGTTTTCCAAATTTTCCTTCTTTATTGAATTGTTCCAATTATTTTATAGAAATGTATTGACTTGTCCAATCTGTGAGAAGAGCTTCCAGAATCAAGGGATGCTGACTCTACATATGGGCACGCATCGAACATCGAACAAATTGAATCACAAGTAAGTAGATTTTACTAAATTTTTTCATTTCATCGATATAATAATGTTGAATTAACAAATATGTCATAACTGACCATAAAATTAACATGTATCCAACTTAAAGAATAATTTTTTTGAAGGTGTAATTTGTGCCCCGCACAATATCCTAGTGCGCAGGCCTTGATCGCGCACAAGCAAACCTATCACAAGGAAGTTGACGCTACATTACAGAGTGGTGGCACAGAATTAGCACTACCTGTCGTAGATTTAAAATCACCACAAATACTAAACCGACTATCAAATCTCGGTATACAGAGTTACATACCGTTATCACAACTTAGTGCCCAAACAGGTGGTTATTACGGTTTACCGATAGTAACAATCGACGGTGCACGAAATCCTAATATCTGTAACTTAGGGGCCCTCGGTGCTACATCGATACTGAGCTTAGGTCCCCTTAAACACCTCTCAAATAGATAACCATGAATTATGTAAACTCGTATCGTGCAAATTTACTGTTCACGCTTTGATTTTAAAAGAAAGCTTATATTTTCGTGGGAACGTTTGCCATTCCTAATTGATTTTCGATAAAACGGAAGATCTGAGAATCTAATTCGTTATGGATAAATATAGTACCTTTGATGAGCACTAAAAACAACTGTTGATTCGTTAGAAAAATAATTCATCAGATATCAAAATTATTAATATCATATTTTAAAAGTATGAGCCCTTCGATACATTTAAGTAGGTGATAATCGTATATTTGTTATTTCACCGATAACAGGTCAATTCCTTTTTTTTTTTTCTTTTCTTTGAACGTGATTTAAGCGGCGGTTAAGTGACATAATTTTGCTGTGACTATCGCTTTTCTAAAACCCGTCTGTTTGCGGAATTCGGACTTAACAGATATAACTATGAATACATAACTTGTGAATATAATTATAAATTCATTGTGTAATCTATCATCCGAAAAGCTGCGATACTGAAGTCGATTTTACCAAATGTGAAGGTCGTCTCAGTTAATATTTTTTAAATTCATATACGAAGTAAAAGGCTAAGTAATATATGATATTAAGTCGTTGCAAAGTATCATTATGAAAATCATATTCTGTACGTTCTTATTGTTATACGTATAGATCATTTCACAATGTATTATAACTGATGAACGATAATACAATCGTACTTATAAATGCACCGTGTACGATATCAAGCGACAGATGTTCCTCAGAAGTGTGTATTCTTTCTCCAAGTGTGTATATACATTTTTCTTATGACATTATTTAAGATAGAGAAATTATATTTTGGTTTTCCTTCTAGCACGAAGATGAGAATTAGTATTTTGTTCCTTACGTTTCTTATTTACCTTAGAAAATTTTAAGTGATATACATATTTATCTTTGGTAAACGAGCAGAATCATTATTCTAGACTCAATCCAAAAAGTGATGACTATCAGTAGCCTATAATTTGCATTCACACGTACCTCCTTTTTTTTAAGTTAACAGATCTGTCAACTTTTATATAAAAACTGCTGTGTAACAAAATTCTTCATAAGATTCTCTTGCCCATTTTTCAAAATATTTATTTCACACTCGTTCGCACTATTTTCTCTCGCTATCGTTTTATATTATTTTTTCTCACTTTTCGTTATCATGAATATGCTAGAAAAACTCAGCAACTTTAAGTTTACTATCCAAATTTATTCTACAAACAAGCCAGAGTTGACTTTACGAGCTGTCAATTTTTTATATTATCATTACGTATTGCTTCAGTGAAAGCATGAAATGCAAAGAAAGAATTAACTTATTCGAACAACATTTTTCTTCATTATGATAACATTCACAGTATTTTAATTCAATATCTCTTGTTTTCATATAAATAATACAACAATTTCTTGCAAGATCAAAAACATTATACACCCGTTATAATACACGTTGAAATATTAAAAAAAGAAACGAATCTTTGAATAGGCTTGATGGCAGGTATCATAGTTATTAGGAGAATTGTGTGTATATCCGTCTTTCACTTAAGTAATACCAGGTATACAATTAGAAAGAATTGCATTAGTTTTGTCTAAAAGAACATTGGCGTATTCGCGGCTCTGTCATGAAAACTTAAGGAGTCTCTGTTACGCCAAAAATATTAGTGCAATTATTGGTTACTTAATAAGGTTCGAAGGTATAACGGATGCCTCGTTGATACGATTCATCCATAGAAATATAACATTGTACATATACGTGCATATTACGAAGCGTATTCTTATTTTTATAAAACGTTGAACTCTGATCTTTTTATTTTAAATGTGTAAGAGATTAATGGAAGGAAAATAAAAGAAAATCCATTTGTTTAATAGATCAACATTATTTCTGTACATACCTGCTCGTTCCTGGTATAACCTTAGTTTCCTGTGGATGCTGATTAATTTTTAGAAGAATCTCGATGACCTTTTACAAATGAATTTTTGAATGAATACTTTTCGCTTGTGTATATTTCGGGTATAACGTCAATCGGTATAAGTGAATCTCCAACTTTACAATCTGCAATCTCATAAATGATCTTAAAATATAAAAATGAAAAAACGGTACCACGGTATACAGGTGAGATTTAATATTACTTTTAGAGTTAAACATATTTTGTTCTACCTGACTAGATTATAAAAAAAAAAGCAATTGATGAAAATTCACGAGTTTAACAATGGTAAATATTATGCATCATAAATAGTGTGTAGAAATATCTAAGTAAATTTTTGTGTCCACCAACGGAGTGAAGGGAGACCTAATAACTATCTCGTTCAAAATTCAACTGCATGTTTCTTTTTTTTAACAGTTCCCTCGATCGATCGCTTATTTACAGAAATACCTGAACCACGAGATGTGAAAAATAAAGCTTAAGGAGTCTGGTCGTGAGATTGAGCAAACTTTAATGATTTCAAAATTGACAACTTTTCGCGCATACGTAACAATCACTCTGCGTTCAATTTGTCCATGAAATTTGTCTATTCTCTATTTTATACGACCTCGCAACTTCTTGCATACGTTATTGGCATTTTTGTGCGCGTAAAAATTAAGAAGAAAGTTTTAATATCACGTTTAGGACAGCACAAGGATCCAGGCCAAATTTACTTACAGACACGTGTTCTACACTCAGGGCATTCTTTAAATAAGCGAGCGAAGTCATAAATATAAAACATCGTTAACGCATCATTAAATTTCATAGCGTAATAATTTTGATTTCTTGGATACAATGAAAATTTAAAATATTCGCAATCACGACTGATCGCTCTACCGAGGCGAGCGTCGTTTCCATTTAAGACGTCTGAAGGTGCTTGCGCAAAATATATGAAATAAAAATTCTCCATTTTCAAAATACATTACGATCTGCCTAACAAATATTTGGTCAACGTACGCTAAATGCAGATTTTCTTTTAAATGCAATTTCTCGTAATACAATATATATATATTTATCTCATCTCGTTAAACTACGTAATCTGAGAAATACTGGCTACAAAACTACACGTACCAGAAACTCTAAATATATGTATAAACACGGTTATTCAGGGACTATCGCATCACCTGAAGATGGTTCTGTCGATCTGAATTTTATGAATTACTATGGTAGAACAATCTTCAGGTGGTCCGACAGTCCTGAGTAACCGTGTATATCCTGCGTCCTGTGTATCCTTGAAAAAAATGTAACAGTATATTGTATCGATTGTTCCTTATCAGTGAGAAAAGTACAATAATTGTCGCTGATCGAATAAATACTTCCGAGTATCCTGTCCTACAGTCGTGGTAAAACGGTATCGTCAAAATTGTATGTAGTACGTTCTTTACATGAAATAACAAAGAGGCGTATCCGACGACGTACAATTTTTAGGCACGACCGCGCAGAACATGAAAGTAGCGTTTCACATAATTCTTGAATCCTAAAGAAACAAGTACGAAATACACGATTTAATATTCCGTTGGCAATTAAAATTGCGGCTTCATAATAATTCTCGCGGAACTCGTGATTGCGAAAAACGATCAATATGAATTTTGGCCAACGTGTTTTCGACCTTCAAAACTACGTTTTACATTTACGTAACGAACTTTCGCGGCAGGCATATTATTGCACAACAGTAGTCAAAAACCTTTTCGAGCTTCAACAAAGTACATAACCGCCCTCCGTTTTTCATTAGCTGCAGGGAGAAGGGGCTTTGAAAATCTAGCATTTCTCAATCACTAAAGGAGATTCTACGAAAGAAACCAATTAACTCGTGTATAACAGTCGACTGAAACTTGTATTGTTTCGCAGCAACATATATCTGTCGTTGGTCAGTCCGTGTAGTGGTCGTCGCACCAGGATGCAATAAAACATGCCCACTGCACATTGCACATTAGTACCTACCGTATAACGTAATAACACTAATATATTGGTAATGTTAACCTCATGCATCGATCACTGCGCATATCGATATAGTAACGAACGTCAGCTGCAGCGCCACGTCGGCAATATTGCGAACTGCACTTGTCATAAGTTAACAGATGTTCAATTCTTTCGCAAGTACATTATGTATTTATAAGTACAGCACGATAGATAATTTTTTTCAATAACCGAAGAGTTGAATTGAGACGTGCTCTACTTAATTAATCGTGTTATTAAGGTGCCCACGACGCAACCACTTTGATGCGTCAAATTAATTCTTTAATGAAATTCCATTTGGTGAGGTTCTATGAAAAAGTCTGATTCGAGAGTGACAAGTGAAAATAAGACTCTGAGGATTGTCCTTACTTTTACAGTAGTCCCTGATTCGTTTACCATTCAATTAACAGAGTGAGCATTGACTATTGATACTGCAAATAATTTAATAAATTCTTTGTGCAAGTGTTTAAAGTGCATGCAATTCCAGATTGCCAAACGGCGTGGTTGAATTTATTCATTGATTTATAACCTTTTCATTGATAATGATTGATCGGGTAGGTTTTAGATTACCTCTTCTTTTTTTGTTTCTGAACACAGCCACGTCAATTCCCATTTTGACAAAATTCCCGAGACGTAATCCAAGTCAACTCTTTAATTATCGTTGGACTTTGATCTACGTATATACGCTAATCGGGTGTTTCTATACTTTTAATTATACGAAGATATTGAACGTTAATATTAATTGAGTGATTTTTCACGTTTGTGGCTCAAAAGGACCAGCAAGCGAAGGCATCGTTTCTTTCATTAATTCTTTCTTTTCTTTGTCACGTGTTTCTTTTTCTCGTCTCTTGACTCCCTCTGCTACATTTTTCCTCGAAATTTTCATCATAAACAATCTGACAAAATTAACAAGAACATACATAGCATACGAGTATTTCTCTGTGGTTTTAAAAGTGGGACAACGTGAACGCGATAATAATTTTTCAATTTATATATAATATCCCACTTCGTACTTCCCTCCATATAATAATACCTCAATTATAATTTAACGGATTATTTCCCTGTATCACTTTAGAAAAACACTCGTATAACGTTATAGATGAGCTGTTCCCGGTAATAATAATCGTAATAATAATAACAAATATATTCAATAAAAAGATATAAAGCAACGCGTAATCACGAATCTAAGTGACTAAAAACCGCTATATTAATAGGTTCAGTATTATTTGCATAGAATCTGTGCCCTGATAATATTATACATACTAAGTTACTAAGAGCAAAACATTTAAAAGGACGAGACAAAAAAGATAAATCACGAGTTCGATAACAACGAAAACGTAACACGATTGCGACTCCAGCATGAACAACCTTAACAAAGAATTTAATGAATAGCAAAAAGTAGATGGCACAGATGTTTTCCGAGACACGATCACATCTCGAAGAAGCATTCTATTAATAATCGCATTAACGTTAAAAAAAGAAATTAAAAGAAAAGAACCAGTAAAGCTCACGTATCAACGTACAGCCGCGACTCCATAAGAAGTTTACAGTAACCGGGCAAACACTATGGGTAATGAAGTTAACGTTTTAATTAAAAATTCTTCAGGTATAATGCGACAACGAAAAGATGAAAGGAACGATAAAAAATGTTCGAAACAAAATTTTACGAAGTTGAATCGAATAGGCGATGATTAAAGAATTAAAAAAAAAAAGAATCAAATGACTGTATTAGTCATAACGCATCGAACGGGTACGCTTAACTGAAACCAAATTGTACTTTGCGACATTGACAAAGCCATTTGATTATTCTGGCATTTCTCTCGACGATACTCGGCGGATCACTTACCCTCTGATTGCAATCGTCGTTGCCCATTCCGACGCTACAGTTGTTGTTCTGCCACTGGTTCGTTTGATTCGTCTGAGAGTTTCCGACCCAGGAGTAGAGACCAAGGGCTGAGTCTACCGAGCTAACACTATCGAAGAAGACAGGAGAGGAGGATTTCGAATCGGGTTCGGTAATGCGTTGATAATTATCCGAATCGAGGCCCAAGCGATCGAAGAAGTTTTCGAGTTGGGTGACCGAACGCGGAGGTCGCACTGGTAACTTGTTATTTCGCAGATTGTCATGGCGCCAATAGCGATCGCTAATATCCGATTTTGATCTTAAAATTGGTCGACCCCGTCCCTCCTTCCAACCGTCAGAGAACCTTGAGTTACACGTAGGACTGTAATCCGTTTGACTGTTACTGCTCTCTGTATCAGGACTGTATGGTCTCACTACAGATGGCGGTGTGCCGCTGCCATAGCTGCTCTTCCTAGACCTGTCTTTCTCCGTAGAATGTTGAGTGGACGCCCCACTGTCTCTACGATTGTGACTCCAACAATCCTGAAAGCAACAAAAGGAATTCACGGTCAAGAAACTCGTTTCTAGGAAAATTTTAGAGAGGCTGACAAATGATTATACGCACTTGTATCCTTGGGGGCGGTTCACTACGATGCGTGCAGTGTCCGGATGAGCCACCGGAATCCCTAGCTGTTGCCCCGTGACTCAGTTTACTGGATCCCGACGATTTTTGAGTTCTGCCACCAGAAGATAAGACGCTGCTGGCATCACCGCCACCCGAGCCTAAGGATCTTCTTATGTGTCTAGAACTGTAACCCAGGACGCGAATGAATTTTTACAAGCATCACTTTGAATTTAGAATCGTCTGAGCATTCACAAGTGAATCGTCCTCAATTACGGCCACGGACAAAATCAATGATAATGTTAGCACGTAGTTGGAATTGGTACATCCGGTTCCTCAATTCCAATAGGAATTTCCTAGGTAATAATTTACGTGAAAGCATAAAGACCGAAAAATATCTACCTTCGATAACATATGGAATCTCGTTTGAAACTGTGCTCGGAATAGTCAGAGCTCGTTTCGCAATCCGGACAATTATTCATCGATTGATGATGACCAGACGTCGGCTGTTTCGACGATGACTTTGATGACGCACGTGGTGACAACGATGACCTACGTCGAGTGCTCGTGTGAAGATCTGGCAGGGACTTGTGACATACAGTTTCGGCTGGTGATGAGTTGCTGGATTTTTTGCCTGATCTTCCAGACGAATGAGAATGCGAATGACTTCTCCCAAATTTGAAGCGGATATCCGAAGGCGCGCAGTGCTACGAAAATTTAACACATCACAAAATTAGATGCGAACGATTCGAACGTATAAAAGTGTCTCCGGTACGATGTACGGGAACGAGTTTGGACTTTATGTATGACATTAATTAAGTTAACCGTAAAACGTTTGCGTAGTAAAAACAAAAAAAAATTCTTCTCAAAAGAGATCTATCAGTGTAACTTTACCTCCAGTGATACTCATTCCAGCAACTAGGCGATAGCTTGCACCATGGTATCATAGAGTTCTATGTCCGCTTCATCAAGTATTCTAAATGCGTGTCTGTGATAATGTATGACAGTATTGTCAACGCTCAAGCGTATATCAAAGTATCGGAACATATAAGTACTATTTCCGGTACCCCTATATCCGGTGAACACTTTAAATCAGACACCTTCGCCATACGTACAACCATGGACAATAGTCTCCTGTACGTACCGGATGTATAATTTTAAAATAATTGAACTTCCAAAAAAAGACTTTGTATCCATAAAATATAACCCATCTAAAGACTATCCAATTCTAGCAATGCTTTGAACTGAACCAAACAGTCCTTCCGGCGATGCTCACCAGTGTATGGTTATTGTCTCTACAGCCAGGAGAGAGACTTCCGGGTGAGTATCTGAACTTGTCCTCTCTTCCAACCCCGTTATTCTGAGCCGTCGGCGGTGGAGTATCCGGGAAAAAAACATTTTCCTTGCTGTCAGTATTCAAAAGCCTCCTAAGTTTCGTTTGCAACTGATCACTCCCAGTTCCGCTCGGTGGTCCGGAAATGGTGCGTCGTTGTGGAACCGGAACAAGTCGCGGACTCTTCGGAGGTAGGGCCGGTGGCAGTGCTCGTTGAGGACTCAGGATACCGTCGGCTGAGAGGATAAGATAAACACATCAGACCACCAATATGACAGACTGTCCAATGTAAATCTCTATCACCCTATTTGCTAGTCATCCCGATAAGACAACTTGATGTGTGTATTTATCAAAACAGTTATGCTCACGTCTGTCCTGCTCGTGACAGTTTGCCCAGCAACAGGGTGACGTTATCGGGGTTGTCAGTTGCGGTGATATCTGCTGCAACGAGCATGGTCCGGAACTACCACACTTCCTGAGTAGTCTTGGCGGTGCCCCGGGTGCAGTAAGCTGAGAAACCTGAAGATGCCCACTATTCTTAAGCTCCTGCTTCCGATCCAGAACGGTCTCGCTCTTCACGTAAAAGGCCTTTGACTCCTGTAGCAGCTCCACTGCACTCTTTCTCTTTCCTGAACACGCGCAAGAGCACAAGAGGTTAAGCGATACTTAAGTATCAAGTACGTGGCAAACAGTGAACTTCCGTTAAAGCAGCCGTAGCAGTCTCTTGAGCGTGTGCGATGGCGTCGAAGCACGTGCGCTCCAGAGATTATAAGGTAGAAATAATCTCGGTAATAACTATACATGACTGCGATGCCAATAAGAAAGTAGAGGAACATGTCAAAGAAGACACGTATCCCATTACCGTATGCGACACAAAGTATACAGATTACCTTTATAACAATATCACTCGGATTGATCCTAACTTGAAAGTAGAAAGAAAGCTGCGTAACACGTACGGGAGACACGAGTGTCCAGTTACCAAGTACAAGCCAGTGCCAAAAGGAACAGGAGGAAGAAGACGAAGTACAAGCTAACTAGCATTGTTAAGGGCCTGTCTTCGAGCATATAAAGAGGGCCTGTGCAACGCGGTAACACACGCCGTGTCTACTGTGTACATCTAGCGTCGTATCGTGGAACTAAGAAGGCGAGTGCTAGTAGATACTGAAACGCGTAGGGAATAGTGAAAACGCTGGCTGTATATGTATGTAGTTCTTCTGCGTTCATTAATACAGCTGTTAAAATAGAGTGCAGCGACATTGCTATATAAACAGAAGTTCAGGTTCCTACGATACCCACGTATTACTGCTGCCTTTCTGACTGAGAACTTCGTAGAATCGCATAGGGCGACAACGCATTGTTTATGTATGCGGAGTCCGATCCAGTGTAAACGAATGCACGTACGTAAAACGAGGGGATATGCGTGAACAGCGCAAGGATATAATGTTTCGTGGGTGTGTATCTGTGTTGCAGTGTTAATGACAAGACGATAACATCTGGCATGTGCTTTTCTCTCTATCTCTCTCACTCGTACGAACGAAAATGATTGATGGCTATGGCCAGTCTCTCCCGAGTGGCAGGGCGTTTCTTTGATAAAAAAGGTTCAAACACGGTACAGAGCAAACATGGATTTTAAAAAAGAAGGGGAACGAGTGAGAAAGCTAATGGAATGGTCGGTAATATTTTGCTGCGAATTTTTGTCGACTATGTTTTTCCATACTAGAGAGAGAAAATTCGCGTTATGAAATGTTTAAGAATTAACGAATATTCGAGTATCCAGTGCTTGACGACTCGTTAAAACGTGATCTTTATAAGCGTCTTAATTGACCCAAAAGTCGTGTCGGGTTAGAAAAGGTGGGCTCGAGGATTCGAATAAATCATACTCCTGGCGTTATGTCAGACAGCTATGGGTACCTGTTTGATCGACGTGGTGTCGATGATGGTTCCTGACGTAGGGCGGTGCAGGGTGTCGCGCCTGCATGTCCCAGTAACCCCGGTTGCCAAAATTGTTGACCCTTGGCTGTTGTGAAGGTGAAGTCTGCTTACAGGGAAGCCTTGCCATGGCAGTCATCATTTTTTCCTCCCCCCGTTGCTCGTTAATGTCCTTAAATAATTACTTCATCGATCCGCCCCATAATTTGTTGCGTCGACGCCTCAGCCCCATTTCCGTGCTATTGTTTGTTCCCTGAAAGTAACAATGAAACGTGGAGAGATAAAAAAAGAGGCAGGAAGGATACAAGGAGAAGAGTTTTCTCTTAACCATAACGGGAAATGCGATTGCACGGTAGACAACCTCGTTAGAATGCCGCGGGCGAAAGTTAGCGAGTTTTTAATATTTATTAGGGCGAACCCTTGCTCTTCATTCCACGTCCTGAAAAACCGTTGAGGTGCGTCGTGCCGTGTGCGCGTTATATGAAAACTTTGGAATTACGTATAAATGTTAAAAATAATTTTGCAATTAAAATTTTTTAACGTCCAACCGTCAGTCCGGATTTTTGTATCTTTCTCATATCGACGCGTGCTTCGTGTCGATAAGTTACCGATTACCGACTGGTCCGTCGGTAACTTTTTTTCTTGGAAAATCAAAGATAAGACATTCTTCGAGTTTAAAATCGTTTAAGAGACCCGTGTCAATCCCATTAATCTTATCCATTGACAAACGGACGTGCCTAACGGTAAAAGTAATTTTTTATTACTCAAACAGTCTAATGCATTAGTCTACCTTGTGCCTTGTCTCCGTATGTTTCCTATTTGAACTATCTTCAAGAATACGAGACCCTGAATTTTGTATTCACGGAATAAAGGCACGAAGGGCAAACGATATTTACGTGAATTGCACAGTCATCATTTTACATGAAATCTTTGTCTAATCAATAGAAAAAGTGCAAAATTAAAAATTCAATTAAAATAAACCAACCCAAGTCTTATGGTATATCAATTTAAAAAATATTTTTTAACGAATTCACAATAAAAAGTATCATTAACTGTTATTGAAAACAATTCTAGCTTTCATAAAGAATAAATTCATCGTTCGCAATTCGTTAAAGAAATTTCAACCACTGACGTGACTCTAGCATATTCGTTCAATATTCCTTCTGCCTCGAGAGAGCGCGAACCGTTGGCTATGACCAAGACAAAAAATATGACAAGTTCACTCGAAGATACCCAGGGACAGTATACTATACCAACCGAAAGTCAGTATAATAATATCAAGTATTCCCAATGTGGTCGATAAACATACTCCTAAGAGGATCCATATGCTCTTCTCTCTTGCAGTTACGTGTCCAATCCATCCTAAGAGCACATATATAGAAAAATACATACGCAAGTACATATCCACGTAAGTATACCATATACTACATATACGAATGAGAACATTAAATAAACGAACCTTCCCAGTGACAGTCGGTCTTCACCATTATATTACCAAAGTAACTCCCGACCCGTTTGCATAGACGGTACGAATAACTGAATGACTATAAGAGCTACGGAAGCCAGCATCAAATTCCAGCTAAGCTAAGCTACGTGTCAAGTGTATAGCTAGGGTGGTCTCTTTTTTAAGCATTATACATGTTACAACCCGCCATTTCAATTGGATCGGTTTCGATTCGGCTGACTTTGCATATTCCTCATCGTGAATAACACAAAGTGGAATATTCAGTTGGATATGTCGAGAGTAGTAGAATTCATTATTCGACTAAAAAAAAAAATTATTTTATCCAAGGTATATGCTGAGAATTGAAAAGATAGTGCTTTTAGCTGGGTTCAATTATCGGATTGAACTTTCAAACAATCAGGGAGGGGGACGCTTCCGAGTTTATTCTTGGAGACAGGAAGCCGAGACTTTTTGTACCAGTATCCATGCAATATCCACTCGATAGAGCGAATGAAATATTTATAGGAAAAGAATTTCAATACGGACAGACGGGAGCCAGGTCAAACCATCACGGTATAGAATACACTTGTGAGCAGTGCTGTGCGTAAAATGAAAAAGTCATTTTGATAGGCATATAGAAAATTCTATTTTTTTTTTAATTATTCGAATTAAATAATCGAAGCGTCACAGAAGATCCGTGATCGTATCGATTGAATCATCACTTTCATCTACTTTTGTTTTTCTCATCGAATTTAACGACTAACTGAATCGTTCCCTCTCCCTCTGCGCCCGTTCGGTACGATTTGCTTTTTCGAGGTAAACTAACCCAACTTCTTCGTCACAGTCTCCCTTCTTATCCTATCGCCAATTAATTCGATCTGAGTGCAAAGACCCGGTTCTAGCGAGGAACTCTATTGGCTTTTTACGTCCCTCTTTGGCAGCGCTAACGGTGCCAGTACACAGGGAATAATCAAACCCTGGAATTCATTTGAATATAAATATCGAGCGAGCGTGGGATTGATCGGATTGCCAGCGTTTATTAATTAGAACGCATCTCCACTCAGGATTGATAAAAGAATGTCGAATGACGTTAATTATCAGTACAACAAGACCATTTCGCCGTAAATCGCAAAGATTTAAAATCGCGACACTCGACGAGTGGGCGATAATAAAGTTTCAAGAACGAAAAATATAAAAAAATAAATCAAAGTCCAACCTTCGTTCTCAACAAACGACACGACAGAAAGTCTTAGGGTCAACGAGACATCTCACCTTATTTATTGTCACAGCTGAATGCTAATATTAACAGGATGGACAATTCGTAGCGCGCGTGACAATTGACCTGAATATTTTCTATTACAGGATGAAACGCCTCGCGTCGAATTAGACTAACAGCCAGGATGAACCAGTACGGGGGAAGCCTTAATGAACCAATTATTTATCCCGACAGGAAAGTTACCTATGCTTCGCGGTCTGGAACGATCCGGGCAGCGAGTTACTAACTGAGGTTAGGTTAGGTTATGGTCAGCCAGGAATTCAGAAGGCTGATCGGCACACAGCGGGACATCGGTTACTACGACAGAATAATCTGTCGCTCACGGGGTCTCTCGGATTTCCCAGGAGTTCGTGCGATTTATTCATTTAGTTCCCCGCCGCCTGGTGGAAATTGCTCGTACTATTGACCCGCAGCCAACTTCGCGCGAATGACGTCTGGCTTTCTTTCTCGATTCGATTGACCGATCAATTTATTACACTTACAGAATCCCCTTTACGAATCATCCTTCGAAAAGCTGATACGCCCTTGAAAAGACTCCACGGGTGTCCTTACGTATATAGAATGCGATTAAAATCGAAGATATTGAATGTCGCGGAAAGACGAAGGATCCTTGGGGCAATTAAGTTGGACGTCGAGGGAGGAAATGAGCTTCTGATAAAGTGGCTATCCCTATTTAGGAAGTTTGCCAGGATAAAGCACAGAGGTATATACACACTACAGTTTGATATCTCGCCTGCGATAGGGTTTATACTATGGAAGGGATCGTGGAAGAAACGATTAAAATTGATCGTACCAATTTCTTTAATGGAATTTAACATACAAGAGTTTTTCAGAGGATCTATCTCGGCAGCGAACGAGGGACAGTTTATAATTTTGATGGATCATGCTCCACTCGGACTCTTTTTATATATCGTGGGTTTCCTAATTGTCGTTTCGTGGGCGTCTAATATCCAGCAGCGAGACCGTTATACTCATCGGCCTGTCTCGCCGTATCCCAGCAACGTATCGACTTCAAGCTGAAGTAAGTAATTCATTGACGACGCGTATGTCTCTCACGTATCCGGCCTGCAGGTAGAGGTGTACATTTAAAAATACATTGCAGCACGACCGTGGAATTCCGAGTAAAGCGAGTTCCTACGATCATTTGAATTATTTACTGTACGAATCAAATATATACGAACCTGTATACAATGGCATCCATGTCAAATTTGTCAAAGACGTCAGGACGGTGGCCGCGCTTTGCCTTGTTTACTCGTACGTACGTATTCGTTGAAATATACAGCGTCGCGCATGAAAGTATCAGGAGACAAATAGATATCCCGACTCGGTACAGTGACGCAATTGCTGTATACCACAGACAGAAAATTTGTTGCGTCGGGATAGAATACGTTTTGACGTCCGGTCAAATAGCTTTCATACGCTCGAGCGAATAATGTCGAGCGCGTATAATGGGGTAGTATAACCCGTTAAATTATATACGTCGATAGGTTCGTACGCGTCTGAGTACAAACAATGAGATTGTTCGTTGGATCGTTAAAGTAATTCCATCAGCCATGAAAATAATAATCAGCAAGGAATATATTTGAGCACACGTAATAAGTCCGACGCGTGGCAACCGGGACGTTAAATATTTATTAAATGTGGGCAAAATCATAGTTGAGGTTATAAGATCGAAAAAATTATTCGCCGTATACGATATCGTATAGGTATATGAAAGTAAGTCGTAGAATTCCTGATACGGGCGATGTTTGCCAAGAAAGCTAACAGAATCGAGAGGGTCCATAGCAAATGTCATTGTTTTCGTATTTTATTCAACGCAGGATCAAGTAATCATCGGCCACCTTTTTATACGGGATACCGAACTATCTTCATCATCCAAATGGATTTCTCTTGACGTCCATCGGACATTGATTGCGCCGCGTGGGCAATGGTGACCACGTAGGGAAGAAAAAAAAAGAAGGTAGAAAAAAGAATTATATAGACACAAGAAATAGAACGCACAGAGGTGTCGTGTTGCGAGAGACCACAGAAATATTTGTGTGGGCTTATCGAAGAAACTGAACGGGAAAAAAAAGCTCGGCGGAACAGCGACAGCGAGAGCTAACGGACAACTCTCTGTTAAGTAAAGGATATGGATTCTGCTTTTGCACCATGCGTATATACGGTGTATGCGTATACAGTCAACGTTTATTTCTTCGTGCAACCTACAGGCCCTTTCAATTACAAATATCTCCCGTAGACTAGCCAGCAGCGTGGGTGAGGTTGGTTTCACCGGGGGAAACGATCGATTTCTCTGGCCAAAAAGAACACGCTATCATTTATATAAGCTTTCACGCGTTGGAGTTCTCGCACCCCAGATGTACAGGCTGTTTCATCGGTGAAATCGTTGCGCGACATTATCGAGCGAAGCTCGCGAATGAACGAAAACGAGTCTGCAACAGGGTCGATGATTCCCTGTAAACTGGAAGGACGCGTTCTTTTATTATGTGTATATATATATATGCATTGTATCCACTTTAGATATTATACCGTGTTATGTCACGCTACACCTCGACTACAGGGCGTATCAAAAATTGCCAGAAATTCCCTGGTATGTCTGTTCTCATCGAGCGACGGCTGACGCAATATAAAAAGATGGTTTACGTCTTTTTATCTTTTAGTATACGGATATAAAAACATACACCGCTTTCCATACGAAACTTATCCAAACTACAGGTCGCTTCGTCTTTTCAACTATTTGTACGGGCTTATCTTACTACAGGGGGAACCCCTCATTTTTTAATCAGTTGGGGCCGTGCCAACTCTCAAATTTTAAGTTGGCCTTGAGTCCCCACTCTCGATTTCTCTAACTCTAAACTCCGCCCATTTCGTATTTGCACATGTGTACTTCGTTGCGCACAGCAGACAGGCGTGTATGAATAAGCGCTTCAGTGTGCGCAGTGCGGTCCTGATTGGTGGAAATCGCAGCACAGTGGGAGAGCTCGAGGGGAAGTTAAAAATTGAGAGGTGCTAAGATTTAAAAAATTAGAGGTACTTAAACTTTGAGAGGTTAAAATGTCTGAGGATTCAATGTATACGGGGATCAATGTAAAACGCTAAAGTTAAAACGGCGGCAATAGGAGAGAAGGTCCAAGCTATCTACGTCTATCCAAGCCGTCTAGGACGTCACGTCACGCACGAGCTACAGGGGTTTTCAAGGCTGCCCTATTAGGTTGCCCACTGGCAGCTGGCTGCAGTTCGGTGAAAACGAAATGAGCGACATTATCGTAGACACCTAACGTATAGCTATTTATAAGTCGTGTGGGACTGTATATGGATATGAACTACAATGTCGTTACGTGTTATGCATAATACATATTCTATACGTCCTGTACATGCAACTGGCATGTATCTATGTACGTATGGATACGGATACACAATAGTAGACAATTGTGATACGTAGATCGACGTGTCATTCTTTCATTCTCAGACACGTGTGTCTGATTGTTGGATCTTTGAACAGGTATACTGACGGCTGGTCTACTATGCGTGGGCGTTATTCACTTGCGATACCATTGAGTCCCAAGTTGATATATTATGCATCAATTGTGCTCCCAAGAACTTTGTTCTCCTGTATTTTCGCGTTTCCACGTATCGATGACCTTGATGCTTGCAAAATGGAAGTGAGACGGTAGCATTGTCGATGGACGAAGAATACCGTACCACGTATATACCCTGTGTGTCATAATGACGTAAAAGGATTTAAAAAATAGAAAATCCTAATATCCGTCACGCGTAAAGGATGTTTCACAATGTCCCGGTACTGCGCCAGCTTTGACACGGCTCAGAAAATTGACATGGTTCACGGTTAGCGTCTATAGGGTGATCCAAATGAAACACTCCCCGTGCTCTGGTGTCTTGTCAGACGAGCACGCGTCACGTGAAGTTAGCCGTACATTCAATTAACAGCCAATCTAACGTCGCCTTCACGGCTAGAAACCCTTGGAGATTGAAATATTTCAATCTGGCTGTTATCACGCGATATTAAGAGACGTCGAGACTCTTCGTATCTTCGCTGATAATGGATGTTAGGGTCAGACGATGAGGTCCAACGCCACTTGAAAAAAAATATCTATCAACACTATAACCACTCAGGCTTCCTATTAGAAAAATAAAAATTACTCCGTTACTTTAGACAATTTCTACAATCAAAACCCGTCCTCCCTCCTACCTGTGTATCAAGTGAAACAAATTTATCCGGAGGACGCCACCGTATTGATTGAAGTGGACTTGAGTATTGCCAGATGAGCAGTAGTCATACAGGTACAACCTTATACATGTCAATATACGTACACGTCACGTACGCGCACACGTGACCAAGTGCGTGCATATACCTACGCAATGGAAGCTAGATAGGGGCGACCAGCAAGGAAACAACCCACGCAGCGTTACCGAGCCGCATTAGTTTGAAATCTGAGAAAATCCAGGGGCTCTCAAATGACGTTCCTTGGGTAAAAGTTCAGGTAGCAGGCAAAAAGCTTCTTTAATGGATTGCGCGAATCCTTTACTGTTTCTTGTGGTGAGCGCCATTGGCATTCGTCACTAACCATGCCTGGAGAATTTACCGCAGGACACTCCAGTGCTTGGATACGTGTGCCATTTCGATTTACGGACGAAGTAACTTGAATTCGGACAGGATATTGAACCGGAATGTAGAAAGCAAGTATGTCTTCTTGGTTATGTCGGTACCTGAGAATAATAACGTGTATTTATACTAATTTTCATACAATTCGACTCCGCCCACCCCACCCGTTACCTTAGGGGAGTTAAATCACAAATGACATGGAATTAAAATAATTCCAGACAAACAGCTGAACCGCGTCGCGTATGTAGATGTAAGTACGATCACAGCTGACTGATGGGATTTTCTGCGTGCTTATCATGGCACAGTATACTTGGGTTATTGATGTAGTCCACACCATTATCATCGGTTCCTTCGGCGAGTTTGTAGTACTGAAAGGATTCGTTGAAACGATCCTAGTGCACAATGGGATGTATTGTAGCGGGATAAGCTTCTATGTATGTCTAGTAAAGTCTCATGCCGCGGGAGGGACGACATAGACGAATCGAAGGTTCACGAGTGATTCGAGAGAGGCTCCAATGGTATTAACCGCTAACGGTAACCGGAACTTCCGCGTGGGACCGTAAGTCGAGTTGTTCTGTGTTGTCTTTACGGCTAGTTACGTGCTGAGGATTTTAATTACCTTCCTCTCAAATGGATTCTTCCGATGTCAATCTTCTATGGCCGCGCTTAGGGAGCTGTCATGCCAGTCGCGTTCTGGATTTATTATCTATGGGTTACAGATTAATTAGAAAACACGTGCTGTATGTTGCTAGTACATAAGAAACGCAGCTTTCGACAAGTCACGATATTGTTTAATTGGGCGCGATTGAATTCAACTGGCGTTTAATAAATGTGCGCATACCTAACCGCTCGTACGACAATAAGTATAATAGACGTTGTGCTGGTAATGAAGATGAAGATAGTGTCGCCATCTGTAGCGCGAGAAATAAATTTGTATTAATATCAAACGATAGACGCGCGTCTGCATTTGAATTATGCTAGTCTTATTTGGTCGGTGTTTATTTTCTAAATTACTCTACACTCTGCTACTAGAATACTGTGATTATCGTAAGTTATAGAAATATCAAACAAACTCGTTTTCGATTTTACGAAACGCCGTACCCTGACCTTTTCTATCTATATTTTTACGTATTCCAAATATCGCGTAAAATCGCGTAAAATTACGCAAGCGATCGTTACTTATGCAATAGAAAAATCGATCGAGTCTGTTTTCGTTGAGGATGTCATAATTCGGAATAAAATTATGATATTCTGAAATTCTCGTTTCATCGACGATCTTAGCGAATATTGCCATCCCGCTTTTACGTTCGAACGATTATACCGTCTACTTTGCCCCGGTAATACGCACTTTGGTATGTATCATTAAACGAGCAGTTGGATTGTCGCCTGTCAATTTCGTGACAACTGGCTACGAAGTTCGTCACGTTAAATACTGAAAGACAATGGGAAGGGAGAATCTCTTGTCAACAAGAAGAGAACAACCTGGAGGAGTGCTTTTATCATTATAATGAATTCGCAGTCTTACTGAGTGACACATGATTAATGTGAAATAACAACAAACCAAGAGACTCACTATGTGAAATCGGCGTGTAAGGGCCTAATGCTCGTCGTATAGTATAGACAATACTGGTATTTTATTTCAATAATCTAGAATGTTACAAAATGATGCGATATTCTTCCTTGCGAAAGTTAATAATATTATACGATATTTCGTCTCGCTGTACTAAACTTGTTATTGAGGTTTACTGTTAAGCAGACGAACATGGTATTTCGTTCTTGGGAATATCCATTAAGCTGTAAAATCTCAATCTTGAGACTCTTATACATCAGTTGTTGCAAAATCGAATTTCTTTTAATGAGTAACGTGGGTTATGACAATTCTAGACAATTTTTTGTGATATGATTTCTATGTACTTTGTACAAGTACTGATAATAACTGTAGCTTATACTTGTTTTTGTTGCAGTACAATGGTATCTCATGGCATTTACCTTTTGCAGAAAATAATGGTGTTGGTGTTAGGTGAGATAATATAGATAAAGAATATATTTCTAGTACAAGCATATCTCGTTCTTGAATGTTTATACAATTTTGAATGATAATGTGGTTATGACAACACTGAAGATAATTTTATCAAAATTCTACTTAGTGTAAAAGCAAATGAATATTTTAACGCGAATCATAATACAATAACGAACAATTCAAATAGATAAATAGGTAATATAAAATTAAATAATGTAAAATTTTTCAGATTTTTTAAATTAAACGACAGTTGTTTACGTAGTAATACTAGAATTAGACAAGATGACAGATATATTTTCATTAATCAGTATATCATGTAATTCTTTATTTAAATTCTTCAAAAAATACTAGAATAATCCAGAAAAAGTGTTTCATAGGTACATGATTTCGAAATTCAAAGCAAAACATCACGTATATCACAAAAATTTCGTAACTTATCGATCTGTTTCCATATCAACACCGAATTTTCTCGGAGATGTGTCGCAAATTCGCCTTTGACCAAGAAAATCATATCTCTATTCTCTCCATTAATTGAAATGTTAAAAATTCATCGCTATCATATATTGGAAGCCAACTAAGAGTTTGCAACGGCAAAACTGGATTGCGGAACTCAAGCCTTTTTAAATAATCTCATAGGACAAGTCCCAGCAGTGGCATCGTAACTGCCCGCCTTTCTCATATATCCCACGTCAATTTGTGGTTGCCTTAAACGATGGAAATAATAATTAAAATGAAAATTTTTATATACTCACAACCGATGCTGTAGCGTCAGCATAACTCTTCCAAAAAAAATCGCACAGGTGCAAACATCCACACAGGAGCGACAAACGAGTCAGCGACACACTCACAACACAACACCTTCGTTCCTCTCTCACAACTAACGCGAGAAACACCAATTCCACGAGTTTCTTTGCTGCGAATTCAGACTCTACGGTCTCTCTGTGAAAATTGACTTTACAGAACGTTCCTACTACCGTCCACCATGCATCGTGGACACTTTCGTACTCGACATGCAATAGGTTCAAGTTCCTCAGGCTCGAGCCACTGTGGTCTGTTTGACATAATTTATTTGGTGACCCCACGGCTGCTGCTCGGCGCAGGGCCTTTGGGCTATCGGTGGGGATACCGGGGATGTACTATATACACTCGTTCGACACGGTTGGCAGATAGGAAGGTTGCCTTGTATATGGTTGCCTCGAGCTGGTAGGCCAGAATTTGCTCCCCACTGGAGCAACGAGGCTTAAGCTTCGTTTATGAATCGTTAAAGGTCGATTTATGATTATGTACAATCTCAGGTCTTGTTTGGTAGTCAGTTAAAATTTATTGAGAAATTGTTTTTCTGTTGTTCAAGCATGGGTTTTGAATTTTCTGAGGTTATGTATGATAGCAAGGATAATGAACGAAATTGGGATGTATGAATGGTTTTTAGCTTTTCAATTAATGGGAGCTTCGAGGTAAACTTTTAGGGTTTGATAAATCGTGGGTGATATGGAAATACTTTAAGCTGTTTTGTCAATAACAATGAATTTGGGATAAATTGACTTATTGCTAGTGTTCGATTTGAGGAAATCTATCAAAGACGGTTGTCTATCGATGGATAGAAATTATACTGTGTTAGGGGAGAAAGAAGTTTCTTTTGAGTGATAAGGAAAACAGGCATGGATTAGGTTCGAAAAATGTGGAAAGACCATTTTATTATTGTGATGAATATTATGTAACATCGTTTTTGTTTAATAGTCAATATTGAGACAAATTTTACGTTTTCAAGACTTCTGTTTGCGAATTAAGTCAATCGGTAGTTGTGGATACAATTACTTTATACCGTTTCAATTTCTTTATGGAAAGCATAATATTGTAAACAACGTGGTCTCGCCTTTACTTTAAACAAGATAATAGTAAATGAATCACGTGTCCGTCAATTTTATGTCGAATTTTCTTTTCGTATTCAAATAAGTTAATGACGAACGTGGCACGTAGTGACCTCTACTTTTCCTGATCGTAGAATAGTTGAATTTGACAGATTGTCAAAATTTTTAACAAACTGCGGTTTTTTAACAATGGAAAATGATAATCCAGTTATTTACGGTCTTGAGTTTCAAGTAAGTGTGAGATAATATTGGAGTAATAAAGCGTGTTGCTATATAAGTGTATAAGGTCTGGAAATCAAAATATGGAACGTGACTACTTACAGCCTGAAAACCACTTTGTGTATGAATTATAGTATGGGTTAATGCTGCTGAAGTTTTTTTAAATATGTCTCACTCGATATAATTATACTAATTGTACCGCAGTTTAATAATTTAATCTCCAATCCAGCTGCTATATAATATAATCATATGGTGTCTTGGATATGTAATCAACGAGATGTATGTGCTTTTAATTCACTGTTTACAGGCCAGGGCATTATCAGCTCAAACTGCAGAGACGGATATCGTGAGATTCTTAGTGGGAACGCAATCTTTAAAATTTAGTAACAATCAAATACACTTGGTTGAATTAAATGAAGAAACTGGTAGCTTAAAGACTCAAGTATTTCAGCATCCGGTTGGTGAAATTTGGTCTTTACAGGCTTCACCCACCGAACTTGATAAATTTGTTACCTGTTATAATACTTTAAATGGTATGTTATTTGAATTCAAGTTTTATACATCAGGAGATTATTAAATATTGTAATATCAACTTAGTTTTTGTTTATCAGATGAAGGTATTTGTCAAATGAAAGGAGCTCTGTGGAAACTACCAAATGTTAAAGATGATACAAATGAAATACTACAACTCGATAAAATAAGTGACATCGATACAACACCTTATGGTAATGAACTTCAGATTATTGCATATCATCCTATGGATGCGACCAAAGCTGTTTCCGTCGTTGATAATAATTTTGTACTTTGGGATTTAACAAATACTTGTCCTCAGGTATTTATAATCTCATAACTAAATCATTATTGAATGTCAAAATCTTATTACTAAGCATATAACACAGGTGGTGACAGTAGGGACATTATCCACTAAAGGTCAGCCTAGGTTTACAACCGGCAAGTGGAATCCTCATAATGGGTGCAACCAATTTGTAACATTGAATGAGAATAATGTTCGTGGTTGGGATTTTAGAAAACCATCTGAAACCGCTTGGAATATTCCAGCAGCACATTCGCAAATTATTAGGTACACTACTAAAACGTTCCCATATTGATACAATGATTATTAATATATAAACAATTCGTTATATTGCAGAGATTTAGATTTTAATACGAATCGTCAGTATTTTTTATCAACTTGTGGCGATGATGGGTATATGAAATTTTGGGATATTCGACATCCATCAGAACCTGTAATGTCACGCATGGAACACTCCCACTGGGTTTGGAACATCAGAATTAATCGATTTCATGATCAATTGATATTGACGTCCAGTAGTGATTCCCGCGTCATTTTATCAAGTATTGCATCTATATCATCGGAACCATTTGGTCATGTTTCACCGGAGGATGATACTACAAGTGCAGAAGAAAATTCGAATAAAGATAAGTGAGTATAGCATGTCGCTTATCTTTTATGAAATTTTGTTTACTCAGACCAGCTACTTTCATTCATTTTACTAATTACATTAGTGTTGCCTATAGTATTTTCTTTTAAGACAATTTCAACATTGCAGATTAGAAGATGGAGTTGTGGGAAAATATGAAGAACACGAGGATAGCGTATATGCTGTCGAGTGGTCCTCTGCCGATCCTTGGACGTTTGCTTCACTGAGTTATGATGGACGATTAGTTCTTAATAAAGTACCCCGAAAATATAAATATCAAATACTTTTGTAACGATAATTAATTGTACCATAACAATATATATGTTAACAAAACCGTTAAGTCTGCGTAGTATGTATTAATGTTTATTTTACACTTAATTTACAATCTCTCCGAAACTCGACTAGCAACATTTCTCAACTGACCGTACACTTTAGATGGTGGACTTCCTAGGATTAAATTACAAATCGCTCGTCTGGCCAATTGAATATTTTGAAAAGATCCCAGTATATGAATTTTACTGTCTGCCAAAACAATTCTTGTTTTTGTTACATTCTCTATTGTGAATTTTGTTTTACCACCTTTACCAGCTAGTCTTCCAATTGCTCTTGATAAATGGGCACCTTTTAGAGGCTTAACGTCTTGCACTTCAAATGTTTCAACAAACAAATCATCCAACCGTAACAGAGCCAAAGCATCCTCTACCTCAAAACCATTAATGAATGCTTTAACAAAATCTGCAGCTTTTTGCAAATTTGAAATATCTGGTGTTTCTGGTGCTGTTCGAATTTCCACATTACGTGTTTTTAAATTGAAACGAATTTGCAGCTGTAAATGCTCTACAACAGGAGTAAAAATTTTCATCCAATTTTCCTTCAGAGGTGTGTACCTATGAGCTGGTACAGGTACCTGAAAAGTTATATGAAATGATTAATTGGCAAGAAGTATCAGTAATTAATATAAATTATCTGCACTCCAGTACATATATCATCCAAATACAATTTATCTTACTTTTCTCTGTTCACCACCCTCAACATTCTTAGCTTTCTTTGACGATTTCGTTTTTACTTTTCCTTCAATACCATGAACAACATCAACCTGAGCAAAGAAGGATTATAAAATACATACAAATTTGTATGAGAATAATCTTTTAGTCAAGATTTAACAATCAGAATATAATGCAAAAATAATAATAACCTACTTCCATGTGACTTTCGCTCGCATGTCTTCTTTTCGATGATTTATCTTTTGTCTTAATTTTCTCAAAAGTAGAAGGTTGTTCAACACTTGTGGCACTCATTTTGTATAGAATTATTGTTTCAATATAAAAACACGAAGTGAAACCCACGTGGATCTAAAATGTTATTCTAACCAAAAAATAGTAGATAGGAGCAATCCCCAAGCTATGCGAGTTTTTAAAGGTTAGTAAAGGTATGATTTCATGTGAGCGACAAAACTATAGCGATTGGCTAGCACCGACAACAAGAATAAGGAAATTCCTACAGTAATTAGTCAGTAGCCAATGATAGCTAATTGCTGTTGATAAATGTCAATTTATTGTTCAGAATTCCTCACATGTTTTGTTTGATTCAATTTCTTCCGCGATCATTCTTATCAATATAACTGTGCACCAGCACCTTCAAATTTATTGAAATGCCTTAAAAGTGAAACATGCAAAGGATTTCATCATAAAACTTAGAGAATACTTCAAGAGAAACAGGAATCTAATACGAAAATATAAAATATAAAACATTCCACAATTTCATATTATTTAGAATTTATTTTATTTGTCGTTAAAAATATGTCAACAGTATTCTATTAAATAATTAGTTATATTACATGTTTTAAAAAGTTAATAACAGTGCTATAAACTAATTTCTTTATTGTAACGTGGAACATGTCTGCCTCTGAAGAAAACCAATCAAGTTTCTCACATAAAGTGTTTAAAAATGATCCTCTGCTCTTTAAAAGTTATGTCAACAAAAAGGTTATCATCATTACACAAGACAAGAATACCCACACAGGAATAGTGTACACAATCGATCCTGTTTCGGAAAGGTTGGATATTAATTATAATAATCATTCGTTACAATAAGCAGAATATCATTAAAAATACTACTTTTCTTTTTAAATTCGTTCAATCGGTTTCATTCTATTTTATTAATAACTAATACAAGAAAATTAAGTGAGAAATTTATTGTTATTAATAGTATAGTTTTTCAATTTGATTGTTTTTTTCATGCACAGTGTTGTTTTACTCAATCCTGGGGTTGACGATAAGATGCAGATGAAAATAATAATTGGACATGCGATAAAAGATATCATTGAATCTTCCGAACCAAATCCATCACCAATACCAGAACTATTTCTTGCACCATCAGTGAAGTTACCAGCTTCAGTTGTTTCAGCAAAAAAAGAAAAAATTAAAAAGTTCTTACTTGAGAACAGATTTCCAGTTTTGGAGGATAAGGAAATTTTGCAGATTGAAGGTGTTCTTTCTATAGAGCCTCCTTATGGATTGGAACAATGTATATGTAATAATGAAATTATTCTGGCAAGAATACAGAGTTTGCTCTCTGATCTGATGGAATAGGATATTCCCTTAATTGTAAGTGAATTTTTATTGATTAATTAATATCATCTTCATGAACTGCTTCTTCTCATTATTAAAAACACTTTTGTAATAGCAATAATAATATATTTTACACAAAATTTTCATCCTAGTTAACAGTTATTACAAAAATAAACTTGTGGCCATTAGGAATATGTGAATGTGTAGAGATAGACGCAAGTTGGGAAGAAAAGATATGTGTATGGCGTGAATTGTACTTATGTATATTCAACCTAGCATCTTAACTCGTCATAAGATAGGATAAGCTTTGTCTTAGTCCGACAACTAGCGTGTCCCTTTTGTGCGATGAATTATATATAGAAGCCATCATATGAGGACTTAAATGACTAATTCTACTTATCTTTTCAACCGTTTGCACAAATAATGTCATTCATATTGCTAGTATAATACTTAATGTATTTCTGTGAATGGTGTTGAGTACTAAATTTACTGTGTTAAAAAACAATTTTGAAAATATTTTGATTATGTTGCAACATGCAAATGGGTACACCTTGTAACAATTGATATCAATACTTTTGAGCTGTGTTCATCATAGGAAACACAAAGATTCTCATGCAGCATGATACAAAGTATTTTTGAAAAACCTGAACATAAAACATATTACTGGAAAGACAAAGAATTAAGCGTACATTTACAAGACTGATAGAAACTCAGAAAGTGTTGAAAGATTTGTTTCTGAATTATCGCTACGTTAATGACATATATATAGCAAGCTTCAAATGTACTCAAAATACGCAGGCCTTACATTATGACTAAAAAGAAATCATACAAGAAAATTCTGTTGCGTCGGTTTTCTATACAGCCTAAAGTGCAAAAGCTTTTCAACTTTTTCTTACTCGCCCTTCTAATGTCTAAACGCGAATAAGATGATTAAGGATATAGCTCATATTAGAATCTAAGTTTTCTAAGGTATGATCAGAGTTCATTAACTGCGTACTTATATCAATATTATAAAGAGATTGTAAAGTTAACGTTTTTTTTAAAATCGTGTTACTAGATCAGAACACACTATATCGACGTCTCTATCCTTAAATGTTAAAATGGCCCAACACGCGATAAATGCGGACTTTAAGGCTGGATATGATTTGTATCACGACTAAAAGTAGCTTAATCTTTAATTATTTACGTACATTCCTTCTGGAAATTGTCCAATGAAATTATTGGAAACTATACCAACGGAAATATATTAGACTGAAGGTCACGACACCTGCGCGATCCTAAAGTCTTCTTTGGAAAAAGAAACCGTAACCAATATTTTCAACATTGTTTTTTACAAAAAATTAAGTTAGTGATTACCAATCGAAACAGTTGAATATTAAGAATAAGCAAAGAATAAAAGGAATTGTAAAATTATCATAGTTCAATGAATACTTATGTCGCGCGCAATTTTTATCACACAAGAGTGTATTATTTTTCAAGGATCGAAAAGCAATTCTGTAACTTTAATGAAATTACCGAATTATATTCAATGCGCTACTTCAATTGGGATTCCACAGATTTCCTTAATAATGGACGTATGTAAGCATTGTAGAAATCCTGATTATCAATCGGTTCTCCTAAGGCTTTCTGACCCACAGAAAGTCCGTACTAAATCATTCGACGGACTAAACGTTCAAGGCCGATAATTAGTGCTAGCACAGTGAGAATGTCAGATTTCAATTAGTTTTTGAGCAGTTCAATACAGTAAATAACGAAAGAATAACCAACAGAATACAAAATATCGAATGGATATGAAGAATTATTAGGCGAATTGATACTAGTAAAATAATAAGTGACGACTAAATACAAAAACATACTGCAGAACGGTAACAACAATTTCTAACAGTTTCTTGCTGTACTATACAACGTAGAGTATCTACAAGGCAACGTTAATCGCAGTAATTATCTCAACAATATTAATCACCTTTAGAAAAAAAGAATTTAAATGAATTTACCATATCAGTAAGATTTACTTATTGTGCGTACGAGTAAGGCGTGACGTAATTTAAATACAATTTTCAAAGGCGATACCAGTCTCGTTGAGATTCACGTTCGCAGGAAAAAGCTGTACATTACATTATCACGGTAGGATGGCAAAAGAATCCATTCACAAGAAAAAAAAGGATATACCAAGTATGCCTCGAACGCTTAATAATATTTTGTCAATGACTTTGGTATTTTACGATGACTATGTGGAAATGCTGTTATGAAAATTCGCAATAACATTATCTATAGACACGAAATATCGTAAGATATCGTCGCCATGAGACTCGCGCAATTTCTTTCTCATCGATATTTGCGTGATCTTGTATCGAATGAATATCGATTCTGCGTTAATTCGTGCTTGCTCTAATACTATGACATGTCTTTATAATTTGTTTAATTGTTTTGTCACAACGTACGAATTCATACCTACATCTCTGGCGATAACGAAGCTGTCGGCTATCTTAACGAGCGATAAAAAATCCAATTGTCTAGCGTAATTTCTCAGACTATAAGTTAGGTCATTCGGTCTCACTGTCTGAGTAATATTCTATTGGATTTGGATCGCGTGGTTTCTGCGAATACCTGAGCCCCAGTGTGTCCGAAATCTCCTCAATGTTTGATAATACCTGCGAGATTAAAAATTTTTGTAAAAACGTTTAACACTTTAGTCATACAACATTCTTTAACCCCTTTGACTGCGGCGCACTCTCGGAGAGAATCATCAATACTGGCTGCGCGATATTCTCATGTCAATCGCTGAGATAGATAGACTTGTGAGGGCATATATATACGCCTTTCGCAGTCAAAGGGTTAAGGCTGAGAATCTATGTATAAATTTTGTCTTCTTACGTAATCCAATTGCTCTTTCGTGTGTGAAGCAGAAAGACATATTCGTATTCTGCCTTCCATGAGTGGCGTCGCTGGGAAACCAACACCAACCGTCGCTATGTTACGCGTAGTTAAGGTACGAACTACGGCACTGTTCATAAACAAAAAATAACATGCATATATCTGTTACACAAGAATGATCTCTTTTTTTCTTAATATTATATAATTTCAGCTGACCCAATTTTTGAGAAGAGATATACCAGCACGGGCACAACCGGGGAGTCATCGTGTCCGTATGCTATAACTCCGATTTGATGTAATCGACGCCTGAAGTACCTAGTATTTCTAGCGAGTTGCTTAGTACGCCTTTGACCAGCATCGGTGCCGTCCTCGCCACTAATGATTTTCATCGACGTGATAATTTGTTGGGCTATGGGTGGTGACATAGCCGAGGCGTAAGTGTGAGCATGGCTATGTATCCTTAAATGGTTAATTAATGCCTGAAAGAGATATACCATTCATACTGTATATTTACTCACTGCAGTGTTATTAATTTTTCGAACAAACTGGTCTAGAACACAAAGAGTTTTTTACCTTGGTACCGGCTATATAACCACCAGCTGAGCCAAAACTTTTAGTAAATGTTCCCATAAGTATGTCAACTTGTCGAGGATCTACACCATAATATTCACAAACTCCTCGTCCATGTTTTCCCATAGCTCCTGTGCTATGTGCCTCATCTAGATAAAGATAGGCCTAGATAATACAACAGAAAAGATAAGATAATACAATACATACGTGTATCCTTACAGTGTGACATTATAGCCGTAATACTCGTGCATCTGAAATAGAATGAAATACCTTATATTTTTTCTTGACTTCAAGAATTTCTGGAAGGTGAACAATTGAACCCTCCATTGAGTAAATACCCTCCACTACTATAACTATTTTCTTCCAAGGCTTTCCAGTATCAGGTTGACCTTGCACTATGGCTTTCTTCAGGCACTCCTCCAAATGCTTAACATCTGTAAAGAAAACCATTGACATAGTTACCTAGCGAACAATGGCTAAGTCTCTGTCATTTGGTCTAACTATGTAAGGCTTACTGTTGTGGTGAAACACTCTAATTACAGCACCGGACAGTCTTAGGCCCAGAATGAGTGACGCATGATTCTTCTCATCACTCAGTACGAGGCATCCCTTACTTACTAGCGATGGTAAATTCAGAGCATTTGTGGCAAAACCCATCCCAAAAACAATGGCATCCTCTACTCCAAGAAATCTAGCAGTCAAGCTTTCTAGCTCGTCGTGAATTGGCATATTTCCTACATTATGACCGAGAGTAATATTAACAACTTTGTTATTGTTTTTCATATTTTATTAAATATACAATAAGACTTTTGTTTATTATTTACCTAGTTCAAGACGAGTGCTACAACTGGCACAACCAAATTTCTCTAGAGTTTGGATACTCTGTTCGGCACAAATCCCTGTAGACTCAGCGAAACCCAAATAATTGTACGAGCCCAAATTTATACAAGGGCGTTCTGTTCCAGTAAACCTAAAAACAGATATTACATATCATGACTAAGTTCCGTTACTGCTTATTGGATATAAGTTAGAAATTGATTTATAATGCTATGAAAATAATCAGTTTATTGATAGCAGAACTTGAGAAAATGTATGGGTAATACATACTCAAAGGTCCATCCATAGTCGTGCGTAACCCGATCCTTTAAGGTAACCATGGCTCCAGGAACCGAGCATATAGGTCGGTTCCAGCAATCCCTTACCCTTCGATAGACATAGCGCAAATAGAACCTTTCAAAATTATCATAAAGTGGAGCATAGCCCTGTAAGAAAGTACAAAACACTATTGCCACGGATATTACCTAATCGTGTGTAAATAAATAACATAGCATCGTATACGTATTTAGCATAGGACACGTGCAAATTGGATGCGACGACTTCGCTACCCCACTAACCCAATTAAGATTATGCACAGCAATTACAGGCGTACCTTTCTGTTCTGTTCTTGTGCTACTTTTGGCGTGAATAGCAGCTGATTAATAAATCCCAGGAACATCAGGATATAGAATCCCAGATGAGTAAGGGCAGCTGTGATGAATGGCACTTGTTCAAAGGATTCTTTACTCTTGGACGTTAGTCTTTCGACATGTTTCTCTCTCTGTAAAGAAGAACAATCTTTAAATATAAGTTCCTAGAGTCACGATCTTTCTCCCCTAGTCAGTTCGCGTGCAGTTTACTTCATGTCTTACGTGTATGTATGTGTTTAAATTAGAATTAAATTATATGTATGTGTCCATAGTTACAAAACGCGATAACCAATTTCTATCAATCATTACAGTGTTAAGCTAGCGTGACACTACTCATGTCAGATCATCTGACGATTATCAAAGGTTAAACACGTGGCAAGATAGAAATTGACATATCTCCATGTAGTTCAATATTTTATACTAAAAATTGTTATCTTTAATTACGAGATAATTTGATTTTCTACAGTTACACGCGAATATGAGACTCATTCAGTGACTTTAATACTTTCGGTCCCATTTTCTGTGACATTATATTAAATTGGTAAAAAAATCGCACTCTGACGATATTACGTGAAGATAAAACGCATTTGGATTAAACGTATCTTCCTTTTCTCTTTGTGACCGATGCGCGTGGACTATAAAATCACCGTTGTGAATTTTCTCGTATAGTAGGTACAGCTTCTTTGTCTTTAGAAAAATCCAATCTTAGTTTCTTGGATGCACGCGGGAATTTCAATTACTAATACGTCCGCATAAAATCGCAGACGTGCAATCTGCGACTACAATAATTATGTCGCCATTTGTCTGTCTATTTCGAGGGGACTGATCGAACTGACTGTTATCATGTAGATACATAAATAATCCGACGTACCTCGTACGATTCCGTCCACTTCCTTTTACTTTACGTGGGCTATATATGGCTTTTAGATAAGTTCCAATTTCCTCACGAGATTCATTTTACAAGTGGCATTAATGAGAAAATCTGTACTGAGCTACATTCTTTTGGTGGATGAAGTTATCTTGGAATACATACAAAAATTCGCTTAAGGTTTGCGATGTAGCACTAGTAGTAGCGATTGGTAAAAGTTAAGCAAACGGAAGCGTGAAAGTTTGTGAACGCGAAAAAATGCAAACGGCTCCAAGGATAAGGTTAGCCTTTGTGCGAAGAAGCAAAATATCAGGTTGAGTAGTTGTGTATGCAAAATTATATATATGAGTACGATTTTATCAACAGTTGCTAAATTTTTAGCACAAAATTGTACGCGCCGATCTGATAATAACGTGAGTAACGGAGAATTCTGTTCATTAATTGTACGTAACCCCATTTTAATAGGTATACTTTAAAAGCCATTCCTGCAGGCGGATAGTTTAAACTACAAATCAAATGATTAATAATAAAACAATATAAGGATGACTGACTGTAACAAAAAAAAAACACGTTTACCTCAATGGAACTGTCTGGAAATTTATCTAAGAAACAATATAAAGTAATTACGTTTAAAACGCATACTGCTTGATACCGGGTGTTACCCAAGAAGTTGCTATAAATCCCATTCAACTGTCAAGAATAAAAACATGCGACCTAAACCGAAATACCTTATTGTCGGAAAGATCCGCAAACTGTATTTGCCGCAATGTATGACACAGTGACATAATTTAATTGACACAGTAAAATCTGACATGATTTCACTGAACTTCGATGATGTAACTGGGGTCGAATGAAACAACTCATAAATTGAAAAGCCTGAATGAACATATTTATTTAAGACCCGCATTAATTTTACGGTTTTATAAATCAACAATTAAAAAATATCAGTAACGACTACGGGTCTCTAATTTTACAGCAGACTCGTAGTAAATTCAGAAAAAGACCAATGGGTTTACACGAGTTTCAATTTACTACAAAGCGTTGGGCCATGTGACGATCGGACTTACCCGCAGGTGGCCGTTGCTCTGCAAACTGGAGTAACCGTTGATCTTCCCATTGGATATGCTTTTCCCGTGGGAGGTTATTCCGTTTTTTAACGGTGTATCACTCTCGTCCTCATGGGTGGTTGTAATAGCTACACGAAATCTCGCAGTAGCCATGTTGTTCTCGTGGGACTGACTCGTCCACCACTGAATAGAAACCTCAAGTCCCCGTCTAATCTCGAGCACTTGCCGTGGGCCTGAGTTGCCTCGGTGTCGGTTGAGGGGCGACGTCGTACGATTCGATGCCTGCAATACCGACGCCTGCGCTTTTGCCTTTACATTTCCTCGCGTTTACGTTACTCCCCTTTGACTTGCGTACTATCAGTATTACTTGCACAGACTTTACGCTACTGGCCAAATACTTTTTGTTACGGCCAATCGGCTCTGAGCGTTCAATCGCGTGAGAACAGGATCGACTCTGATAGACCGGGGGCCTGGGTGTAGTTTGATTGTCCACGGATTTTCTTTAACGCTTAATCTAAAATAAAGAAGTTTTTGTAAGGCATTTTTATGTAAAAAATGTTTGTCGTAGTTCTTTTAAGTAAATTTTGTGATTAATATATTTTGCAGGGTTTGGGCCCTTTACTTATGGTCACTGTCACAGCATAGGCATTCTGCAGTGGATCAATGATGTCATTGAGGAGTATTTTAGTTCATGACGTGGGACATACTAGCCTATTGGGGATATTATAAAAAGTTTGAAGAGAATTGTTTTAGTATGATGAAGTACTAGGTACTGCTCACTCTATATAGCTCTGGATACCAGTTGTATAATAATAATTCTAACACTTCATTAGAAAAATTGGAGCAATGCAGGGATTTAATTGGACGGCATGCACAGATCGATCTTTCCTTGAATAGATTATAGAGAATTGATTAAATACTTATGTACCTGGTAAGAGAAATTTAGTTTAACATGATATAAATGCTAATGATTTATTTCAATAATAAGGATAGAGTTAATATTAACATTTTGATAAAGTATATTACATATGCATCTTTTAACAGTTACATCTCACCTACGTAAATTTTGTATTGTTATATGGCACTTGTGTCAAAGTTACTTTGAATTTAGAAGCGTATTTGCTGGAAATGTTGTTTTATTTCTGAATTCTTCACATTTATTTGACTTTCTATCCTGTAATTTATTAAGATTCATGACTGATTATGTGACGTATACGAATGATTACAGTAGACATTTATCTAATAAATGATTAAAACATTTTTTTAATTGTTTTTTTATAAGAGAGTCAATAATACCGATAACTTTAAGTTAAAATTTTGCGAAAAATTATTGCAATCGGAATTGTATTTCTTGATACATTCCTTTATCACAGATAAGTTTCCAAGAATTTGATCTTTATTGTAACGGTACGTGCACGATTAAGTCACTGATTAAAAATCATTGATTTAAAAAATGAAGTAGAAATACATACATAAAATTTTACTATGATAATATTTAAAAATAAAAATTTCTTGTGTCCCTAAGTCCGTATATTTTTTAAAATTCATATATTGGCAGATTTGTCGATATATTGAATTGGAGTGATTACAATTATATCGGTGTTTTCCACAGTCACATGAAATGCCGGCCGGCCGGCCGGTATTCTCAAGCGCGTGGCGCCACAGGACATTGCAGCAGTCGAAAAGGGAAGTAAAGAGGCTAGGATACCAGAACCGCTATTTGTCAGTCTCAGCAATCCTTTAGAAAGGTGGGGATGTTGGAGCTGGTTGGTGGGGGTCGTTATAGGGGCAACCGTCCTCCCTGTGGAGACGAATTCGCCTGATTGCTGCGTATACGGCTTTAGAAGTGGTATGCGCGAAGCAGTGTGCGCTCTCTGCTGTCCCACGACTACGGTTTGGCTCGGCTTGTGTCTGTGACACTTGACAGCTGAGCGTATCTCGCGACAAAAAATTGTATCGGAAGAAGTTCGGTTCAGAGAACAGTTAAAGTAAAAAAAATATATAATATCAAAAACTATACTAAAACATAAAACTAACACATAAACGTGTTGATCGGGTGAAAGACGAGAAGTTACGGATTTTATGACTGGACGAAAAATCGTGATAAGAAGCAGCGACCTGACGATCGAGAGCGCAGTAAGATTAGAGGAGTAAGGTGTTTTCTTGGACTTCATTGAAAATTGAAAGAGTGATTTGTGAGAATGGAGAATACTAATCCTACCAAGGAACATCTTCGGGATCTGGCCGGTGATTCTGCTCGACCATCGTTGGTTACTGATACAGACGCCATCGCAAAGTTAAAGAGGGATCACGATTCTATGGATGATTTTGAACACCTGGATCATGATAGTTCACCTATCAAGGAGGTAAAGGATATTACTAAAGGACATCCTAGTGCTCCGGATTCATTTTCTTCCCAGCTGATTGATCTGCCACGTGCGACTGGACCGGTAGTTGAGAAATTAATTGATGTTAATAAGAAACTCGAACAAAATTTGCTTGATACGAGTATACCTACTCATGAGAAGGAATTACAACCGGTCCCGGCAACTCCGCCACCTTCCGCAGATTTTGAAAACGATGTCCTTCAAAGAATTGCTACCACGCACACGCCGTCTTTCGCAGAGCAGGTGCCACAGGTTGACTCTAAGATTACTACTATGAATTTTATGGACGGAGAACGTTTTATGCGAGAATATGACGCGTATCAATCTCGGAACGAACAACCTCAAAACGCTAATATCCACGATAATCCAAATCTCAATAAATTCAATGATGAGGCTTCCTTAGGAAATCTTCCACCTAAGGATTCTGGTTATAATCCCTTGGATGTAGATTCTGGAATAGAAAAAAAACCTGAAGTAAAAGTTGAGAATAAGATAGAAAGTGAGAACAAAGTTTCAGAGGATAAGGTTAATCTTTTTGAAGATTCTTCTCCCGAGCAGTTTAAGAATGCTCCAATAATCGAACCTGAACCTTCTCCATTATCATCTGCTGCCAAACCGACTGAGAAACTCTTGAACTTAGATGAAATGTTAAAAGAAGATATTCTAGGAGAGATTAAGTCTTCTGTTCTTCCAGTTCCACAAATGTCTCCTGAATTGGACTTCCTTAAGGATGAACCTGCAGCAGCTGAAACTAAGCATTCTGGCAAGAATTTGATGGAGGATGATTCTTGGAATGTTGTGGAAAAACCAGAGAAACACGAGAAACTGGAAAGAGATGAGAATATTTATCATGAACCTCCTAGCAAACCTTTGCCTCCTTTGCCAAAGGATGCTGAGCTAGAATCCTTTGACACATTTTCTAATGCAAAAGGTCCTACTCCTGATAAATTTGAACTATCGAATGACTTCATAATCACAGAGTCCACAAACAAAGCACAACCTCAGAGTGGGACAGAAACTGGAGATTCAGAATTTGAATCTGAGCCTGAACCTTCCCCTGCAAAGTCTTTGGCATATCCTGCGCAGCAGGATGTTTGTAAAAGGCCTGAAGAACCACCCAAGCACGAGATTATGTACAAGAATCCATTGCGGAATAAGGATCCTGTGGAAGATATTGCCCCCAAGGAGATATTTAGAGAAATGGGACTGGGTAAGTGATGATTTCTGTACTCTTTCTACGTAACATTTTATTTCATTAGATAAGAAAGATCACATCGTACTATGTTATCTTCTTAGGTAAATCATATGGTTGGTTCTTAGTATGATATAAATTTGACTGTTTTATGAGTGTCACTCAAGGTCATAGGGGAAAATATTAATAGCAACTTGTCCAAAATTCAGTAAGCTTTTATTAACCGAAGATTGTCTAGAAATCTAGATGGGCTAGTATTTTGGCACTGTTCCTATATTCTTGGAATGGGTTTCTCAATGATTAAACCTACCGATTTCTGAGAACAGCTGTATATTACTTACTACGTCTCAAGGACAGTTTTTACGCATTTTTCCGAGGTTTATCAGTTCTAAAATTTCTATAGAATTCAATGATACATAACCTTTATTAAACTTGGAAACAATGACCTTTATAGAACTTAACGTTTGTATTTATTTTGTGAAAGGCGTTCCCCATTGTCTACCAACTTTAAGATAATTATTGTTACCTAGAATTCATATAAATTTTATGACGTAAAAACGAAACGGAAAAAAATTTGGTAATAAATTATGAACTAAGAAATTGATTAACTCAAATTTGTTGCACATAAAAATTTCATATTCCATCGTAAAAGAATATACAAGGTCAATCGAATTAGATGCCCAAAAAACCTTTTCTATTTGCAAAGAAAATTTCGTTTGAAAAACGAGCACTGTGCCAAATATGCGTCACGTAAATATTTATAATTTGAACTATTCTCGTTGACTGAACTAAATCCGGAAACCTTTCCACTTGAACTTCCCCTAAAGAAGGTTCTCTCAAGTAAAGCTCACTTAGGCATATTCGCAAATCACCACAAAGTCGGACATATACCTTGTGTACAAAAAACGATATCGCAAAAGCAAGCGGAAATAACGTCACTTGAACTGCGCAAATAATAAATAACACACAAAATATTATTTACTAAAGAATTATCTTTTTTTTTAATTATACAATTTTTCAAAATTTTGCATTGTACAACGAACTTTCCAAAACAGTTTTAATCTATATCAAATCTCTTACTAGGTGTCTAAATTTGAGATTCTATATGGATGTATGATTCCCGATAATCAAAGATAATATAACGGGTGTCTATATCATCACACGATGATTCACGGGCAAAATGCGTATTCATCAATAAGTAACATGAAGCAGTACAGTCATCAAGCTTCTATGTTAAACCTTATATATCCATTTGTGAAATAAATTCATTGAACTTCTTATATAACTTTTTATATAAATGATTGTATTGCATATTAGTATATCACGAGAAAAAAGTGCTTGACACCTTAAAGATATTACAGGTTTGCTAGCGAAATTTCTTTGACGCGATAAGATTTATCAATAAGTTTTGAAAACCAGCAGTTTTATCTTAGGTATTTGTGGTATAAGTCTTAACTCTATGCGTAATATGCCCTTAATACGCGCATAATGCGCATTTAGTAAACTCGATAGAACCCAACGATATAACGGGTGTGTCCGCGCAACCGCGTGACACGTTGATTCGTCATCAGCCATACTCAATGTCTGCTGACTCCTCGCGTCGAGTATTGGATAAATTCTCATGTCGAAAAAACACAGCTGTTTACTTGCAAAGCTTCTCCATACCCATCATTTTGGAATGCGTCTCAATGTTATACGTAGAACCGCGTATATACATAGCTGTTAGGCTGTAATCGAGCGTGATCCTTAAATGAAATTGGCAACTGGAAACGGGGATTACTAAATTCAACAGGAGATTAAATCGTTCCGCACGATAGACTCGCAAAATGACAGGTGATAGTGGATCCTCTCGCAACAATGCACCGTTAGTAGACTTTACAGACTCTATCTATAGTTTCATTATGATAAACTTGATTAGTCGTTATACCAGGTAAGGTCTTGCTACTGGCTCCGTTATTATCGATTGACCCTCCCAGGGGCACATAACCTAAAAGTCCATCTCGGGACACGATTTTCAAAGGCGTCGGTCCAAGATTTTTGGTTCGCTTGACACAAAAACAACAGATATTGATCGTGTGCTTGTTCGCCGCTGCTATATTTCGGTGTTATCAAAGATACGAAGTTTTTAGTCGTTACGATGTTTTTCCATTTTGTCGAAACAAGGAATTATTCATCGAGAACTTTCTAGTAACCCACTGACATGACATTACCGGGTGATTATTTGTCAACCATTTAGTTATCGGTTGTACGATCTGAAGTTAGCTTCATTTCATTATGTGATCGATTCCAGGTAGTATAATCAATAGCGCGTTTGAAATTATGAGGGTTATACATACTTGTCTGGTTGCTTCTTATGACAATTCAAATCTCGATATCAATATCTGTCACTAAAGGAAATACGAGAAATTGTAACCTGAGAGAAACGGGAAATATCCGCTAAAAGTTTCGATTCCTCTTTCCGTCGAATGAGCGGACCATCCGATTCTCGAATATAACTGATATAAGGATCGTATATGATATTTTTTGAACTCAGATATTGAAAAACACTACTACCAGTCGCTCTGGAATTAAAAATATCTATAGAGGATATACCTATAAACTTGTAAAGTATTCTGTAGGCAGAAGTTCAGTCTAACCAATGAAATACCTGCAGCACGGACAATGAGTCATGCCATTCAAGACTGCCTCCGTAGGCGTTAACTTCTATTAATAGATAAACCAGTAATTTCTGAGCAGATCAGAGAGCTGAATAGAAAATTTAACGCTACCCTAAAGGAGCACATCGTACTAGACTACTACAATTACTACTACTCGTTCTAGACTACTTCAATTAAATTTTCAAAATCTTGATAAAACAATATAACTCGCACGAGACTAAAAATATTCAAAGTCTCACAGAAAGTAACCATATATCCTGCCAGTACTTATAACCGTATAATTACTTCACATACGTTTCATAATGAATTCTAACCTAAATGTCGCCGAGGAATGCTAATGAGTGTTACTCCTTAAGATTTCCCTATACACATACTTCCGCCTAGCTACAGTCCCGAGATGGTAGAATTTTGTTAATAAATAATCATCGACGTCGTGTTTATAATTAATAGCGAATGCGCTCGTGCACCGGATAATTAAAATATTTAACATGATTCACGTAGTGCTCGCGTTATAACAAGTAGTATCAAACGTTATGCTAATGCCGATCCTGCTACACAGCGTTTAAAGAGGCTTCCGCCTAGTTACAGCGCCGCAGACAGTTTCTCACCATTCTCTTGAGTTTCACCGTCCTAATCTTTTTCCTATTTCCGCCTGACCTTGACCCGGACAATAAACAAATTCCTAGAATAAGTGAAGCGTCCTTTTTAAAAAGTAACTTGCATACCAATCTCCATAGCTCCCATACGCCATACAGTTCAGTATCAGTATACAGTGTGTCCTCAGTGAAGCCCTACGTAAGAAATACGTTTCTTACGGTATATATAAAATAATATTCTAACAATTCTCCCAATATCCTGTACAGGTATAAGGGACTACGAAGCCTGTCTGCACCTGAATGACCATGAAAGTTTGTTAGCATATAAATGCCAGTGTTCTCAGGATGACATAACCTTCGTTCACACGTACGCAGTTGTGCTTCGCAGTAATTTATTAATGGGACACGGTATTAGGATTTTAGTTAATTAAACGTAGAAACTTGTAGTATCAAATGGGAAGCTTTTGCGTGTTCTTGCTTGACGTTTATTTAGACGGGGGAACAATTGGACTGGAGAAGTCGTAAGCGCGCCCTAATACTTTCTTATTAACCCCTGTTTCGGCCGAGGGATTCGTCACGACGTACATTACGCGTACGTTGCCTACGTACACGTTGTATATCTATATAGCAGTCACGTATGTACGTATATACAGTAGGGGTTGAATTCTGGCTGGTTTCTGCGTCGTATTATATCGATCCGTAGGAGACACCTTTCAACCACCACGTGGCTTTCTATAGTGGGTCTATGGGAGGGGAAGATTTCTTTCGACTGCAGGTGCATTATCTATGGAATCTATAGGGGATGGTGTCTGAGTCGAGTTGCAGATGAGTTTTGGAAAGTTATATTTGAATAATGAGAAAGAAGAGGATAGACAGGGAACCAATTTTGAATATGGTGATGTAAATATGTATAATTTTCAGTGTCTAATTTTCGTGATAAAATGTACGTTTTTAATGATGCGATTTTGGATTTTGAGTTAGTTGCCTGAAAAAATAAAAATTTTCTTCTATTACAATATTTTGATGCAAGACAATTTTATTCGATTTGGAAAATTTTATTGTCTAATCTTTGGGTACACCCTTGTCGATAACCTTAGGAAATATGAAGTCGAAGAACGTAACGGATCCTTACCGGTATCAGGCCGCATTAGAATCGATGCAGCGACTGCAGAATGCAGTTGCAAACTTGAAATTGGGTTACGCCTGTTCCATTTTCGAAATTTCTACTACCTCGTTTTACGTACATGGAATGAAGAGCGTGTGACGTATATGGGCCTCGCCTTTTCTATCTACTCATTTTCTTATAGTACAAAGTTACACGAAACCGTGTCGACGCTCTTATGATACATTGCGCAATTTAAATACGGCCGGTAATCCTTTAGCGTAAAGTTAATGTACCTGCGAGTGTACGAGGAATATAAAAGGTGATACGCAAAATAAAAAAATGATAAAACAAGATAAATCGTGATTATTATTTTGCGCGATACTCAACTTCATTTATTTTATTCAAACATTTGAATTTCATAGAAGAATCAATATAGGTTATGTACGTTTGAAAGTATCCCGTTACGTCAGCCATTTCTTTATTTTATCAATTTTTCTTACTCGTCAAACTGATCTGACAATTATTTCGAGGAATCCGATGTCTCGAGAGCCTCTTCGTTATTCCTGCTGGCATTCAACCTTCTTTTAACATTCATATATCACATTTTTAGCTCGCGACTCTTCGTGTCTCTGCATCATACCCACTAGATCCTCATATTCATACGCGCAGGATTATTTTTACGCGTGATTTCACATTATGCCCTCGTGTTGCGGAATATATTACATTCTCAAGATCTTGGAATTTGCTACGTGGCAAGGTATAACGGAGCCTCGTATTCGATAGTGTGCACGTAAATATTTGAATTTTTTTAAGTATACTTAATGAATTTTCACGAGCATTATTTTCTCGAGGCGACACGAATAAACGTAGCTCCGCCATTTTGTTAAAATGTCACGTCGGCAGTGCTGACATCTAGGGCGCTCAAAGCTGAAAATTCTTGCGCTCGACTCGGTCGACTCGGATCCGTGATAGGAATCGAATGTCGCGGTATTTCATTGGCGCGGAGAAGCTACAGAAAAAGTGCCCTCCTTCTCATAGTTTCAAGGTTCGTTAACAAGCGACCGAATTTTAAGCCTCATAAACAATCGGTACGTTTGTCATTATGTTACGTCAGTGTGCCCGGTGAAGGTTTCGATGGAAGAAACTAAAACATTAGGAATCTCTATAGCAAAGACGACGCTGACTCATCCATCGAAGCTTCTAGGCGTCGCATGGGTTCTCCCACGACGTTCAAAACGACGTCCTGCTGTACTATTCTTCAGATCATTATTTATTTGAAATAATAACAAGGATTAATTAATAATACAGGAAGTGTCCGTTTCAAATAGAAATTTTTAAAGATAATTTTTTACCGCTATATTTATTTTATGGACTTATTATAACGATGTACAAGTCTTAATACGACTTACGATGTATCCAGTGTTGTTAGTGATTGTTCACCTAACCTAATCAGGGATATGGAATCTTTGGTTGAGAGTCATATAAGTACTTTTGATTACGTAATATGTACATACATACACACGTAACTTTGTATGTTTCAAGTCCGTCGGATAATGGACTTTCGTTTCTTTTATCGTTAAGTCTCCTCTTTTGTTTTGACTCCTACACCTTTTTTCTATCCTTTGTCCTACGTAGCCTCGAGCGTAGAGCTCTAGTCAGAATTGCCCGCACGGCCGCTTCCCAAGCAACGACTGTGTTAGACTGTTTGCAGGCTTTCAGGGGCGTACTGCTCTTATTCGATCTCCATTATTTCCATCATTGTTATTCGACCGGTTTTTATAATGTATCAAAGAATTTTACGAGTTTGAACTTTGTCTTTCCTCATAATTTCTTTCTCTTAACTCAATACGGTATTCCTGATCTATCGAGAATCTGACATTGTACATTGTCACAAGTGACTTTTCTCTTTACGACATCGAGTTACTCAAGGGGGTTAAGTATACTTCGTGGAATATTCCTCATAGCCGTTCTATAAATCAATCAAGCCAAATTAACCTATAAACTTGTATAGACAAGTGTACATACATAGATGGAACGAATGAGAGTAGTTTCAATAGTTTTCCAAGGTTCCAGATATACGTACTTATGTGGATCGCAGCATTCAGCATATCCGAGAAAATTTTAATCAGTTGGAAAGAACTTTGAAATTTTTCAAATTGCATTACTTCGTTATCGAGAATTTTCCAGTAGGGTTTTCACTTTTTTTATTCTTCCTTATCGACAGAGCATTCGATAAACGTTTCCTCGATTTACTCCAATTGTCTAATTTTCTTTATTGTCCTTTCCATAATAATTGTAGCTTTTTTGTGATCATTTACCGTATTTTTCATCAAGGCCAACCTTACCTTCGTACTTTACGATTATCTCGTTTATTTTCTTGTTCACTTGACTTTATATAATGCCGACACTTACGGAAGGTATTATATAGTTCTAAGATATGGACAGTATGCTTGCTTCACGGAAGGATGAATGTATATTGAATTTTTCTTCATTTTTCGTACACGCGATGACAATGATAAACCGTTACAAGGCTTTTAGGTAAAACTACCTTTATCAGTGACCGTGTACGTCAGTTGCAAAAAGTTCTATACGAGTAAAACTACCTTTATCAGTGACCGGGTACGTCAGTTGCAAAAAGCTACCGTACGTCTCTACGGTATTAATCTAAAAGTCCTATACGAGTATGCTTAGCATATTTATCTACTGATAATGATAATATCAGAGGACAGAAAAGTCGGCAACTGACACGAATAATATTTTTCAACCCATAAATACAACAACGACAAAAAATATAAAATATATCGATAAATAATGTTCTATAATTGTTAATAATAATTCCCTGTTTTCGAACCGATACCGATGTCTCGTTAAAATTTACTAATCGTACTGTACTCACAGTCAAGGTAGTAAATATTCAATGTTTCTAAGTCGCTCAAGTAATTTATTTATTCTTTATATAATTATGCTTAGGAATTTATATTATTTTCTTTAAAACTTTCTAACCTCAATATTCTTCGATCTTGTTATACTCGCGTCTCCGTTTCAACGGTTTGAAAATCTAAGCCTCACCCGTTGCCAAGTCACTAACTGTAGACTGTACCTCGTTTTTCATTTGTCTTGCAAGTTTTTCCCTTTTCTCGTGAATTCCGTTCCGTATGGAATACTTCGTGATTGTCCTTCTTACGTCGTTACGGTAACATCCTTTTTCATCGCTCGACAAACATCAGACATTCTTCTTCTTCCAGACAATTGAAATTGCCTGATGAGTTTTCCCGCACCGCACTGTATAATATGTATAAGAACCGAGTGAAACGAAGCGGACCGGCTAGATCGCCGCCACGGACTGCACTACGCGAGTTAGACTTCTCAACTCGACTTAACTCGAGCCACTATATCTATTAATACGAATGTCACCTTACCAACCACAATGCTCAGTTCTTATCAATTATTGCCCATCATGGGCTGTGAACTCGTGTTCAACCCGAACTCGCACAATTTTTTATATAATTAATCAGATTTTATTATCATCATATGTTTTATGCGGTTATCGAAACACGGTCCTGGTACGTTGATAACGATTAGACGTTTTGCCGTAGTTTTGTTATCTATACAAGAGCCAGTCTCTCTCTCTATATATATATGTATTGCGGTTTATTATTTCCTTAATTTTTATAATTTTCTATCGTTTCAGTATAACGGCAATGTTTCCTATTATTCTTTATCAGTTGATCGTCTGTCTTTTTTGTCCTTGACGAACGTCAATGATTTCATCGAAATACATTCTTCAGGAAAATACGAAAGTAAGTGGCACGTGTACGTACGTACAGCAATGTATAGCGAAAATCGCAAAAATAACACAATTGTGCATTGCACTGTAAAAGAGAAGCGTCGATCAATCGGTGCAACAATTATCGTGAATCAATTAGGCGGGTGCCGTGTAGCCAGTGTATAGCCGGGATGTAAACGAGTCTCAAGGTGAAAGAAACCAACGGCCGGCGGGTATACCTGGGTCCTTGGTATAGTCAACCCTCAGGGACGCCCAGCGGCTTGAGACCCATTTTTTTCTCACCTCTCTTTTTCCTCATCCAGCTTGAATACTCGTAACGTTAGAGTCTGCGCATTTGTGTCAGTTCGAAAATACGGTAGAGACTTTTCCCTTCTTTTTCTTTACGTCCCATTAAAATAATTTGACTCTATCTCTCCGATCCCCTTCCTTTAGCTTTCTGTCTTCGTACGTAGGTACATATATAAACCCGTGTAAAGACGTAACACGTAGTTATACAGTCTGTTTATTTTCATATTTCTGACTGCTACGTATTTTTAATGTTAATTAATTGCTCGAACGTAACCTTATTGATTCTGAGGTCTCTTATGAAACTGTTGTCAGCTTAATTAATTCGAATGCTACTGTTGTTTGTATATGAATGCGCTTGAGTTGCATATGCTGGAGGGGACCATCGATAAACAAAAAACTCGTAACGTTGGCATTAATGAGAAACTTCGTAAGATTGGCATTAATTTATTGTCGGACTATTAAAATTAATACGTATGAGCGGTCCAGGAGACGTGGGACGCTACGTGTACCCACTGCGAACGTAAGAGATGTAGTTTGGTATTGATCGGTGCGGCTATTTCTCCCGCAATGCTATACAGCTCGTACCCTGGGTAGGATTTTATGTGTATGGGCAACTATGCAGTTGATGATTAATGGTGACGAATGACCTGGCAAAATTTTTTATTTCAGTGGATGCATACTAGGTAACTGTTTTAGGTAGTGTACACAGTGACGTGACGTGGGATTAATAAAGTAAATAATCCGTTTACTTGCTGGCATGATAAAGGAGAACGTGTTCTGGTTCTGTTTTGTTACGGTATTATCTGGCAGTTATTTTTAATTAGCAGATGGATTTAATTGTACCGTAGAACCTTAACCCCCGTGCCTGGTGAGTTTGATACATTTAAATACGGCATTTTTTTCGTTGTATATCTTTTGCACGTAGATAGGTAAATTGTGCGTGGGGAGGAATGTTGGGGACATTTGAAGATGTTATCGAATAACTTTGTTCCGTCTTTTCTTAGATCCTTGCTCATGTCGATTGACGTCATAGGAGGGATGCTTGATTTACTGGTGGAAACGCGTTAAACGCATTTTACGATTGATTAATTCGGGATAATGTCAGTGACGGGAAAGAAGATGTACTGCGTCAATTCTTTGGGTCTGGAGATACTTGTTCTTTATTATATTTGCGCTTAGTCTGTTGCTTATAGTGATAATCATGTTTAACGTATATCTTTTAAGGAAATTCGTTTTATGTTCTGTAGATCGTTTAAGTCGCTAGCTTGACGTGAAAGAAATAATTTCTAGTCGTCTTGTGGGACCTGTAGCATTAACTACTGTCAGGTCGGTAAGGGCGGAAGGTTTCTTTACCGACTGGTGGCTATTTACCCAGGAAAGGTTAAATGCCTTTGTTCAGAGATGTCGCCATAGTCGTCAGTCAGCCGGTCGATCTAATCGTAAGAGAAAGGGAAAAGGTCGGATCACCTCCCGCCGGAGTTTATGGACCTTTTCTTCTGTAAAATGAGCTTCGACTCAAATGTCTCTCTGTTGTTATGATCCTTTGGCCTATCCTTTTCACGGATACATACTTTTCTCGAAGTTATCCAAGCAGATAGCATTATTAGATCAGGACATGCATTTTGTAAGTTTTATACGTCCATTTAAAGTATTCAAGGTTAAGAAGATTCCTAACAGTTCGGAGTGCCATTTTCATTTTCAGTTTCGTGAAACCACGCCAAGTGGTTCTTCTCTATCTTATTCGATACTCAGGGCCATCGTTGTGTTGCTTCTTAGTGGGCTGAAAGCCAAACTTGGTCTGGTACAAGATTCCTTTGTGCAGGATAAACGTATTTCGTTCACCCAGCCGCTTACGCGTAAATATAACGTTTCTGCTGTGGGTATCGTGAACGACACAGAGACAGTTTATGAAAAAAGAAAAAAAGTCTGCAGGTACCAGCAGCCAAATGTAAATTCCAATGTTTCTCTTAACTGACAAAAATTACCGTATGTCGCAGATTACGGACACGTTCAGGTTAAATCGATGAGTCGGGCATCATTATTCAAGCCTCCATTGTCTTTAAAGCTCTAACGCTTATACCGCATCGATACGAAATTGCAAATTTTGCAATTTTATACGTTTCAATCGTGACAGTATGAGACGTTTCACTATCCGTTAATCATCCGTGTGCATTAATAATAAATAATTATCCCACGGTTATACTCCAGCACTCACGTTACAGTAATGTCATTCTAGTCAGAAGTATCTTTCATCTCGTATTTCTAATCTATGCTCACTCCCTTATTTTAACGTTCTCCATTACACTCATATTCATACCTTAAGAAGAATTCACATAATATACTTGGGAAACTATGAATTCGTATTTTCCAAAGAAAAGAAGCTTACGATTCATGAGTCTATTTTAAGCTCCCCGTATATTCCAGACTAATCATCCGTATACCTGTCTACTATAAGTTTCAATGGTGACCCTAGCGGAGGGTGTAAATAATTAAGTATAGTCCAGAAGGCAAACGGTGTAAGAGGTTATTTCCAGCGGTTTCATTGGCGGAGACTTTCATTACCAGGGTGGAAGACGAAGCTGATTGGCTGAACAACCGACTGAGACAGAAGGATCGATTTTTTCTTTAAAGAAAGCTTTCTATTTTATTTTTTATCAAACACCAGTTTTTTGGCACTGCCCATCAATCTACTCCACAATCCCTATGAAAACTTGTCTATTTTAAGGAATTCTCGACGGTCCGATACAGTTGATGATCACGGACAATTATTGACGGACTAATGGCTCCATTACGTCATACACTGAAATTCAGCTGGCAAGTTGTAGCAAGTGGCACGTATGGAATACGCGGTTATTGTCCGGCAGGGCCGTTACTATAGAACACAGAGGGTTGCCATGTGATTGCGTGGGCGCCAGAGAGTCTATTGTCTCTCTGTATCCAAACCCTTCATGGGATATATATGTATGTACATATGCCTCCACTATTCAGTGGATATCGTGTTTACCCATACAGGAAAGGGTAAGGTTGCGTTTCATTGGCCACTGGACTAACTGTAAGCCAAGATGTCAGAACCCCTATGCAATTAACATTGTACATTTTTGTAAGGTCGTGAGAAAAAAAAAATAAATAATTACGAAATGCGACGGTTGGTCAGAATCTAAGAAACAGGAACAAAAAGTCAGTTACACTAATCTCAACAAGGTACTAGAGAAACACATTCTGGCAGAGATCTGCTTTGCAAGATATTTACTCCTTTGTGTATTCTAAGATCATTTGCTTTCCCGGACTACGATTGCGACCAGCAGTCTCGTTTATTTTCTACGCACTGCTATCTGCTTGTGTTGAACGTGCACTTGAAAATTTTCCTTAGGAAACACAAAATTCTTGGCAAGAGATTTATAGTACGTTTCTAAGGCAGCGTTTCTGGGTCCTTATACATATGTATCTGTTGTATCAGTTCGTTGGATCGCAGGGTTATTTTTCGCCATAAGTAGAATTGGCCCATTGTAGATACAAATTTTTAGAGATATGTGTGAAATAAATTCAAGAATCCTTTATTTTATAGTTCGTTACGTCAGGAAGGATTTATGCTTGTAATACTAATTAATGTTATTAATAAGATCCTTGATAAGTCATATCAACGGACGTCTTCAGGAACGTGGAACGGGTATCGGGTGTTCAGAAAGACATTCGAAGGATATGTTATGAATTGATTCGAAATCCTACATCGTGTATCACATAACGTGATCATTACGAAATGGATATTACGACATAACAGTTTTATAAATATTCCTTACACGATGTCTTTGTACATCTACTCCGAATGTAATATAATTGATCCACGTAGGAATATAAAAAAATACAAGAAATGTTCAGATCTTTGAAGTTGGGTTATCGCACTTTTTTCTACTTTCAATAAGCCTATTCTTTCTTGTTATAAAAAATAATTTTAATTAACGGAAGCATACCCTGGTATCTTATCTGTAGTCGGATTGGCATATTGCACGTAAGACTGAAATACTTTGAGCACCGCTTGGCAGTCCAAGCGAACTTGGCAGTCGTCGGAAGATGCTTTTGACAGTTATCTCTGGTCATAAAGACGATATCCATTTGTATCCATGTTCAGGGATAAATTCCAAGGCTGGTTTTGTGTAGACTCACTACGAATGCAATAATTTTATTTGGAGCGTCTTCGAATTTACATGGGATGCATATAATAGGATATGATTGGTAAAAGTCAGCATGACATACATATAGGCGTTGTCATGTTACGCAATGAGCGTTATCAAGCATTTCGGCGTATCACGTGCTATGACTGGTTAAGATAAAAGTAGCTTTGTTGCACCACCTACCGTAAGATTGAATTGTGGTCGACGTCTTGGTATTTCGCAGACACACGTTTCGTCGGAGGTCGTTAGCGACGAAGCCATAAACTACTTCCATATGAGAACTCCCCTTCATCCGCTTAACGGAATTCGGCAGCAATGATGACCGCAGGTTCGAAGTACGATACTTTATTGGGAATAAGTGTTACAAGTGTATTCTAGACTGATGACGACTAGCATTGATTGACCTGAGGAAGAATAAATATAGGCGGTTTCATTGGACGAGAATAAAATGTCGAATTTATTAGTTTAATCGCGATAGATTTGAGTTAGATATTTAGTTTCGCTTGGGAGAACTTGACTGACCGTGTCTATCGTTATCACCATAAATTTTCTTATTTGCTGATTCATTCAATCTGACATTTAACTATGTTTTTATCGTACAGGATTTAAGTGGGATTTTAATAAATCACGTGCAAAGTTTGAGGAGAATATTCGTGTAGACGCGAATATTCTTCTCAAACTTTGCACTTGAGTGGGTAATCCTACCTAAGTCCTGCACGATGAAAACGTAATTATTGTATGTCGTGGTTAAGCGCACTTGAAAAGTTTCCATGAAAATTTTTATCATACTCCTGGTTGAGGTTAATACGTCCTGTTCGTAAAGAGCGTAGTTGTTATGGTTGCCGTCAACGCCGTCAAGCTGCGATGTCGCTCCGGTAGTTCGTAGCTGTGAGCGCTGGGGACGAGGCTGGGAAAGATGGCGGTGAATGTTCGTTGGTGCTTGTCGACGGGAGGTTAGGAGGGAATAGAGGAGGGCAGGAGAGCAAGAGGGAGTACGAACCCTCTTGCGGGTCGATAACAGTCCTCTCAGTCCTCTTTTTGACGTGCACGAGTTGCGTTATACTCGTATATCGGGCGTATAACGGGCACGAATTATACCCTAACACGCGTAGAAAGACTGGTGCTGGTGCAATAGATTACGAACGTCCATAGGGCATTGTGGAGTCCGGGAGGCCACAGTTGTTGGTTATCTAGCTCGTGCAGGGGGATTAGGGTGCGAACTAGTCGGAAACAATAGTAGCAACGAGCAATTGTGCGTCGCCGCGTACAGTGCAAAAAGTTTCCTCCCCTTTTAGCGAGGGGTGTCGACTCCAGTGAAACATCAGTCATCAGGAGACGAGTCAGTGGTTTTATAGAGCACCATGGAACCGGAAGTAGCACCAGCGTGTAAATTACCCAGGGTCGAGCAAATTGAGGGACAGGGCGCCGATCTAGTATGCAAGAGGCCATCGGATGCTTCGGCCGAGGGTTGTCCCTGCTTCTGGAACATTCTTGATCCTCGTAAGAATATTTCTTGACAAATGACACATCCGATTTACGTACCGGATAATACCATGCGATCATCGCTATACATTCATCACACATACAATCATCATCTATTAGTATGTCCATATAATTTTTCCAGTCTACTCCGTAGGATTTGAGATAAAATATATTTTTTAGTTTTTCTTTTTTTTTCCCCCCATAGAAAGTACATATCCGTCATCGCCGTTCCCAAGTCCAAGCACGATAAATCCCTTTTAATTTATCAGGATGAAAGAGAAAAACCGGCCTGCGCACTAGTAACTAAGGAAACTTTTTTATATGCAGTACAAGGTACGAGCTCGATTAGTTTTACTTTATTTTTAGCCTATAGAATCGAGCTCTCGGATATAAGCTATGATACTTCTAACAAAAAGGTCGATGACTTTATCGATATTAGGCCATGACTAAAGTACAGTATTATGAAAGAGAAAATGCAGTTTCTGGAGTCTGACAACTTCAAGGTGTAGAGAAGAGTGAAACGCCTAGCTAACCTTACGAGTAAGAATATTAATACGCCAAAGTTTAATTGATTTCTATGTAGTGTCTATTTTTGAACTTTTTAAATTTAATTTAAAATATTTATTTTCGACGCGTTGATAACTGTGGCTTTATTGACCTGGAGTAATTAGCTTCGCTCATTGGGTGAGTCTACACAATTCTCTAGTGGCCAAGGACTCGTTACGTGGAGTTGACTCCGGCATGAAAAAACTCTAGTTAAATTGTTATTTTATATATTTTCGACACTGTGACATTTCATTATTCATACAGTATGCCAATAGCTACGTCTGTATTTCTTAATTCGCGAAGAGTTTAGCATCGTGATCAATCGCTGGGTCCAGCCTGTTCATCTTACAGCTCAGGAATGACTCCCGACTTTATATGTATTAATTCTGCGCAAATACGTTATACGCTAACGTCATCGTAGACTAGCTCTTTTTTTTCGTGTCCTTGCATCGCCGCGTAACTGTTGGATGACGTAGCACCAATGATTATCTCCTTCGTATCACCTTTATAAGTACGCATTAAGTCGCTGTTTCGACTACTGGGATTTTTTGTCTGTCATATATATGTATGCGCGTCGTCATAGTCAGAAATGTTGCGTATCGAACATGAAAATCCAAGATGGAGACCTGCGGAGCACGTATTAATGCGTAACAAGAGTAAACGTGTGATAAATTCGAATCTCGTAATTACCATGATAAAAAGTCCAAGCGATTTTGATTAAAAGCACTTAGGTTAGGTTAGAAGTGGTAGGAGTAAAAATAATATCGTTCGCACAGAGGACTTTGATAAATAAAGGAAAAACAATTCGCAATAATAATAACAGCGATCAGGGGGATGCGGACGATAAAAGATAATTTATCGTAAAAAGCATGTAAATAAATGTTACGTGCGCGAGATACCTATTATTAATAGATTATGACGAGCGTGTATGATTCATAATTAATTATTGAAATATCTATTCTCCAATGTTTAACGTAAAAGTTTCAACTCAACTATATGACACGATGGCTAATATTCAATTGTGATTCGTAAGGAAAGCCGTAACTTGTTTTTTAAAAATGTACATTTTTCCATTCAAATTTCGTGGAACGTAGGAAAGTAGTTGTAAATGTATTCCAAGGTTTTGTGAAATTTTAAAAACTTACTATTTCCATCAATAACGATACACTGTACACATTGGCACGTGCATTTCAATATAACGTGGGTATTTAAAACGTGCTCTTTTAATATACTCCAACGTACTTGACATAGTGAGCTTCTGCATTGTCCATGAAGAAGCAACGAGGGGGACGATTTGAATGGTACTTTTTTTTTTCTTTCCTTCCTTCCCTGCCGCCATAACACTCGACATGCACTCCCCTTGTGACATTCCTACTTCAAGCACTTTTAATAATCTCGCTACGCCAGTGCCTCTGGATATTTCGTTGCAGAACATAATATTCATCATCGTATTGACTAACGTATTAGACTTCTATTTTTATGCACAGACGCTACTTCGATATGCGTGATATTTATCGATACAGACTTTTACGATGGTTCACAGATCAATTGGAGTCCATAAGCGACTGATCGATAATATAAACTGGACAAATTTTCATTTCGGAATTCTGACGATATGTGGAATTTATATTTAAAATGTAGAAATAAAATTTGAAACTGATGTCTGCAATCGCTACTACCTTGACTTATCTAGTAGTTATCTTTACGTTATCATTTAGGCTTTTATCGTGATAATAATGGCGCGAGATAACTGGGTTCAAAGTGCAACGGACAGTTTTATTGTTGGTCAGGATACGTGAGTCATTTTCTTGATTTAATTCACTGAAATACTGTTGTTTTATTGCGTGCTTTGTACTTCGAATTTGAGGTACGTGTCTAGTGGAGGGTATTGTGCGGGGACGTGTCTGCCAGCTGCTGAGACCTTATTATGGGTCGATGCTAATTATCCGAGCTAAGTTTAAAGTCCCAATGCCTTCTGGCGGCCAACGCATTCCGAGGAATGAAGAATACGCAAAGCTCGATGGTATTCTGTAGCCGCTTTGAAAACCGTCCAAAGAGGACTTGTCAATCGAATTAGAACGGGCTTGACTGTAGTAGACAACGCTTTGTGGCTGTAGACATTTTACTTTCATCTGGTCGTCATTTTATAGGGGAAAACTACTCTACTTTTTTTGACAGATTTTCATCGAAGGGTTAATAATAATATTTAATATGCTCATAATAATACGTAAGGTACTTATGATTATCAATTTGTATTGATTCGAATTGCATGAACTGATAATAATACCAGGTGCTACGTTAATCTTCTTTTCTGTCTGTAAATATTCTGCATTAAACTTGACTTGGAGTAGATGAAGAAAATGACAGGAAGTGCAAATAAATCTGTCAGGAAGATACGCTTTTCATTGGATATTTTACGGAATCGCAATTTTTCTATGATAGCTTTGCCGTAGGTTAAAGTTTCTTGCGATATCTTACCGGAAATTAATTGCAAAAGCAGTCACGGTTGCATTTAAATAGATTTGAACTGTAGGTTCCGGAAGTCGTATATACGACTTGCATGTAAATTCGTTAATTTTATAACGATATTAAATGATCTTACGAAATGTGCACGTAGTATTATTAATCGAGTAACGAAAGAGATCAAGTTATTTTCTTTCGAAAAAAATTAATATTTCATTCTAACATATTAACATCGCCCTTCTTTTCGCTCAATACTCTCGCACACTCTTTACAACAAACATAAATTTCACTCCACTGTATATCTATAAGCACACTCGATTCTATGGTGATGGAATGTAGCATTAACATATTTGGTTATGTTGTTTACAGACGCATGGTTTAACCCCGAAAGACTGAACCCAAAAGGTAAGAAAATCGAGAAGAATGTTTTTCGATTATGTTTTTCCGGTGTTGGTGATTAGAATAGAATAATCTGTGGTATACCCAAATTTCTTTTAGTACCTAGGAATAGTCTTGTTATTGTTTTGTGTCTTTTATTTGTATTGTCGTAGACGGTGAAACATCGTTAAATCCAAATGACGTTTTTACCGATAGACTCCTTGAAAATTCTACCACAAGTAACCGGAAGCATTTAATTTTAAACTTGACTCAACGAAGTACACCCTATTTCATATATTTAATACGTAAATTGCTTTATTTATTACACCCCTAGATAATATGATTTAAAGTCCAAGAAAATTAGGATTCCAAAAAAAGTGTTCAATTCGCTTTCGCTGTCTGGCATCCTTACGGATATTGCCAATCAAGATTTAATTAAGAATACTGTCCGATTGGCGAGCAATGCTCTCAATCAGTTTCGTATTTATCAGTCTGCCCTCGAATCAAGCGAAAATTGAATGCGTCCCAGAGATATGACGAATTGATAATGGTGTTTCATGAGCTGTCCCAAATAATACAATTCGAACTTTAAACATCCGTTGGTCTCGATGACAGAGCCAGAAGCATAAAAGTGTTTGCGACTCTGTCGATAAGAAAGATCAGCCCGGTCGATAAATTCGCAGCGTCATCTAACGTTCAGTGAGCGTGACTCTTGCTCGATCAGCGCCAGAAAATTCAGTTTTTCGTAGGTAGTGCCTTATAAGCTAGGGCTATATGTCTCCTCGAAAATCCAGTGTAAACAGGCCCTAAGGGACGAAGGTCTTCGTCAGTCTCGACTACCTGAACGATCCCTTTATACGCTTAAGGCGTCCATTTTTAATGCTTCCCTGAGAATTGCCGCGACAGTAGGCAGCCTGTTCTCGTGGAGACTGGTTTTCTCCGTGTACACAAAACCCAGTGCAATCAACCGAACTCCGTGTTTTCATCAGTATCGAAAGTCGCGCCAAAAGGACGCCAAACGTAGCTTATATCCCACTGATTGTCGTGTGACATCACGCGACGATTTCTTCCCAATAAAGAGAGAGGAAAAGGGGGAACATTAAGAGGGACGCATCTTCGTCCATTCGCCGTCCGGCTGTGCGTCCCGTGGCTCGGATAACTAAATATAACGTCCAGCCAGGATCGTTGGTCGGCTGCCAACGTCTCTCGGGCTTTTGCTTCGGCGGCCAGTTCCTTCGCGGTGAAGTGCTCCGAGTGTCCGGTCGGCCCTGATTTCTTCTTCTTATACCGCACGTCCTTAGCCGTTTGTTAGGCTTCCCTTGCGTATCTACGAGTAACTCTCGACGTTTAGCAACTATTTGGATTATTTTCAAGCACGAGGACAGAATACTCGTGCGAAGGTGCTATTACGAATCGTTCGGCGTTGCTGGCACGTCAGAGATGGCTATCACCAGGGAAGAACGTGAGTACTACCGGCATTTTCAAAAATATAGTGATTACGAATGGATCAAGAATTTTAAACTAGGTTGGGGAAGGATTCGTAATATACTTTTATTAAGATGGACTGTGTGATCTTCTTTTTTGGAATTTTACTAACGTTAACTATTCCTTTGGAATTTATTCAAGATTTCATACTGTATTGAGATGAGATACTATTTTTTTGTCTGATATCTCAAGATGGAGGCTTTTATTGATGATAATCGAATTACTCAATTGAAGTGACTTTATTTTTAAGCGATCATATAATTGTCAGAATTGAGCTTACAGTGGAATTTCTCATGAGTCAAATACTTTTTTTTCTGGACTTGAATAAAAACGTGAAAATTCAGTTTTGAGGTTACGAGCGTTATGTATATTGAATGCGTACAGTTTTATTTTAAAATGAAGATCAATGAGGTTAAAAATTCCAATTAAATATCTTTATTGTTGATAGCCAAACTCAAGTGTTTTTTTTTAAACTACCTCTTTCTTAATTCATTTATTTTGCTTTCACCACAGGAAATGAAACACGTTTCATACACTAGTCTAGAATTTTCTACTTTGCTTTATGCATTCAGCCTTTCGACGATTATTATTTCCAAGAAATGCAAAAGACAGAAGTAAGCCATCATGGGAAATTTTGTTGTTTCATCTTTTGAGATTCACATGTGTCATTAAACTTTTCGGACCCGTTTAATTCTGGATTCTCGCAATGAATCGAAGAGGAAGCGTGAAAGATATTTCACGCGAAATATTTTTAGCTGACTCCTGCCTCCCGTTTCGTCGACTGTCCAGACGCCATGAGGATGATCCATGTTTCCACGACGCGTCACGGCGATTCATCGAACGCTCTCAAGTCTGTCTGTCACGCTTCACGTATTCTCTATAAAAATCATGCAATACCCAACCAACTGCAGACGGTGACTTGGTTTCGTTAAACTTTTTGAACTTTGCTCCGTTTATTTTGGGTATGTCGAGAGAGGCTTACGGGTTATGTAAGAAGGGACCGATCTGGTGCCGGCTCTTTGGCCCAGGATTCACGTGCGAATTATTTGAGTCATTAAAAAATTATTCGAATTTGAAAAAAAATTCTCTTAGTTTACATTCCGCGGAAATCATGGTTTCTTATTTTTCGTTTTTCTTCTTTTGAAGTTAATTCACTTCACTGATTTCTGTAAGAATCCTACTCAGTGTATTATGCAATCGATAAAATTTGGTTAAATATTATTTTTCCAAAAAAATGTTTTTCTCTCAAAGCTTACAAAAGAACGAGAGTAAAAATTTTCATTACGATTCGAATATCATCGATTGTTTTAACGTGCAATGCGTCATGCGCAATTGGTACGAAGTGACAATTAGTAATTAGTACCTACATATGCGATTAATGCATGTGTCGAGTTAGAACCTTGAAATTGATCCAATAATAACGATCGACTCATTGTGGCAGCTTGTCGATATTTACTTCCTACACTATAATGTAATACAGTTCATACCTTTATTAGCATATATACCGTGAACAGTAAATTTGCGTTTAATTGGAAATCATTATGACTTTCGATATCAAAATTTCCAACGAAGTTGCAAATTTATCTTCTTTTTTTCGAAGTTTTGTATAAATACTTCATGTTCTCTTTACGATCTAAGTCTACAAATGGATGCGTTAAGAATTGAAAATTAGGCGATTTACTCTGATTTTGAACACGTGCCAATCGTGTAGTACTTAAACTCACAGAATACGTCTGGTAGAGGGCTCTGCTCTAATTCAGTTTATTATTAGTATCGGTGACACCAGTGGCGGATGAGTGATTGTCACACAAGGTGATTAAGGTTCGATCTGAAAATGGCCGTAGGAAAAGTAAAGAAAATCCACGAGTACATTAGTGACTGTACCCGACGTTGATTTATCAGTTTGTCAAGTTTCAAGTTTCATTGTAACTACGCCACCGCACTCCTTTGTTTGTTCATTTCTGCAGCAGTTGTCTTTTATTCGATCCCTGTCGCTACTGAATCTCCGTATATTTTTCTTGGTTAGGGCTTTACCAGGTAGGTGTATTGCGTAAGGTAGGGACTCGCCCCCTGCCTCGGACGAAATCAATAACTGACGCCATTAATGCGTCGTAGGGACTGCAGAGAACGTTGAAGAGAAAATGTGAAGAGTCTATACTGTGTTATTATCAGATGGATTACAATGTACGTAGCTTCTCTGTTAATTTTCTCCAGAGGGTCAAGTGTCCACTTAAAGGTACATTCTGCGACACTTGAGACTAAACCTGCAGACTTGGCAAGAACCTGAAAATTAATCCGAAATAAGGCTTCCACGCGTTGTCTTCGACTATCGAAACGCCGCAATGCGGCAATAGGTGCACAGGGACAGCGTCTATTCACAAACTCAATATACATATATTTGTTTTTTGATTCGAGGAATTTCGTATAATACATACAAGCAGTCTAGACTAACATCATATAGACCACTCTGTCAATTTTGATAAGGATAAAAAATTCCCAAATAGAACAATCATAAAGTATCCAAATCCTATGATATTAAATTAAAATGTTTTTATTAAAAAAAAAGAATTTCGAACCAAAATTTCTTTCGCGTCATTCCCAGCAAGATAAATTCGTTCCAATACACAGTTCGGACTTCACAATGGCACAAGTCGTCACTGACTACAAAGCCTAGACAAAAATGTCTAACCAACTGTCTGGCATCGTGTTGCACACTGTTATCAATTCGATAGTGGCGCCATCGCTCGGAGATCGTGATTTTAAAAAGTCGTCGCGTCACGTGACCGAACGCGTTGGCGCACGTGGCGCCAACTTGCCGGTTTCACGTAGCTCGCCGAGACAACTCACAGGTTCTACGTATTCTCGCGCACAAGGACGCCTGCTTGGTTATCCGAACCTAAGAGTTACGTGGATCTCTGTGGTGACTTTTGACGCGTACTTTACACTCGGACGTTATTGGCAATTCCGGAAATCGTCTTGTTGCCCCGTTGAACATACGTTACATTCCGCCATTAACACTCGCAGCGGCATCTACCTACCACACTAACCCGATATGACGTACATATCTACAATAAATTTTCTACCGCACTACTCAGTCTCGTGTGGTTCTTGCTCCTTTCTCTCTCACTTTCAGACCATTCTTTTTACACTTTTTTCTCTCCGACTCTCGATCCTGAGTGGTCAACTCGCACTCTCGCTCGGTCGTATACCTTTTCTATACGTTCCACAAGCCTCACGGTTAGCTGCTTCAGTCGCGTGTGCCGCTTTGCCCTGGCACGTACTTACATAGCAGCTTCGTTGAATTCTGTTCTTCCTTTAACTAGAAGACAACAATAACTGTATATCTGACAAAATGGTGAGAAAGAACGAACGTAGACAACGGGTTGAGGATCTTCCCGAAAGAGGACCTGGTGAGTTTTTTTTATCCTTTCATATTCTTCGTTTATTAGAAGCCTGGAGGAACATATGGTTAATGAGACATGCACGTGGTAACGGGTATCGCACAATCCTCTGGTTTAGTACATTGGCTCAGTCAGCCTTAGGGATGTTGGAGAAAATTATGACAGGGAAATTTGAATGTGTCGAGCATATATATTTTTGGGTTTAATAACGAAGAGACTGCTGACGTATACAATTTCGGCGCCCGACATATTTAGGTTGTACCGATGAAATTCTTTTCGGAAATTTTAACCGTCCAAGGTGCCTACGGTGGCTATGGCTATTTTCAGAGCCGATAACATATATGTTCAGCATATTCATGATATTTCTATCTCTCTATAGCTGTTTCTTTTTCATACACGCGGAAGTGAATTCTCAGAGGGTTTCTTGATGATCATATTCTTTTGTTATATCTTATTTGACACAATTGTGCTAGGCATATATGATTGTTAGGAAAGGTTGTTTGATGTAATGATATGCTGATAATTTAATTAGAAAAAAATAACGTCATAATACTGTCTCGTCTGGTCATTCTCTTATCGCTTAGCAAACAGATGTACATTTTTGTATGTTTTAGGAGGTAATTAAAGTCGTCACGTGATAAGCGAATGTAAACTGCTTCGGTATACGTATCGGAGCATTGATTGACACTAGCGTACAGATACGTGGGTTGTTTATTTATTTTTTAAATAATATGCACAGTCATGCACAAGTATGGTAATTTATATAAAAAAATCTCATTGGCGTACTCTTATTCGTAAATTCTCATAATATTCGAACGCGAGTTTTGAAAATCAAAAAAAAAATTTTGCTGGTAATCCGACGCGAAGGAAACTGACACGTTGTCGGTAAAGAAGAACGTGGCAAGGTTTAGGATATCCAAAGAATCTTCACAGAGCACATTTAACCCAGTTATTATTAGATTGTCTTGTTTGACGCTCTCTATTCATTTCTCGAAGTCAAACAACACTTAATGAGACTATTCGAGGTGGAATTTCAGGTTGATAATTTTTTCAAAAATATTACAAAAAATCTTCCATTTGGATCATCCAATGGAAAACTGTACGGCGTCACTTGGCCGTTATCAGAAATGTGATAAACATGTGTAAGCAAGTTCGATCGGACTATGGTTGGATCATTGTTCCTCTGATAAGGTCTAACGAAGGTCGAATCGTCAATCCACCAAGTTCCTACAGTATCCGGGAGTTTAGTGATGAAATCTTGAAAATTCATCCCCACTGTTGTTACCACAATCAATGAGAACGAATAGGTCGGCGAATATAAATTTTCGACACGTCCTCGAAATTGAAACGGTTTCTCAGCGAAACCCACCTCGTCACCGGAAGTTCCGAACGATCGTATTACAAGAGTAGTTCGTCATAATTCCGCTCACGAATATTCGTCGCCTGGGGATTGAACTGACAGAGTGACGTCACCTGTGGAATTACGTGGCCTTTAGCTTCATTCCCTTCATTGGCGTCGTCCTAACAGGTTCCTAGCGGTTTTTCATGATTTCATCAAGCATTATCATCGTGGGACTAAACGAACCTCGTAAAAGATTTTGCGGATCTGTTTTGCTGTTTACTTCGCACTCGCAATCTTTGACTATGCGATTATTCGTAACGAGCACGAGCGACGTACAGTGCAGGGATCATTCAAGTTTATGAATTGTACGACGCCACTTTGTCCTCCTTTTGATCATCATGTCGCACTTTTAAACTCGATGATTAATAGCGCTTTCTCGATAACGCAGGGAGAATTCTCGACGAAGTTTCTTTTCAGATCGAATTCACTCAGCGTTTATTTATAGACTTTTATTTTCAACGTTCCATCGCGAACGTTATTCTGGACTTTCGAGACTCCAATACGTTTCCGTTGCCGAGTGCACGAGACATTTGAAAGAAAAGGAAGAGATTCCTTTACTATTTCGAGAAGCAACCCACACACTTTGCTATTCTTCCGCGAGAACCTGTGAGAATTGACGTTTTACATGAGCATCGAGAGTTTGCTTAAAGATATGGCGTGTGTGGATCGTTGCTATTATTAGTCCTTATATTCCAGGTCGTACCTGCTGACCTTATTGTTTGAAAAAAAATAAACATGAATACTCGTTGTTTATAGAATGAGGCATTAAAAAATGATGGGAGAGAATGATCAGTTAACATTATCGAGGTTCCTTTGTGCAACTGGATAAATTGGTTATGGACAATGAATATATAATAGTAGCGATGTACAAGAGCTTTATTGAACGAGGACGAGTGTTGCACAGTTTTGAATACGAAGTGGTTACGGGCGTGTGACGTCAGAATTAATTTGAAACTTTGTCCCTGTTCACAGTGGCGGCTCTGATCTATTGGCGCGACCCCAAGAAGTCGGGAATCGTCTTTGGTGCAATTCTTGGTGTACTACTCTCGCTGGCCTACTTCAGTCTGATCAGCGTGCTTGCTTACCTATCGCTACTCACTCTCACTGGCACCGTAGCCTTCCGTATCTACAAAAACGTCCTTCAAGCCGTTCAGAAGACGTCCGATGGACATCCATTCAAGTGAGTTCATTCGTACACCTCGCTAAGAGCTTTCGGTTCGCTTGGAACGAGGGTTGCGGAGTCACGGATAAAGTTGTCTTTGCGTTTTTCAGGGATATTCTCGATGTGGATCTTACTTTGCCGGCTGAGAAGGTGCACGAATTTGCTGACGTAGCTGTGGCGCACGCGAATGCCGCCGTTACTGAACTTCGCAGGCTCTTCCTGGTCGAGGACATCGTGGACTCACTTAAGTTTGGTATTCTTCTCTGGTGCCTGACTTATCTAGGTTCATGGTTCAATGGCATGACCCTCATTATTATTGGTGAGTACACAAGTGATCTTCTGGGACACTGGCAATGAGTCGTCCCTGCTCTTTGGAGAGTCTTGGAAACCTGAGAGTATCTTGTTTCTCTTGTTACAGGTGTGGTCGCACTGTTCACATTGCCGAAAGTCTACGAGACGAACAAGACGCAGATCGACCAGAATTTAGCCTTGGTGCGCGGAAAGGTCAACGAGATCACCGCCAAGTTAGTATTTAATGTTTTTTTTTTTCCGTCAAGTTCGTTCTTGTGCTTTCTTTTTCTTCAGTTCAATTGCCATGAAGCAATTTAAAAGATTCTGCCTCTTCTTTCTGGAAGGGTGCCGAAGAAATTTCTGCATCAAGCAATCATCTCGAAATTACAAACTTACACAACGCCATTCCCATCCCAAGTCCAATTTTTGATTCGAAGATATGGGCGAGCTCGGTGATCTTTGGGTCGATCCACCAAGACTGCACAAGATATGTCCGAACCTTCTTTTCAATATCTATTTGAATTCCTTCATATTCCTTCCGTTCATTTCGTAGATTTAGAATTGAGCACCAATTATTTAGAAAATATCTAATGATTTGAATATTTATTTTGTGAAATTTAATAGTACTACTTATCCCCGATCATTGGATCTTGTTATACGCTTTCATTCATAAAAAGAAAATTTTTCAGACTCGTCACGAAAACTTCGTTTTCTTTTTATCTCATGAAAACTGGTCTTTTTATAATTAAACCGTAACTTCGAGTCAATCTCTTACAACGGTATTTTTAGCTTGCTTTTAGATCGAGCTAACAATCCAGAATAAATCGCTGTCTGACAACGAGCCAAATCCACTTGTTTTATCGGAAATACCAATCTTGGAGGCTTATCGATGATAACTCTTTGTATCGTATATTTATCGAATTTCTTAATTTATAAAAAATATCATCATATCTGAATCATTGTCATTTAGAGAATTTCGATTAGAATAATAAAGCTTTCAGCAAGTAATCATTAGTTTGATAATTGCGACTAACAGTTGCTTCGTGACAGTAGAGAACTTTGCAATTAGTCCCAGAGAAAGTGAAAGTGATCACCGGAGCATTGAGTATCATATAGAGGTTGATGGTATCACAAGATGATTACTGTGTTGATAATACAAATAATTTTTTAAGACACAAAGAAATGGACATTTTCACAACTAAGTTTCGTAATGTATAATTTCAGAGTGAAGGCGGCCATTCCTCTTGGCAAGAAGGCCGAACCCACGAAGGAGGATTAAGAAGATGAACGTCGTGATAATTAATGAGAGCGCGCGAACAGTCGAGAACAGTTTTCGGGGTTTATATGAGAATTGGGCGAGAAGGGGTAAGAAGTGAAGGAAACAAAGGGAATCGGAAATGAACAATGTTCAAAATAGCCGAGAAGTCACAGTGCGAAATAATTCTTGACGTTACAAGGGTACACGGAGCAATGGAGGAAGAAGGTATAAAACGAAAAGGGGAAGGAGGCAAAAATAGTAGATCGAACACGCGCGCGCGCATCAATATTCTAATAATGAATATCTTTAATAAGAAGTAAGATAACATTAGCGATTAATTAACTTTTCGTTATTACGATAAAGATGGTGGAATATTATAGTGAGCTGTAACAGTGCAATGAGGACAAGACGAAGGTCCTCATTTAAGTCGTAACTTAAGAGAAGGAAGAAAAAAAGAAAAGAAATCACTCTGCGACTATTGCGATCATGTTCTTTCGACTCTTTTTCAATTCGATCCTTTCTCCATTCTTTCACTCTTTCATCTTCTATCGCTCAAATTTCGCTTTCTTCGTGTACTCCGACCAAGGTACGAACGTCAGTGTTAGGATTGCGATGACGTTCGCTTCTAATGATGATTATATTCGATAAGATAAGCTTTCTCCGTTTGATGGATTTTTTTAATATGGAGACATTGCGATTTTCGTTAATTCGGGATCTCGTGGTAATGAAAAAAAGGTAACACAGAAGCTGCATTGTGGGAGGGATGAATCAGTCGTGCATGCTATGGCAAAAGAGAGTTCACGTGAGGAGAGAGAAGTAGAAGGAAAGAGAGAATTGGAGAAATGGAGTAAAGACATGTGATAATGGAGTAAAGAAACAATGGAGTGGAACACCCTGAGCGTTACGTGCTTGACAAAATTGTTTCTTTTTTTTAATCGTTAGAACTTAAGATAATTATTGTCTATTGTGCTGCGTCCCCCGAAATTCAGTTGTTAATGCGATTGGACAAAGATGAGAGAAAATAAAGCGAATATACAAAACGTATCTGTCTCTTGAATGACGTTGAGGATTGCGAAATATTATTACCATTACAATTATATTATTACAATTACACAAGCTAATATATTATAATACAGCGAACGATGAATTACACGGTCGCAGTGGGCTCAGCGATCGACGAAGAAAAAAAAAACAAATGAAAGGAAAACCTATTTAAGTGGTAAACGATGAAGATGCAACTTTATATTATATTATATTACTTATCTATAACTATGGAACCACGTGTTTTTATTGAGACTATCGCAAGTGTTAAGAATGTGAATTGTAATACGCGTACCGCTTCTTGACGTTTTCATTATTGCATCTGCATCCGCACGATTAATTTATAAATAAATGATATTAATAAGACTCACGACGATTACATTCATTCGGCATGGCACCAATCATCCAGTCATTCCCATATTCCATGAAATCTCTCCGGCAACTAAACTCTATTTGATATCTTCGGTCTCTTTATAAAATACTTGCAAATCCAATTATATTTTACGTTAAATAAATCAACAATTAAGATATCCGTATCCTGGTATCAATTGATCAAAGTAATGTTACTACCACATGACGAGATGGGTATCCCTTTTGAATCTCCCGCTATTAAGATGGCGCTCTACGTTGCTCAGACTCTCCGCTAGGGAGCGCATGCGTGACCTTGTGACAAGGTGACCGCCTCTATGTCACATAAGAAACATCATTCGCGCTTAGCAGGTCGTTCGAGCATCGTCGTGCCGTTCCCAGTTCGCGAAGTCTAGTAAACGTTCGACAGAAGGTTCACCCGGCGACCCGGTTTCAAAGATGTCCATGTCGGACGTGGATCACGAGAAGAGAAAGCAGATTTCGGTGCGGGGTATCGTTGACGTTGAGAATGTCAGCAACTTCAAGAAGACCTTTAACAGGCATCTCCATTACACCCTGGTTAAGGATCGTAATGTTGCGACTACCCGAGATTATTATTTTGCATTAGCCCACAGCGTCAAGGACAACCTTGTCTCGCGATGGATTAGAACTCAGCAACATTACTACGAAAAGGATCCCAAGGTACGAAGATCCTGATATTTTCGCTAACATTCTTTGTCATTATTTTTGAAAGATACAGTTTTTCATCGCGCCGCCTTTCGTGTCCTTTACAGGATCCCATGACCTTGCCTCGAATACTATAAACATTGTAATATCTATTAATTACCCAAGTTTTAAGTATACTAATTTATTTTAATTCATTACAAATGTCAGTTTTATAACTCCAAATGCTGTTGGACAGATCGATCATTTTGATTTAAATTTCTCTTCTGCATGCGATATGGTTTTATAAACGATTGAGGTATGATTCTTATTTATCATTGTCGAAGAAAATCTGCTAGAAATAAAAAAATAAAGCTATTGTCGAATCCATAAATATTGTTCTAGTTTCTTCTCGGTTTACGTGTAAATCATTTCTTGAGGTAAAGGTCGAATCTCAACGAAAGGTCAAGCCCAGGATTCAAATTTGAACGGTTTTTCAAAACGAATTCGCTGGGAGCTAGATCGTTCGTGCTTATCAATATTCCGTGAGCGTATCAATTTACTTTTCTTTATCATCTTAAATGTTTAAACTTTATCAGTAACTTACAGTCCGAATATGAAGACTGTTCTATTTTGAGGTCACATTTGCTCGTTCTAGCCACCGTTGCCCTCTATAATTGAGCTTGACGAACTTACATCATTTATGATTTGGAACTAGCAGTACAGTGCCTTTGGCGTCCAAATATTTTCGACTCTCTCTTCTACTGCTAGCGTACTTGCTGCATTTTAAATTGATCACAGACTTCGTTTGGCTATCTTGTCTTGGCCAGGTTACTCCTCTCCCAGACTATCCTTATATTCCATTTGTCATCGTTCACAATACTAATTTGGAACTTTGTTCGCTAGGTGGATTCAGCCTTATTTATACTTTCAATTAGTCTTTTATACTAACTTAATTTTTAATTTTCATCTATCCACTTAGCTGACAATCATCTTGACAGGAGATTGTCTTTACGACTGTATTATTTTTAATTTATATATTTTATACTATATTACAAATTTCTATATCGCTGTGATGAATTCGTAGGACTGAACAAGATTTACTTTTTAAAACATTCGAAGCATATCTTTTAAGTGAGAATATGTCTATTACTTGACGTTTTCAAACTGTCATCTTGTACTTGCCAACTTCCACATATAAATAGAAACGCTCTCATGCTGTCAAGCGAAGGCGGCCTCTGCAAATTAAAGTCCTCGCACACTGCATACTTCATTGGCCGATAGTTCGATCAATATCGATCTGCGATAGTTTTGTTAATTTTCTCATCCGATAAAAAGTCCTGCAGTGTCCAAGAGCTCTTAATGGTTCATTAAAAATGAAATTTTCTTGCAAAGTTGTACGGGATAAGAATAACCATTTTCGCAACGCTGTTATCATCTTTCCATACGTATATTATATACGTTTCCATCATAAATGTGGGAGCTTGTCTTATATAATATTGTATAACACCATGTTATCAGAAGAAACCTAAAGGCAAAGTAGAGACATAATTTTAGTTACTCGATTAATAATATATATATAAATATATATAACCCAAATGTTACATTTACGTACATATATATATATAAATTCCTAAGAATATTTAAAAGTACAATTTTTCATATGAAAATCAGAAAACGATTTACGTGTCACACGGGAAGCATGAGTGCCATTGATTATTACTGTTAGAAAAGGATTTTGGCTCTAATTAATTGTTTATGTAGCAAGCATATATCAAGCTCAGGATTATTTTCACTAAACTCAATGCAGCTCACTATTTGATCAGTATTATTTTAGGACGGCCCGCTTAATTTTTGTGCTCCTCGCTTCACGTGGCCTCATTGCTAATCGTCCCTCCGTTATCTGAAGATTATTGTAATAAGTTTTGTTGCTCTTGATATCACCACGTGTCTGCACGATGATTCTACACGAGACAACTGAGGGATCATTCAATGATATCCTCACGATTATCCATGGCAGCGAGGATAGACTGGTAAAGGCAGAACCAGTATATTTTAGATTTGAAAAAAAGATATATAAATATGCTACATAATCCCCTCAAAAACTTCTGTGCTAATTTCAGAATTATTTTTATACCCATTGTTTCCAATAACTCTTATTGTCAGACGCAAAGTCCAATAGGGCAAATAATTCATTACTAGCATCTCCTCCATGCCCTCGTATATGATTATTTGGCTAGTGACTTTTTTTCCTGTGCATTATGCAAGCGGTTTCTTTTTATTAACTATTTTGTCTAGAAATGTTGTTTTGAAAGTATCGTAATTATAACTAAAAATTTGTTGTCAAAATGATTTTTAATCTTCACCAGCTTTTCCGCGAATATTGCAAGGCGATGGCGAAAGTGTTTCTGGGTAAACTTTGATTTATTTTGCGCGCCCTGTACGACGTACAGACAGACAAAAAGATAAAATCTGGCACGTGGGGATATTTTATTTGGTTAATAAAAACATGAAGAGAGCTCCGATTTATTTTTATCTTCGGCATAGGAATTACTTCGAGAAATATACGTGTTGGTGTCAACCGCTTGCCTAACGAATTTATTTTTCGTTTTAATACTTGGAGTGTGTCGGTAAAGAAGATTTTAGGTGCGTTTCCGTGCTGTTCTCTTGGTTATAAGAAATTCTGTATGGGTTTTGAGTCAATAGGAACATTGAAAAGTTCTGATTATACATAACACCCAAGTAATAGAGATTGTAGGCAATCGAGATGATATGAAAATTGTATAGTAATCACTACTACTCACTCATCCTGGACCAGTTTCGTGGTCTTGTCGCAGCATCAGGTCGAAGACCTCTATAATGAAACAAAATACTCATCCGGTTTTATTCGCATAATTGCCACTTTAAAAAATTGTATTTCTTTTTACAGAGGATATACTATCTGTCGTTAGAGTACTACATGGGCAGATCTTTGCAGAACACTATGATTAATCTTGGGATTCAAGGAGCTTGCGACGAAGCTATGTATCAGGTAATACATATAGAATAATAAAATAAAAATTATTGCATTGCGACGTCACTGGTCTTCTCTCGTAGATGGGTCTGAATATTGAGGAGCTTGAAGAACTCGAAGATGATGCTGGTCTCGGTAATGGAGGATTGGGAAGATTAGCTGCATGTTTCCTAGACAGTATGGCTACTATAGGACTGGCAGCTTATGGCTATGGTATAAGATACGACTATGGTATCTTTGCTCAGAAAATTAAGAATGGCGAACAAGTCGAGGAGCCTGATGATTGGCTTCGTTATGGAAATCCGTGGGAAAAGGCACGTCCGGAATTTATGCTTCCGGTGAACTTTTATGGTCACGTCATTGATACTCCCGAGGGCAAGAAGTGGGTGAACACGCAGGTTTGCAAGAAGATGAATAAAGCTTATATTTGCCATTTTGACAATTACCAATCAATTACGTATTTTCTTTTAATCGTCAGGTCGTATTCGCTATGCCCTATGATAATCCTATTCCTGGATACAATAACAATATTGTTAACACGCTGAGACTGTGGTCCGCCAAGTCACCGATTGAGTTCAATCTCAAGATCTGTAAGTGTCAATACTTTTGTAATACTGTTTTATGTTTAGTTATATATAATAATTACCTTGTATATTTTCAGTTAACGACGGCGACTATATACAAGCTGTTATTGATCGTACCCTGGCCGAGAATATTTCCAGAGTTCTCTACCCCAATGACAACTTCTTTGAGGGTAAAGAACTTCGTCTGAAGCAGGAGTACTTCATGGTGGCAGCTACTTTGCAAGATATCATCCGGCGTTATAAATCTAGTAAATTTGGCTCACGAGATCATCATAGGACAGACTTTGATTCCTTCCCTGACAAGGTCGCTATTCAATTGAACGACACGCACCCGTCACTGGCGATTCCCGAACTCATGAGGATCTTTCTTGACGTCGAGGGTCTTCCGTGGGAGAAGGTACAATATATCATTAATATCTGTTCATAAAGTATTAATTAATAGTGCTCTCGATATTTTTTCAGGCTTGGGATATCACTACACGTACTTGTGCGTATACAAATCACACCGTACTTCCAGAAGCTTTGGAACGCTGGCCAACCAGTATGCTCGAGAGCATCCTGCCTAGACATTTGCAGATCATCTATCATATAAATTTCCTTCATCTTCAGGAAGTCTCCGCTAAATATCCTGGTGACTTGGACCGTTTACGTCGTATGTCACTGGTTGAAGAAGACGGTGAGAAGAGAATCAACATGGCTCATCTGTCAATTGTAGGAAGTCATGCGATCAACGGTGTCGCTTGGATTCACTCTGAAATTCTTAAGAAGAGCGTGTAAGTTAAAAAATATCTGATTATAATGTTTTGATGAATTTTCTAAAATTTAATTTTCAATCTGATACGTTATTTATCTAAAGATATTAAAAGTAAATGTCCTTGTTACAGCTTCCGTGATTTCTATGAAATGACGCCAGATAAGTTCCAGAATAAGACAAATGGTATCACTCCAAGAAGATGGCTGTTGCTCTGCAATCCTAATCTGTCTGACATAATTGAAGAGGTACCTTTAATACTTGTTAAGTTTATATGAATTAATAACACTGGCAATATTATTATTATAGAAAATTGGTAGCGATTGGACGGTGCATTTGGAGCAGCTTCAGCAGCTGAAACAATGGGCCAAAGATCCTTCCTTCCAGCGAGATATCATTAAAGTCAAACAAGAGAATAAACTCCGTTTAGCTCAACTCTTGCAGAAAGATTATGGTATTAAGATCAATAGTGCGTCCATCTTTGACATTCAGGTAAAGTAAAAGTTAATAGTCAAAGAATTCAAAGTGTATGTACTGCTACTTAGGATGTCTGAGAATTCATCGGTTTATTAATACAGGTTAAACGTATTCACGAGTACAAACGTCAGTTGTTGAACTGTCTACACATTATCACACTGTACAATCGTATCAAGAGGGATCCATCTGCTCCGTTTGTGCCAAGGACGATAATGATCGGTGGCAAAGCTGCACCAGGTTATCACTTGGCCAAGAAGATCATTAAGTTGATCTGCAGTGTTGGTAATGTGGTAAACAATGACCCAATAGTCGGAGATAAACTGAAGGTTATCTTCTTGGAGAATTATAGAGTCACGTTGGCTGAAAAAATAATTCCTGCAGCCGACTTGAGCGAGCAGATCTCGACTGCAGGTACTGAGGCTTCAGGAACTGGAAACATGAAATTCATGGTACGTCTTATAACTGAACTAGTATTGCTTCATTAAGACACTAGTTATATTTATTACTGTGATGTTTATACAGCTGAACGGTGCTCTGACCATCGGAACACTGGATGGTGCGAATGTAGAGATGGCTGAAGAAATGGGACGCGAAAATATCTTTATCTTTGGCATGACTGAAGAAGACGTTCAAGCATTACAGAAGAAAGGATATAACGCGTACGATTATTATAACAAATTACCAGAGGCGAAGCAGTGTATTGATCAAATCCAAGGAGGATTCTTCAGTCCGAGCAATCCTGATGAATTCAAGGATATTGCTGATGTTCTCCTTAAATGGGATAGGTTCTATCTCCTTGCTGATTATGAGAGTTACATTAAGACTCAAGATGAAGTCAGTAAAGTTTACCAGGTGGGCTTAATTTTTATTTAACCAACAAGGAGCGAATTTCATTGTGTTCCGAATTATCTGATTGCTTCTTATTTCCGTGTTTTTAGGATGAAACCAAATGGGTAGAGATGGCGATTCACAATATCGCGTCCTCAGGCAAATTCTCATCGGACAGGACGATCGCCGATTACGCCCGTGATATCTGGGGAGTAGAACCAACTTGGCAACGACTTCCGGCGCCTCATGAGCCTCGTGATATTTAAACAATAGATATTACATGAAATATACTCGTCAGATATCATTAAAAATGTCTATTGCGTCCATAACATGCGGCAGCTCAGGCGGACGGATTTTCATGTGGGGTAAAATGCGATTCCATTTCTTTTCCTCGTCATGACAATCCCTCGAGGAAAACTGGATTTTAATCTCAACGAATAACGCAAGAGAACTTTGCGACTGGCGAATTGGGATTACATACTGGATCAAAATCACATGGATATTGTATATTTCATACGATGAAAAAAGCAACAATATTAAGCGACTAAGAGATCTCAGCGAAATTTTGCTGTACTTTACTGCCTCCTACAATATAATAAAAGGTTTAATCTGTCAAACCGCGATGACAGTACTAAGATAGCATGATACATACAAATAAAATTCGCGAATTCGTACATGATAACGGAAAGAACTCTATTCACAACGATAATCGCGAATATCTTGTTTCTAGTTATTGTAGATTACAAAATTGTTCTACATATTCGCACAGCCGTTTGGCGAGAATAAAATTTCAAATATTTTGTTGTCTTTCGTGAATCTTTAAATCGCATACGAATATTAACGTTATTAGAGAGAGATTATAAACTATCTCATGTTATCACGGAGATATGTATTACTAGTAGATCACAGGCGTAAACGTGTTCCGTATGTGCTGTTCAAAAAGTTTTTATTAGTTATAATACCAGTGAATTGCCGTTATCGCTATGGAAAGGGCTTCCGATCAAAATAATTTCATTTTAATAAATTATGGTTTGGCGCGCAACGTATTTTTTTTAAAGCATTCTTTTTTAATATTTACCTACATGGCCGAGGCATTAACGGTGCTAAGAATATATCCATCTTAATATGTATAATGAAATGGATAATCGCAGTGTTAAAGTACTTGATCTGTTTAAAAATCAATCGATCGTTTTTTCTGTAACTACGATGCCATGTAATTTCGTTTGTATTCTCAATGGAAACTGTTCGTATAATTCACACGAATGTGTTATCTAATTGATATACCATTATTGACAGAAACAACGATATCGTCTGTATTTCATTATGCAATTCTGCACAATTGATGTATCGTGAATGTGAATGAAATAAAATAGTATCAATAAATACATTGTTGTCCAAAAGATAAGCCTTATCAATTCCCAAAGAGTTGATAAATAACTGCGTAATCAATACTATGATGATTGAAGTTATAAAAGAATTTCAAATCATGTCAGCGTAAACGTGGATTCATTTGACGGCTTTCTACGTGACCTTAAGGTTATTTTTTCTCTTACTACTAGTGCAAACGTTTCTCCCAGTAGTGGTCATTGTCCGTATGTTTTATATCCTACAACGACAGTGAGTCATTGTCGTCAAGTCACACCACACAGCATACTAGTTGTAATAGGAATAGCATTGAATTAAATTATTACTGTAGTTGAAATTCTTTACTCGGTGTGTTACGTCTACTCGTCTATCGAGAATGTCGCGCGACTCGTCAGAAGACTTTGGGAAGCTTGTCCGAGAAGAGGCACTTCGAAACTTCGAATTTCACGATCCAGATACTTTGCCGTTGGTGAGATAACAAAATATTCATTAAATAAATCACTTAGGATATCCTGTTTCCTACTGAAGTTTTATAACTAATAAACATGTCGTTTTTGACGACTCGATATGGATTATCCGTTCAGGCTATTTACACATCGATTCGGCAAACTTCGGAAACGTTCGGAAAGTCAGGTATCGCATGAAAACGGCGCGCTCTTATAAGTACGCTTACGTACGTTATTTTATGAATGTTATTTAGACGTGCTTGAAACATTTATTACGGAACAATGACTTACTCGTTTTCTCGTTAAAATTATTATTAGATCCAGGATGAGTTGATGGAAAAATTATATTCTGTTCCTCTGTAATTATTACTGTTAAACCAGTGCAGTCGTATACAGGCTTTCAAGATGGCCTGTCCTGTTGCCGTCTCGAGAACAAAACACACGCGACTTCGCGTGTTGTCGGACGGTATGTCAATGGCGCGTGTAAAATTATCCGTTCTTGCATCCTGGAAATTATCGAAATCCAACTAATATGTAAAGCAGTCTTACGGGGCAGTCAAATCGTTAAACGTTGCTGGGTAAATTAACTCCTCGCGAGTTTCAGACAGTTTCACAAGTAGTTTGACGTTGTATACGTGATATTTCATATCAGTATTCAAGCTACGATAACCGTCCATGATTTCTAATGCGGAAACTTAAAATAATGACTACGTGCTTTCTGATGAAATTTGATATGGCCGTGTCTTTAGTGAACTTGATTTCTATAAATTGCCTTCCAAGAATTTTTTAATCCTCTGCAACATAAAAATTTCTGGAACGATTGATATGCCTGATAAAAAGAATTAGGGATATAATAAGAATTTGTAACGAGGATAAAACGTTCTTCGCGGTTTGAATTATTGAGACAGAAAATGAAACGGATTACGCAAAGGAAATATTAATAGACTTGGATATGTGTTTGTAGGATTTCTATTTTTTGTGTATGGATTGATTAAAAGCAAATATTAATTTTATACAGTAAATATATTTTAATTACCTGTTACAGAATGTATCCGAAGCTGTGGCAATAAATGCATTACGACCGACGTCCGCCATTATTGTTACTGGATTTCTTCCATTTTATTCTATCAGGTATTATGTATTTGATACAGTGATATTTACAAAACGTTCTTTACAAAATCATTAAACAGATAATATTTTTTTACCGCCGTACGCTTCGTTTTATATAATATTGTATTATATACAATATTATGTTTGTTTTGAATCTGCCGTACAGTGGCGTCATCTTTCTTTTCTAATGCGAAACATTGTATGTCCACTGTTGTGACTCTCCTTCTATTGCGATTCAGTGTTATTAGATCATCGAGTAAAAATAAAAATATGACAGCAGTCATTGACAAATGCAATAACGCAACCGGACAAATGAATGGGATAACAAATGGTTACCAAATTTTAATAAGATAATGGATGCACATAAATGTCCTGGACTCTCGTTTGAATGTTTGAGACAAAATATGTATAATCCTGTTGTAGATTCTCAATAAATCTTCTGTGCCAAAGCTCCGGAAATATTGCACTACATTTTAACCCACGCATAGACAGGGGTTACGTTGTTCGAAATTCAAAACTGCGGGGTCACTGGGACGATGAAGAAACTTGTTCTCCGGCTGGACCGAAGGGTACGGTTTTTCGTCGCAATGCCTATTTTCACGTGATAATCTTTTGTACCGAGACTGAGTTTCAGGTGAGTTACAGTGATAAAGTGATATGAAGAAATTTTGAAAATTTACAGACTATAATTCTTACAGATATCAATAAACGAGGAACATTTCTGCGAGTTTGCTTATAGAGTTGCATTGAGAGAAATTAATGGAATAGAGGTGAACGGCGATGTCGAAGATGTGAGATTCCGGCAGACAACTTTCCAAATATATCCTAAATCAAAATTGACGCCATATCTTCAATTAAATGATAAACAATCCCTTGAAGAAAATTTAGTAAGTTTTATGGATTTTTAGATGGCAATCCCTGGATTGTCAATACTTTGTTATTTCAGAAAGTACCAGTGACTGTTGATATCACTTCTGACGTTAGGAATGGCGTTCACTTTACCATCAAGGGACGGTTGAAGCTCCTACCTCATTCGTAAGTCGAAAATTGAGCAAATTGCTAAATATTTTATTATCACATTAATTAATGCTTTATTACTTTTATAAGGTTTTATGTCAATCTACAGAAGGGAAAAGCAATTTATCCTCATCCAGAAATCGCCCTGCATGTTAATCCAAGATTTTTATACGGTACCAGTCCCCCGTGCATGGTCATGAATTGCTGGACCAATGGGGCGTGGAGCCACGAGGAGCGTCACCAAGGCAATTTATTTTGGCTACCAGGACGCGATTTTTTTTTGGTGTGAGAATACATTTTTTTAATATTCTATTTCTACTCTGTGAATATACTTACTTTAGTAATAATAATAGTTTTTATAATAATCTTAATAACTGTCTATACAGAATACGCTGCGAATACCAGGCTTTCACAATATGGCTGAACAACAAGATGATCGGCGAATTCAAACACAGACTTGATCCATCGATCGTTGATACTTTACGAATTTATGGCGACGTTCATCTTTATCAACTTGCTATCGGTACTTCATAATTTCAATATATCGAAATGCAGCCTTCATCGAATTGCATAAACGGCTGATTTATCAAGTGATGAAGGAGGATTTGTGGAAGGATCATCAATATTATGAGCTCTGTGAAGATTTATCGCTTTGAGTATATTTTTTGAGGAAAAGCTTTCTGAGCGTTATCTAGTTATGCTATACGAGGATAGATATAGCTTCGATACTTTTAGACGTGATATTTTTAAGATACCTTTAGAAGTTAGTGCGATACTCAAGTACCCAAAGAGCATTCCAACGTTACAAAGAAGTAAAGAATGCTGGTCACTGATTATATTTTTGAAGACTGGAAAAAAGGCAAGGGAACCAATAGTCAAAAATTTAAAATTCGTGGAACCGATTAAGATTATTCCAAGAGCTGATTTCATTTATCTCAAGTCAAGTTATGTCAAGTCACTAGTCTCCACGATTAGGTGGAGTATTTTTTTTATGTATATTTTTTTCTTCTGTGCTCGAGGAATGAATCTTGGCGGACATGTCTTTCGACTTTCTTTGGCTTTTGGTTTTCATAAATTAGGAGAATATTTCGTTTTTTTTTCCATTTAAATTCATTACAATCTACTGAAACTCAGCGACCTCACTCGGTAACCAGCCTTGAAGATTCTCATTCATCAATCAGATTATACTCCAGTTTGTCTAGATGGAATTTTTATAAACGTCCTTGTCTTTATGAGTGTTATATTATTTATACGGACAATCTTGTCTATGTTCGCTATATATTATATGCTGTATATTATTTTCCAAAAATAAACATTCATTAGATCAAGTGATTATTCGCTGTTATCTCAATGTTAATTATTGTTATATTTAAAAATTGATTAATGACTTGTTGCAGGATGTGAAATATCCTGAGGTAAATATTGTCATTATATCGTTATGAAACTATAATACTTTATATCAAAAGCAAACAGGTCATTTACAGAGTCATTGTTGACACAATGATATAACATCGGTTATGGCTCTTCGTATTTACAGATTACTGAAGAATTCTGTTAAGTTTTACAGTTTTCCTTACTTCTACTTTTTTTTTTTCCTTCAATAAAAACAATGTCGCGAGAAATATTTTCAAGTTCAAATGAATGTTTTCTTTTAGTAATAAATCCATGTCAGAGTTAATTTGCTGCAAATCGATAATATATGGAAAGTATTATACGTTGCTTTTTCAAGAATACGTTCCTGGGAGAGTCTAAAAATTTATCTAGGTAATAAGCGAAGTGTATACTTAATAAAAAATGATGTATACAAGGAATTGTACTTGTGATTAATAACGATCGAAAGAATATAGTCAGACAATGACCAATACCGACGATGATTTTTATTTATTTTTTAAACAGAATGAGAAAACAAAATTCCGAACACAATCAAACTGTAAAATATACTATTGGCAGAAGATACCCCAGTAAAACCAAAATCCAGATAAAAACCATTCTTCTGCATCTCAGTATACAAAGATTCTCTTGTTTTCCTTAACTGGAGTAACCGATAAATTTAAAGATGAAATCAGTCCGCTACCAACTTCACTATTATAAATGCATAACTAGTTTTTTGCAGTGAGAAATATAACCTAAAAACCTACATATCCATATACAATCAAAAATATCATTGATCAAAATGGGAGATGCGGAAAAGAAGCAGAAGCAACATCATCAACAACGCCATCATCATCATCGGCGACGTCGTGAACAGGAAGAAAAAGAAGGGGAGCATACAGGTTGGTTTTACGTGACGGCAGTTATCACTGAAATACATATTGACGTATATTTCCTTAAAAATCTATGAAAATTAATCAAATTTATTTATAACTTTAGCAACGCAGTCGCATACCGAGCCACCAGTCACAACAACCCCAGTCGATCCGGATACGTCCGAGCTTGTTCGAAAATTCGTCACGAAGGTATTAAGACTAATAATAATAATAATAATCTATTACACAGTGCCTCTTACCAAAGTAAAACAAAGACAATTATTATTAATCAAATAACATTTCAGGAAGCAAAAATGTCACGAGATAAAAAAGAAAAGAAACCAGCAGTGGTAATTCGTCAGCCGAATTACCTTACCGACCGTAGGATATCTCAGGCGGAAATGCAGAGACGCCACACTTGGCTTCAAAGGACAAGACTGAGTGTCGCCATGGCTAGAAATCGTTGTCGTATAACACACGAAGTTCGATTTCCAGAAACATTTAATGGTCTATACTGTTCACGTTTTTCTCCAGACGGTGAAATCATTGCCACGAGTTTTGGTACCGGCTGTATACAGGTACAAAAATAATGGATTCCCTTTGACGGCCATTTAAGTGTTACGTATATGTTGCACTAATAAGGTACGAAATGGCGAGACTGGCGAAACGAGAAATACTATGAGAAGTGGACTGGACACTTCCTTTCCCGTGATGTGCTGCCGTTTCAATCCAATCCGCTCTGATGTTTTTTATGCGTCTAGCGCCTGTGGAAATATTTTTGCTTGTACTACCAGCACGAATGAATTTTCGCGCTTCATCGAAGGTCATTAAAGTCTGATAATTCTCTAAAACTAATTTAATTATGAAATTCAAAGAAATATTTCCTTGCAGAACCAAAAAACGAAGTGAACACCATCGACGTGAGTGTAACTGGTGAATATATAGTTTCCGCCGGAAAGGATGCGGCTGTCAGATTATATGATGCTGAAACTGGTCAGGTATTCACGACTAAACTGTCATAATAATGATAGTAATAGTTGTTACTATTCAATTAATAAATCACAGATTGTAACAACTTATAAAAAACACAATGCTGATTTACTCGACGAAAAAATAAGCAAGTTCCATAGGATGAGAATATTTGCTTCGAGATTTCATCACACTTATCCTGAATTAATTATCACTGGCGGATGGGACGATACTGTCAAGGTACTTTTACATGCTTATTATTTATAACACAAGTATACTCGTTTGAAGTTGTGATATTTTTACGTACCACAATTTTTCAAAGTTTTTAATTGATCATTCAGAGTATCTTATTTTCCTTGCCAATTCTACACGAGCAACTTCAGTTTGATTACAGTAAATGGTATGAGATCTAATTCAATAAATCTTTACTTCATTCAGATCTGGGACACGCGACTGGGAGACGGATCGATCAGATCGATAAAAGGACCTCACATATGTGGTGACGCGATCGACGTTAGAGTATGTTATATATACATATATATCGATAAACTTTCATTCCTGAATGTTCAAAGTCAATCTTGTTCTGCAGGAGACACATATCCTGACGGGGTCTTGGGTCGTAAGAGGAAGTCTTCAGATATGGGATATGATGAGTGGGAAATTAATCGAAACGATCAATCCACAAAATAGACCCACTACACTCGATGGTGAATTTCTTTATGCCGTTCAGTATTTTGACGGAGATCCTTATGGAGAAACTGTTCTCGCCGGTGGATCAGGTACTGGTGCTGTTGAGGTGATAAGTTTGAAAGAAAAAAAGGTAAATATATTTATTTTTTTTTTTTCAATGCAAACATCCTTTATAAATTGTTACTGTGTTCTCTTAGGTTATGGGCAGTTTTCGGGTTAACAAAGCTGTCGTCACTTTGGATAGTTGCAGAACGATTATTGTTTTTGGAGGAATGGAGACTGTCATTAGGATCGCTGATTACAGTTAGCTTGCAGAAGTAATTCATTTTTAATAATGAATATCTCTATCGATCAAATAGCACTTATAGAATATAGAAATTTTAAAAGTTCATTAGGAATGTAAATTCTAGTAATCTACCTTAGGATATTAATAGGCTCTTATTGAAGTTTAAAAGATTCTCAAAGTGTAATAATTTTAATTACAGTGGTTATCTCATTAATCGAAGATGACAACAGCTCGAAGCAGACGTAACTCTTTTCTTCGGCTACAAACTACTTTCCGGATTTATCGATGAGTCGTGAACGCAGCGATCCACTCACCTCGGCATCGTCTCATCGAAGATAATAGCAAAAGCGTCGAGACGCCCGGCGTCTCTGGCTCCTGTGAGATGATGAAAGACGCGTGGCTAAGGGAGCTAGGGGGGTGAAGAAGGTGGTGGATACTCCAAGTCGAAAGTCGAGTGATGCCAAAGTTAAATATAAATGTGGCGGCAAGCGTCCCGACGCCCCTGCCTCGACGCTCATCCCCTGGACCAATCATCCAGAAGCCAGTCTCTTCGTGTTCTCGGCGTGGCCCGGTATATCGTTAAAGACGACGACGATCTCTCGCGATCTTTCTACGATTTATCTATCGATCCAAACCCATTCGTTGATCGTACGATCATTTATTTCTATTGTCCCTATTAATTCTTCCATTAATAATATTTCTATTCGCATTGTTCCTACGCTATTTTAATCCATTTTAACGAATCTTCGTCGAATTCTTAATACACGCGACTTTGGCTTGGTTTCGCGAAAAAAAAAAACGACGCTCGGTTTACCCGAAACACATAAAAACGAACGTACCAGGATTATTGCAACGTGATTGGCTAAGGATTAATCGCATTACAATTACCAGTGCTAATTAATGAAGGTGAGTGTACGAAGAGACAGTGTCGGAAAATTTGCTTCTTTATTGGAATTACCTTCAAGATACTGGATTGTTACGCGATTTCTTGTATTTATATAGGTCTGGTGAATCTTTTAGTACATAAAATCCCTAGATCATTCAAATATTATATTAGAATTTTTTTTTTAAGGATTTTATATCTTTATCCTTTTTTTTAAATTTTACCTAAACTGCTTCGAATTTTAAAATTTTTATTTAGTCACTCCAGTCTTATATGGTTTGAGACATGGTCACGTACTTCCTCCAGGATATTACGTACTAATCGGTTGTAATAACAATTAACACTAGTACGACGTATGTAACTATAAAGTGACTTCCAGTACGTCGTTAACTATTCCTTCCCGTCAAATTGGTAGTGCTATTATTTTTGGACGGAGCATACGAGATCAAGGATCCAGCGGACACTCGACTGTCCACACGTAATCTGTTGCGGATAGTCTAGGAGAGGAAAAGATTTTTTTTTCGAGCAGTATAAGAAATTTTGGCTTCAAAGAAATCATATCACTGACAAAGGCTCACGTTTAGGCACCCTGAAGAACATGAAGAAAGATTAGCTTTGCGTTTAAAGAAATTCAAAATTTTCCTTTGAATCTCGAAGCCCGATTTATTTTGTCGTTAAAACAAAATTCGGTTGGGATTTTAGAGATTTTTTATAGTCGGGAAAAAGTAGTTTTTGAAAATCAAAGATTCGAGTAGACTGTGCACGATGTGTCGTTATTTAGAATTTGAAAATTTTTCTCGGAACTTTATATATAACCTAAACCGATTTCTCACAGTTTATAAAAATATTTTGAAAGTATCTTATAATAGCTTTCCGAATAATTTTCTCCCGTGTGCACGTTTCTAATATACATACATACACTCTACATATACATTAAAGTGAAAATCGAATTAGCTTTATCAACATCAGGATAACGTCAATGTCTTTATTTCGCGGTATTCACGATTACAACAGCGTAACGATCGACACTCAACCTTGAATTAATTTTTCCCGTATTACATGTTCTGCGCCAATAGCAAACCCATGCGTGAATCGATTTGAAGAAATACGATAGGACGACAGTTTAATTAAATTGCCTTCCAAGAAGTAAAAGAGGATACCGAAATAATTAATTGATAATCAAGTTCAAGAAAGGACAAGACTTTCCGTAGAACGACGTTAAGGGTTCCGCGAAATAATTGACGAAACAAATTTTTAGACTGTAAAAGTTGGTAAAAAAAAATAAAAAACACTTAAAGACAAACTTGTATAACATTCGATAAATTCGTCGTTATGATCTCATGTAACGTGACTACCCCTCCCCCCTTCCCCCCATCTTTCTGTATCTCAAGTCAGCATCTGGCTCGTCTCATCTCACATTCTACTAATGTGCATTCGCGCAATGACGACAAGGGCGCAGACATATCCGAATATTTGTGTCACTTTCCGAAATATCCAAGATACAGATACATCGCGAATATACCAACAGCCGGACAGTAAGTCCCTAGTTTGTAGCAGTACGCATAAAAATAGAAATAGATCTAAAGTTAGTCGGCCTACACTCGGTATCCGGCCCAAACGCTTAACAGCCTGGGACTTGGCAATCGGACGTTGCGGCAAACTGTCCAATATCAGAAGGAAATGTCCAATAAACATTGTCCTACATTTCCAAAGTTTAGTTTATGCCCTAAATATTATGCAGTAGCATAAAGGAAGTGGAAGTGAAAAAGGAAAGGCGTATACGCATATAGCGTTGACGACAACCTCCGAAGGAGTACCCAATGCAAATCAATAGTTGGCACGGGTCCTCTTTTCTTACTTTTCCTTTTTACGTCTCTATTGGTCGCTAAGCGAATTTACACGGAGTAGCTAAAGCCCCGTATCGGTATCTAACGTCCGAGTGAGGCATTGAGAATGATATTTCTGAGCTTTACAATTAGCATTCGGACGTTACTGAGAATCTGCCCTAATACAGTATAACGCGTGCAATGAGTTTTGCAATGTATTTTGACATGAATGAATAATAAATAAAATGCCTTGAAATGCTTTTTATAAATGTACAAAGCATCGACTTAGTCAATAGTATAGTCAATAATTATTCGAAAGATCAATACCGTCTGGTGTGAACTCGGGGAATGAACTCTTTGCTCGCTTCTTGAAAGACATATAGCAACGATGGCAATGTGCGCGATCGTCCACAGTCAAACTGGCGTATGCACATAGTAATTTTATCGGTTATACACTACACGTATGTATACCTACTGATATGTGTAACTACGTAACTACATAGGTACGTCGGGATGGTGTAGGCACCTATTTCGAGAGACTTTTGGCCGAGAGCCATCCGAACTGCTTACTCACTGCCATAATGCGACCCAGAGCTTGCTCGGTTGGCTTTGGCTGTGGACTTTCATTATCGTGAAATTGCGAGCTTGGTGTCTGTCAAATATTTTTTTATTTTTCCTTTCGGCACTTACACTTAACTCCAAAAGGACAATGTTCACGAATTAGGTTATGCTCGAGCGACTGAAATAGCTATGTGGGCCACACGCACTGTTCCACGTCACTAATCCTTATGACAGTTGTGGCTTGTTATAACCTCAAAAGTTATTGGGTCTTATTGGAGTCTCGTCCTACGCAGGAAGCTCTGCGAATTGATTTCACTGGGAAGTGAAGTTGCACGTGTATCGCGTCAGATTGAAGAATCGATTAAAACAGCCATGTCGCTCGTTATGTGGCTGCTAGGATTTTGTTCGTTGCAGAGGCACGTAGTTCCGCGTTTCAATGAGAAGCACGCGAGCAGCGTTCACTGTACTGTACTACTATAGCAAGCTATGGGCTTGATACCAGACTCGAGTCTAGTATGGTCGTGTGCGAATGCTCTATTTCTGGATGAGAGTGTTACATCATCGACTATCGGTATTCGAAGGAGGAATAGCACGTGCCTAGATTATACGTCGCGCGATGAACCTAACCTAAGGATCGTAGTAAAAAGCCGTCGATTTTTAACTATTGCCAGACATGATTATTTGGATTTACAATGGATCAATAGAAATGGTGACGCTAATACTATAGTACGTTAACAATTTTTTAGTCCTTACAGTCTTTGTTGTCTACATTTATACGCTCAAGAGTAGTACTACTGTCTGGCTGTTTGTATGCATTAAGCAATCCAACCGACTCCCGTGATCAGTCTCGAAATCCATCTGTGCAAATATACTGCGGTGGATATGGAAAACCATTTGGTTTACTGCGTATTTATCGAGTAAGAAATTCACCATTTACGCAGGATGTTATAAAATGCGTTTTCTCTTTTTTCAAATTGATTACAATTCGGTATCTATGAAGTTTTGCTGTGACATCGATTCGTGGCTAACAATTGATTTTCTTGGATTGCAGAAATGCTAACGGGTGCTCAGGGTGATAAGTGGAGCTGTGAAAAGTAGTGAAAATGTCTCAACACCCTTCAAGGCCACCCGGGGGACCGGGTGGCTGGGGTGGGAGGCCCAGTGCTCCAAGTCCCTTCAGACCAGCCTCACCCTATAGTCCTACCTCGTCGCCGAATCCTCACAATCGTTCTCGAGGACCACCTACTCCTGTTCATCATCCTCATCCAATGTCACCGTTGACCTATCCGCATATGATGCACCCCATGAGTCCAGTTCCCATGGGGATGCCCATTTCGCCGGGGATGTCGCCTGTTTTTGGATGTCCACCACCAGGATATATACAGTGTCCCAGACCACGTTGGCCGTCGCCGATTCAACCAGGAACATCGGCACCCAGGCCTTTTATACCAGCTCAGGTTCAGGTGTGTTTTCTAAAAGGGACGAAAACTTTTTCAGGGAAATTTGTAAAATTGTGTTTTTCTTTTAAACTCAGAGTCCTATTGGGAGTGGATCATCTTCACCAGTTCCATGTGGTCCACCGGAGTACCTGATTGCTCCATATAGACCAGGAGAGTACGAGTACGTCGGAGTACCCTTGGATCCTGCTCAGGGCGACGAGGAAGCTACCGGACCCAGCACCGCAGAAATTATTGCCAGTCAAAGTCAGGATTACGTTGATGAGAAATTAGCTGAGTACCAGGCCACCATCCAGCAGCTTCAAGGTGAGTACAAAACTTGTTAAAGTTTATGTTGAGTTTGTCCTTTTTAAATACATAGTGGAATCACGTAAAGGGGTAACATAGATCTAGAAATTTTATCGTGAAAGATTATATCAGCGATATTTAAAAGCAGATTTAAATAACGAGAGCTTCGAATTCTCAACCGAGAAACGCAACTACGTAAACAATACGATTTTCGTAAACTTTCCTGAAATCCCATTCATGAACAGACGTAGCGGTCATGACGAATGGAGTTCATCAATATCATTTAGAGGCACGATTTCTTTGCAAAGAAAAAAATGAGTAGAAACCACTCGTAGAGCTATCGCTCGACCACGTGGTAATACCAAGTAATTTAAACCGTTGAAACAAGCACGTGGCATCTATTGTCAAGAAGATAGGCTAACGATCCAAGCATCCGAAGTCAAGCGATATTTTCGTCAAACGGAAATGCAGTTCTCGTTTTCTTTCCGAATTATCGTTTCGGATCGTCTGTTTATTTGTTCTTCTTCACCACCCGTTGCTCGAGGGGCGCGCAGGAAGAGGGTCCAGTTTTGAAAATTAGGCGAGTTTATTTTTCTAGCATGATTTAGTCGCCACGTTGTCGTGCCAAATCGGTAAAAACCAATCATCACTCATTCACAATGTGTAACTGAAAATGATCGAGCAAGAACCCATCCTGACAGCGTGTTTTCATTCCACCTATATATATTCCCATGAAATTTGTATTAAAAATTTCAATAAGCCATAAACAAATCCATTCCATTGAAACGTTAAATTTAATTATTCCAATACCGCATTAATTTTCAATCACAATTCAGTAAAAAAACTACTTTTTTTTAAAATGAACCTCGACCCTATTTCCACGTCGGTAACAAGCTAGTTAGGTATTTGATGCATCCAAGATAGAATGACCCCGATGATGCGTTTGGCCACAGTTGACCGTTGCCGGACATAATGATGATCTTGGCATGAGTGATCTCAATGGGAGAAGACTTGGCGAGCTTTTCTACTAGTTGATAGAAGTACTATGACCACCGAAGTGGGTAAGGTAGATACCTACGCAAGGTATGAAACAAGAATACCCAAAGTATACAGATTTTGATACCGATTAGAAGAAAAAATAAATAAAACGCATCTCTCGGCGAACGAACAACTTCTCAGCCCGATATGATTCTCAGTGTATTTCTAAAGCTCGGCAATTTTTAACCTCTAGACGTATCTAGGTAAGGACGCACATGAGACCCATAAATTTTCTTTGCAAAACCCCACAATATTCGCATGCTGCACATTTGCGTTGACTGTGCAGGGAAATAGAATAGAATCGACGAGACGGTAGCCCATGTGTTTATAAATAGGAATGACGAGCACCTGCCTCAGCCATTCACATTCACGTTCACATTCTCACTCGCACTCGCATTCACACTCGTTTCCTATTACTCGTAGAGAAACGATGAAATTGTGAAGCACAGTCCACCGCACGAGTCTGTTTTTATCATTTGTCTATTTTTTAATATTTATTTATGCACCATAAACCTTACATGTCCACTCGCTACTGAGTCATCACGTAACGGTGGGAGAATGAAATAAAATTACTTGCTTATCAAATGTTCAATCGACTATGTATATATATATATATTAAACGACCTTTTTTATTCCTCGTGGACCTGTTAGACTGGTCGGTAACATTGAGGACGATCGGTTACGCCGTTTCGCGTTATGTAAGGCTAGCGAAAATTTCGAAAAAAAAAATTAAAAAAACACGGTGACTGCAGAACGTCATTTCATATTTATATCGAATAAACAGAGCGAATCCTCGCGGATGTTTCTATACGTAAATAAATCCCAGAGTAAGGCTGGCATTTGAATTTCCGTCGTCTGGCGCCTATCGATACAGAAACTCGCTAATACGCTCGGGCAGAACTGAACGAGCGTATCGTTCTTTCTAACGCGCAATTCTTTTCCTTCGTATCGCACGCTGCGTTTCACATAACTTCAAGTGTGCAGTAGCGCACGTATGTGCATGCGTCTTTCGCATACGAGAGCGCCGACTTTGTCACGTTGCAAAGTTGATCGTTGCCTGAATCATGGCTCTGCCCGTAGCGTGTAAAATGGCTTCGTAGAAGTCTCGAGATATATTCTTGTTGGGAGCACGTACCTGCTTAGACTCCATTTTGGACTGTAATTCTGCGAAAGGCGGTACTATTTTAAATTCTTATTTCTATACTTGCACTTAAGTTCATCATACAGTCAATTCTTATACTTAATATAGATCTGATATTTTTTAAATATTTAATATTTTTATTATTTTTTTTCTCTTCTTCAATTTAGTCATTTTTTGGGAATATCGTATCGTAGAATGTTTTTAACTCATTTTCCATCATTAACCTATATACGCGACATTTTTCTGGTCACTATCACTGAAGCGTATATATACGCTTACTTGGTATTCAGATATAATTTTTAAAAATGTTGGTGATAAGGGCGTATTTTTTCATTTTTACGGGTGATGCACATGGATTAATATCATTTTACATTTGAGTCTCGATGGAATGTATGGTATACGTGAAAAAAAAAGTTAGCAAAACTGCCTGCTTTGCTCTAGCACGTGTACGGATACTGTTTGGGTGGATGGAATGTGTGTTCTTCGTGGTTACTTTCGTGTCGAAGGAAGATTCTTGTTGACAGTTGCATTTCAGGTAGTAACTATTCATGGGAAATAGAGATGATTGCAAGAAAAACCCTATGGGTCATTTTCCAGTAATGAGTTTTACTTGTCTCCTTGATATCATTTAAATGTATGTACGTTAATTCTTGGATATGTTGAGACTGATATGTCCCAGTTAATTCTTTACTTATCGATGAACTTCTAAAGATATTCTTGGATGTGACAGCGAAACGTTGCTTCAAATCAATTCGAATTTAGTCAGGCTAGAGATACGTTGTATGTATTTGTTAGGTATTTACATAAAACGTGTATTTTATTAAATAAAATAATTAATTAAATAAATGTTTGACAATTAAAGTAAATAGTATATATTAAATTTTCATAGCTGTCTGAGAGAGATAAAAAAATGTTAGTTTTTCTTAAACGACATTTTTTTTTCGTCGTTTTCATTGTGGAAATTCAATTGGTTTACAATTGTAACATAATATTTTTTTAAAACGAGCCTTTGCTCGCTATTCGAGTATGACCGCAGACTAAACCTCAGTGGATACTGGCTAAAATCAGACGCCATGAAATCACATATATATGCTATTTGATATAAAGATGCCTAATTTATCATAGGTTTTCTTTAAAATTAATATTTATGGGATATGAAAAATTTGTGTTTACGTACTAATTAATATCATGCGTTCCATTGATAAATCCTGTATAAGTTCGTCGATTCCATTAAAGACACGTCGAACTTCAATACAACCTTGTTTATTCGGATAGAGCTGTAAATAAGGCGTAACGTCGATGAACTGACTGGTTTTGTTAAGAAATCGTGATAAAATGTAGCAGACGGAAATACAATGGCTCATCGAACGATTACGAATGTATTGTGTATCAATGAAATGTAATTGTAGAATCGGTGGATCGACTTATAAGAGAAATCCGGTGTTAATAAAAAAAAAATTCCATTCAACTGATTGATTGATTCCTCAAGTATTCCACGTTAAAAATATCAAACAGTATAATATACCCGGTAATAGTTTTACGAACATTTCCTATTCATAAATTTCATAGAAATCTATTAACCTGTCAATCAAGATATCAATTTCAGTGATAGGAACAAAAATGATACTGTATATTAATTAATGCGTCTTAAGCACAAAATAAAATACATGTATTATCTTAATATAGTTAACAACGACATAGTAAAAAGTCTTGAAAAACATCGTAATGACATTTTAATGACAGATACAATCTGCTTGCGATAATGTCCATACGACTAGACAGGGAATCTACGCGTGTTCTAACCTCAAAACAGTGTCTGCATTTTTACACTCGATTTTACTATACAAAATATTACAGGACGCTATTAGGAGTCACTTTCAAAAGTATCTGTCGTTCTTAAAATACCAAACCGGTCTCACTTCCTACGCGAAGAAGAGAGGTTCGCGTCCCGTAGCACGCGTCATTAACGGTAAGAAATTTTCAACGTTGGCTTCGAAATTCGTAACGGAGAACCCGAAAACGTACTGGATTAGATCCTTGCGAAAAGAGAGAGTAAAAAGTGGAAACACGTAACCAGCAATGACTACGAGTCACTGGCACATAGCGGCGATCTCGATTTAGAGTCGAACGACTGACTAGCGTATCGCTCTGAAGTAGTCGGCAGTCTGTTCGACCGCGAATTTAAATTTCTAATAGCGGGTTGTCTCCAATCTGAGTATCGTGCAACTCACGCACGTCGCATTGTGTTTCTTGAGAATGCACGGTATTCTAACGCCCTTTGGTTAAGCATTTGTGAACAGCAAGCATATATGTAGACACAGAATCAATGTGTGTTTAGATGCATTGTTATACATACCGTGTAATGCGTATAACTTTATGAATGAATAAGCATTTCCAAGGTAATTTAATAGTATTAATTAATGAGACTGACAATGTTCATAGACAGAAGAATGGTACCATTTATGATAGTTATTGAAACACGCAGTATAAGGTATACTTGGCCGTCCGGCCAATCGGCTCTCAGGATCGATGTAACGGGTGGGCCAGTAATCGATAAAAAATAGGTTACGAAGAAACGTAGTTGCGTGAGCTAGTAATACTTCGGTGGAAGTAGTGATCGGATCTGCTGGTATCGTAGGAGTTATGAGACGTATACGAGCGAAACGATTTATGATGAGTACGACGACAGTCAACGGACGTTTCTCCATTTCAGTTTTTTATCCCGCCTCGTCGAGGAGTCTTGGCGAGTATTGTTATGACTGTCCAGAGGATTTGTAGGTTATGAAATTGTCAGTTCATTATAAAAGTCAATACTCTTGACTCTGACCATGACTGGTTTGATATTATTAGGATCAATCCTGTCTGTAATACCTGGATCAGTTTATACGTGATAAACCGAAGGAGCAATACAATCTCGAGCAGATGTTTGAATACAAATGGAAGCAGGTTAAATATTTTCTTATCAGTTTACGCTATAAATTTACTGCAAAATCGAACACGTGCATGACAAAAGCACAGAGTAGTATATTCAAGCAAATCATGGAGAAATATCTGGATAGAATTCATTGATCTGGAGAAAATTATTTCTACCTAGACTATCTCAGACGTAAACAATGCAGATTAACTACTTTAATAAACAATTATTAAGATCAATCTGATGAGATTATTCAATTTTGAAGCATTGGACGATACTATAAAATTCCCATGTTTAAAGTACATAATTAAATGTCAATGAAAATTAAAAAAAAAAAAAAAAAAAAAAAAAAAAAAAAAAAAAAAAAAAAAAAAAAAAAAAAAAAAAAAAAAAAAAAGTTCATGGATGCCAACATAAGGGCAGTCGAAAAAAATAATCGTAGAAAAAAGACCCACTTAAGTCGTCCAGTAGTGACTCTCACTATCTGGCAACAACCAGTCTCGCCAGTTTTATAATCATTCCTTTATGCGAACCCAGCCGAAAATACTATAGAGGCTTTATTGCGTAGACGATATCAGTAACAGTGCAGTATATACGTATACACGTCTAGACGTACGAACTACGTTACGCAACGGAGTATGGTCGTACACGAGAAAGTGTCCATCCGAATATACATACATGTGTACGGGTCGATACGTAGAGTCGCCTGTATTACCGGGGCTCTTGCCTAAACTCGTAACAATAACAAGCGACATTGCGATTTCGCGTTTATTCTTATCGGTAAAGGCAACTACAAATTTTGCAACGCCTTGTAGATTAGATAAAATCGTTTCTAGGCTTGATCCTAAATCCAAGTGTAAAAGTCTGATACGGTTGACAGGGACATTTATTGCAGTGTGAAGAAACTCGTAATTCGGAATGGCATATCGTTATCAATGTTTGTTTGTGATCAAGAGAATAGGAGGGGGATAGAAAAGGATGGGAGACTCGGAGAGTCGCCGAGGAATTGAAATAATTCGTGAAGTGTCGAAGAACTTGGATGTTCAACTGTACGAAATAGGGAGCAGTTGGCTTAACCGAGGAAGCAATTACCTTAAGCGCCGATGCGCAACACTGCCTATAGACAGGTTTCTCTAGCGGGGCACAGTAGGTACTCCAGGCCGTCCTACCGAAATCGGGACCGTCGATATCATTTGATAGTTTGGGCTGTCAATATTTACTAGGTATTCGGTAAACTTGCTTGCAGCTAAAAGGTATTTCGATGTGTTTTCATTGTTGATACTTCACGGATATGCAATACAGTAATTTTGTTGGATGCAATTAACACGTAGTTTAATCCCTTGATTATTACTATATATGTTACACGTGATGTCATATATGGACTTCGAGTAATGATTTATATATGAATAGCCGAGTGATCGAAGAATTATAGTCTTGGTAAAAGATCAAAGAAATCTTAACGATTGCAGCATCGTGCACCGCATTTTTCCGCAGTGAGGTTGGATCGTTAAATTCTTATAGCATATAGGGAGACTTTCGTTCTAGAATGTTTTCTTGCCGTCCTCTTAGGAAATTTCCAAGATGATTCTTCTCGGGATCACCCCACTTAAACAGCAAGTTTTTTTTTTCTTAAGGGACTACATGCTAGTAAAGAAGAATCGATCCTGGAGAACATATCTTGAATGGTTCTACAGGGAGGTCCTTACAGACATATTTCAGAGGTCCAGAAGATAGTGGCGCATTATAGTTCGCGGCAGGCTGCCGAGAACAGGACGAGACAGGATAAAAGGATTGATCGAGTGGGTTTGGTGGCGGCGGAGTTGGCAGAGGCCGTGGTAACGACCAGGATGAGGATAGGGTTGGAGGTCCGATCTACCGTCGGGGTTGAAAATAGGGGTGGGAACAGGAACAGGAATGGGAATGGGAGCTGGTGGGGCTGCGTCGTAGCGGAGGCAACGGTAGAACCAAGAGCGACTGCTACGTCGCCCCACCAGTATCGAACCGGCGCCTGACCAGGCTGCATGTACATTCCGTATAAGGCATTCCACTTTTCTAACGCGTTTTCGGTAAAGCGCCGCGACAGCATTTACATTGTGTTTTGGAAAAGAGTGTTAACTGTCAGTATAGCCAGAATAAACTGCGTGACAGACCTCGAGTGTAGATTTAGCAAGGGTGTTGTTGGTAGGGAAGGTACCAGGTGGCCAGACATGGATTACGTGGTCTGGTCTGACAGTTCTAAGCAGAAACAGTGAAATCTCGCTAAAAAAAAATTCAGAGTGTGGGCTAGTGAGATTAACGATGAACTGGTGTATTATTGGGCCTGAGAAGAAAAGGAAGAAGTAGAGTATTGAAGATCTGCGATAATGTCGCAGACAACCCCATCCGGGGGTGGCAGTCCTGGCAGTAATCCAGGGGGCAGCCCGAGGACACCACGTGGAGGTCGTCTCAGGGACAAAGTTAATTTTTTCGAACAAGTATGGACGTCTGGACGTACACCCAGTACCGAGGACCTTCTAGATGAGATCGATGGAAGCAGAAGGAGTTTCGTCTCGCCGACGATGCCCAGGCCACCCTCCAGGGCCAGTGACTCTTCCTTCGAAGAAAGTTTCGAGAGGCTCGTGGAAGAGGGTGAACTGAACGGAGCGAAGGTTGTGAAATTTGAAAAGATCACCGTTCGTAAAAGCGTTCGGGAAGTTACAACGACGAGCTCAGCCAACACAAGCAGTACCAGCACTGTTCGTGGTACCGGCATTCTCACAGAATCTAGCAGGACTCCAAGCGAGGAACACGCCCTGGAGGATTCGGCTTATCAGAGCCATAGCCATGGCGTTCACAGTCATGGCAGCAAGTCCAGCTCGGTCACGTCCTTTGCCAGATTTCCATCGGAGGAGAGTCTCTCCCAGAGAAGAGGCAGCAGTCCCCAGAATCCTGGTTCCTCGGACGAGCGAACACCAGCTGAGTGGTACGCAGAGTATCGCAACCAGAGCTTCCAAAATGTCACAGCAAGAATGGAGTATAATCGCAGCCGTAGCGAATACGATGCGCACATCGCCCAGATCAGAGGTATTGATGTTACTCAATGACAATCAATGCATTCAGAGCATACAATTACTACAGTTACCATTACTCTTCTCATTTGAACAGCTGTTCGTCGCGATTACATTTCACACAGACAGATTTGACAGTGTACCGACTGACATTCTGACCTCGTGACATTTCATATCTTTTAGTAAACATATGACCGGAAATTCTATGAATTATTATAGCATACGTTGTACCTCGGTGTCACGAAGTAACTTTATAGAAATAATTTTACCTCTCGTATTCTTAATAAAAATCCGTGCAAACGCCAACCATCTAACAATTCGCATCTCGATTATCAGTGACAGTTTGACCTTATCGAACGAAGTATTGCACAAATCCATTTCAGTAATGTCGTCAGAGATATAGTCACGAGAACAAAAATGCATAAGAGAAATGGCTGTAATAAATTATAGATATATAGAGAATTTTATAAAAATACAATAAGCTTCTGCTATAGTCGGCGCTAACGCCCACTGTTGTAAATGCCGGCCGGCCGGCCGGCTTCTGCCACGACGTGTATGTAAGTATAGTAGGTATACGAACCAATAGTTAACGATGACGTTATACCGAGGGCCGGTTCAAGGCTTTCCCCTCTTTTCACTATCTCGCACACTCTTTTTTCTAATTCTTTCTCTCTCTCGCTCTTCCATATCCACTCGTTAACTGTCACATCTCGTCTGTATATGCACACGCTTCTTCTCCTTTACCAAACTCGCACCGTCCTTCTCGCTCTAGTGTATTCACCAAATTACATTACGTGCGTACATAACAAATATAATGCTTCGCATGTAATGTATGTACCGAACATTAGACACCGAGCATTACTATACCCACGTTAGAGCGGCGGTACATAAATATGTATATAAACTATCTGCAGGAAGATCATAGCCAGAAACAGGAAGAAGGGAAATATGTAATATCCTTTTTATTTTTCTCCTTCCATCTTGTGAATTCTGTTTTTAAGTCCTATTAGTATCGTTATATCGTCGTATGGCGTTGGTGAGTCTGAAGGATAACCCAAGGTGCATCTTGGAGGACACATTCCAAATAACATACAGTCAATGCTAAACCACCGCGTCTGCGTGCCCAACTATAAAGTGAGCACGACGAATTCCTTTTTGATCGTGTAAACCGCACGGAATCATCGGATTAAACGAGGTTGTTAATTCAGGCAGGCTTAACGATTATATGGCGTAGGTCGATAGATTCCTGCCACAGAAAGAGACACAAGGGTTCGCATATGCATATGTAAACACGTAATCGTAGGACTCCACACGCTATTCGCAGTCGCGGCCCGTCGGATATCCACGTGCTCTCGTATAACATGCGATCTTACCTCATCGCATATGAAACACCAATTACGAAGTAATTATGAAACAATTTCGCGTACAAATAACCGCGGAATCGGACTAATGGAGAGTGATGGGATAGATGCGAAACTATTGGTACTAGCTACGTCACATGGAATATCTCTCTTTATTCCCGGCTTACCACTGTAGTAATGTCAAGGCCACGGTAATCCTTATCGCAATTCGTTCAATCAAAAAACGTAACGTCCAATCTTATTTCATGGAATTCAACGATCGTTGACTATATTCATAGAATTTGGAGAATTAAATCCTTTTTTTTACCTTCGATCTATCTCGTTTATTTTTTTTTTCCTTTATTCATTTGTTCCGCACACCCAGGTAAACCGTAACGCATTCGCCGCGCAGTTTCCTTCGGTAATTCGATCCGACCTAATTACAGCTCTCTCTTTCATCGAGCACCTAATGTTTTTAGTTCGCTTTGGCTCTGGAACCCCTGCGCGTGACACCTCGACTTGCACTACCTCAGGGTGCGTATTTCACAAAACTACTGAAGTTCTGTTATCAAGGATAGCGGTCAGTATCGATCGCAGTGTACGTACACAATAGAAAACGAAATGTATTCGTACACTGTTTTTCACTGCGCGTGGACGCCTTTATTGTAGCCATGGCCGAGGGCACGCACGCTGCTCGTTTATTTCTTAGGTGAATGCCTGTCGGAATCGTTAATGAGCGGCGTCTTCGAGCACTGGGCTAAAGGGGAGACGAGAGGCTTGAGAATTATTAAGAGATGCAATTCCATACACTGGTATATGCTGCAGAGTGGTCTAGTAAATAAATACCAATAGGAAATTGTTACCTGTAGACTTACAAGACCACGTGGAAATATTATATCTGTCACGGGTATCATCTATCCGTTTAAATTCAATATACATCCAGACGTTATTAAAGCTTAATAAAAATATAAAATGCAACGTGCCGTTTCTACCGACTTTTTTATATCGCTCGGGCGTGCTCGCGTATATCTCTACGAATCTGACCTACTTTCTTACCTATGACAAATCCAGACTTTCGATAGCTCTATAAATATTCTACACCCATGCTTTGACTCGGTATACGTACATATTTACGTTTTCAGATATATGTGAAATTAGCAAAGTTACCTGATATCTGGTGAAAAGAATTGTTTAATAAAATTTACATAAATCTTCAGACCCGTCTTATCTTATATTATAGCCGTTACTCCGATTTCTGGAACTGAATTATTATTATATAACCCGGTATACACCATACCATACCATACCGTACCATAGCGCAAAGTCTCGTGACCCTGGAGACCTAACAGAGAGAATCCGCGTGTTCTCGCTTCTCGGGAACTCGTGTATCGTCGCGTGTATTGTAACGTGTTCGTCTCGCTTCTCGAGAGTTCACGTATCGTTTTGCATTTCGTATTTCGTATCTGGTATGTTGTATATTATATTTTGTATTTCGTCAACGGAATCTTGTTAAGATTATTATTTCACTTGTTTCGGAATCTCTTAATTGTTAACTATTGCATTCTAAGTTTGTCCTGAATAAAAGGACCGTTGTTATTGTTTTCTATATCGGGTTCTCACTCTTCTTTCCTGGCTACCTTACCAACACCTTGGCGTTCCCTGCCCCTCTGCCATTCCCTCATCTGAGTTAGTTCGGTTGCCGTACTCTATTCTTTTCGGGAATTTTCGTAGTCTCGTTACGTGACGCAACGGTGCGTCTGGCGCCCAGTCGGTGACTTTCGGTATCGCGTCCCGGGGGAATAGAACATTATATTTGTGGCGTAAAACGCGTCGGGATAGCTGCGTCTCGGCGAGTAGACTTTGGGGTTAGATTACGCTTTAGTCTCAGTTTTATAGCACTGGCGAATAAGTTGAAGTATAAAAAATTGCGTCACAACATATAGCTGAGAGTTGCAGTGAGAGTGCGGGATACCGTCTAGCCTCGAAAGGCCGTGTCTGACCTCATCCTCAAGAACTTGTCCCACTTACGCGATCCTCTCCTACTCCTTGGTTCTCATACTCGACAGTCCCTCTTGGTTCTCCGACACTCTCCTTTCTCTCTAGCGTTCTTTCTCACTCGTAGACTTCCGGTCGGGTAGAAGTTGGCAACACTAAAAATATCGAGTTAACAGATGAGATACGAAACGGCCTTGTCCGTCCTACGTAATGAGCAGTAGAAAAAGAATTATGAAATAGGTAACACGTGTTATGGATATCCAAAATATATCTGGTATTATCGTACACCGGGTATGTTATCAGTCAAGAGGAAGGTTGACACTCGATCGATTAGAAATTGCTCGTTTGTTTCTATATCAGTGGATATCGGCCACGCGTTTAAAATCTATCTAAATATTTCACACGATCCTAATGTTTGTATGTCACCATGTATAAGTCGATACTCGCTATTGTGCTATATGTTAAAATTTTCGATTAAGTTTACATCCCTCACAGGGGAAAATAACATAGCTGTTACCCTTTGACGTTAGTGCCTGTACAGGGACTGTACTTTGGCCCCTTTAATGGATACAAAACACACGCGATCGTCTTTATGCTTTTAATGCGCAAGCAGTCGTTTAAAGTTTTTATACTTTCGTTTCGTAATTTTAACGTCACGACATCTTGGCCATTCAGTATCTCACGATAAAGGCTATTATTAGACAAGTCCCCACAATTTGAACGTGGCGATTCGACATTGTCATACTTAAAATCTAAATTTCACTCGTTCAATCATCTTTCCCGTGGAACAGACTTTTGACACTTTCTACAAACATGGCGGATCGTCTCGACTCACCGGCGAGTACACCCACTGACTCACCCACTCAACGATTGTAATCCAGGGTCAACGCTTAGCAGGTCCTGCAAAATTGATGCGTTAACCTTGCCCCAGCCGTGAGTTCAATAGGAGGCGCGACAGGATGCAATATGGCGTCTAGTCTCCATCATTCATTTACTCCAAGATAAAATAAGACCGCTCGATACTCTACGCCCTTAATAATTATATATACGTGCGACGCGCAGATATACCGATATCAAATAATGCTACAGATAACAAAGATTAATTCCATATGGAATATCACTGTCGAGATGATCGCGCGTCATCTAATCTGGATGCTTTTATCTTTGGAATGGAGGTCAGGTATGCACCGCTGCGACCATACTGAAAATGCGCATCGGCTGCTTTAATGGGAACTTGCGATGCAAGTGCCACGTTATTACGTGCGCTAGAACGCTCTTTCTCTCGCCTCTATCTTATTCCCTCTCTCCGTCTCTCTCTTACTCACTTACGATGTCGCACGAAAACAATTTATTCCACAGACTATTTGATCATTCAGCGAAACGTTAATCCACTTGTGATACCCTTTATCGGCCATCGTTAATCCACGTCGTGGTATATGATAAATGTAATCGACAAGGGTCGAGCCTTAATATCAATATCGATTACGCATTACGGGACCACGCCTGCACTGCGAAATTATACAGCCGCGAAAATTGTGTATCCGTATTAATGACCTGAGCCGTACAGTGTCTTAATATTGGCAGCGTTTTAAAATGTACTTGGTCGCTCACAATGAATTTTTCATGCTCTTTGGTGGATTATATCTGTGACCCCTCGAGGATGTCACTTCGGTTGGAACATAATGATTTTATTTTCGACGCGACTCCTTCTCGTGTATACGGAAATATTTATTATCGTACTGGACGGGATGCGTGAGTCGTATATGGTTATGGTATAGACTTCGCGATCTGTCGATTTGGATGGTTTGTCTTGGTTTAGAAAAATTTGTTGATCCTTAGCCATACGTTGTTAGGGGGTATGTGGGATTAAATTTGTCTCTTTTTTGACTTATCGTCAGTCCCATGCAGTGCAATTATATATAGTTGCCATTGTGACTCGAAATACTTTCAATCCCTATTTAGGCTTCTTCGTGGAGACACTGTACCTATCTCGAGGAGATACTGTGTATATCTATTTATTTTCTTTTCGTTAGGCGAACGTCACGAAACTTGAATCACGAGAGTCGCTACTAGAGCTTAGATTAACATTATGCCCCTTCTGTACCCCAATAGCCCCTTCTGTACCTCGACGATAGCTCACGATTGGGACGTATAGATAATATTTTGAAAGAGCTGCCGACGGTGCCATGGCAGTGCCAGGCCACTTCGGCAACCGGGCATTACACAAGGTTGAAATGCCTGAGACACGGGAAGAAGAAACGCACGCGATCGCAATCCCTGCAGGTGTCTGTCACCTGCAGGAAATTTCGAAGGATCGATAGGCACATTAAAATAACGATGTTTCTTCCGGATTCCGGTTTCATCGAACCTTTTTGATTTCATTCTCTACGCTATTACGGTGTTTAGCCTCTATTGGCAAGCTGTATGGCTGGTAACAATAAGAAGACAACAAAGGGTAACGATTTTGACAGAGCTAGATTATGTAATGATGATTATGCGAATTTTAAGAATAACGCATAACAATGATGCAGCTGTTTTAATATGGAGTAGACGGAGGACAAAGAAAATTTATGAAAATGTGAAACGGCGCATCTTTGAGTCGTCATTCCGCATACGATTTTACGACAGGATTAAAGTATAGCGTGTCCAAGGTGGATCGGACGTGAAAAGGGAAGCGCACCAGGAGTCATGTTAAAAATACGATTTGCAGGGGTTTAGCATGGCTCTCGTGGACGTCACGCAAGCTAAAGGATTTCAGTGAAATTGGAGAGCTGCAGAAACGAAAATAATTGCAACGCGCTTGGTACACTTCGTGGAACGAGTGCAACTGTGTAACGAGTGCGCTCGATGCTTGCGAGGAGGATGACAATTTTATTCGGTCGATTAGGTCTGATGTACGTATTCATATAAAAACGTCAACAGACGAGACTCCTTGATCTCGTATAAACGTAACGATGCATGGCATACATGTGCGAATTAAGTTAGATCAGGTTAGGAGAATCAAAATGGTATACGCTAGATTCTTATTTGATCACCGTGACATAATCAGCGTGTACGAGGTCGTCTAGAATCTCAAAGTTATCCTTACGTGTTACCAAGCTTTTGCTCGTTGTAAAACGACCGTAAAAGTATTTTATTATAGAGCTGAGCGGCCATCTTTTATCCTGTATTTCATTTCCAAGGCTTTGAAGATTCGAGGAACAAGATAACATGCACGTGCACGTTATGCTATATAGGACTATACCTCTATTCTTATTACTGTTTACAGAGTTATTACGGACGCGCACACTCACGTACCCCGCTACCTGGAAATTCGGGAATGACAGACCGAGCTTAATTTTATTACCGATCGCATTGTGCGCGCAGACATCACAAACGTATCTTGTTAACCGTCGCAGAAGCTTTCTCTGTCAGTGTTTTATAAATATGCAGCAGACTGGCCCAAGGCCCGTCGTGTTGCTAACCTAGAAAGTGTACCTGATCGTTCGTATTTCTCATTGTCAAGTTTGATTAAGATGCGTACGAGATACGTCACTTCTCAATGTAGGATTAGGTGCATTTATTAATGTGAGTAAACTGTCAATATTACGATCCAGAAAAAAGGCTCAATTAAGGGCAACGGCCGTGGCCTCTTTTACGATCGAAGAGGTTATGTATCGCATCCAACGCGTAATGCACTCACCGATATGCATGCTTAATCAAACGAAGTCACCCGGTTAGCGTAAATTAAGGCGGCCATTAAAACAGAGCAGGGTTCGTAATTACGTTCTCTGCGCGACACTCTGACACAAGATGGACGCTGTACAAATATTATCCTCATCAATCTCTCCTGGCGCGTGGCATCAAACGAATTTTTATTTTGGGATCATTGATGATGTTTTTATACACGACAGATTCGTCTCTCCTTCACCTCTTTTTGCATTTGCTATTAATTAGGTGAATATGTCGAAACAAATTTTTGTTCTTCTGTACTACTTTGTGGTCATTCATTTTTTTGCATTTAATCATTATGATTGTTATTTATATAAACTTATCTAACCTCTGTCGTTAGTGACTTTCGTAGTTAAAGCTGTCGATGCATTCCGATCAATGACACGTGATTGTTGGCTATAGGAATTCTGGGTAAAATTGTTATATATGTTCATCAGTGATCAAAGGATCAAAGGTTCATCAGTGAGGAAAGGATCAAATTATGCAGACAGGATCTTGATGTCATCGAGTTGCTATTTGTGGATGTAAAAAATAAAGGATTTTTTTTACTACTTTCCGTTGCGGACTTCGAAGTGATTTCTAGAGTGTGTAGGATTCGTGAGAAATATGTAAACTTTGTGTAACCAAGCAGCGAGCAGGGTCTGATGACACGTTTATAAATAAAATACTTGACTCGGCATATACAACTAATTGCTCGCGTCATGACTATTTCAATGTAATTCTAACGAAGTCGTTTATACTCGATTATCAAGGAATTTGAATTTCATAAATAATCTTAATACCAATGAATTTTCTGTTTCAGATGAACAGGAGCGCGTGCAGAAAAAGACTTTTGTGAATTGGATCAATTCTTATCTGTTGAAGGTGAATATAGAAGATAAAAATAAATAAAGACAGAAGATATTTTTGAACGATTCATACGATTTTAGATTAGCAGGAAACTAATATAGTTCATCAAGGAACGAACTTTTTTTCATCTTTCAGAGTTCACTGATGTCAAATTCTAATTATATGATAAAGCGATAACTGAGAGTATACATTTTATTCTATTGGCTAATAATTATTATCCAAAATTGTTCACTCTACATTCGTTATCGTAATTCAAACGAGTCTGACAGTCGTCGTCAGACTTTTAACAATTATCGATGCGATTAACGATGGGTAATTAAAAAGATAGGAATATAAGGATAAAAATAATCAATAATATACTTAAGGTCAGATTTCATCTGCAATCATAATTATACTGCCAAGCTCGTTTAATTACCCGGAAATAATTTTTGCCGAAAGTTTTTGCCCGGCTTACCACTCTGGCACTGACTGGTTGCCAAGTTTTGCATATTAGCACGTAACGCTGGAATATCAGTTACGATAGGTTACGATACGATGGGATGTCTTGTAATACCAGAACAGCCAATTACTTGCGACTACTTGGTTATAGTCCGTACCTGGTTCATGATTTTCTAGTTTCCGGACCTTTCGAAACTCCGTTAGTCTAACTTAGCAACCTTAAATCAGTTTGAACGGCATGACAGTTCGTGTTCATTAATTGCTGAGATAATTAAGCAGGCATATAGACGCGCTCACGCAGCAGCAATCTCTATGAACAATTATTAGGCGATTACTTATTTGATTAAAATTACATTAATTTATGTATTTTTTTATATTCAGAGAGTTCCACCTCTTCGAATTGAAGATCTGATTGAAGATTTGAAGGATGGCACGCGTCTTCTTGCACTCCTGGAGGTGCTGTCAGGCGAGAAACTGGTAACGTTCAATTACGTGTTGCTAATCGCATTTAACATACTGTGGCAGTACGTAGATCCATGGAAAAGCTGCTTTACTCCATGAAATTCAATTACCTTCGTGTCTATGTAATTTGTCAGTATATGCTGATATATATTATTACGATGCTTATAGTTTGAATGGTTTTGATCACTTGTGCAAAATTACAGCCGGTGGAGAGAGGCCGTAACTTGAAGAGACCACACTTCCTCAGCAATGCCAATACCGCACTACAATTTTTACAGAGCAAAAAAGTAAGTTAGCTTAAGAAAATTTAAATTCTGTCAGAAGGATTGGTGGGTATAATTAAAAAATAATTTCTTTTTTATATTACAGATCAAATTAGTTAACATAAACTCGTCCGATTTAGTGGACGGACGACCGCCAGTAGTATTGGGCCTTATATGGACCATCATTCTATACTTCCAGGTAATAAATAAATCATCCATTAATAGTGACGTATGAGGTATCTATGCTGAGCACATTATATTTAGTACGCGATAGCTGCTTACGTATAGCGCTCGACACATAATATGTAACCTATTCGCAGCAGCACAATAACTATTAATTAACTGAACGTGGGTTAATTTGTAAATCGTATTTAATGTCAATTGTAAGTAGATTGATTAGTCTCGCCGAAGGTATTGATCAGGTGAATCGTTAATTAATCAAGTTGTCCTTCACAATATTAATTAGCTATATAAAGGTATTGGTCCCAGCAGTCCAATACCATTCCATTTACACCAGTAATTTATTTGTCAAAGAAATAACTACTGTAGCGTTTATATATATATTTTTGAATATAATCCAATAATTTAATACAATTTAATGATCCTAATCAGGTTACGAGCTTTGCTCGTATTGTCGATGCATGATTAAAAGTGCTGTTGGGAAATTATTCGCATATTAATCCTCACATTAGAATCATTTATATTTCCACTCTGCTAACCGTATGTATTCTAATAAACAAGCTACGATCGAAGGATCGAAGAAGGGTGAGTAGCTCGATCGACGAATTACGGTTACGAACGGATCCACGATCCGGTCCGTGCACTGCATGTCTATGCGCATCACGTTAGAACGCACGCTAGACGCACTTCAGGGTGAAACTTCGGCCACTGATCACGTGGGTACTTGTTTTCTAGATCGAGGAGAACACCAGAGCCCTTGAGTACCTGGGACAGACCTGGGGCAGCCAAAGTAGCCTTGAAAGCCTTGGTACTCAGGGTTCAGCTGCCAGTGAACGTAGACGGCAGAGCAGCGAGAAATGGAAGCAGGGAGCTCGCAAAACTTTACTCCAATGGGTGACCAATGCCCTGCCAAAGTTTGTATTTCTTGACTTTCACTTGTGGTAATCGATTGAGATGACTTCATGGGCTTGTTTCTGGCAGGGATGCTGGAATCCATGTGCGCGATTTCGGTGAAAGCTGGAGGGATGGCAATGCCTTCCTCGCCATCATCGATGCTATCAAAGCCAACCTGGTGAACATTGCCGCTATGCGTGAAGCTTCCAATAAGGCTCGCCTTGAGACCGCGTTCCAGGTCGCTGAAACTGAATTAGGCATTGCTCGTCTACTTGATCCTGAAGATGTTGACGTGCCTCAGCCTGACGAGAAATCTATAATGACTTACGTTGCTCAGTTTCTTCATAAATATCCAGAACCTAGATCTGCTGGTCCTGACACTTTTGCTGCTGTTCAACGAGAGTATGACACTCTTCTTGAATGGCTCAATGACAGAGTCAGACATTTGGATCAGCTCAACAGAACGAACGCCTTCCCGCCAAGCTATCCAGTATGTTTTATATAAATTGAATTATAAGGTATATACTAATTCGTGTTTCCTAATTAACTTAATGTTTTTCAGGAATATATGTTGTTTAAAACTGAAACCGACGATAAGGGAGTGATATACAACAAATTACAAGGTCTGGTGGACACTCCAAGTATGATCAGTATCACTCGAGATTCTTGGAAACAAATCGAGACTTTGTGGAAAAAAATGGAGTCTCTCGTAAGCCCAAATTTTTTGTATATTTTCAAAATTTAGTACTAGTTTCTTTCGTATCAGTTTCATATTTTTTACATGGTTAATATACGAATAATGCTTACAGATGTTACGTTGGCTGTGGTCTTTGGATTCTACTTTACCGGGAGAATTTGGCGAAGTGGGCAGGTGGTTGGCCCAAGCCGAATCTTTGCTGATGTCAGATAACAATATACCGGAAGAGATGACAGAGGAAACAGCGAGTATAATCTCTAACAAGCTTGAAGATCATAAGAAGTTCTTCCTGGATCTTCCCGCCATGACAGAGCTCTTACAGCGTGCAAAGAATTCACCCCTGGCACCAAAAATACCCCCGGAACAATTACAGAACATGACATCAAGACTGGATAGCTTACCATCACGCGCAGCTAAGCGTAGGATCCGTTTGAAGTTCCTGGAACACAAGTGTTGCCTGATCGCGTTCCTTTTCCTCGTCGAGACCAAACTGAAGGGGTGGAGTGTCAAATATGGCACCGAGGAGAAGGTCCATCAGATGCTGGAACAGTACAGAAATTTCGTATCAAGAAACCGGATCTTTCAGGAATTCCAAAAAGCTTATATGGACATGCAGCAAGTAGTGGACGAGTACAAGCGCGAGGGTGAAGTCGGTGAGTAAAACATAAGTTAAATATAAAATATAAGAAATAAACAATTTATAATCAAATTATTTTTCATTGACTTTTCAGATCACGAGGAAAACATTAACATCGATCGATTTATGCGCCAGACTGGCGAGAAATGGAAAAACGTCTCGATGGATCTTCGTTGCGTTCAAAGCATGCTTGAGGAAGTGGTAGCCTACTGGAGACGCTGGACAACTGTCTCAGATGAATTCGAATCTTGGCTTCAGCGTGCTGAGCCCGCCCTGGAACTTCCGGAAGAGGAAAAGATGGAATTCTTCCAAGATATTAGCGTTTGGAAAGACAAGCATCAACAGCTGTCAGATACAGTCAGCTTTTTGATAGCGACCTCAGATGATCAGGTCGCTCTTCAATTGAAGAATCGTTATACCAACTTGAGCGCAAGATGGGAGAAGCTCTTCCCGGAAGCTAAACAGTATATGCACGCTGGTGACTTGTTACGCAATAGAAAGGACTACAGAGCTGGTGTAGAGACACTTCAAAGTTGGTTAAGAAATGCTGAATCAATCCTCTCCACTACACAACTCTCATCCACGGAACAGATTAAGGCTTATGGGGAACAGTTGAAGGTTCTTCATAACGAAGTGGAAGGTATTGAAGACCTCTTCAAGAATATCAGCAAGAAGTTTCAGACTCTTATACAGGATCTATCACGTGATGAAGTTGATAAAATGATGAATACTCTGAAGAAAGAGAAAGAGGCTCTCGTTAGAGTTCGTGCGTTGATACCTATGCAGCTGCATTTATATCACCAGCTATTGGTCCAGCAAGAATCTTTGGAAGCTGGACAGAAGGAAATATCCAATTGGCTAGATGATGCTGAACGTCTACTTGCTGGTATCAATCTTTCCGGAGGACGAGACTCAGCCCTGGCTCAACTTGATCGCCACAAAGCCTTTTTCTCTAGGACACTCTATTACAAATCCATGCTGGAATCAAAGAACAAGGTCTTCTCCAGCATTGTGAAGTCCGTTGACAGCCATGCTAATGTAGACACAGCCGAAGGTGGTGCTGCTCTTCGTGAATTAAACGAACGTTTCGCCCAGGTATCACAATCAGCTCAGCTAGCGGAACAACGTCTTCAGGAAGCTGTTCGCTGTTGGACCAAGTTCCGTGAATGCGAGAGACAGATATCCGAATGGCTCTCTGCAGCTGAGACCTTGATAAATGATAAGCACATTGACAATAGACAATCAGTCGAGTACCACAAGAATTTCTTTGGCAAGGTTAATGAAAAATGGATTCAGGACTTGGTCAACACTGGTCAGGATCTAAGAAATGCTATTGAACAAGAAGCACCAATTGTCGAAGCTGTTGACTTCCTGCAAAAGCGTTGGAAGGAAGTTCTTACTTTTGCTCCACTTCATTTAATGAGACTCGAGTTTCGGCTCGACGAAGCTACCTTTCTACAGTATCTTAAAGAGATTGAAGTCGAGATCAATTCTGAACAACAAGCGCTCATTAAGAACGATGAGGTCGGCAATATATTGCAGCGCAATAAGGATTTCTTTGTCAACCGTGGAATCGTGCTCGAAGTCGAACGTTGTCTGCAGACCTTGAAGAAGATCAGCACTGCTTATACTCAACTGAAACCAAGCGACAGTAGCCTGAATGAAGCTACTCAAAAGGCTGAACATCAGTGGGAAGATTCAGCCCAACGTATTGAACAACTGCGGGAACAACTGCGTCAAGTGCCTGAACAATGGGCTGCCTACAGGGAAAAGTAAGTCTATCTTCTTCAAAGTTTGTACAGCACGTTAGCATAAAATTGAACGATACAAAAAATTATGGTGTATTTTCAGGTTCGCTGAAATGGTGCGATGGATGGATCACGTTGATACTACCCTGAGAACCATTTTACAGGAAGTTAATACCCTGGAGGAATTCGAACAGGAAAGAAGCATATTCCAGGTAAGTCGAATTTTTGTGCTATCTAAATATAACATTGATATACGCCCTCCATCTTTCATCGATAATAATTTTTATTCTGCTGCTCGGATAGCTTCAGACGTTAACGGTAAATATTATATGAATGTGCCGTATTTTTGAGTTTTACAGAAATTATAATTTCACGTCGTCTACGTTACGTTTAATGAAAAAATAAGATATGAAGTATTTACGGTTATAAAATTCTCCTTTTTTTTCTGTTTCCTCAAATAGAAAATTTGTCGCGAAGCTGACAGCAAACGTGAGGAGATGAAGTGGCTGGTACAGACTCTGGACAGCCTCACATCAAATCGTACAGATCACGCCGCCGTCACAGAACAGAATCAGCTTGAGCAACTAATAACGCGTTACAAAAATCTTATCCCGACTATAGAGATTACCATGACGAAGACTGACATCTATTCGAAGAGCTACACTTACAGAAAAGAAGTGCGTGAAGTCTGTACTCTATTGAAAAAAGTTCGCGATCAGACGTCTATTCAAGAAGCTTCTGAGAATCCTGAAACTCTGACAACTGCTCTTACCCATCAAGAGACCCGCCTGTCTCAGCTCGAACAACAGCGAGCCAACATTGTTAGCATGCTTCAGCGCGGTAAAGATCTACTAAAGGATCAGCACGCTCCGACATTCGTCTCCACAGAAGTTCAGCATCTTGAAATCAGCTGGAATGACACGTATGGCCAGAGCATCGAGGCCTTGAAGGTTCTGAGGGGATCTCAAAAATTGTGGAACAGTTACCAACAGCAAAAGGATGAGATTCTGAAGTTGATCGAGCAAGCTGACAAGGAGTTAAAAAATATTGGTACGGGTTATCACGATTCTGCTCAGGTATCCGCTGATCTGCAAAGCAAGCAAGAGCTCAGTATATCCTTGAGAAAAGCTGCTGAAGAAATGTTGAGAAAGCTACGAGATATTCACGCCAATCTTAGTGAAGCTACTGTGCCACAAAAGAGACCTTTGTTGGAAAAAGAAGTGACTGATATTGAGAAGAAACTTCATATCACATTAGAAACTGTTCAAGAGAGAGTTGTCTATCTTCAGCAATTCAATGCTAGATGGACCAAGTTCCAGGCTAGACTTGGCGAGCTGCAGACCTGGACCCAACAAAGTGCACCACAATTGATTGCTAACATTCAAGAGACCTCGACTTCCCCCGAGGAGAGAGTACGCAAAACGGAGATTTTGCAGAAACAGATCCACGAGAAGATCACTATCCTAAAGGTGCTTGAGGAAGAATCGCGAAAGCTTATAACAGGTAAGATTCCTCTAAGTATGATTCATTTGCGGTACGTTTTATTTTTGTATTGGTAATGAAATTCAACGTTATTATTTTTATTCTAGATGACAGTGAAAACGTTGAGGCCAAGGCCCTTCGTTCTGAGATTAAAGATCTTCAAAATGCTGTACAATCACTGAACGCGAGTATAGTTACTCAACGTGAGATTGCCACCAAAAACCTGACTACTTGGAAGGAATATGAAGTTGGTATCCAGCAACTGAAACCCTGGATCGAACAAGCGGAATCAAAGGCTGCATCAATCGGATCCAAACCCACTACTTTGGACCAAGCTATAAAGATGCTAGAAACTGCCAAGGCCTTCGAGAAACAGTGCGAGGAACATCTGCCAAGGGTTCAGGAATTATCAGTGATAAGTCAGCAGATTGCTGGAAGAACTGCAGCGCCAGATGAAGTGGATGCTGTTCACACTAGATGGAACGCTGTTCATGATGTAGCAATCCAAACCACAACAAAGCTGGATAAGCTTGTCTCCTCCTGGAAAACCTTTGAGACAGAAGCCAAAGAATTTAACGTGTGGCTGCAAGACAGCGAGAAAACTGCATTGGTCGAGCCCAATGTGCAGACTCCTGAAACTGGCAAGCTTGAGAATGAATTGGCTCGATTAAAGGAGTTCAATAAAGCCATTTCTGATCGTCAAGCTCAATTGATCTCTCTGACCCAGGTGTCAGATCATATCAGTCATGGTCTAGCCTTAGAAGGTGCTACTAATTTGAAGGGTCGTGTGTCTGAGCTGAAAACACGAGTAAACAAACTGGCTGATATCGTGAGACACCAGATAAACCGTGTGTCTGATGCTCTGCTAGCTCGACAAGAGTTCCAAATGAAGATCACTGATTTCGAGAACTGGATGAGCAGACTGAGAACTAATATTGCTGAAATTAGCGAAGTGAATGTTGACAATGTAGACACGAATCTTCAATCAGTTCATGCATATCTTCAAGAACACTCAGAAAAACAGCCGTGCTTTGCTAGTATTTACGAGGAAGTGAAACATCTATCTGCTCAAGGGTCTCCCGAAGAAGCTAAAGCGTTAAACGAGATTTACACTTCATTGGCTAAGAAGTATAAAGCTCTGGAAGATGACCTTTGTCAAAAGAAGAAGGGTCTAGAGAAGTGGGCAGAGCTGCTCAGCTGGCACAACGAGACCAGTGCTCAGTTGAATCATAGTAAATACCAAGTTGAAGCTCATAAACCAACTATACCAGATCTTGAGAGACTTTCGTCGGAGCTTCAAAGTGTTCACACAAAGATCAGTTCCTGGAAGGAACAGATATCGATCATAGACAGCTCCATGGGTGTACGAGTGCGCGATAAACAGGAGAAGCCCTTGACAGCTTCCGCTTTAGTGAATGATCTAGAAGCCAAAGCAGTCACACTTCAAACGGAACTCACTGCAAAGCGGGATAAGCTAGAGAATCTTAGTGCACGATGGGATAACTTCAAGAAACTTCAGACTAAGCTTACCGAAGAGATTGTTCATACCCAAACGACTCTTCAAGAAATCACTTACAGTGTGGACAGTTGTGAAAAATTGGCACCAGCTGTTGAGAAGATCAGTGAACTTATTGAAGAGCACCGGCATCGCGAACCCGACAAGGATACTCTTCATCGAGAAGGCGCAACCTTGGTGAAGGAGGATCAACGAGCAGTAACCAATATCCAAGTAGTCCTCTCTTCAGCAGATGCCAATTGGGAGAAAGTGAATGAGCTTCTTAGAGAGCAGCAGAGTAAGTACTCCGAAATGAATGCTGACTGGAAGCAATTCCTTGAAGCCAAAGAGAAGTTAAAGAAGTTTGTCAAAGAATCAAAAGCTCTGTGCCAATCCGTTAAAGAAGTGCCAAATGACATTACCCAGGCGAACATTGCTCTGGATAAACACAAAAAAGCCGCAGATATTCTTAAGAAAGGGAAGCAATTCCTTGAGAAAATGGATGCCAAGGCTCAGCAATTGATCAAAGAAGCTTCTCTAATGCCAAATTTCAAGTCAGAATTGATCGAGTCTGATCTTGCTGATGTCCGTAAAGAATACCAAGATGCCTATTCGAATATCGTCGAGAGAAGCCAGACTTATGAGACTCAAGTCATCATTTGGAAACAGATCGACGAAGCTAAATATGAGCTAACCAGATGGCTGAGTGATACAAATGATGCTCTTACTACTGCCTGTGAACATCTTCCTGATGCTGAAAATGGTCAGACTAAACTTGCCAGGTATCGTGAGGAGTTACCAGCGCACCAGTTACTACGTCAGGGTATTTCTACCAAGACAGAACAATTGATCAAACTGAACAATAACGCTGAGATACCTACATTGAATTCCTTGAATAGATTGCTCGATGATCAGTTCAAGGTAGTCAAAGCGTCGGCTGATAAATTAGAATCCTTAACATCCAGCTTCAACGAAAAGGAGAAAGGTATTCGTCAAGAATTAAAAAAATTCAGTGATTTAATCTCGAAGATTCGTGAAGATATCATCAAATGCGATGATCTTACTGGTGAAAATACCAAGATCCTAGGCAGGATCAATAAGTGCCAAGAGCTCAAGAATGAACTCGAAAAATGCAACTATAACTTATCTGATGTTGAAGAAAAAATCACTAGCATGTCCTCTGAGTATCCAGCAATTACAAAATCCAGTTTACCGAAAGAACTTCAAGCTCTGCAATTGCGAAGAGATGGAGTTGCCAGTCATGCCGATAAGGTTAGCGCTACTTTAGTAGCATTCCTGACAAAATTATACCATGAGAAGTTTGGTGCCTTGCAACGTATGGTAGCTACTCATAAAGAAAAGGCAGCCTGGTGTGAGCCGGAGCAGAGTAGCGATAGATATAATCTTGAAGTGAAGATGGCTTCACTGGTTGACGTGGAAACAGGAATTGCTGATTGTGAAGCTAGAAAAGCTGATACCGACAATTCCCTGAAGTTGTTACAGACTGTTGAGAGTAGTGAAACTATGGAGGGACTGAGAGCTGACCGTGATAAAGTGGCAGCTGATTTAGATTCCCTGAAGACCAGTTACGCTAAGATCAAGTCCGTCCTGGAACACAACATTGCGTTGTGGCAGAAATATGAACTCATGTCTGAGAACGTGGTCTGTTGGTTAAAGGAAACTGAAAATAAGATCAGGATCGAAAGTTCAGCTTTATTGACGCTTCCTGATATCGAGAACAAGATCAATGAAATTGGCCAGCTCCAGAAGGCTGTATCGGACTACCGAAGAGAGCTGGATGACTTGAGTGCCTTAGGAGAAGATATAATAAAAGTCAGTCCCGAATCTCGAGTGGGTCAGTACATTGGTCATCTTAATACACGTTATCAAGCAGTCTTGAAGTTCCTTGCATCTCATCTGGAGAGACTTGAGGAATTGAGTAAGAGTAGAGATCAGTATAAGTCTAACGTAAAGGAACTTGAAGCATGGATCCAGAATGCTGAGAAGAAGCTGAACGTTTTCCGTGAAATTACTGGACCAAAACCTATCACCTTCTACCAATCTAGACTCAAGGAATTAAAGGCTTTTGCCGAAGAACGAGAGAAGGGCCAGTCTATCCTGAATCGCACAGCTGAAGCTGGTGAAGCTCTTTATGCCAGGATCACACCTGACAATCGTGAGGTCATCAGAGCGGAGCTTAGAAATCTTCGCAATCAAGTTGATGCACTCGCAGATCGTGCAAACGTTATCTATAAACGTATTGAGAGTGATATGATGCACAGATCATCATTTGAAGACAAGTATTCTCAGGTGAAACAGTGGGTGATTGATGCTCAGGCTAAACTGGGCGATAAACAGGACCTCTTGGCTAGTCTTCAAGAGAAAAAGCTGGCTCTTCACTCGTATCGTACAATTGCTCAGGATGTGAACGTGCATAGAAATATTTTACAACAACTTCAGGACAGATTGGGAACCATGAGCGATGATGAAGCTACAGAAATGCTTGGTACCGTGATTGAGGCTTATGATAAGCTATCTGGCGACGTCGAAGACAGGATTAATATTGCTGAGAAGCACGTAGCTAACCACGAAGCTTACTTGCAAACATTCGAGAAGACCAGAGATTGGATTAATACAATAGTTAATGAAGCTGCTCCGATAATAGAAGATCTAACGATAGAGCGCGATACGGCTAAAGCTAAGATTGCTCTCATTGGGAATATACTTCAACAAAAAGCAGAGGGTGATCGTGTCCTTCAGGACTGTAATCAGCAACTTAATATCATTTTGGAGCAAACGTCCATTACCGGGCATCCTGCATTGCTTAAGGGTTACGAAGAGCAGAAGAGGATCTGGGACGACTTCTTGAAACGGTGCCTGGGTACACGAGACAGACTGAATCAATTGTTCGATCAATGGGCAGAATTTGAGAAGGTCGTTGAGCGTTTAGAGGCCTGGATAAAGCAAATGGAGTCCCAGGTGAAGGATCAAAGTCTGAAGAGTACCGAAGAGACAAAGAGGGCACATCTACAAAAACTGAAGACCCTCGAAGAAGAGATTGCTGCTAAGGGTGCGGAGTTTAATGCAGCCGTAGAAAAGAGTCAGACTATCGAAGGGGAATCTGAGTTAGGTACTCAAGTATCACGCCTGGCTACCAAATATCAAGCAATTAGAAATCAAGCTAAGGAAGCTGTGGCTAGGTACGAGCAGTTCGTACGAGAGCACGGTGTCTTCAATGAGAAGTACAACCAGTTCCTGAAGTGGATTACCAATGTTCAAGATGACCTTACGAAGCACAGTGAGATTGTAGGTGATCTTACGGTACTTCAAAGCAGACAAAAGAGCATCCGTGATCTAGGAGACACTCGCACCAAAGAAAATGCACGTTTCGAATCTGTTATTGATCTTGGTGAGAAGTTGTACGCACATACATCTCCAGATGGTCGTGAAATCATACGTCAGCAATTGAGAAATTTACGAACTGTTTGGGATGGTTTCTCGGAAGATCTTCAAAACGCTACGCAAAAATTAGATCAGTGTCTTATGCAATTCGCAGAATTTTCGCTCTCTCAGGAACAGTTGACTACTTGGTTACGTGATGTTGAACGAGCTATGCACCAACACACCGAGCTGAAATCTTCACTCCAGGAGAAGAGAGCTCAACTTCAAAATCATAAGATTATGCACCAGGAAATTATGTCTCATCAGTCGCTCGTTGAGTCGGTTTGCGACAAAGCTCAACAACTTGTCGATCAAACCAAAGATACTTCGTTGAATGTGTATCTGCAATCCATAAAACAACTCTTTCACAACATTGTTGCCAAGTCACAGGATCTTCTGGAAAATCTGGAGGATTGTGTAGATAAGCACAATCAATTCAATGTGCAGTGCAAGAACTTCACTGATTGGCTAAACGGAGAACGTGAAAAGCTGCTGGATTGTAATGACATTGCTGGCGAACGCAGTGAAATTTCACGTAGGCTTGCTACTCTTGAAGCTTTAAGGGATGGTCAAAATCAGGGAGTTGAAAAACTTGCGAAGTTGAATGAACTTGGAACTGCAGTTGCGAAAAGCACTGCGCCCAAAGGACAGGAGGTTATAACAAAAGCCATTGCTGCCCTGAAATCAGATCTTCATCAACATCTCAATGAAATTGGTAAGACGTCTTCACCGTATATTCAAAATTGCAGTAATCAAGACTATCGCTTTATGTTTCATAGAATCCGTTGAAGGCAAACAAAGAGGAGCACTTCAGAAGTGGCAAGAATTTGAGGATCAGCTAGAAACACACACGAAGTGGTTCCGTTCGATGGAAGCTGCTTTCAGAGATCAGCAACTTCAACCTACCTTGAAGGATAAAGAAGCACAGCTTAAAGCTTTCAAGGATAAACGTGAAGTCATTGTTAAGCAAGAACGTGACATCGATGAATTCGTGGATAAGTCACATGGTCTACTTCATTCCAGCGGTGTAGAGAGGATCAAACCGTTAATATCTCAAATTAGCAATCGGTAAGGAGTAATAAACTGACAATGAATCTAAACGTTATCACAGTATCTAGCATCATAAATTCACTTCACATCCTTTTATTTTATAGATATCAGTTGCTGCATGTCCTCAGCAAAGAAGTCATCAATCGTTGTCAAAGTATTGTTGATGATCATCGCACTTACGAAGAGAAACTCCATACAATTGACGCATGGCTAACACCGTTAGAACAAAACTTAGCTGCACTAAAGAAAGAAGAAATTGGCGGCAATTTAGAAGCCAAAGGGTCACGCTTACAAATGCTTCTGGCAGAAAGGGAACAGGCTGAACATCGTCTAGCTGGATTAACATCAGCCGGTGAAAGAATTCTTCCTGATACTTCAGCACAAGGTCGCGAAGTAATTCGACATGAACTGAGGCATGCTCGTGAAAGATGGGACAGTCTTGCCGAAGGCATAATGGAGCAACAGAAGAAACAAGATGCACAATCTCTGCAGTGGTCCAGTTATCAGGAGACTTTACAGCAAATTCTGGCTTGGCTCGATACCATGGAACGATCCATTAAACAAGATTCGTCTACAGTATGGTCCTCGCTTCAAGAGATCAGATCTAAATTACTGAAAAACAAGGTTGGTATCAAGGCATTATTACTATCCGATAATTGTTGTGTACAATCTAATTTAAATGATCCTTTGCAGACTCTTCACCAAGAAATCGTTGCGCATAAGCGCATCATCGAGGGCATCACAGAGAAGGCTAATGCACTGATGCAAGCCGCCCAAGCACCAAAAGATATCCAAGAGAAGGCGAAGTCAATTTCTCAGCGATACGAAAGGCTCGTCGATGCCTCGCAGAAGGGAATCAGTAACCTTGAGGCACTTTTGGAAATCTTCCAACAATTCCACGATCTTCAGAAGGCTTATCAGGATTATCAGAAGCAACAATGGGTCAAGTTGACCAACTACAGTGATTATACTGGAAATAAGGCTGCCTTGCAAGCCAGACTGGCCAAAGTCATTGAAATTCAGGATAGCCTGAGCGAAGGTGAAGTCAAGTTGAACGTTCTTGCTGAACATGTTGCTCAAAGTGCTAGTAGCTTACCACCAAGGTCACAAGAATCCATGGAAAGAGATCTGACTAATCTGAAGTAAGTCCAATTAATAAACCAAATTTAATATTAATAATTTACAATGCCTATATAAAAAATCTTCTTCAGATTCGAAAATAAGAAATTCGCAACGGCCGTCAGCGATGTCGTTCGTTGCATCGAAGAGCGCATACAACAATGGAGCGAATATGAAAATTCTTTAGAACGTTTATTAGGCTGGCTCGCAGATGCAGAAGCATCGTTGAAGAATTACTGTCTGAAAAATACCATAGAAGAAAAACAGGAACAGCTAGAAAAATATCAGGTAAACAATTATAATGATTTCATAAGTCTCTCTACAAGTGTTTGATCTGTTTGCGTTAACGTAAACTTTATCATTAGTTAAAAATCCGAAGATTAGCAATCTTCGGTAAGCTTTGCATTAGTCAAACGATTATTTTGTCCTCGACAATGTGATACTTGTAGATACTTGTCGTTAGTATTCCTCAGGTTCGAAGATCCAGTAAGTATGACAATTAGTTTCTATAAAAACAACTAGAGTTTACCGAGGTAACTTATTGATGTAAAAGAATTCTCGTTGCTAATATCGAAGACGCTACGTGGATATACAAGGAGCAGAGTTTAAGGCTAGTGAGAATTGTACATATGTATGTAATGAAATTTCCTAGGATCTACAAAAGATAACGGAATCCAGGAACACGGATGTGACGGAACTGGTGGCGCTTGGTGACCACCTCGAGCAAGTAAGAGAATCATTCTCTGACTCGATCCCTAGAGCTAAAGGCTTGGGATATATGGATATGGATATTGATTGAATTAGCCTGGATCGTTGCAAATACTCCTCTAATAATTTAAGGTGGCCCGATGCATTGCTTTTGGGCAACCATAGATTACACTGCCTTCTCGTATAATTCATCCAGCTTTAAGCTTTTTATCATCGGAGGCAGCTCAAGGTGGCAAAGGCTTCGACATGTTATTCCTCTGTGCAGTAGAATAAGCGTGTCCGGTACAGCCTGTGAAGTTGAAACTTCATTTCTATTCATAAATTTGAAATTGCTATTGGTCGCTTCTATCAATTGAACAGAGCCAAACCGGTATACGTTCCATTTTGCACGTTACGAAGATGGCACGTAAATAACTGATATTTTCATGTACTTCAACTTCACATATTTACTTCACAATCTACGTAATACAAACGTGACCTGACGTGCCAACTTTGTAGCAGCTTGTCGTAGAGCTTTCAGGCTTTAATCTTGTATCGTCTTGTAGGAAGGAACGTGCTGACATTGAGATGTGCCTGGAGAATTTTCTCACTTTCTTTCTCTCACTGTCACTTTTCTTCATCTTCTCTTAACGCATCAATGATAATTAGTCTAACATATAAGTTGGCAAGCTTACGTATGTATGTTACGTACGAACTGAGCTTATACTCACTTGGTGAAGGGAAAACAGAAAAAGAAAACAATAAATCACGAAAGTTTCAATCAACGAGATCAATATTAGTTTTGTTTCGAATTCGATTCTTACTTTCAGCTATGTTGTCATGTCATGGAACTCGGAATAACTCGAACGAGAGATGTTCACAAAATTTCTCATGTCATTTGTTCGGACACATGGTGGCGTTCGCATGTTGATTTACTCGTAGGCATCTAATGTTTGAAAGGGCATTCACGGCTCTATCCAGATCAGCTTCATCTGATTGCATCATATATAATTTTTCACTTATACAAACCATATTTGTCCCACAGAGCCTGATTGTAAACCTGCGACAGAACGAAGCTGAGTTTGACAAGATGAGCGACGATTCTTCAGAATTAATACAGATTAGCGGAGAGACAAGATTTTCAGCAAGTGTTCAGCAAGTTACGTCTCGATTCCAATCAATTCAGACCACGGCAAAGGTGAGTGGTGTTGCAGACTTTTTTTTAGTAAAATCTTATAAAGTTACCAACTGTCACTTGGAAATTTTGTTTTTGAATAGGAATTGGTTAAGAAGTGCGAACAAGCCACGGCTGACCATGCTGTGTACCTTGAACGATACAAACAGTGTTCAGAGTGGTTAGCATCAGCACAAACGCGCTACCAATCTTCACGTGATGGTACTTCAGGTACCAGACAAGAATTGGTATCTCACATTGATACACTGAAGGAACTGATTGCTCAGCAATCCTCGGCAACGCACCTGGTGAACAGTACTGTTGAAGCTGGTGAACGATTGTATCCCAGTACCGGAACTGAAGGTCGTGAAATAATTCGACAGCAATTGCTGGATCTTCAACAAGCCTTGGAAGCATTGTACGATGGCGTCACGTCGACTGAACGTGAAATTCAGGCGAAGATTTCACGCTGGTCAGGATTCGACGAGTGCAGTGAAGCATTCAAGAAGTGGCTCGATGAAGCGGAGTCACAGCTAACTTCAGAAATCGAACTGAAGACCACCCTGGATGAGAAGCGGGCACAACTCCAAGTTTATCGCACTTTCTTACACGATGCACAAAGTCATCAGCAGGATCTGTTCGATCTGCGTGATAAAGCTGACAATCTTCCGGATCGTAATGAAAAGATTGACCACGTTCTTGAGGAATTGACGAAGAGGCATGCTGAAGTACTAAAACGCGCAGTGCGCTTCGTTGAAAGATACGAGGGCATAGTCAGTGATCATCAACAGTACAGTAAAGCAGTACTAGACACTCACGAGTGGCTTGATGCAACTCATAATGCTGTTAGTTTATGGGGCGATGTGGAACTTGAACGTGTATCTCTTCACACGAATCTTGATCGGTTACAAAATCTATATCAGAGTCTCCCGGAGGACGAGCCACGTGTACAGCAGATCCGCGCACTTGGTGAGAAAGTTATACCTGGTACACTAGAATCCGGCCAGGTTAACATCCGCTCGCAGATCGATTCCTCGCAGCAAGAATGGGAGGGTCTTGTCTCAGCAGTAAAATCTACGATTGAAGCGCTCGAAAACAAACTTCAACAATGGACCGAATTCGAATCTCTGAAGGAGCAGTGTCTTGCCTGGATCCGAGAGACTGATACTAAGTTACATGCAGTCGATTTAAAGTCTACTTTGCCTGAGAAGAAAGAGCAATTGGAAAAACTTCGTACGCTTCAAGGTGAAGTACGTGCCAAGGAATTGGAGATAGATGCTGTCACTGAAAGGGCACAACAGCTGCATAAGAACATAACTTCACGTACTTCTCACATATCCGAACTTGGGATCAAGTATCAGCAGATTTCGAGTAAAGTCAAGGATCTGAACAATCGCTGGCATCAGTATGTCACTAGTCATCAGGAGTTTGATAATCAATTATCTGAATGCATGAGATGGTTGGAAGATATTCGAAACAAGTTAGCTTATTGTTCAGACCTCAGTGCGTCATCGCAGAAGGACCTAGAGAGCAAGATGGAAATCATTCAAGATTTGTTACTATATAAGGAAGATGGCTTCACCAAAGTTCAGGGCATTGTTGAACTGGCTCAAGCTGTCCTGGCCAATACTGCACCGGCAGGTCACAAGGCTATCAACGACGCCTTAGCTAGACTTCAGGAACAGTGGAGTGCACTAGCTTCGAAGATGCTTGAGACTAAAACCAATTTGGATGACTCTATTAACAAGTGGGCTGGTCTTCTTGAGCAAATACAGTCGATAAACAAAACTGTCGAATATATGCAAACGTCTGTCGATGAAATTTCACAATTCCAGACTACGATGTCTGAGAAGAGATCACAGCTGGAAAGAATAAAAGCTCTTGAGGAGAAGGTGCGCTGTGAGAACATCGAGGTGGATAGTTTAAAGGCCAAGGTCGCTGAAATGATAGCCAGTGGTCAGCAAGGATTGGCTGCTTCTCAGGCTCAAGATATTCTCAACAGATTTGATTCCTTATTTGAGAAGATCAAGTCTCTATTGTCGGAACGCGAAGATCAGTACAAAGATCATCGTCTCTATAAGGAAGCTCATGATGATCTCATTGGTTGGCTTAGCCGTGCACGAGAAAAGATACCGTCGATGAAACAACGATCATTGAGTGATAAATTGGCAATTGAAAATGCTGTGGCACCGCTTGAGAGTCTCTTGAATAAGAAAGCTCAGGGTGAACTTCTGGTGGAACAGTTGCAGAATACTGGAAAGGTCGTATGCGCAAGTACGAGTCCTCAGGGTCAGGATGTCATTCAGAATGAAATTCGTGCGCTTACTGAGAGTTTCGAAGGATTATTCAAAGGTAAGGGAATTTATGGTTATACTCATATTTTTGTGTTTTAGGATAAAATATGTAACAAGTATTTTTTTTTGTAACTCCCTATAGATATTAAGCAACAAAAAGATCAACTAGAGGCTACAGTTTCACAGTGGCGAGATTATAAGGACGAGTACGAAAGACTCAGTGATTGGTTGCAGCAGTTTGATATTTTAGTTAAGGCCCAGAAGAATGCTCTGCTGCCAAACGTCACTGAGAAAGAGAAGCAGGTCTTGGAAGTAAAAGAGATTCTGAACAATTTGTTGAAGGGTCAGGAACAGATTGACAAGTTCAACAAAACTGCCTCTGGACTTCTTTCATCTCATCTTGACACTTACGTCAATAATCAACTTCGTCATTTGAATTCACGTTATCAAGTTCAAGTAAATCTTGCCAAAGATGTGTTGAATAAAGTTGAAACAAATTTGGCTCAGCATAAGGAGTACGAAGCAAATCTTAGTAAGGCTCATGCATGGATAGAAAATGCTAAACAGATCATACGCCAAGGAACCGAAGCAGCCTCCACAAGCAGCCGCGAAGAATTGCAGTCGAGACTCGATCAGATTCAGGAACTTTTGAGAAAACGTGAAGAAGGTCAGAACCTCGTGCACCTTACTGTGAACTGCGGTGAGAAGGTGATGAGAAACACAAGATCCGACGGACGCGAGGATATAAATGTGCAATTAAAAGAAATCCAAAATGATTGGGAACGTTTGGTGAAGAAGATCTCAACGACAAAGGTTCATCTGGAAACTAGTCTTCTTCAATGGGCCGATTACAGTTCTTCCTATTCCCAACTTCAACAATGGATCAACGACAGAGAGGCTAAGCTACAACAAGTTTGTGAACAGAAAGTGTCTAAAGCAAGAAAAGGTCTCGCCGGTCTCAGTTCTCTTGCAATTGGAGAACGCAAAGCGAATCTTCGTCAGACAAACAGCATCGTTCAGGATATTGTAGCATTTGAACCAATGATCCAATCAGTGACTACTAAGGCAGAGGACCTTCAACAAGCTACACCAGCTACAGAAATCTCTATAAAATATGAAACGCTTAGCAAGCAAGCACAGGAACTGTACGCTAAGCAAAAGGAAACTGTGGAGCAGCATCAGGCTTTCATCGATAGCGGAAATGAATTCATCCAATGGATTCGTGTGGCTAAAGAAAGTCTTGGCAAGTGCTCCGAGCCTACTGGTGACAAGGAATCTCTTGCTAGCAAGATAACTCAACTCAAGGTCTTAGAAAGTGAACTTCCTGAGGGTCAGAAGAAACTTGAAAAAGCTTTGGAACAAGGTAATGCTGCATGCCAGATGGCGGATGCTGAAGATAAGGAAATCATAGAGGAAGAGGTTGCTCTTCTTCAGGAGGAATATGATAATTATGTGTAAGTATTAGAACACACTGGTGGATCACTTGAAATTGTTAACAATAATTACTTAATAATCGGGTACATATTTCTTTCAGGGATTCGCTAAACAATACAAAGAGCTTACTGGAGATTGGCATTGTCAAGTGGACTGAGTATGAGGATCAATTCTCTGAAGCTACCGATTGGCTCACGCAAACAGAACAATTGGTCCAGCCGTTCAACAAACTGCAGGATAGTCTTGAGGAGAAGAAAAACGTTCTTGAACAGTTCCAAATTCATTTACAGACTTTGTTTGATTGGCAAAAAGAACTTGATCGGCTGAACATGAAAGCTCAGATGCTTTTGGAAACTTGTGCGGATACAAGAATTTCCAATGCCATTACCCAGCTCACAACTAAATACAATGCGTTGCTGTCACTGGCCAAAGAAATTATGAGACGATTAGAATTGCACTATCAGGTAATAAGACATTTTATTTTCAATCTAACTAACTGATTGCGCAAACAATACAATACAAATATTATATTCAATGCAGGAACACCAGCAGCATAATACCTTGTATCAAGAGTGTCAAGATTGGATAGAAAGGACCAGAGATAAGCTTGGCGAATGCCAGGAAATTCCGAATACATTGACTGAAGTAAATAACAAGCTTCATACTTGCAAAGCTATACGACAAACACTGGAACAAGGGCAGAACAAGCTTCGATATGCCTTGGAATTGAAAGAGAAAGTGATCATGAACACCGAACAAAACGGAGCAGCAAAGATTCAAGAAGACACCGAAAATCTAAAGACAGAATTCGATAAGCTATTGGCAGACGTGGAAGAAGCTAGGCAAAAATTATCAATCAGAGCTGGTGCTTTGGAAGAACTGAACAAGATGCATCGTTTGATAGCTGATTGGCTAGAAGAGATCGAAAACAAGGTTCAACCGGAAGAGGGACATCGGAACGATCTAAGTGAGAAACGAGCTCTTTTAGAAAAATATAGAACTGCTCAAAGAGATATTCAGGGGCGTGGTGAGACCATAGATCGCCTTAGGGCTCGTTTATCTGAAGACTCCAGCATCCCGAAAGGTCCATACGAAACCACCATAGAGAAGTATGAAGTACTTAAGAAGCTTGTAGTGGAAAGGATCAGCGTAAGTATCTTACGACCTTTAAAATATTATAAAAGCTATTTTTATATTTAATCAGCAATCAATTATTTATATTTACAGAATTTGGAAGATCAGGTAAAGGAACACGAGAAATTCCAGCAAGCGCATAACGATGCTGCTGAATGGGTGAGACGTACCAAGGTAGAGTTACAACAATATAGCGACACGCATGGCGAAAAAGAAACAGTATTGGATCGTGAGAATAAAGTCAATCAAATAATGTCCACAATGCAAAAGGGTGAATCTTTAATAGCTAAAGCGATTGAATTAAGCGACAATGTTATTTCCACCACTGGACCTGAGGGACAGGATTCAATTAATCAGGATGTGAAGCAACTACAGGCTGATTGGAAATCTGTACAGAATCAATGCCAAGAGTCGAAACGTACTCTTGCTAATTGCATTGCTACCTGGTCCCAATTTACCAGTGCATTTGACAGCATGAAGGGATGGATTGATCAATTCCAGAAGAAGATCAACAATGAACTCTCTAAAGACAACAAGACTCCTGAAGATCTGGAACGTTGCAAGCGTCTTGTAGATGAAGCTGTTCGTCAGAAACCTGTTCTAGAAGATCTGAATGACAAATGCGAAGCTCTCCTTGAGATGAGTGCATGCAGTTGGGCCAGGGACAAAACAGTACAGTTGCAATCTACCTACACTGCATTATTAACTGATGCGCAAGGATTGGTGTCAAAGGTGGAGAAAAATCTGTCGGATCACACGGAGTTCCTCAAGGCTAAGAAAGAAATGGAAGATTGGCTTCATACTGCACACGGCTCTGTGCAAGACTGTATTGGAGTTGGAGACGTGAACTGGGCGAAGGATAAATTAGAAACTACTCGAGTAAGTGAATAAAATATAATTAGATAAATGACAATTATAAAAAATAAGAATAATTCTTTACTTGCGCAATGGTTGATGTTTCAGGTTGTTGCTACGCGGATTACCGAAGGACAGCATCTTTTATCTACTCTTCAGGAAGCTTTTGGAAAAGCTATAAACACAGCACTTCCGGAACAACAGAAACAGCTTCGCACTGACATGGCAAGCTTGCGATCCAGTTGGGAACAGTTGAGTATCGATCTTACGTCTGTACAAGCTCAGGTCAAATCTATTCTGAGCCGCTGGGAAGATCATGCCGAAGCACATGATCGTTTTGCTAAATGGCTTACTGAGACAGAAAGCTCCATCAAGACTTTACCAAATACCAAAGGTGAATTTGGTGAAATGAAGACATTACTCGAGCGTTACAAGCACTTGCAGGAAGAAGTAAAGAACAAGAGATCAGATCTGGATCATCTGCTAGCCGAATCTGCTGAACTGTCCAGTTGGGCAAAGAACAATGCTACTCAAGAACAAACAAAGAGGTTACTCACACGCTGGGAATCTCTAGGAAATCGTGTAGACGAACAAAAGCGCCTTGTTGAGGATGAAATGCAAGAATACAATGCTTACCATGCTGCTCTGCAGGAAACCGAAAAGTGGCTGCTGCAGATCTCCTTCCAATTGATGGCACATAATTCCTTGTATATCACCAACAAAGAACAAACAATAGAACAAATAAAACAACACGAGACACTTCTGGATGAGATACAAAAGTATCAGGGCGTCCTTGATGATTTGAAGTCTAAGGGATGTGGTCAAATCGAACGTTACGTCTCAGTCAGTCCTGCTATTAAATCTACTATAAAAACTCAACTTCAAAATGTCCAAGAAAGCTACAATTCTCTACTCAGTACTGCTGTGCAGATCAAGAATCGTCTGTCCGAATCTTTAGCTAAATTCCAGGAATATGAGAACACTCTGGAAAGCATCATGAAGAACTTGGATAGCTATGAGCCCGAAATAGCTCGTGAAATCGAGGCACCATTGGACACTCTAGAAGCCGCAGAACAAAGTCTCGAAAGTGCTCGTACTCTTCACAATAAACTTCAGGCCGAAAAAGGTCGACTTGCACTTGCAGTTGAAGCCTGTGAAGCTGCAGCTGCTTGCGTTTCCAGGCCAGGAAGTCCTCTGGATGCACCACCTGTTCAAATTCCAGCAAGAGAAGTCGAAGTTCGCACTAGGCTTGAAGACCTCATTGACCAGGTACACAGCTTATATGTTCCAACTATTTTTTAAATGTAATTGCACGTATCCAGTGTCAACTAATTTTATGCACTTGTTTCTTTTTTTCCCTTATACACTCCCAATATTGAAGTGAATTGCATATACTTACTCGAAATTCCTCTTGTTTTTTGTTTTGCATGTTGATTTGATTGTCCTTGATTTTTTTGCTCCTGCCGTGCAGAAAGATAACGAGGATACTGGCGACCGGCTGAAAGCCTTGCTAGATAACATAGAGCGAAACGGCTTCTTAGCGAAACTTAATCAAATGTGTGATAAGGTTTGCATCCTGTTTTCTTTGATTTTGCACAGTATTTACTAATCGTCAGGGAATTATCCTATAAATATCATTTCATGCATTCTTTCTGTAATATAGATGCAAACACACTTGACGAACGTGACCAAAGCTGTGGGTAGTCTAGAGGAACAGACGCGTCAGAAGAACGCTCTTAAATCGTGGGTCAACCAACAACGTGCACTTTGTGCAGAATGGAAGTCCCGTCCGGCGAAATTACGTCCAGAAGCTGCGCACGCGGAATTGCAAGCAATGAATGAATTGTTGTCCAGTGTCGGAGAGCGTCGTTCACGAGCACTGACTGAACTGTCTCTAGGTCCTGAAGATGAACTTGAAGAGGGTTTGAATAAATTGGAAGTGGAGCTGATCGAAGCTATTGCTGGAAAACAAGCGACTCAAGATCTGATTCAGAAATACCGATCTCATGTGCAAGATATACAGTCCTGGCTCGACGCGTTGTCGAAGAAGGTCGATGTTGTCGAAAGAGGCAGTGGCCTTACGATTGGTCAGAAAATCTCAACTGTCAAGGAAATCACCTCGGAATTCGAATCTCAGGGACCGGAAAGATTGGACGAAGTCAAAAAACTTGGTGATCAAGTTATGGACTCGGTTAGCAATCTTGATTCACAACAGATTGAAGAACAAATCAAGTCTGTCGAGAGACGTTATGGAGACATCGGTAAGAAGTTGCAGAGAAAATCTCAAGTCTTAGATATGACTGAGCAGGGCATTGAAGCTACAAGGAAAGAAATTGAAGAAAATCGTGAATGGATCAATGAGAAGAAACAGGCTGCAAGAGCTTCAGGTCCACTTGGGTACGAGGCTAAACAGGCTGAAGAAAAATTACTGTCACTCAAGGTAAAGTCATCTTTTATCCTGGCATTATTTTAATATATTTACCATTTATATATCTGCATGTATATTTATTTTATTTTTCGTACAGTCTCTGTTAAAGGAAGCTGAAGGGAAACATGTTCTCATCGACACCCTGGAGAAACGCGTTGGAAACATGCAAAATGAATTAGAATCCAGTGAACAGCAACAATTGGAAGCTGATACAAGAGCTTTACGTAGTGAACAGGTCGAATTGTGTTCGATTCTACGCGAAGAAATCTCAGCAGCAAGTGCAGCTGCAGATGCTCGCCGTAAACTAGAAGGTGATCTTGAAAAAGCTCGTGCTTGGATAAAATCGAAGAGTAATGATTTGAAAAAGCTCAGCGGTTATCTTCCCTTAAAAGCTACCAAAGTTGAGCAGGACATTACTCAACATAATGGACTTGAAGCTGAGATCAAGTCTTTCAACGAAAGTGACCTGAATGACATTCTCAAGCAAGGCAACAACCTATTAAAAGAGTGTAATGAGGAAGATCAAGCACGTCTGCAAGCTCTATTGGATACTGTGAACGAAGAATACGATGCTTTAAAAAAGGAAGCTCAAGAAAAGCAGGCTTCATTGGCGGATCTTCTTCAAGGTCGTAAAGCATTCGAGAATGAAATGGACAAGTGTCAGCGATGGATAAACGAAGCAGAGGTTGCTACGTCCACAGAAATTCGCACAACCAGTGTGGACGTTCTTCGCGAGCAACTGGCCAAGGTAAGATTTCGTATTCGTATATTAAACAATTTTGTCTTGAATATGCGCAATAAATTTTTATTTTACAGTACGACCGATTGAAGAAAGAAGCAAAACAATATGCGGAGGATATTGAGAAGATAACTCAACAGGGAAAATCAATTCTGCCAACTGTGAGCGATGCAGACAAGCTTGAGCTGAGTGAACAACTGAAAAACATGAAAGACGCTCACAACAGAGTAGCTGGAATAATAAACGAAAGAGCCGCTGCATTGCAAACCAGCATCAACGAAGCTGAGGAAGCGGCTGCTCGAGTAGCTGAAGCTGTTCAGTTCATGACAGACATTCAACGTGAGCTTCATGAATTGAACAAACCAATTGGTTCGCGCGTAGAAGACGTGGAAGGAATGCTAGCTGCCTATGAGAGAATTCTAGGAGATCTGAAAGCAAACAAAGCCAAACTGTCTGATCTGCAGTCCGTGAATGTGGGTGATCTTCATGGAGTGGTTGGCCAACAAGATGATCTCATAAGAGCCTTAGAGGCACAGATTGCCAAATTACGCCAACTTCTTCTACTTCGTCAACAGTTCATCGCCCTAGTTACTGAGATCATGACGTTCATCACCAGGTATACAGAAGTGGTACGCGATATTGAGAAATCTGGACAAACCACCGAGGAGAAGATCAAACGATATGATGATGTCATCGTGAAGATCCAGGAATGTGAAGCCACCCTGGCTAGTGCTACTGACAAAGGTCAACAAATTGCAGTCGAAGGATCAGCTGCCGACAGGAATAGCGTTACGGAACAACTGCAATCCCTGAAACAACAGCTGCAAGCTTTAAGACGTGCTGTCGAGACACAACGAGAGCAACATGAATTAGCAGCAGCTGAACATAGACGATTAGCTAATGAGCTTGCAGATATACTCGACTGGCTCCAAGGAAAAGAAAAGGATGTAAAGTCACGCCCTCTCCTGGAAAGAGATTCCCAGAGCGTCGAAGCTGAGTTGAAGAAGCATAAAGTCCTCTGTTCTGAGGTTAACGAATATCTAGACAGGATCAGGACCATGAAGGACTCTGTACGACATGAGGAAGGAATGCCAGGATCTCTGAAAGAGATGTTGAGTGAAGCTGTCTCATTACTTTCTTCACTTCCCAGGGAAATGGAGGATCGTGGAACTTACCTGGAGAGTAACATGCAGATGAGGTTGGACTATGCTGCTCTTACTGAAAAACTGCACAACTGGGTCCGTGAGGCTGAGATTCGTCTACTAAGTGGCAAAGAGGGTCTTGATTTTGAAAATATACTTAGCGACCTGGAGGAGCATAAGGTGAATATTGAATAACATTCACCTTTGGTAGTACAACGTGATAGTCTTCTAATTTCTATTTTTAATTTCTTTCTTCATAGATTTACTTCAGTACAGAAACTTCTATTCGTGAGCTGGTATCACAGCAGATTCAACAGGCAGCGGATAAGATCTGGCCATCTCTAAATAGTTCTGAACAGGAAGAATTAAGTGGCGAACAACAGCAACATACTCAGTTATTGAAGAACACCCTGAACACTGCCAAATCGCAACGGGCACGACTGGAACAAGGTGCCGAAACTTGGCGGGATTATACACAGACACTAGAACGGGTTAAAGCGGTTATCGCAAGAACAAGATTTACGGACGAGCCAGTATCAACATTAGCCGGACTTCAATTTAACATACAGAAGATTACGCATGCTTTGAATGATATTCAGGTAGGTCATTGCTCGCTTATTTAACATCTCTAATCGTCACTGGTAAAAGGCAACTAAGGAAATATGAGTTGAAAGGTCGATCATTTGTAAACACGTAAAATGACATAATTTCTTGATATTTAAATAGAGTTGACATCAGCCTAAAGACGGTACAATTTCATCACGCTAAACAAATAATCAAATGCTCCCATGACATCATCGACAAATAGTTAGACTTACCGATCAGGATTATTATTATCTTACGACATCACGATTGCCAAGTTAACCTTGCGACTGGTATTCTTTACTTACAGAATCAACAATTCGAATTGGACCTGTTAAACGAGCGTGGTCAAGAAGTTCTTCGTTTGGCTGATGCAAACAATAAGAAGATAATCGAGGGTCAGTTATCGGAGACAAGTTCTGAATGGCGAGATCTGGTCTCTGGCTTGGAAGGGCGTCGCGACGCTCTCGAGGCTCTTTCTAGACACTGGGAAGAATTGGAATCGCGCTGGTCCGTTACTGAAACTCGACTGAACGCTACTGAGGAAAGAAGTAAACTAATCGACACTGTAGTGCGATCGAAGCAACATCTGATCGATACCGCAAAGTCTCTAAACGTAAGTCAATCGTTAATTTCATTGAAATGCGATAATAGAAAATTTAGATTAATTCAGTAAACTCTTTTTGGAATAATTAAGATTGGTCGTTACTGTTGAATAATTTTAAGGGTCGTTGATCACCAATTATATTGGGCCAGCTGTTTATTCAGGAAATACATTAGCGTGTGGTAGCTAGTCTCCTTTTTCAACTCTACCCTTCTCGTGTTCACCAAACCCTAATAGTTTTGCTGTGTGTCAGACTCGTACGAACCGGTACGACTGGTGCGTGACGTTCTGAACTTGTGGACTGCGACATGTAACTTTGTTCCAGTCAATTTTTATCATTTAATACGAACACGCGGGGGGTCAGAGCCGTTTATCTGCAGTATCTTCATTGTTGACTTTTATGGGAACAGGAACTGCTGGAGGAGGCTGAGAAATATAAGCCAGCTGTTGAAGAAGTCAGAGCTCTGGCTGGTCCCGTCCTCGCTTACCTGGCTGCCTTCACCGAGACACCGGCTCGAACCCTTGAAGAACGACTGGACAAACTTCAAAAGGCTGCTGAGTCGTGAGTGCAGAAACAAATTTATTCATTGCTGCTCGATCACGGGTTGGTCTGCCTGGGCCCGTTCCGACCTCTCTTGGGGTCCGTTTAGGATGACGCAGGGCCTCCCCTATGATCAAGTTTGTTAAATAGGATTCCTTAAATTATAAATTAAATATCAACAAGGACAACTTAATAGATGTGTTATATCAGTATTATTCAATTTTTACATTGCATTTCACTCACTTTCAATGTCGCATTATCGAATTTTAAATCTGAAAATTAATTATGACAATGTTCCTTCAATTAAGAATTTTCATTAAAAATAATCACTTTCTCGCAACTGCATCGTTATATTACAAGGCTCTTATTCTTGTGTATAATTTTCAATTAGGCTTTGGAGCTTATTAATTGATTTACAGAAACCCGTTATTAGATCAGGTTTAGTTGGCTCACTGGCACGAAATATCCACCCACGAGCAGCTTAGCATGTGCATGTGTGATTGTGCACTGAGCTTGCGCTTTTTCCTTCCTCCTTATCAATTACTTTCTTATTTCAGCAATTATTCCTAATCTATTTCTTGCAATCACATATCATCTTCGATTTTACAGGATCAATACTGTCAGATCAGTAAGAGCAATCTCTCTTATTCCTAGACACGAAAGATACTTGTAACTTAAATTATTGCATATTGAATTCAACGAAAATATTTGAAAAATATCACATACATAGTTTTAATTAAAAATTTATGTATTCCATACCCATAAAATCGCCACGTTAGCTGCGCTATATTTAGACAATATCTTTCTGCCTTTCTACAGGATAATTATAACGTTAAAACATCAAACCGAGATAGCACCTCGTATTACGAATGCAGTCGGAAATGCGTGCAGCTGAAGCAAATAGTATAAAAATTGTTTCATATTGAAAAATACGCGAATTATCTTTTCATTCATTCCATCCCAAACAATCAGTATGATATTAAAATCTTGAAAGTTACATTCTGTTTGTTAAAAGTTCTATAGATAACTGTACCGCAGCATCCTGCAAATTAGATACGAATATTTTATCACATGAGTTTACGTACAGAAGTAACTACAAATATTACTGTCTACAAAATACAATAGTATTGTTTCCAGAAACATGAATGCGATATTGATATGATTGAAATACCAGTCATAGAGAGTGATCAATCATATACAAATACAACACTATAGAGTAACACAATTTATTTGACAAAATCCAATAAAAATATTATTCAAAAACAAAGTCAAGGCCAATATCTCACAATGCAACATCAGTCAAATGAAAAGTCAATTCTAATTCATTAACGTTCACTTCCGGTTTCAAAGTTAATTTTACCAGACCATTTCCGCATTTTACACTCTGACAACAGTCCACACCTATTTACATGCGTGAAACACGTGAGTGCACAAACGCATTTTCACACTTGACAGACAATTCGGTATGTTAGAGACGCAGAGGGAGAAGAAAGAAAAAGAGGACAAATAAAAAAGGAATCAGGAATAATTTTTTGTTTGGTCACAAGTATTTTAGTTCATTTTCCTCTTCTCCCTTTTGCATCAGAGTCTGTTGTCCTTAGTCTTCTCTTCGCCTTCCATTCAATTCTATTTTTATTTCTATATAAGATCTCTACGACGGTCACGTTGGTCGACTTGTATATAACGCGGAAGCCACGGCCCGAGCGAGCTTCAAATAGAACAGAATAGAGTAGAATAAAATAGATGGAAGACATTGTTGATTCTTTGTGCCATCGTTATTCCGCTACCAAATTGTTGGCCAGCTGGGTCTGTCAATTTTCAATCTCTTCTCAGTTGACATCCAACAGCATTGAGGCTTAAATATTAACCACTTGTCAAAAAGTCAATCGCCATTTTAGAGAATGGTCTTAACGTATTGTTCATTCAGACACATTATCCATTACAGTTTACCGTTGACCGATCCATGAACACTTTATACATCCTGTAATTCCGTTGGCAGAAGATTTCTTCTCGAAAAGATTCGTAAACGACGCGCACGTGAAATATTTCGTTGGATCACGCGACCTCAGCGCTACATTCAATTAGCAACGAGGTATCCAATTTAACGAGGCATTTTCACAGTGCTGAATGCGAAATTGCGGACGGTCACTTATTAGTCATCCGATAATAAACGTACCTCGAGACGCCGTTAATGTTTCGAGAACTTTCGAGTCGTAATCCAATTTTATTAGAAACCATGACAAAATCATGAGTAATACGATGGTATCTAATTCTAAGTAAACTCAATATGAAATCAAGTAAATAAAAAAAAAGTATGCAAGATACGTTTGTTCGTTCGTTAAAAATGAAAAAATATGATTGTACGTTTATAGTTTTTTAATTTTACCGGATCAAAAAATTGCGCGCAATTAAATTCAATAGGTTGAAGGTCAGAAGTCATAGATACCCACGTACATTAGAAACAATCTAATATTGGTCAGACAAGTCTGGACTGTTGCAACTCGAATGACATTTTTCTGCACTTATCGACGATCTCGAGGAGTCCCATCTCGGTGACCTCGGGCGAGGTCGTAAGTGAATCCCCACGCGATCATTGCATCGAATTTGTCTGATTGGTCGAATTGCAGCGCACTCTACGCGGCGTAATCGTGAACGATAATTTATTAAAGCTGTGACGCCTCTCGCTAACGCAGAGCTTGCATCATTTCTCGAGCTACGTCATAACTAAGTCGGTAGTATGACACAAGATTGGTAAACACTTGGACGCGCGAGAAGGAATAGTAGGTGGAAGAGAAGAAAGAGGTGGAGGACATGTTTTAATTCCTTGCTGAAGGCTGTCGTATAACGTCCATGACATTAACTTGGTCCTACCGATTTCTTTACTTTTCTATTGGATGGAGGTGGGGATCTCTTTCTCCTTCATTATTCTCACCACATATTCTTATGGATCCAGTCGTTTTTCGATAGATCTGTTGAGCACTCGTACTGCAACGTGATTCGACGTCGCGAATTATCGCAACCACGTGCCAACTGCTAAACGTCATTGGATCAGTCTCATATTTCGTTCTAGAAAAAATATTAAAACTACTGTAACAGTGAAACAGATAGGAAGATAGTGAACGATTATATATTAATTTGGTGCAATATGAAAATAGTTTGAATTAGGATCGAATTAAATATTTGATTTCGTATTGAATTTTGTGAGGGAAGATTTTAGTACATACGTTTGTTTCTACAAGAATTTTTATGGTATTTCGTACCGACTGGAATGACTGTTTGCGATGAGCTTACGTTATCGCGGGCACGATGTCCTTGCCAGGTAAAATAATTTGAGAATTTGATAACACTCGAATTAATTGATTAAATCGGGTTCCTTTGTTTTTTTATTCTTCGCTCAGCATAACGACGAATTTATATTTGGCTACGACTCATCGGGCGGTTATTTCAAACATTATGCTTTGCTACGCGGTAAAGAACCATTGGTATTGTTCGACCGATAGAGCGATGTGTTGTGATTGGTAAAAAGATTGAGTAGAAAAAAAAATCTTTAATAAATACCAAAATTACTTTTGAAAAAATTCCATATCGACGCGGACAACATTTCAAAGTCAAATCGTATTGAGGTTAAGAATAAAAAATCACACACAAGAAATTTTAGCTCTTACAAATAGTCTTAGCTCTCACCGTTAGCCATGAGATAACGAATATTCGTAACTCGCGAATATGACGCTGATTTAATATTCTAAATATAGTTTTGATGCCAGAAATAGTCGGCGCTCTGCTCCGGAATCTCCGATGTCGTAATTTTGCACTCATTCAGTGACATCAAATTTAAATAACAAAACGTGCTCAATACAAGTTTAGAAAAATGAGTTGTTCCTAAACATTTTTTAAATTTATATCCAACATGTGCTCTCGTACGGTCTTAAGCGGGTAATTTTATCAAGGACGAGGAATTCGCTCTAATCCACGTGCCGACGTCGGCTGTCTCGACTTTCAGAAATGCCTTCTCTCCCTTTGCAAGTACTCTTGACACACCCCTAGTGTTCTTGGCCAAGCTTTATCGAGGAGCGGATTCCGTCGAAAGCTCGCCTAGCAGTCGAGTATTATTCTTAGGATGATGCACGAAACGTTTTATATCCGGCGACGTAGAAGCGTCGAAGGAGAAAACGTCGGCGTCGTCTGCCGTCGTCGACTGCCCGGCGCATGCGTGCGGGCGCTTTAGCCAGGAAAACCGAAGCGAGCGCGTCCACCTCAATACGTTACGAACCGCGACCGCTGCTGCTGCTGCTTAGCTTGTCCGTGCTGCGCCATACTGTTATTCCGCTCGTGCGAAGGTGCATTTCGTTTAAGAAAGAAAGAGAAAATACGGTTTCTTGCTCAATTCCTTGAAGCAGAAGACAAAGAAATAAACGTTATATTCGGTTCATCGAGGAAGAGTTATTCCAGGTTTTCACAAGCTCACTACATAGGTACTTATTGAGATTGATATTGATAGATCTCGTCTCGTACCTTCACGCATACTTTATCTTCTCATAACCTAAGAGGATCTAGTGTGTGGGCTCGTAAGCTGAGATTGCCATGTGATTCTAGATCGAAATATTCTATGTGGAAGAAATACACAATCGTTTATATGAATGTATTTGGTGATGTCATAGCTAAGAAAGTTTCGGGGTGTTCCTGACAGGGGGTAGTATAGTGCTTGAACGTCGTTAATGTACTGGATGATCGTTCGACATGATCTATGGAATTATCCTTAGCAATATCAAGTTTTTTTACTGTGGCCGAAGTCTACTACTAGCAGTGGCGTATTTATTATCTGATATTAGGTGTATATAGATTGTTGCTAGTCTCATGCACGACTGGAAAACTGTATAGAAGCCGGCCGGCCGGCCGGTGACTACACGTTCGTCTCGCACGTAGCCGGCACCGAGTGATGTCATCGTTCAAAAAGAAACGGGTGCTACGTTCGAAAGTTTGATTATATCTTGGTATTCCTTATGAGAACTATGGCATCTATTACGAATCAACCAAGACGATCGATTTGATGAGTTTAATAATTTATTTGCGTTGTTGTCGTTCATTGATTGGTACGTTTTCGTTGACGTTACGAGTTAAGGCGTCATGTAAAAAGAAAAGAGGTTAATAAATAACGTCGGAAGTATGCGAGAAGGTAGCGAGGACCGAAGGCAGCCTAAAGTATTCTACTGAGCCAAACGGCGACGTACATCGTTCGTCTACTTTTAGCCAAGGCTGGCTGGTTCGGCTGGCTGGGCCTCTAGCCAGCCGGAGTAAGACAGTGGCGTACACGCATTTCCGACGCTAAATTCGTCCCGTTGATCTCTGCCAGTTTGATAAGTCGCTGTTGTCTCTGCCTTTTGTCCGAAACTGTCGTTTCGCGAGACGCTACTTTGGTAGTATCTGTCATCGGCGATACTAGCGTTGTACCTAGCAAAGACATTTGCTCGATTTATTTTATTAAGGTCCAGGCAGATAAGGATTCATATAGCGCAGAGACGTAGGTGAGCGATAAAACTTGAATAATCTGACATTGTATCCTTACGCATATTCAGGCTTGCCAGCTCGCTTCGAGACAAGTCCGAAAAGGCGAGCGAGGATCTCGAGATCCTCGAGAAGATCGAGAACGAGATTAGAGGATTGAAGGAGCAGTTGGACGAGACGCACCATCAGACAGCCTCCTTCTACGTTTTCGGATCGAACCAGGAAGCGACCGAGATAGAGTTGGAGGCTCATCGTAAGCGCCTTGAGAATCTTGTCGAGGCTGCGAAGACACGATCGCGAAGCACTAAGGCGCAGTACCAAGCTAGTCAGCAGTTGGTGCCGACCGACCTGGCGCAGAAGTTGACATCCCTCGAGCTTGCCGCCGAGGGCGCGGCTCAGGTCATGGAGGAGAAGCAAAGAGAACAGAAGAGAGCGAAGACCACTCGCTCGGACTACGTCGCCGACGTCGACGAAGTTCAGACGTGGATACGCGAGGCTGGACTCAAGGTTCAGGATCGTTCTGTTGAGCCTGCCAAGCTCAAGGAATACCTGTCCCAAATTCAGGCTGAAGTCGCGCCCATCACCGACAAGCTCGAGCGGCTTACGAAGAACGGACAGGTTATCATCGACAATACGAAGGACGGCAACGAGAAGGAACTCATCAGGAGCACGATAGCCAATTTGACGGAACAACTTGCACAAGTACGTTCCTGGCTCGAAGAGAAGAAACAACAAGTTAGCGATACCCTTGATGCCTGGCAGAGATTCCTTTCTCTGTACGAGGCAGTCAAGGCTTGGACCGAAGAGAAACGCGTCTTCTTAGTAGAGCCTCTTCGATTGAGTAGCCTCGTACAGGCTAGACAAAGGCTACACGATTATTCGGTAGGTCATCCACGAGAATTTGGGTAATCATACGATTTTAGATTTAGTCCCGTCCGTACATCATCGTCAATCGAGTCATTACTTTTAGACTGCTGTCAAGAGCTGCAAACAGGTGAACAAGAACTTGAGCGACATGAGTAAAGAATTGGAGAGTATCGGTCAGCTAACCAGTGTTGGGGATCTGCCTGAAAAGCTCACCGAGGCTGAGGAAGCCAAGGTCGAGGTCGAAGGACAGCTGTTGGAAAGGGTGCGTGGTGCACAAGGATATTTTCTATTCCACAATTCCAAACGACGAGACTCCCTTCTCATTACTACTACTCATCGTAATCCTTTCAGAACGCACTTTTGCAAGAAACCAGCGAGGAGTGGGAGCAATGTGAGAAGAAGATGAAGGACGTCAAAGGCTGGATCGAAAAAGCTCGTCAAACGTTAGAGTCGCCGCAGAACAAGAAGAAGCCGTTACGCGATCAGCATGCAATCCGCGAAAAGATGCTGAGCGATATCACTATTCAAAAGACCAAGATCAGCATATCAGTTGAGAAACTTCAGGTTCACTTCCGCTCTGGAGTCGGTGGCGACAGCAAGATCAGCGAGGCTGCCACTGATCTCATACGCGAGCTGGATTCTCTCAACGATTCAGTCAAAGAACAGGCAACGTCACTGGAATCATGCCTGAGCCAGATCGATCAGTATCAGCAGGTAGATCAAAAAGATCTGAGGATCAGCATCGGGATGCTTTCCTTCGTTAACATCCACGCGTCTTGAACCACTCACAATTCTTTCCCCTCTCTTTTTCTTTCTCATTCCAGGAAATCCAACAACTCCGGCAACAAATAGTTCAGGTAGAACAACAACTGAGGACGGTCCTTAGCCCAAATTATCTGCCCAACGATAGGGAAAAGGCTCTCCAGGAACAACAGGTAGGTTTGCTTCCTTTCCACTATCCTGCACCAATGCGCTGCGAAAAACATTAATTTGCATCTAGTATACCCGATACCAACTCAAGACCACCACCAAGAGTCGTATAATCGATTGACCGCGTATTTATCGACCGAGGGCTAGAATTCAATCACATTAATATTCTCAAGACATGATAACTCAAGTATAGATTCGATCGGCAGGTATTCGATTGAGCCAGCGACACGTCCAAAAGCCGTTCGCGTCGACTTTAATGATCAACAGCAACCGATCTTCTCTCTCAGCAAATCCTCAATTGATCTATACGATCAATGGATGAATTGCTGTACAGTAGATTCGATCGGTTTCAGATATTTTTCTCTCTTTACTGCGCGCAATAGCGATTCAGATTGATGAGACGAATGAGGTAAAATCTCATTGCTTTTTGATTTTTCATCAAGACTCTTCAATTGGAATGCTTTGATCGTTTCATTACAAAACATCTTTTGCTTAATTGTTACATTTTGTATACACGTAATCACGACATTTTGACACGTTGTATATGTGACGTAATTATTATTCACTTATTTGCATCCATTATACACGCACTCAATTCATTATATCGCTGAAAGCCACGTTCGATCATATGCACACGTGCCTACAACACAGTTTTCACAAACAATTATATCCCCGTTATTTACGTTATCGTTACTCCTCTCGTAATTTATCAGTTTCCGATAGGTCACAGGTAAGACCCGAAGAAACTGACAAAATCTCGCGAGGAATTTCTTTTTATCGTCATTGGTGGCCATTATTTACAGGGTATTGGTTGGTATCTTGTTTCAATGTTGTTTCTTTTATTTTCAATGCCATTGTATTACTTTTCTTAATTTTAAGATTGTTTTGTGATATTACACTTATTACGAGGGGACACTTGATTTTGCTTGTTTGTGTTGACGTTTTCTCCTTTTATGTTAATCATTATGTTTATTTCGATCACATGCATTTATATATATATATATATACAAAAATATTTATATTGTATAACAACAATGTGTGCCATGCACTTGTATACTATCACGCGGGTGCCGCTTATCATTTGAACAAAGCATTCATAACGGACACTACAGGAGTGTCCTTAAACATTCTCCCGTGATACAGAGAGCCTTCTAATCCTGACTTCATAATTTTCCCAATTGGGATCGGCGATCATGGCGCACGTGCCAACAAAAGTATCGAAGCGTCAGAGAATTATTTCGACGAGCATCAATCAAGTGACCTCCCATTGTTATTCTTTCTCAAGTAATCTTATATATGCGATATGTACAAACTCAAAAGTACATATAAACATATAACGTAGAGTTTCTAATTTCATTAAAACTACACGTTACCTACAGGCATATATTATTTATATATAATTTCACCTTCGGCTACTGGCATTTCATTTATGACTTTTGTTTGCTGCATTCCCATCCTTATCCACTTTGCCCCGTTGTACTCCGTACTGCTCTCACGAACGAAAAAACAAAAAACACCGTCATTCACGTCCTCACCGTTCATCGTCATGGTCATCGTCATTGCGTCTCTCGCGTCATCCTCCTCGCAATTATTATTCGGTTCGTTCGCTTGCTCTCTCTCTCTCTCTCTCTCTCTCACTCTATCTCTTACTCTATCTCTATCTCTCTTTCTCTCGATCTCGTATACGCATAACCACGTCTCGTTTCACGATACCTCATTCTCTCTCCATCTCTGTCGCGTTGCACAAAAATAATAATAAAAAAAAAATTTCCAACTCGCCTGCGAATTTTCGACCGTCGATTTAGAATTGTCGCGAGAGAATCAAAACGTTGCAGAGTAAAATTGCGGCGCGTACCGAACGCACGAAGCTTCTGGTGCAACGAGGATCGCCCGACATCGAGCCGCTCGATCCGTAGAACGTGAACCGATGTTCCATAGGGATCGACTATCGGGAAGTTTAATATTATAAGCAGTGTTTAGGAAAGGATAATCGTATGGTTTATCGTGATTAAAGTCTATCGCGAACGTGCTGGATGGTCGTGATTAGTTCGCGAGGACAGTTATTAGTGTTTAATGCGCATTAATCGCGAGAGTTGTGCCTGCTGAACGCGTTAATCTACTTAATGATAATGTTAATTGAGTTATAAACGCGTAGCATCGAGTTCCTTTATCCCGTCGTATTTAAAATCCGTATATGAGTTTAGGAACGATGTGCCTTGGTAGTACGTATGTTTTGAAATTTTTCTTTTTTTTTTTGTTTCTTTTTGTAATTATTTCTAACGACCGCTTTAATAAACGAAAGAAAATTTATTATAGGAAATTTTGAAAAAGAGCATATACATATATATATATTTATAGACATATATATAGTATACAATAAAAGTTTTCAATGAAAAAAAAATGGCTTTCCTATAGTCTTGTTACCTATACACTCCGCTAATTCGCTTATGGTGAAGCGTCTTGAATTAAAAAAAAAAAAAAAAAAATATAAATGCATAAAATGAAATATTAATCTGAGTTAAAGTTTTCGTACGCAATCAATTGACGATACCATATTCTTTGGCTGTTACGATTGGTAACAGGCCTTGCAGACACAGATGGACGGTTGGAGGCAACGCACGAGAATCCTGGTGGATCAGATTCATGCGGTGGACCCTTACTATATACTCACTGCCGAGCCGAGTGCCCGACTAGCCGGACTAATATCGTACGCGGATATCGCTGCGGGTCGAACAAGCCCGAATTCGAGGGGTGCTAGTCCCTACAGAAATCAGCGAGAGGAACCTCCTCCTCCGCATCCTCCCCAAGTACTCCGACCTGCCAGTGCTCGCCCGTTGGCGCAGCCCGTTGCACTAAAGAATATCGAGACCGTGAACGTGAGTGCTGCGCGAGTTCAGCACGACGAGAAGCAGCAACAACAGCCGCAACAGCAACAGCAAAGATCACAGGAACAGCCAATACAGAATCCACTGCCACCTGAGATACCAAAAGAGATTTCTCAGGATGCCAAGGTTATTGAAAGCTACATCGAAAGTTCGACTCAGCAAGCCAATGCGACGGTTCAGAACGCGCCGAGACGTGGACGTTCGCCAACTAGGAAGAACGTTGCCAAGAGTGCTAGGGAGTCCAAGAAAGAAGTGCCTGCCATACAGGTTGGTACCAACGAACCGAGAGAAGTAATCATGACCCACGAGAGGGAGTCGCAGTCGCCGGCAACTCTAGCGCCTCAGGAAAATGTACGAGGTCGCTCTCCAAGTCCAATGTGGGGACCAGGTTCAACGTCTTATGCCGATATTCTTCGGGGAAAAATGCAGTCCTATTCTAGAGCCTCGTCTGAGCCTGGTAATCAGGGTAGTGAAATGGTTCAGCTGATTAAAGAGTCTTCTACTCCACACGAAGAACCAGCTCACGTACCACAGGATCCTGAACTAGCTCAACAGCAACAGGTACCCATGGATGAAATATTTACTGAGACGATTGAAAGCACTCCTGCTGAGGATCTTATGTCAAATGTCGAGGTATCTGTGAATTATCAGGGTATGAGTCAAATGCCTTTGAAGCCTGAAAGTATTCCCAGCAGTCATATTGAAGAATGCTCAGTTCATTTTACCAAGGAGACTACTAACTGGTCTGATGAACCAATGGAGGAGTATAACGTCCTTAATGAAAAACACTATGAAAACGTTGCTACACAACCGACGGAGATGTATGACTACATTCATCCAATGCCAGAGCTGGTGGGTTTCATAAATTCACAACTAGGTCCATATCCAGTGAGTTCTTACGTATACACTCATGGTTCTCAACCAGTTCAGCAATTGGATCCCATGTCTCTGAACTCGTACGAGGGTCATATTGGATATACTACTGCTGAACATTACGTTACTCAGACTGGATATCTGCCTACAACCACTGACATCTATCACCAAGCTCAACCGGTGTTAACTCAGCCTTGCCCACCTAGTGAACTCGTGCATCAAACTTCTATTCTGACTCAGCCTATCGCGGAGGTACCGGTTCAGAGTCAACAGATGCTACCTGTAAAAATGCAAAATGTGCCAGTTTCGCCAGATAGGGCTACTGAAGAAATTAAGCACCCTGAACAAGTTGTGGAAAGTGTTCCCGTGCAGAGTTCTCATACGATCGAGCTAGTCTCAATTGAAGAGAATGAATCGGTTTCCGCAAGTGTCGCAGACGGTCGTGGACAATCCTTCTCTTATGCTCAAATACTTTCGCAAGGTCTGAGTCCTCGTGCGACACCACCCTCTGCGACGAAGGCCTTGGTTGAGCAATCTAGAGGACGGTCTCACTCACCTCATGAGGTGTCTCCACCGCAGAGTGTTAGGCGTGTTAAGAAACAGGAGTTTGAAACGGAAAGATCAACAACTCCTAAGCACCCGAGAGATAATGAGTGGGACACTATGAAAAAGAAAGACGTGAAAAAGAAACAGCAACAACATGAGGACAAACCTAAACGCGACGAGGATAAGAAGGGTCGTAAGGTGTCTGAGAAATCAGCACCGTCAAAACGACCTGAGAAACACGAGAAGTCTGAGAAACCGCAAAGAAATACTCCACCTAAACAGACAATCGAGACGCCGATTATACCTGTGGTTATTAAGCCTGCGGACGAAATTGTAAAGAAAGATGAAAAACAGGCTGAGAATCAGAGACGTGCTGCTGCTGAACGAGCGTCTGCGAATAATGCAGTATCTCAGGATAAGAAACGGAAACAGAAAAAGAAGAAGTCTGAAAAGTCACATGATGATGAGATAGACAAGGCTCTCAGGGAAATTGAGGATATGGATAAACAGAAGGCGAAAACGCAAAAGGATAAGCCTAAAGAACAGGAAAAGTCAAAAGAACAACAAAAGCCCAAGGAGCAAGAAAAATCTAAAGAACAAGTAAAGCCTAAGGAGCAACAAAAGTCCAAGGAACAAGAAAAAACGAAAGAGCAAGAAAAGCTTCTTAAAGAAAAGGAAAAGCCTAAAGAACAACCAAAGGAACAAGGAAAGCCTAAAGAACAAGATAAATCCAAAGGCCAAGTAAAACTTGAGGATCAGGCTAAGTTCAAAGATAAAGAAAAACAGGAAGAGCAAGAAAAACCTAAGGTACAGGAAAAGCGTAAAGAACAGGATAAACTTACAGAGCAGGTAAAAGTTGAAAAGAGTAAATCCAAAGAGCAGGAAAAATCCATTGAACAGGAAAAGCCTAAGGAGCCAGAAAAGTCTAAAGTGCGAGAAAAGCCCAAGGAGCAGGAAATTGTTACAGAGCAGGTGAAACCTAAAGAACAAGAAAAACGGAAGGAACTGGAAAAGCCCAAAGAACAAATAAAATTGGAAGAACAAGTGAAACGTAAGGAACAACAAAAACCTAAAGAACAAGAAAAGCCTAAAGAGCAAGAAAAACTAAAAGAAAAGGAAAAGCCCAAGGGGCAAGAAACGGCCAAGATAAAGGAAAAACCTAAAGAACAGGTAAAACTCGAGCAGCAGGTTAAGCCTAAAGAGAAAGAAGAATCTAAAGAGCAACAGAAGTCCAAGGAGCAGGAAACGTCCAAAAAACAAATAAAACTTCAAGAACAAACTAAGCTTAAAGAGCAAGTAAGTTCCAATGAGGAAGGAAAGCCCAAAGAACAAGTAAAACTGGAAGAACAGATTAGGCCTAAAGAGCAAGAGAAACTTAAAGAACAAGAAAAGTCTAAGGAGCAAGGAAAGCCCAAACAGCAAGAAAAACTTAAAGAGCAAGAGAAACTTAAAGAGCAGGAAAAATCAATGGATCAAGAAAAGGGAGAAATAAAGGAGAAACCCAAGGAACAAGTAAAATTCGAGGAACAGGTTAAGCCTAAAGAGCAAGAAAAATCGAAGGTGTCCAAGGAAAAGCCCAAAGATCAAGAAAAAGCCAATGAATGGGAAAAGCCTAAAGAGCAAGAAAAACTCAAGGAGCAGGAAAAGTCCAAGGATCAAGAAAAGGGTAAAGTAAATGAGAAGCCCAAAGAACCAGTTAAACCTACAGATCAAATTAAAGGAAAGAAACAAACAGGCCAAAATCAAGCAAAACCTAAAAAATCACTTACAACTGATATTGAAAATCAATCTTCCTCGATCGTTACAGGAGAATTAGAAACCACAGAGCAAATTCTGAAAAATGTAAAAGTACAAGAAGAAATCATTCAGAGAACCACAGATAAATTCAAAGCACAGACTGCAATTACTACTGAAACAAAGTCTCAGCAATTTGAAACTCCTACGCAACGTAGTACCATTGTGGAAACCACGACAGTACAGGTTCCTCCTGAGATAGAAGCGAAACCGATTGACAGTATCGCTAAAGATGCTACGTCAAAACCAGAAGAAAAGTCCAAGGAAAAACTTAAACCAAAGGACGATTCAAAGGCAGAGAAAGAACCTAAGGATAAAGCAAAACCTAAAGAGCAGATCAAAGCAAAGGATGTAGTTCAAGTTACACAAGAGGCAGAATCACAAAGTAAAAGTCAACCTCAGTCAACAGTAGATATTAAAGTGACCCAAATAAAATCAGAGGTCCAAAAAACGATAGACGATAAAAAGTCAATTATGGCATCGAAAGAGAAATTGGAATCAAAGGAACAAGATAAGCCGAAGCACGAACCAAAAGAGAAGTTTGTTCCTAAGGAAACTACGATTGAAAAAGAAATATTACTCGAGGGAAAGACTGCAGTTGCAGATAAACCGAAGGATGAAGAAAAGCTCAAGCAACAAGATAAACCGAATGACAAGGAAAGATCTAAGGATCGTGCAGACAACAAACCAAAAATCACTTCAGAAATAAAATCTGCACCCAAGGAGAAGCCACAAGAAAAAGTTGATTCTAAAGAAAAGGTTATTTCTCAGAAGCAAGATAAACCTAATGATGAGGATAAATCCAAAAAAGATATCAAACCTAAAGAACAAAGCAAACCGCAGGAACAAGTTGATACAAAATCCACTGTTAAGGAAGAAATACAAATTTCGACAAAGGATCAGTCAAAAAAGAAGATTTCACCTAAGGAAACAATAATTGAAAAAGAACTTGCTTCCAATGAGAAGACAACTCCAAAAGCACAAGATAAACCAAAAGATGAAAAGTTTAAAGTTCTGGTAGAATCTAAAGATGATAAAAAGGTAAATAAAAACGAAAAGTCAGCTCCTAAAGAACAAGCAAAATCAGAAAAGGAAATAGCACAGAAGGAAACACCGAAGTCCAAAGAACAAGAGAAACCTAAACCTCTTGAATCCAAGATTAAAGATCAAGAAAAGGCTCCAACTGCTCCTCAAACGCTAGTAAAATCGAAGGTAGAAGAGCTATCGAAAGATAAAGTGCATAGTACTGAAACAACAATTGTGTCAAAGGACAGAGTCAAGCAATCGACATCAGAAGCTCAAACGACAATCACACTGGAAGCCACAGCAAAGCAAGAACTCAAATCGAAAATCAAAATTGAATCACCTGAATCACCTGAGTATCCTAAGGATAAATCTAAAGATGTACCAAAATCTAAAGAAGAGAAGATAAAACCTGAGAATCAGACAGTAGATACATCTGTGGATTTGGAAGCAAAAGAACAGGATAAATCCACAGACAATATCGAATCGAAAGAGAATCTTCCGTCCAAGGATAAGAAGGTTCAAGAGAAGCCTGAGACAAAACCAAAAGTTGGATCCGCTGATAAGAAAGAAGCTATTTCTGATTCTAAACACAAAACGGAAATTACAACTCAAGTGGAGTCTACAAGTAAAGTAGACGTAACACAGAAGAAAGAAAGTAAGAAAATTTCAATTGTGAAAGAAGAAGTCAAGATTGAAGCTCAAGAACAAGCTACTCCCGTGAAGCAGCAAGTTAAGGGAAAAGACGAGGCCAAGCCCAAAGCCATTGCTCCTGGAACGAAGGTAGAGGCTATTAAACCAGATTCTGTTGCACCTGTTCCAAAGTCAGAAGAGTTGCCCAAATCGGTGGAAGAAGTTAAAATCAAGGAAAAACCTAAAAAGGAAGGTAAACCTAAAGAATCTAAATCGATGGCAGAAGTATCTGCGCCTTCCAAAGAAAAAGATAAATCTAAAAAGGAGCCTGTCAAGAAAGACTTACCTAAACCTGATGCTGTTAAGGATGAATCCAAACCAAAATCCAGTCCCAAGGCTGAAGAAAAACCAAAGGACTTGGACAAGGTTGCGGATCAGACAATTCCTGAAACCACAATTAAATCAAATATTCCGGCAGAGTCTAAAAAGGAAAGCAAAACTAAAAATGAAGTCTCTGCTACAAATCAAGTGAAATCGCAAGATATAAATATCGAGAAAGTGGAGGAACTCAATACGGCTAGTCAAAGTTTAAAGATGGCCGAGGAAGTAGCAGCTAAAGAGATAAAATCAAAAGTAGACTCGAACAAAAAAGACATTGGCAAGAGCAAAGCACAAAGGGAAAGGAAGGAGGAGGTCAAATCAAAGGAAAGTGAAAAACTCGAATCGGACAACGTCAACAAAAAAGTTGAAAAAGTTTTCAAACCGGAGAACAAAACAATCCAAAGTTCTGATAAAATTTCTAAAATCGAAGTTCCGTCTAATGTTGTATCGGTATCACGTCTTACATCCGCGCCGGAAAATAAAGAGGTCGGAAAAGCTCTGATTATTCAAAAAACCGTAACCACCGTGACTACAACCACAACTGGTTCCGAGGAAATAAAACCGCCCGCCGTGAAATCCGTTAAATCAATTGAAATATTAGAAAACGTCCCATTACCCATAACCGTAGGTTCAAAAGAGACCGAACTTATTTCCTTACGTCCTGAGAGTGTAGAAGCTAGTCTCGTCACAACTTATGCCAGGGTCGCGGAACGTCCCGCCGCCATTACAGAATCTTTAGATCAGGCTACAAAGACCAGCAGCGTAGGTCAGATTAGTGAACATGATATGGAAGTATCGCTAGCCGAAGAGGCTCCATTGTTTGGTAGTGTTCAGGATAGAAAGAAGGATCATTCGAAATCGGAAAGTACTAGCTCAGTAGATGTTAAGAAACCGAAAAAGGAGGAGAAGAAAGTTCAGTTGGAAGAACTGATAGACTTGACCCCGGAGGAGGAAGCTCTTATGAAGACTATGGAAAATAAGTTGAAGAAGAAGAAGAAGCGTCCAGCATTGCCGGATGAATTTATGATAAAAGAATCGCAAAAACTGGTAGTTGAAGAAGCTACTGTTAATGTACCTGTTTTACAGGATACTCAAGCTCAAGTTGAAATTAAGGCTGTGGTTAATGAAAAAGTTAAGGTTGAATCGGTTGTTGAGAAACAGGAAAAACCTGTGGATGTTGTTAAAGAAGAAGTGTGTAAGTTAGAGTTACAGAAAAAGGAGGTTGTTAGTATTGTAAAGGAAGATAAGAAGCTAGATGTACAAGTAGTCCAAAAAGATTTCCAGGACGTCCCTGGAAAATCTGAAAGTGTAGTAAATCAGAAAGATGAGGCACGATTAGAAATAGAAATTGCACCTAAAGATAAGATTGAATTTAAGGATCAGGTAAAGTTAGAAGTCGAATCTCTGCAGCCAAATATATCAAATAAAGAAATTGATTCTGAGAAACAAAATGAGAAGAAGCAGGAACAGGTCAAGACTGATAGGAAGAAAAAACTTGAATCTCTTCCAAAAGATGAACAGAAACAGGCGAAAGAAACTGTCGCTACTCCTCAGAAATTGGAACAACAAGAGGTGACGAAAAATGAAGAAGTTGCTCCAAAGGATGTTGTTAAATCGGGAGAACAGGACAAGGTTTACATCGGTAGACCGGAATATGCGGCTGATCTTATCAAATCTTATTGGTTGGAATATCATCTTTATGGTGAAGCTGAAAGTAATTTCCATCGAAATTACAAAGTAGTCAAAACTGTACAGAAACCAGAACCTCCGGCTTCTCCAGCGCCAAGAGAAAATGTGACTATCGAAACGATCGTACACGAATCCAAAATGAAGAATACTGAAGTTGACTCGCCTCCAGTACAGGAAATTTCCGATGGTGAATATAGGCTTTTGGCACTTGCTAATGAAGTTCCAAAATATTCCATGGCCAGTTTTTACGAACATGAAGCTCGGTGGGTTGAACATATTCAGGATAAAAATGTTGAATCTGAACAATCTTCCACCGGAGAGAGGGCGAAATCTGAACAATCTTCGACTGGAGAGAAGGTGAAATCTGAATCATTGCCAGTTGAAAAACTTATGCCGGAATCCTCCCCAATAGAGAAGGTTAATCCGGAACCATCTCCGCCTGAAAAAATAAAGCATCAACCATCTCCAGCTGAGAAAGTGAAGCCTGAACTAATTCCAGGGGCCAAGATTGAGTCTGAACCGACTATAACTATGAAGGAGAAGGCCTCTCCAGTTGAGCAAGTAAAACTTGAAACAACTCCAGGTGACCTAGTGAAGCCAGAACCATCTCCAGCCGAGAAAGTGAAGCCAAAACCGACTCCAGCTGAGAAGGCGAAGCCTGAACCGACTCTGAGTGAGAAGGACAAACCTAAACCCTCTCCAGTTGAGCAAGTGAAACTTGAACCAACTCCAGGTGACAAAGTGAAGTCTAAACCATCGCCAGCTGAGAAATTGAAGCCAGAACCGACTGCAGCTGAGAAGGCGAAGCCTGAACCAATTCTGAGTGAGCAGGTGAAAACTGAACCGATTTCAGCTAACAAGGTTAAGTCTGAATCAACTCCAGCTGCGAAGGTGAAGCCTGAACCAACTCTAGGCGAGAAGGCTAAGTCTGAGCCAACTCCAGCTGCGAAGGTTAACCCTGAACTAGCTCCAGCTGAGAAAGTAACGTCTGAACCGACTTCAGCTAAGAAGGTTCCTGAGTCATTCGCAATTAAAGAGAAGGTAAAAGCTGATGCATGTCCAGTTGAAAAGAATTTGAAGTCGGCAGACCCATCTCCAGTTACAGAGAAAGAGAAATCTCAACCATCTCCAATTGAAGAGAAGATTAAGACGAAACAATCTCCAAATGAAAAGAAGAAGCCTGAATCATCTACAGTTGAAAAGAAGATTAAATCGGAACCATCTCCACTTAAAGAAAAGGTAGAACCTAAACCATCAATTTCTGCCGCTGCTTCGAAATCTGATAAACAGACGGATGCTAAAGTTCAATCTATACTCGAAAAGAAGACTGAAATTATTGAAGAAAGTGTAGTTTCTGAAAAAACTATGACTGTGAGTAAAGTAGATAACAAGACGCAAATGTTAGAAAACATAGAAATTCAATCTATGAAGGAAAAGAAGCCAGAACTTACACAAGATAAGTCTAAGCCTGTTCCTGCCGAGGATAAAAAGGCCGAAAAAGTAGCAAAATTGCCCGAAGAAAAACAGTCTCCTAATATAGAGAATGCAAATCAATCTAAACCTGCAGATACGGCAAAGCCCGTTCATTTGGTATCCGACGACTCTTGGATGAGTATATTGGATGAACCCATGGTCCTTGATGACGATGATGATTTTGACAAACCTCATAATGTGCCGGTAAAATCGCCAAAGGCGAAAACGGTAGAAGTGATGCTTCCTTCTACTAGTGTTACCTCAGCGGTAACTACTGAAATAACCTCGATGAAAGAAAAAGACAAAGTTGATAAGAATAAGAAGAAGCAAAACGCACCGGACAAGGCTGTTGCGGATCTCAAGGAAAAATCTCAAACGGACAAGATTGAAAAGGAAAATATTGATATTGCTGGAAGCATGAAAAATGAGAAAAAAGACACAAAGAATCATCAGGCACCAGAAAGAACTGTAGAAGGACCTAAGGAAGAACCGAAGGTACAGAAGATTGACAAAGAAAAGGCGGATGCTCCAAAAGTCAAAAAAGATAAGAAAGAAAAGGCAGCAGAATCGCCTAAAGAGAAGACGGAGGCAGAAAAGGCACAGAAGGAAAAGACTGCTGTTACAGATGTTACGAAAACTTATTTGAAAGAAAAGAAAGACTTGCAAGTTTTACAAAAAACTGTAGAAACGTTTAAAGAGCAAGTGGCAGAAACTGCTGTAGAAACACCTAAAGAACAGACAAAGTTGGATATTCCGAAGGCAAAGCCAGAAGATAAGAAGAACAAGAAAGATGTTCAGGCTCAGGAACAGATCGCAGATATAATCAAGGAAGAATCGAAACAAAAAGACATCCAAAAAGTTGAGAAACCTGTTCAACAAATGCCCAAGGACGAGATCAAATCCGTAGAAAAAGAACCGAAGAAACAGATTGACCAGGTTGACAAACCTCAGGTTCTTGAAATTCAGGACCAGGTGAAAGGCAAAAGTATAAAGAGTAAAGATCAACCAAAAGATCAAATAGCACCAGTATCCAAGGTTGAAGAGAATAAGCAAATTCAGATTAAACAACAAATAAATGTTACTGCCGTTGATATTACAAATGGTCGACAGGAGGAAATGGCGCATTTGAATTCAGAATTAAGACAGGAAGTAACACAGGTAGAAGCACCTGTAGAAAAATCAAAATTAGTCCACCTGGTAGCTGATGATTCATGGATGGACATACTAGATGACGATTTTGTTATGGAAGACGACGATTTTGATGAACCGGAAGTTCCTAAGACCAAGGAAAAACCCGCAGATAAAGAACCTGTTGCAAAAGGAAAGGATGCAAAGAAAGATAAGAAACCGGAAAAACCTCAAAAAGCCAAACCAAGTGGTAAAGAAGAAAAAACTAAAAAAGAGGAAATTGTAGAAAATGTTTCGGAGAAAAATTCTTCAAAACTCGAAGAATCAAAACAAGAAGTTACTGTTGCACCTCAAACACTTGAAGAGCCAACTCAATCATCGGCGGAGAAGAAACCTGTTTTGAAAGAGCTTGAAAAGCCAAAAGCAGATACAAAATCTGCGAGGGGCAAACAACTTAAAGAGCAACCTGATAAAAAAGATGTACAGGATTCACCTAAAAATCAGTTAAAACCAAAAGAAGAAAAGGTACTACCAAAAGATGCAGAATCGACAATACAGGACAAGGTCAAAGAAGACAATAAACCAGGAATGAAGGATACAAAACAGGAAGTTCCTGTCGAACCTAAGGATACGAAATACAAGGGACTACAAATTAAAGAAGAATTAAAGGCTGTGCCAAAGGAAGAAATAAAATCTGGACCAAAGGATGTAAAGCCTAAGGAGCCAACACTACCCGATAAAAAATCAAAGGAAAAATCTGAACCCAAGAAAGATGCAAAACCTGTACCTCAGGTTACAAAATCAAATGAAGAAATTAAAATCACAAAGGAAGACATTAAATCTACATCGAAGGACACAAAGGTAAAAACAATTGAAAAAGAAAGTTCAAAATCAACGGAAACTATAGAAACGAAAGAAGTTACAAAACCCGTAATTCCAGATGTAGAACTTAAAAAACAGGTTAAACCAAAAGAGGAATCTAAATCAAAACAGGAACCCAAATCCAAAAAAGAGCCAGCTCCAGTTATTACACAGAAATCTAAAGAAGATTTAAAATCTAAAGAGCAACAACCTTCGTCAAGTAAACCATCCGAAGTTGAGCAAACGACAACAGACGCTCAAAAAGAACAAATTGTAAACGAAGACGCGCCCAAGTATGACGTTCGACTTAATCCAAATGCTAAATCCTGGGCATCCATTGTTGGTATCAAAGACTCCGTGGAAACTACTACTTCAATTAAAACTGAAGTAGAAACTTCTCAAAGTATAGAAGTCGTGAATATTCCTACTGCTGAAGAATCAACTGCATCTTCTACAAATATAGAGAATGTTGTAGTACCTGTAGAGAAGTCACCAGTAATTCCTCCACCGAAATCAGAACCTCAAGAACAACCTGTGCAACCGAAATCACCCAAGCGACCCAAAAAGAAAGATAATACCGAAGTAAAACATACTCAAGTCGAAGTACGCGAAGATCCTAATTTGGTTGTCGAGAAAGCAGTCACACCTCAACCGTCGACGATTGAAGTTGTGTCTAAAGAAAATGGTAAATCATATGCAGCAGTTGTTGCGTCTTCACAACGAAACTCGCCACAACTTCGACAAGAAGAAGTCACAATACTGAAACCGCAGGCATTGAAAACCGAATCGATTGAAGAGACGAAGAGCAAAATATCTCAAGAAAGTATTGCTTCTTCATCCTTAGAAAAAAGTGTTGGAGAAGCTGACTCAAAAGTACCCCAAGAAGAGATACTTCCAAGTATAGGGAAACAAGAGCTTCCTGTATCTTCCGAAGTAACTTCCGTCCAGGAGTTCTTGATGCAGGAACAGAAAGAATCGATCAGCGCAGGTTCGTTGATTTGTCAAAGTGAAGAAGTGGTCCCTCCGCCACCTAAAGAAAGTATCAAGACCAAAGAGCAGCCCACACTTTGGGCTGATGAAATTGAAGAAACTCTTAATTTAGAGTCACAACCAGTTATCACACCTGATGACACGAAAAAGGTCAAGTCCAGCGTTTCCGATTACGAAAGTTTCCCTAAACAAGAAACATTCTCATGGGCTGCCATAGCGGCTAAGAAACCTTCTGAAACTCCTGAACATGTCGTTAGTGTAACTACCGAGCAAATCGGTATCACTCGTGAACGTATTCCCGTACAGCGACCTCCGCCTGCAGTACAGATTTTTGTAGAAGAAGTGCCGGAAATAGAACCAATAGAAAATATCGTAGAAGTTGATGATCAGGGCTTTATGGAGTTTGTGAATCGTAAGGAATTGCGCTCGCGTAGGTCAAGGTCGCGTTCTCGTACTGATAATCGTGGCGATAAGGTACCGTCCCAAACTCGCGAGCATAATGTAGATCAGACCTCAAGTAAGACTGGGGATTCGGTAGAATTGTCCAAGAGTGAGGATAGTGGTAAGGTTGATAAAAAAGACATTTATTCTGAGGAGGCCAAGTCAAAGGATGTGGCTGAACCTAAAAACAAAGAGCAGCAGGTAGAGAAATTGACAGGAAAGGCGCAGAATCAAAAATCTCAAAAACAAAAGGAAAAATCCAAGACTAAAGAGGCAACTAAATCTGTTGAATCTGAAAAACCAAAGCCAGTGGAGCAGGTGAAACCAAAAGATACTGCAAAGTCGATGGATAACATTCAGGAACAAGCTCAACAAATTGAAAAAGTAGAAGGATCTAAGGGCAAAAACAAGTCTAAGGGAAAGAAGGATGGTGAAGTTAAAGAAACCAAATCTCAACTTCCAAAGGAGTCTGCGTCTGATGTTCCACTTCAGGTTGACGTGGCACAGCAAGATCAAGTACTCACTAAAACTCTGGAGCAAGAGAAGCCTGAAGAAAAGGTAAAGTCTAAAGGTAAGGGCAAACAAAAAGTAAAGGCTGTAGAAAGTGACTCCAGTATAAAGTCTGATGCTGAAGTAAATAAAGAAGTTATACCTCAAAAGAAGACAATTCCTCAAGATGAAAGTAAATCTGCTGAGACGAAGCAACTAGATACGAAGTCCAAAAAGGGTAAGTCCAAAAAAGGTAAATCTGAAAAGGAACAAGTGAAGTCTGAAGTTGATTTGAAAATTAAGCAAGATAAGAAGGCTGAAACAGTATCTGAAACTGAAGTACAAAGCAAACAGGAAGAGAAGTCTAAAGATGACAGCAAACCTTTGGTTGATACTAAAGATCAAGAAGCAGAGAAAAAGCCTCAAGATAAAACCGAGGATAAATCAACAACTAAAAATAAGTCGAAAGCAAAGAAAGGGCAGAAATCTGAACCTACAATTGATATTGAATCCACAGTCAAAAGTGAAGCGCAGGTTAATATTGTCGAAGACATAAAATCAGAGAAAACAGACAATCTCAAAATTTCAGAAAAGACTTTAGACAAGGTCAATCCAGATGAGAAGGTAAACAAGGATGTAATTAAAGTAGAAAAGGAAATAAAGGTAGACACAAAGGATTCGGGTTCCACTGGAAAATCTGAAGAAAAATCCAAGGCAAAAACCAAGTCAAAATCCAAAAAAGAATCATCCGTAGCTACTCCTGAGGCTAAAACCGAATTAAAACTTGAAGATAAAAAAATTGCTGCTGAAATTAAACCAGTATCTGTGATTGTAGAAAAGCTTGATAAAGAACCTCAGGTTGAAACTGATATGAAGTCTGTAAAAACTGAGGTTGAGAAGGAAAGTAAAAGAGAAATAATTGCACACAAGGAAGAAGAAGTAAAAACGAAACAAGAGAAACCACCAACTAAAGAAGCGAAAAAACTGGAGAAAGAGAAAATTCAAGATAAAAAAGATTCAGCAACCGTGAAAGATGTAAAATCTGTTGTGGAAAAAACGCAAAAGGAATCATCCGTAGATACAAAGAGTAAAGAAGTAGTCACAAAGTTGGACGAATTAAAGTCTACTGACAAGCCTAAAGAAAAAGATGACGCTAAGCCTAAAGTGGAAGAAAAACCGAAAGAGGACCAAGGAAAAACAAAGCCTGATAAAGATTCGAAGAAGGATAATCCTGTTGACGATATAGTAACTCCCAAAAAAGAGATTGAGCCTAAAGAGAAAGTTGTGCAGGCTGAACAATCTGTGCCTGAGGAAAAATCTAAGCAAAAGGGTAAATCTAAGTCGAAGAAAGGAGTCCCTGCGGAAGCGGTAAAAACAACAGTTTCCACAGAGAAACAAGAAGTTAAAGAAATTCCCATAGTTGATACAGAAATTAAAACTCAGGATATTGTTAAGCCTGATACGAATGTAGAAAAAATCACTTTGACAAAAACAACAGCTGTAACGACTGTTCAGTCTCAGGAAAAATCAGATGTTCTCAATGTAGATAAATCTAAGCCCGAAGTCAAGGAAACACAGGAATCGCTTAAAAAAGATGAGAAAGCTGTAAGTGCAGTTGAGCAAAATGTCAACAAAGAGTCAGAGAACAAGTCTAAGCCTAAAAAAGATAAGTCTAAGCCTGATACTGCTAAAAAGACACAGGTCGAAAAGGTAGAAAAGTTACCTGAAGATAAACCTGAAGACAAACCGCTTGTTAAAGTAGAGAATGCAGACCAGGCTAAACCTGCAGATGCGCCAAAGCCTGTACATTTGGTATCAGATGACTCTTGGATGAATCTGTTAGATGAACCCATGATCATCGATGATGAAGATGATTTTGATGAGCCTGATAATGTACCAGTAAAAGCGCCACAGAAGAAAACTGTAAAAGTAATTAATACTTCTAGCAGTGCTACTTCAGCTGGAAAGCAGGAAAAAATCGCAGAAATAAAGATGGCAGATGAAAAATCACCGATTGCTGAAAAATTGAAAGCTGAAGCTACTTCCGAAGTAAAGATTGAGGGAGAACGAATTATAGAACAAAAACTGAAAGAATCAAGTAAATCTGAAAAGAAGGCTGAAGAGAAACCTGAACAGTCGAAATCTATACCGGAAAAGAAAGCTCAAGAAAATGTAGAACAGTCAAAATCTGTACCTAAAAGGAAAGCTGATATAAAAGATGAAGCGACGGAAAAAGAACCTAAGGACTTGAATAAGCCTGAATCTGTACCTAAAACAAAAGTTGAAAAATCGAAGCCGGAAACGATAAAGGAACCAGATGAAAAATCAGGCATGAAAGAAGAGAAGCCTAAAAAAGTTGAGAAATCTCCAAAGGCACCGGAACAAAAATCTGAACAACAGCCCAAAGAAGGCCAACCTAAAGAGATAACGGAACCAAAACCAGAAAAACAACAACTTGAACCCAAAAAGGAAGTTCAGGTCAAATCAGAAGAAAAACCAAAGGAACCTCCTAGCAAACCCGTTCAAATGGCAGAACCTAAACCCATAATATCCGACACAAAAACAGAAGCAGAACAAAAACCCAAAGAAGACCTAAAGGTAGAACAATCACAAGAAGTTCAACCATCTGAACCTAAATTAAAGTCAACAAAAGGTCTAAGCCCAAAAACACAAGCTCTAAATCTCGTGGAAGTTCTTCCAGAACAAAACGACTCATTCCAACCAACCGAAATCGACTCAGTCAGCATACCTGAAACAGAAAGCACAAAGGCAAAAGTCCAATTTTACATAGACGACGAAGTTGTCGTAGTAACAAAGGATGACAAAAAACCTACCAAACCTAAAGAGCAACCCAAAATTCCGCTACCGGAATTAATATCACTCGACGAAGGATTCTGGGTGAACAAACGATCTTATCACGAAGCAGAGCGTGATCTCTTTGAGAGCTTGGCCTCCCTTAAGAAGAAATCACTAAAAATCGAAACCAAAATAGAATCCCACGACGAGGGTCCTCATGACCGCGACAACGACGGTGATTCGGACGGCGGAAATTCAGGTGGCGGAAATGGTCCCTCTGACCCGTCCTCTAAATCGGGAAGTAACATCAACGCACCACATACGGAACGTCTCGTAGCCGATTTACCGGGTGGCATTTGTAGTTGGAGTGACTATAGCACATACTTAGCAACAGAGACCGATGGGCAGGGAGATGAGAAGCTTGATCACACTTCGCAGCTCGTGCATAGAATGACCGAGGACCTTATTACGGATATCGACCTCCCTGAAACAAAACCCGATCCCTTGACCTTTACTCCCGAACCTGAGTCCTCACTATCTCTAGGTAATGAGACACTACGAAGCGTGCAGCAGTGGAGTTCCACTCGACAAGTGGAGAGAGAGACAGAGGCAACAACGGAAGCAAAAAGGATCCAAAGGATCAAGGTGCGACATATCCCGCCAGTGCTCGAACTTGTTGTACAGTTTAATCGTTATATTGCCATTTACAGTATTGTTACTGATTGTTTTTCGCTCTCTCATTTGTTATTGTCGCAATTTGTTTTGTTGTATTATAGGTGTTCTCGCTTCCCAATTCCTCCTACGATATGCAATCTTTGGCATGCACATTTTATAATATCGATATTGAGTTTAGCGTGTCCGGTTTTTTGCTTGCGCATTTACCTCAAAGTAATGTTTCCCAATGACCCCAAAGGCATTGTGTTTTATATTGTTCGTTAGGCTCATGCGATTACTGTTAGCCAGTGAACGACCATGTCTGTGTTATTGGTATTAACAAACCCGTAACACTGCCGATTTTCATCTTGATCGAGATGCTTCCAGTTGTGACTGGGTTTATCATTCCTACCACATTTTTCATTATTAGGTTTTTCAGAGGTTTCCTGGTTTTATCCTCGAGCTAATACATTAATACATCGCCTGGAGTTGTGCTGGAGTTCGCCATGTGCACGGCATGGTTTACATTAATGAAATTTACTTGCTAGTATCTTTACTCATCCAATTTTTATTTCAGGACACAATTGGCGAGGATCTCGATTCTCTGAGAGCAGCTGTAGCCCAACTGGAAGAAGCTCTAGGTTTCCTTCCTAGAGATAGTCTACAGTCAATGCTATCTGCTCTAGTGGTGAGAATCTGTCAGAAAGTTTATTCTACCAAATTTGTTTTCTATTAATAAAAAAAGGTCTTATCAAACATAAAATATTTCTATTACCAGAAAGCAGCCATTTGACTCATGACAGTTTAAGAAATCTTACATTAATCAACATTAAACAAATCAATTATCTACATTTTGATCCTGCAGACAATACTGGCTGACCTCCAACTATACGATCAGGAAGCGACTCGGCTCTACGAAGAGCTGAACAGGATCCCTGCGGATTCTGAAACACAAAAGTTATTCGCTCTCCTGGCTGGAATTCGTACTCGCATAGTGACTCTTCTGTCGCAAGCAGAACAAGGAACAGCTGCGGTTGAACAAGCACGAGGAATTCAGGAACAACGTGAACACGAAGTACGAACCTATAGGATCTTCCTCGACGAGACTGACACCTGGTTGCAAAATATCATCGCCACATTTAATCAACAGCAATCCCTAACCGGATACAAGGTTCGTTCAACTATAAAAGCACAGAGGTTATCATTTCCAAGGAATTTATCAACCTGAACTTGTCTTGTATTAAGTGAAACAAATCACATCTGACATCAAACTGATTACAGGCCTTACAGGAAGAGTTGATCATCCGTACGCAAAAAGTGAGCGAATTGGAATCACTGCCGGAAGTCAGTGTTTTGGCAAAGAGTCTTAAGGAAGCCTTGCTGGAAATGACGTCACGTCTTCAACAAAAGCAGCAGGTACTACTCAACGCTTACCAGAACTCGGGGCTTTCTCACTGTTCTCTGCACTCCACGCTAAGGTGGCGGGGCTCGCTTAAATCTGATTTAAGACTCTCGGGCGTCTTGCTCGAGCAAACAAGCTTATAGAGTACGATAGGCACTCCGTTCCTCTCTTTATGCCTTTCCCTCGTTACTTTGCACTACTGCCTTTTTCTACACTACGAAATGCACAAGTCGTTTCAGCAATCCCGGTTACAAAGAGCATGTGGGATATAGGGTAGAATCTTTTAAACTTGTGATAAGGGAGTTCTATGCCTAATTAATAGGATTATTCAGGTATCAGGTTGTATTTGGATATTTTAATGTTATGCTTAGAAAGACGCTTTTCTTATTACTGCTTTTACTTTCTCTCAATTCTATTTAATCGTATTCTTCATCATTGTTATATTATGGTTGTTCATACGGTTATAGTTTTGCATAAGTGGGGATACGGGAGCTGTTGAATTCATGTTGTATAATTTTCGGGAATCTGTTCATCTCTTTACATTTATCTTATCATCACGGTGCAATTATTTATGCGTATTTACTTTATAATCATGCACCCTTCATCATCGCTATCCACGTCACTATTATCATTTCATTATTGCATTATCTCTACTTATCAGTCTTCGTACATAGCTTATGTCATATATGTTATTTATATTTGTTAATTTAAGATGGTGGATGTAATTTAGGCATTGCATGTACTTAAGGAATGTTAATACATTACTGTACTGTATGGCATAATTAAACTTTTATGATTAATTACCCATTTTATTTACTCTGTATGCTCGTTCGTTATACCATGTTTATTAGATATCAAGGAGAATATCGATTATTCATTGTATTACAAGATATGCATTTCTATTAGGATTTGCAATTGCTGATATACATGTATATATATATATATATATGATTAATTTATTAATTTTCTATGGCGTCATGTCATTATAATGCAATTCTCTTTAAGACCACAAGTATTGCAAATTACTTATATGCAGTAAGAAGTATCCTGTGACTAAGTTCTTTTTGGTAGACTAAACTTTTGTTATTTTTATATAAGTGAACAGAGAATTTCGCGATAAAAAATATTTTTTACAATGACAATATAATCGGAGTAAAGACTGCGATTATGTATCAATTATTAACACAAAGAAGCTTTATCAATGTCCACCATATTGGTAAACAAATTTAATGCACGTACACCTATTGCTCGTCACACATCGCTTAAATAATTCTATCCTATAACGGCAATCAGAGACACGTAAGAATAAATCATCAAGATAACTCGAATATAATTCTTGTCAAAAATGTAAAAATCAAAATCAAAATATTGTATTAAATCATGCAAGAATATATTGACAGTCGTGTCTCTGGTTAAAGAAATACATTATGCAGCTTTATAAAATGTTCATCTATAATCGTCAGCAGCGTATCATCATCATTAATCCAATTAGTCATGCCATCATAAGAATAAAATAAAAATCATCTCACAATCCTCGACTTCGTTGTAGTTCCTCGAAATCCTCAAATCGGTTTACCCATTACCTTTACCCTTTACGTTTTATAGGAGATCGCCGACGAAGAGGAGTCGGTACGAGCTGAAGACGAAACAACGGACCCCGACGACGCAACCCTCGACCAGGCATCCTCGATCCATTCCTCCCTTGAAGAGGGTCCGCCATCGCTAGCAGACGTATCCCTTCAAACTGGTCAAAGTTTACTCCTAGACTATGCACAGGTCGAGCCCAAACCTGCTCAGTTAACAAAACAAACTTCAACATCCCAAATTCCAGTATCGAAAACCTGTCAGACACTGATGACCGAAGCTACCTCAGCAATAGCTACGACAACCGAGAGTCCACAGACCCAGGAGACGATTAAGGTTCGCAAGAGCACGGACGGTAGTCACGATATTATTGAAATAGCAACTAAAAATGTGCCATCGAGCACGAGCTTGGAGTTGATACGTCGTGAGCAATCCGGAGCTGTTCCCGACGACATAGTAGTGGACATGAAGTATCAGGACGCTCAGAAGAAGGAAAGCGCAACGTCTGAGCTCAGCATACAACATGCTGCACCACAATCCTTCGAGACTATATTAACAGAGCCTGATGACGTGACGACTGAGGTCGTCGTTGATGCGGATGGTACCAAGAGGATTATTGTGAAGAAACTTCGGCGTACTTTGGTGACCAGTCGGCAAACAACACAGCAACACGTGTCATCATTGTCCACGGCTGTTGGAGATGGTCCACCAGTTGTTCAGGCGTTTTCAGAAGCTACCATGAGAGGTCAACAGGTGACGGTTACAAGGACGAGACCTGATGGCACTGTGGAATTGTCTACGACGCAGACCTATGGTGGTCGTGTTACCACGGGAACACCTGGGGATGAAGTTAACGTAGAGGAATTCGAAGCTCCACCACAGTATACTCATCAGGTGATCCAGGGTGATATTCAGGATCTGGGACCGAAGATAAACGAGGGAGACGAAGTTGTTATTGATGGCGGCGAGTATCAGACTACAACTTCTAGCGTGCATGCTACTGTTCAGCAAGTAACCAGACGTACTATCAGAAAGACTAAACGTATTATACGTAAAGTCACTATTATCGATGGTAAGGAGACCACTACCGAAGAGGTTATCGAGGAGCCGGAGGAAGTGGAAATCGATGAACAGGACATACCGCACATTAGTATTAATGTTACTAAGAGTGAAGAGCAAAAGACGTTTGATGGTAGCAAGATACCAATGGAATTCGGTACTTTGGAAAAACAAGTTGTGGAACAGGAACGGGAGAGATTAGCTCCTACCGATAAGGAAGAGAAGCAGACTGGTCCGGAGACTTTTTCAGAACCATGTACTCCAGATAGTCCCATGCAAGGCCCATTCTTTGGTCCCTTTGCAAAAGACATGACACCAAAGAGCTCGGAATCACGAAAATCCAAAAAATCTTCAAAGGCAGCTAAGGTTGATAAGATAGTTAAAGAAGAACCAACTGCCGATACGGAACAACCTTTAAAGACGGATATTACTGAGGCATCGAAACCAGAAGAGACAATAACAACTGTCAAAATTTTAACAGGCGATTCTCCAAAGACTGAGTCTGCAGTGTCTATGGAAGAGAAGAAGATTATTGAAAGGCAACAATCTGTTACTTCAGTTGAGTCAGAAACTGTAAAAGATGAAAGGACTGGTACCGATACACCTGTAGCAAAAATTGTAGCCGATGATAAGAGAGCACAACCCACTGATAAACACGAATGCGAATATTTCCCGATAGAGGTAACTGAAGAAACAGAGAAAATGGTAGACGTTGATAGCCAAAAGCTAATTAATGCTGAAAAGTCTGCTATTTTGCAGACGCCCATCGAGGATACGTCAATTCTTGAACCGAGGACAGAGTCTTCGATAGAGTCGACACTTGTGGAGGACGACGCCATCACAAGAGCCACGTGTAAGTCTGAAGAAACACTGACACAGAGCGACGCGCACAAATCCGAACTAGAAGCAGGCACGGTAGATGTAGTACAGCACGCAGATGATAGCTACACTGTAGAGGCTGATTACGATTATGATAAATCTGTAATCCCTATCGTAGAGGTCCAGAAATCACCTGAACAAGATAATACAGTATTGCCTCAAGTACCTGAAACTAAATTACAAGACACCCTACCGTCACTTCTGGTAACCTCACAGCCTGAAGGGAAGATTGAATCTCAGGAGGACTTACGCACTGCACAAGTTAAGAAAATGACAGATCAATTAATCCCTGAGACTGCTCAAAAACCTGAAATCGTAGAAATAAAGAAATCGGAAACTTCATTACCAGCTGTAGATCTAAAAGATATTGTAACTTCCACAAGTTCAGTTGTTCAATCTCATGAATTGGTTAAATCGGTTGCGAAGATTCAGGAAACTGTTGACATTGTACCGTCTGAAGTGAAGGATGTTAAAATTCCTGAAGCTGTTCAAATTAAGCAGATTGATATCAAGGACACGGGGCTTCCAGTACTTGAAGCTTTTGAAAGTATTCCAAAGATACAACTGCCACGTATTGATGATTTCTTAGCTCGTGAACGGGATGAAGTTTCAAAAGAAATTGCCCTGAAACCTGAATACAAACCTGCAGTGCAAAAGGTCGAGATATCCTTATCCGTTAAAAAGAAAGATGAAGATTCGGTACCATCAGTGTTTGTAAAAGCTCAAGCGGAGAAACCAGAAGTAGCACCTTATCATATCATCAACGAAGACGTAGATATCCAATTACCAGCAGAGAAGGAGACGATTCAGTTGATTCACAACAAGATTGTCCAAACTAGCGCTTTGTCCACGGCTGAGAAAGAAACTGAAACAGCTTACGAAGTATCAACAGCTGAAAAAGAAACCGAAACGCACTATGAGGCGTCTGAAAAGAGCGAATGTGAATCCGTAACGAGTAGAAAAAGTCGAAAAAAGAAAAAACACAAGAATAGAACTGAAACGCCTGAAAAATTACAAACCGAGGAATCCAGCAGCTCCATCACTACGACCATTGCCGACTCTATTGATATTAATGTTCCGTTATCTGATTCTTCAAAGCATTCCACTGAACAACCGCAACCTGATATTATGGAAATAACTGAAAATTCCTTATCGTTGTCAACATATAGGGATGAAACTTCAGAAAGAGATCATGGGTATGAGCCTGACGACAAGACGACAGTTGACGAACTATCGTTAGCTGATGATGAAGATCACGCAAGAAAGAAGAGTAAGAAGAAGAAGAAGAGAAAGCAGAAAGTAAAAACGACGAAGGAAGAGGAGTCCACAACGCTACCTAAAACAACAACGGATGAAGCAGAGTTTACTGATGAGGTATTGTCTGTTGATACTAAAGAGATGAAACCAGACAATAAGAGTAAGAAACGAAAACGTAAGAAGGACGAAGGAGCAGCTGGTGACCAAACTCCGGACGAGGAAGAGGAGGAAGAAGAAGAAGATGAAGAAATTCATCTTGAACGACCAGCTGTAACAGTAAATGAAACGGATACTCAGACACTTTTGGAAACCCGAGATGTTTCTGTTGGTAGTGTTACGTCTGAAGTTGCAGAAAATGTCGCAAGCTCGGCACAAACTTCTCCTGAACCTATTGTCCAGGTACTTGAACAAGAAGTTCAAACAACCAAGTCCGACGAGATTCATACAGAGATCCAAACGTCACCACCACCAGTTTTGGATACGTCTATTCAAACAATTGAGGAACAACCTCGTGAAGTTGAACATTCAGCGATGCAAACTGTCACGCCTATCGCCACACCTACTGAAGAAGGCGCTGTGCAAACTAGCCCTATTGATGAGGAAAAACCAATTCCGGAAAAGCCAGACACCGAAGAGATTCATGTACAGACTGCAGTTGTAGAATTTGGTAGTACGGAAGTTCAAACTTCTCCTGTGAAAGAGATACCAACTACTGAGATACAGACTCAAACGATTACTCCTGAACCAACTGTTGAGGTACAACAACAAACAACTCCATCACCTGTTTCTGAAAAGATCATCCTCGAAGATGCAGCCATGCAGACAATTACTCCAGATATCATTTACACTGCTGAAATTGATATCCAAACAAGTAAACCAACTAGTCCCGAAGCTCCTCCGGTCGAGGATAGTCACGCACAAACCGAAGTGCCTGAACAAATTCCTCTAGAAACCACTGAAACGCAAACTCTTCCACCTAAAGAGAGAACTGTGGAGACTCAGGATACTGTAACGCAAACCAAGTCACCTGAACCAACTACCGAAACAACGATTCAAACTAGTCCAATTGAAAGTCCCCGACCAGCTGCTAGTTCAGAATTGTCGGTTCAAACTAGCGTCGAGGAAACAAAAGAAATTGCTGACAGTGAGTCACAAACAACTCTTCCGGAAAAGTTAAAATCCTCCGATACATCAGTACAGATAAACACAGAAGAATTAATTCCTACTACTGAACTGAGTATACAAAGTATTCCAGACACTGCAGAAATAAGCGCACAGACTATCGCGCCTTTGGAAAAGCCTTCAAGTCCAATGATTTCTGTATCTCAACAAACTGTAGTGGACTCACATCGAGAATTAGATACAAAAGAGATTGTTCCTAAACCAGCTGAAGAAGTATTTTCTAAGACTGAAGATTCTGTACAACCTGAAGTACAGGAACCGATTTCTGAAACACCTAAGATTTCTGTTGTGACTCAAATAGAAGTATCAGAATCTAAACAAGATCCTGAAACAATGTGGGAGCCAATTGCAGAACCAATTATTGAGCCAGCAGTGGAAGTAAAGGAAACTGCGAAAGTTTCAGAAATTTCAGAGCCCATAACGCCACGAATATCTGAAAAGGATTCCATGTCAGATAGCTCTTTCGAAATTCATGTCCAAGCAACAATCGAAATACCTGACAGCTTCACTCAAGATTCGATCCTAACCGGTAGCGAAGCAACAATTGATTCATCTCAGGCTACAACAATTACAGAAGAACTAAATGAGCCAATTGAAACCCAAGAAGAAGATGCAGCTAGGGCCGGAAGACGTCAAAAAAGAAAACGGAAGCACAAAACTATTGAACTTCGAGACATTTCTCCAGCCAATAAAGAAAAACATGATCTTGGTTCAATATTCGGCCAACCAATCCAGTCTCAGGAATCGTCCCTGAAACTTTCCTACTCAGACGTTGCCAAAAAAAATGCGCAACGGCAAAGGTCCACATCACCTGTCGAAGTTTCGTATCCACAAACATCTGGACATTCAGATGACGAATCTCTAGGTAATATTGTAATTGGAAAAGTAATCACAGATCTAAGACCAAGTAAGTTAAGACCTAAAACAAAACCTGCAGATACTCCAGTTCCAATTTCAGGCGAACAACAACCTCTTACTGAAGCTATTACAATTGTGACATGTTCTGAACCAATGGATACTACGGAAGAGACATTGTCGCCAATGGAATCTGTCTTAGCAAAAGAAGAAAGTCCTGCGAAGGTTGAAGTAAAAACATATGCAGAAGTAATATCTGAATCCAAAGCACCGAAAATACCGGCAAGTTCTACGAGTGCGATGATGGAGTACGAGAAAGAAGAACTGGCTACACCCTGGGAAGATAGACTTTTGTTGTCGCAAAGTCCAAGTGCACGTAAAACACCAAGTCCAACTTTGCGTAAAACTCCAAGTCCTACGACTTTACTTCTTGCTGAAGCTCTTGAATATGGAATACCACAGAACCAAGTTGTTCAAAGAACTCAAGCGACGAAGATAATTTCTGATCGACTTCGAAATACTCAAAAAGCAAAACAAACCACTCATCTATCTAACATATTACACATCGCCACTTTGGATCAGGTAGTACCTGATGAATCAGTTGAAGAACGTTGTTCAAATGTTCACAAAGAACTAGCACATCTCAGACACGCTGTTGAAGAGAACAATATTGTAATTGTTGAAGAGACGTTGATCACAATTGTAGAAACAATCTCAACGTGGTTGGAAACTATTGAATACAGAATAATCTTGAGTAGAGAGAATCCTAACGGTCCTAGTCACGATGATACAAAAACATTCGTTGAACTCAAGGATGAGATCAACCACGTTGAAGACAGCGTACAAGAACTGGATAGGATTTGGAAGGAAGTCGAGATGCAATATCCTGAAGAGGAACGTCACAGAATAAAGGAATGCGTGGACGCTTTAGAATATCAAGTAAGAGCAATTGAAGATGTCACCAGCGATGGTGAAAAGTATACAACTGCTGAATTAACAAGATGGGACGAATTTCTCAATGGAGTGAATAACGTTACAAGGTTGGTCGAAGAGCAACATAAACAACTGAACAACATAGTTGAAAGCGAAGCATCGACAGACTGGAAGCTTCAGGAGCTTGAAAAAATCGAGAACACCAATCGCTGTCATATGTGGAAGACAGGAAAGCTCGTGTCAGCTGCACGTGGTCTTCTGCGAGATTTCCCAGGCAAGTCAGTTCCAGAGGATCCTTATATTGCACACGAGATGACCAGGATCATCGAACACAACATTGGCATCGAGAGAGACCGTCTTCTCCAGTTATTGGCCCTGGCCGAGGAATACGAACAGACCCTGCAAGAATTTGCACAGATTACACAAATTGCTGAAAACCTTCTCGACAGTCCAATATCCGTAGTGAGCTTGGAACACTTACAAGAAGAGATGCAAAAGCATAGAAAGTTCTTCGTCAACCTGAGCCACTGCCGTGCAATTCTGGAATCCCTGGAGGGTAATCTGGATCCTGAAACAAGAGCTAAACATTCAGGTCTTCACAAAGAACTACATGGTCGTGCTACTTCCTTGCTCGATCAAGCAGCTTGTAGAGCTCAACAAATGGCATTGGCTGCCTCCAGATGGATACTTCTGGAACAGGGTGTCAAGGAAGAGAGAGGATGGCTGCAGGTTGCTCATCAACGCGTTCCGGATTTACAAACCGTCACGTCATCGGACTACAATCAATATATATCTCTCTATCAGGTAAATTATCTAAGAAATTTAATCAGCTGAATTAAAAAGTTTATGACTTAATGATTGTTTTTCTCCACTACAGTCATTATCCTCGGACATTGCCACCCATCATGCACGTCTCATTCAGCTGTTGAGTGTTGCTCGTGGTCTTCAGGAGTTGATAAACATTGAAGATCCGGAAGACCGTTACGGAGAAGCATTAGATGTTATTGTAAAGCTACAAGATAACGTGGAGTCCTCTCTAAGGAGGCTTCTCGCATTTCGAGAAAGCTGGGGCACCCAAGAACTCCTGGTGACACGTTTGGAAAATTGGATGGTGACAGCGGAACGAGAACTCGCTGCTGTACGTGATCCATCCGGTGGACATATGCGTCAATTCTGGGCAAGTATTACCATTTCTATTTCTCGCTTTCTTTCCAAAGTCCAACCAATAAAAAATCCGGGAATAACACCCTCCGCCATCATGCTCCCGGAATATCCGGGTCAGATTTTAAATTAGATCTGGCTTCGAGCCACGAACCAGTAGATATTTGAAGTGCTGTATTCTCGTAACAAACTCAGCTATACCAAATACATTTTTCGGCCACTTCAAAATCCACTGCTCCTAGAACCATACTTGAAATTGCATCACATAAGCCATTCGATGAGATCCAATTTCGTTACAGGAACTGAAGGCTCAATATGAAGTACATAACAACATACGTAACGAAGCGGACAACTACTTCGAGCAAGCCCTGAGAATAATTCCCTTATCCGACGAGATGTTACAAAGACAATTCCATGGCGAACTTCAAGATCGCTGGCACGTGATCACCGGGAAGATCAATGAGATCCAAGCGGCGGTTACCGAAAATATATCCTCCGAAGATGTGCCGGTCAACGAGAAGTTGAAGTTGCTCGAGAGGGAACTGAATGAACTTCGCGTGACGATAGACGAATTCCACGGGGTTCTGAAAACCGAGGAAGAGTTGGAACTGTACGTGGAAAGATTGTCGGTACTCTTCGAGCGCGTTTGCGTTATACAAGACGAGCTTGGAAGACTTGGACTGTTACCGGCAACCGAAAGTGAAAGGGTCGGGATCCTGCTCTCGTCTGCGAGACGCATAGAGAGTCAAATCGGCGAGGAACTGGACGCTGCGCAACTTCTTCGTGAGAGACTTCAGTCACTTCAGCGTGGACTAGCGCGAGTTCGTCGAGTTCATCAGAGACAAGCTTCCATCTTGGATCAGTGCGAGGGTAGCCAACATCAGGGCAGTGATATTGTGGCAGCAGCCGTTGATCGCTGTCAATCAGTTGCCGAAGAGCTGACCATTCTATGGCAAGATCTAATGGGCCTACGTCAGTTACTTCATACGTTACCTATGAGCATGAGAGTTTCCGTTTCTCCGGTTGGCGTCGAGCGGGATATTTCAAACCTTCAGGATGCTCACACAGAACTGGAGTCTCGTTGCGCACGACTATTGTCTGTGCTCCGAAATAGATTGGCTCTCTGGAGAAGATTCGAGAGGCAACTCGAGATGGTTCAGCAGTCTGTACAAGAAGCGGACTACATGATGGAACTGCTCACTGTTCAGGGTTCGGTGGATTACGAGAGATTGCTCAAAGCGACAGAACGACTGGAGGTGAGTGGTTACGATCAATTTAAAATAACAAATCATCCACAGGGATCAACCGCACAAAAACCTTGTAAATCATAAGCAAAGTCGTTTAAGAGCTATTCCTCAGTTTCTCATAAATATCAGTACATATCATGCAATACTAATTACGAGATGTAACAGGTACTCTTTAGTTTACTGTAAATATCAGTATCTATCACGCAACAGTAAACACAAGATGTACGCACCGCCTGCAATATTGTCAGTGAAACTACATTTTTATAGCCGTTCTGAAACGAAGTTCAATGTACCATATCGAGTTCTTGCACCGTTCATTCTAACTGTAACTTTACCATCAGTATTATTATAATACGGGTAATACCATCATAATTTTTGTAACAAACTATCTATTAAACTGTCAGAGCTAAAATGTTAAACGATCACAAAATTATTTATTAGTAATGTTCGTTATTTGATTCGATAAATTTTCATAGGGTCGATTACCGCATTATAAATTTGTGCTAGACACTGTACACTCCCTTTTCGAAAAGTCCGATTCGAATGAGCTCAAACGTGCACGTGCTACGAAAAGAAAACATGAAAAGCGATAAGAAACGAGCGGAGCTGGCTAAACGTGACTGTATTGCGCAGGCGTAGACGAACTCAAGAGAGTGAGAATGCAATCGGGCACGATATTATCATGCGTCTATCAGTTGAGCGCGAGCCGTGCGCTGAGTAATGTCGGGGTTGTAATAATAAAGGAGTGTTGGACAGGCAGTTTTCCGTATAAGTGTGAAGATCCTGTATTAAATTTGCGATACTAGACGTTCACTTAATAAACAAGTAGAATCGATAGTCCAACTAGTCTCAAAGTAATACAAATTGAGTTGACGGATGGAACCGTCAAGGTTTTCTCGTGCAGATGACATCATAAATGGGAATTCTTTACTGGATACGACACGGAATTAATAGCTTTGAGGTAATTATCTATCAGCTTCTTGGCAAATCAGTTACCTAGGAATCTCGAAAATCTTCATCTGCATGGTTATCTGGCTCGTTCACTTTCCTCAAAAACAGAACTCACGTACTCTTCCTCTTGCGAAATTCTCCTTCGCCTCGTTATCTCCCATGGTATTTCTACACTGGATTCACTTAGTTCACTAATTTCAATGGTATTTCCTTATTGAGATTGGGACATCGCGCGCCATAAATAAGCTGTCTACGAAATATCAGAATTCCGACGCGACTTCTCACGGTTTTTGAATCGCTGGCTCCATCTCGCGGCGTCAATTGCAAACCCAAACTCCTTTGAATATTGGAGACATCGACTGCCGCCAACAAAAATGATAGAAAAATAATATATAAAAGGAATTGTTTGATAGTTAGAGGTTTATAAACTATTTATGAACCATGCAGACCGGATGTAGGTACGTGCAGGTCGTACAGAAGAGTCATTGTATTTCGTGTACCGTGTGTGACGAGATATCTGAACATGACCATAAACGGTTACACATAAATACAATAGTCGTGCATCTGATCATTGCTGTGCAATGGTAATTTCTTTTTTCATTCATCTCACAAACTTTCCCTTCACCGATTACATTAGTGTTGAAACAGATGTGAAGTAGTGTACAAGGAAACCTGGAAAATGTTACGGCAATATTTTTGAACAGTACGATTGCGCGCTAAGTCCTAAAGGCACCTATTTGCTTTTCCTCTGCGCGCCAAATATCATAAATATTCCTGACGTGTCTTGTTATTTCTATTTGCCACGCATATCTTGCATGCTGTTAACCCAAAGGCCAAATTTCGTTAGTTTATTTTTTTCAAGATCGACTTGACGCGTTTTGTAATGCTGGGTGTCCTCTATAAATGAGACGAGAGTCTCTTAGAAATCCTACTTACGTAAAGTACAGACGTGTCTTTTGTCAGGTTTACAAATATCCATAAAATAGTATTCGGTTCACTCGTACTTATTTCATAATGAAACATATAACTTATCTGGATCAAAAGTTTATTACATAAATGTGTGCATCGCTAACAATACATCTTGAGTTTGTCTAGCATAAATGCGCATTTTTTCCTCAGACTCGAACGTTTGTGTGGGTTTAGTGCGCCAGCTGGTAATCTAGTTAGCATTAATTATTGGCGATGACACAATAAGTTAATCTTCTACGCCATATACCGCATAGTATGTACGTACTGCTTGTAAGCGATACCACGTGCCAGAGACTCCGTGCCGGTTATACAAAATTTTTAAATTCCCGCCTCAGTCTTGAACAATAAATTCTGCCTGCTACACATGTTCTTGTATACGCAGTGCTTTGTTTCTTATAGTTACATCGCGTGTCGGGAGTGCCCTGCAATTACGAATTAAGTGTCACTTTAGATGTGTCAACAACTGCAATCTCGTGCGTCGCCACTTCCACACAGTCTTCCACTTCCTGTTACAAGTTTTATCGCGATTCCGGTCTTGTTAAGTTTTTTTTTCCAAATATCTCCACAATCCTATGTAATGGGTAAATCGGTACAGTCTTTTGCGAAAATAATTATATTATTCGAATATTAAAAGTAAAGGAATTTTTTAATTACCATTAAATTTTTATTCAATTCATTCCATACACACGCTAACAAGATCTGTACGATCCGTGCTTTATTATACTTGATGATATATGTATGTAATCCCTATTTTTATATGTACCGATAAATCTCATTAATTAACTTAATCGTTTACACAGCTTAATCTATTCTTCAATTTTTGTTTGTCGCACGTTAACCACGATTCGAAAAGTCTCGTGATGCTGAAACCGATCTTAGCTTGCAGAATCGTTACGTCCTACAAGTATTGATTCGTTCGGTCGTAGGAAGGCTTTTTGGGAGCGGCTTGAAAATGAAGACAGGGTAATGAACCCGACATAAAATTAGTTCAACACGCTCTGACCGAATTCAAGCTCCACGACGGAAACGTGTGTATCTCATGCCGGTGTAATATTTATAGACAGTTTTGGCGTCCTGCTCAAAATTTGTTCTTGAAAGTTCATCAACAGAAATTATTTTTCAATATTAATAAAAAAGATATTTCAAATAATATAAAACGTAATAAATCAGTCCCTTAGACACAAATTTAATCCTAAAATTGCTTACTACAAGAAACACACTAATTACTCGAATGACTGTAAAAGGCGGCATTTGAACGCTTGTACCTATAAAAATAAAATTTTTCAATACTACGAAGATAAAAATAACATTGAATAGTAGACATAATACGATGACTAAAATTGACAAACATATAATCACCGTGAGATAAAGTGGGGATAATCCACAGGAGTGAGTAGTACCTTGAGTAGTTAGTAAGCTTTTGAACATGTGCTAATTGAATATTCCTTTCGGGTGTTTAACGATAATGAAATTCCGAAACGTATTTTTTTCAGGGTCTCAGTGGCGATTTGGGCGCTCGCGAAGTTCTAATCGACGAGCTTCGTGCCGTTGCTGAACCTTTGCGGGAGAGTTGCGCCGCCGAGGTCGGAGAACGTGTAGACGCAGCTGTAAATGAAGCTGTCCAGGCTTGGGAGGATACTAAAGCCGAATTGGACGCCCTTTGCAATAAGTATCAGCACGCTGTGAGACTCTGGCAACAATATAGGGACGCGACTGCAGCGGTGAACGCCTGGGTCGACACACAAATGGGCAGCGTGACTAATCTGCCCCCTGAAGAAGCCCAGAAACAGGTCAAGGTGAGTTCTAATTTTTTTTTATTAATACAAAACTAGGTCAAAATTTATTATGAAATATCTTTTAAAAATACGCGTAGTGTAAAAAAGTTTTTACAACGAGGTTACAATTTGAAAATAACTGCCAACGGTTCTTTTTTAACTGACGTTTCAAACGGTTTGGGATAAAACGTTGGTCTAAATTGAAAAGTTGTTTGTTTTTCTTTTCGTTACCGATGCCACTATACATGGAAAGTTTACGAGAAGCGAAAAGGAGTGTCGGAGAATTCTGGGAAAACTCGTAACAGCCTTATTTCTTTTTTTAAATTGCTCTAGGAGGTACTGGCCCATGACAGTGGTGCGTTTCTGTATTGAAATGTTACTCTAAAGGGCAAACCTAAATATTTTACTACAAAGGTATAACTGTATCAGATTGACTTTTCGAAAATAGTTGCTAACTTGGGTGACGTCAAGCAATAATTGGTTTCCGGTATTACTGATTCATGAAGCAGTTCAGTGCTTAAGCTATATATATACAATTTCTTCGTAGACATATCAGCACAGAATTTATACTTCAAAATATATTAGTCATCTACCTATAAAATGACTTCCCAGTTTCCTAGCCACTCCATGTGGTAAACAACTATATGCCTTATGTGGTTTATATATATGAATGAGTTAATTAATTAAAAACGTTGAATACAAGGCTGTATCATTGCCATCAGTTTTCACATGAAATTAAGGATATTTCAATCTGCCATAAGTTAAGCACATGGTACTTTTGAGAATGATCTATCACGTAGGCGATTACATAAAAGATTAAGTAATTAGGTTCTTATCAAAGATTCGCTTGATAAACAAATTTTTGAACCACTGTTACCATTATGATTAATAAATGCAAAAATACTATTTAACATCGTGCAATAAACTCCACAGGTAACATCTATGCTCGTTAGAGATAATAATTTTTGAATTTTTATTCTCCTTTATGATAATTATTATAATACGTCAATGATGCTGACCATGTTTCAAGAACATTGAGATTTACTTCGACTGAGGTGAATCTTCTTAAAATCACAACACGTTAGATTCGTATCTCGATGGCGTAACGAGTTTCCCTCGTTGGTCGCTTAATTAACTGATTACACGTAAATTTCTCCCGAAACAATGAAATCGTATAATGGACTGTGTAAGGCGCTGTGAAATAATTATTCATAGCGCTTAAGATCGTTAAGTAGCGGAAAGGAGTAGCGTTTATAATGAAGAAAAAATTTGAAGTTACTGAAAAAAAAAAATAATTGAAAGATTTTGCAAGATATTCAAATTAATTATTATTTCTAACTCAGTAATTTTTCGAAAATTTTTTTATTCCCTGTACGACTCTAAATTTTCAATAGACCCTTTCAACAATCTTCTAAACACATGACGCGCGTGACCTAATAATATAACTGGTTCTCTGCGTGACACATTATCACAGCGAACGTCAAGACGTAAACATCTGCCCGTATGCTGACATCTGACCGTTTAATTTGCGAAGAGTTAAATTCGATAAGAGCGCTATCTGTCGTGTAGTAGAAAAATTAAGCATCCACGAGAAAAATAAAATGCATTCGAGAATTATTAAATTTAAGTGTTTACTACGTAATATACTATATAGATATAGGTTATCTGTAAAATATTCGTCACTCCACAGAAGGCTCTGTGGACAAAGGGTCGAGATAATCCCTTAACGGTATCTGTATATGCAGTGGGTGCAGAACAACCCCCTTAGTCGGAGTTCCCCAAAACTCATGGGTTCCCATTCGCCGGGGGGGATGAATGCTGTATTGAATGAACGGATTGGGGTAGGACTTTACCCTCGCATGAAAATAAGGGCTGCTGGCCTTGCGTTGGAAAATATAACGCAAGGGACTAGAGAGGACTAGTCGCATCGATCCTCACAGACGCCAGTCTGGTCCAGGGCGTCGCGACGCCTGCTTCTTCCACGCCTTCGTGCTTAACCGTACAGTCGCAGACGTTGATGGAAATAAATATTTTCACGTGATACTTGCAAAAATCTTTTTTTTTAATATTTCGTGTTTACACTGTGTTCTTTGTTGAGGTACTATTTTTTGTGGGATACTTTGTCAAAAAATTCACGGACTTCACTTTCTCAAGGCTACACGTGTGTTTCTCTGTAAGAGTGCGACAAGATATTCACACGTTGGCGACAAGCTGTGCGCCGCAGATGGTTGAGAAAATTTGGTCGGAGCCATGTGCTCACTGTCAGTCGGTTGTCAAAGTAACTTTGAGACACGAAATGATAAGTTATTAAAAAGTGAAACCTAATTATCACGATAATATATATATATATATATATATAGGAAATGTGTACTCCGCAGGAATTAAAGGTACGCTGTTTCGTGGCGTGAGTTTTTAGTATTTTTTTTTCTTAACGATATATCAATATGGAACATTGAGCAATGATATTATTTTTTTTTAATAGGAAGCAATCTTGAGTCTTGCGATTGCTTCGTATCGTTCGATGAGAATAAAACTATAATTAGATTAATGCACGCGGTCAAATATTATCGAAGAGTCCGTTTTTAGTAATCGAGACTTCGTTCGCTCTAGGGAATTACGAAAAATTCATTTTGCCCGTGTTAAAGCGATTTACGCTGATCGGTGAGAATTGGATTCTTTTTGTCTTGTCGTAAGGATACCAATACGTACTGGTTAATAATAGCATTCCGAAAATAACGTCAAGACTAGTTTGTGCCCGTGGTTTTCTTGGACAGAATTTTCAAAGAAAAAAAAAGGAAATCAAAGTTGTCGTGCGATTTTGAGTTTTATTGTTGGTGAATTTTTTTACCTTCGTTCATACTTATTTTTACAAGTGGCTCGTGCAAATTGTGATATTTATTCGGCGATTTATAGTTTTAGGATTCACTTGACTAATTCTCTTGACAGGTTTTTTTTTATCAAACTATCCGAGCACTATATACAATACTCTGTACTGAGCAATGCACTGGAGATCTTGAAGGTTATCTGTGTATTTCCGTATGTTTACACGTGTAAATCGTGCATTTATGCACAACGCGATAAGCAATGACGAAAGTTCTCGAAATTCAACGATTATATACGTAACATTCCTGCCAAACAGTGTAACGGTCCGAGCATGAAAATTTATATTTGGAAAAAAAAATTAAATTATTAAAGGCTCATTGCTTGGTATTATCAGTGATGCATGTTGTCTCTTTTCTCCAATATAAAATTATCTACGAATTAATTGTCTATGAGCGTTTTAATAGAAATTCATATTTCTCGGCTAAAATAAAATAAAAGACCGTTAAGGTCAATACGATGCAAACGGAGCGCATAACATTCTTTATGGGTGATACTGTGCTCTGAATAGACAAGGGAACTTTGTGGGGATCTATAAATACCATCAGGATATTATAAACACATGCAATGTACCGAGTAACTTCAGCCATAAGGTTGGCACCATAGTCACCATAGTTTCACCATTAAGCGTTACCCAGTCTAATAGTAAAAAGCCGTTGGATTTTTGAAATCTGTAATAAAACATATTTTACTTAGGCAATCCGATTCGTCCCATTACTTACCCTGCTCTAACTCTTTTTAGATTTGTGAAGAGACGCTGGCGGAACACAAGGAAAGGTTAGCTGAGCTGCAAGGTCTGGTAGCGCAAATTGCTTCGGACGTCGGCCTGGAAGCTGGTGGACCTTTACACTGCGAGGTCGAGGCTCTTGGAAGACGTCTTGAGGATGTTCGTGAGACGTTATCGACCCTGGCAGACACTGCCGATGCAAGAGCACTCAATCAAGAATTGGCTCGTAGTAATCTCTGCCAGACGAAGAACTTCCTGGACTCCGTTCAGCAGGTTTGTCTAACATTAATTTTCTGTAAGTTTAATCAACGAAAATTTACTAACATTGCAGAAGGAGAATAACGATCGATTAGCTAACGCTGTTACCTTTGAAATAGGACCAAGGGATTCGTGAAGGGTTGCCGTTTAGATTTTACGAAATCTCAAGGAAAACAGGAGAATCTATTAGTCATAGCACCTTGCAGAATTGTGCTGGTGGCGAACGATGCTTCTTGGCGCGCTCATGGTGCTTGGCACAACTCAATCATCCTCGCACGCGCTTATATTTTAATTGTAGTTTCGAAACAATTTGTTATGTCAAGGTCGAAGGTCTCGCCGAGTAGCAATTACATCAGTCACGAAATCCGCAACAGCTGAATGGCTCGCCAGGCTCGCGTACTTGGGTAAACTTTCGAAGTCGAGGGGCCCGATGGAAGGATGCCGAGAAGGAGAACGAGGATGCGATAGATGCGGAAGTGAGAACAAGGGAAGGGAAACCTAGGGAATTTCAAATAGAATTTACGAGTATTGCTGGAGGCGTTACGTATGGCATTGCTGGGTGTACTGATTGTAGATAGTACCACGATTAGGCTCATAATTGATTGCAGCTTATCGAGGCATTTCAGATCGCCATTTAAAATTCGCTTAATGTACACTCCTCGAGAAAGGAATTAACCATTCTTGAGATTCCAATCTAAATATTACCTTATACTCGATGTATTGTATAAGCACTTAAAATGTTAAGTACAATTTCATTTTATCATACGATATAAATATAATATCTTGTATAAATTAGTATTATCAAACTTCGTAGTAGTTTAGTTTACACTTTTTGACTATTGTTTTCTATTGTATCTTACAGAGTATCGCTGCGGTTGGACAGGGCGAGTCTAAGGAGCAATTAAAACTCTTGCGAAATCATCTACTCGCGTTAACCAGGACGGAACCGCAACTTCAGTCCATCAAGGATCGTCCTTTGGAGACATCTCAAGATCCATCCGTAGTGGAAGTACTTCAGTTATGGCAAAAAGTCTTCAGGGAAACTTTTCAGCAGTATCACAGATTATCAGCACGCTTAGTCAGGTCGCAGGATGTTGCAGCTGCACTTCGTTTATGGCAGGAGTATCTTGCTCATGTCCAGGAGTTCCTTTCCAGTGGGGTACCAGGCGATTATAGCGGTCTTGCCGAGCACAGACATCTTTGTGAAGTTCACAAAAACCTCTTGACTGATCAACAGAATCTCATTCTAACAGTCAGAGCTGAGGAAGGTCGAGACCTTTCTGTAACAGAGCAATTTAATGCGTTAACGAATCTTCACAATGAGACCCTGGCAAAGATCATGGAAAGACATGCAGCAGTTAGGGACAGATTGTCATCATGGGATAAGTACAGACTAGACCAGAGCAAACTTCTGGCCTGGCTGAAGGACACTGAACGAGAGAGAAGCAGATTGCAACTCAGATTCATACATTTGCGAAGATTAGATAAGGTCCTTCAGAGGATTCAGGCTCTTCTTGATAAACTACCCAGTGGTGAAGCTCAGGCGGAATCCTTGTTGACTCTACAGGAATCTCTTCTGATTGAATGTGACGAGGCACTTGCAGTCTCCATACGTATGGAATATGCAGCCAATATTCAACGCATTGCTAATCTACGTGCAAGTCTTGAAACATGGAAGGACTTTATTCTAAGGATACGTGGACTAAACGAACGACACGTGGAACAAACTGCCAAAATAGCGGATACCTTCCAGGATGTCAGTCAGATACTGAGCACTGCCTTCCATGCGACACCTGGAAGCCTTGCACAGACACGACAACAGTTGGACTCCCTTCAGCAGTTGAGAGCTAGATTGATTGATGCTTCTACGCAGCTCGAGGCTACTGGTGTTACCACAGAACAACTAAGAGAATGTCTCAGCCCATCGGATATGAAGGCATTGAATCAACACAGTGCTCTTCTTTGGCAACGACATGGTGATCTGGAACACCAATTGGCTCTCCTCGCTTATAAATTGGGTGAGCGCTGTGGACTTCATGGTCGTTGGGAGAATAGACGTAATCGATTAATTGTTTGGATGGACGATGCTGAGGCTAGAATTAATAATTGCGACACGATGGCTCTGGATGAACCCGAGGAAGCACTCAAACGATTGGAAAGTGAGTTGCAGGCTGAAATGGCTTTGAAACAAAGAGAATTAGAATGGCTGCAGAATACCGGTCAGAATCTGATAGACGTGGCGGATGAACCTGAAAAAGAGAAGCTACAACAATCTTTGGATGAAGTAAACGAAAGATGGAGCCGGTTACTAAATATGGGTAAGGCTAGAGCTAATAAAGTAGTTGATCTCATGCAGACTATGAACACCCTTGAGATCAGAATAGCTGAGATAAGAGCGTGGCTAACCGGAGTAGAAGCACAATTGGCGGAACCGTTCATCATAGAAAAAGGAAATCAAAGTTCTATTGATAAAAAACTTCAAGACCACGAATGTCTTCAGAAGACTATTGAGTCTGAGAGTGGTAACATTGGTGAGGTGCTGAACCTTTGTGAAATACTTTTGAGTGATTGTGACGCTTGGAAAACGTCATTCAATACGGATGGCATTAAATCCGGAATGGAGGGATTGGAGCGTCGATGGAAGACAACTTGTGTAAAATCAGCAGAGCGCAAACGAAAAATCATGGTGGCGTGGAAGTTGCTGCAGGAACTTGAGAAAATAAAAAACGAGCAGGAATCCTGGTTGGTGCAAACAGAAGAGAGATTAAAATTCTTAGAGAGTAATCTTGATGAGTCATCAAAAGATGAATCTCAGAAGGCTTTGGAGAAGATAAAAGAATTGTTGGATGACATAGAGGCGCGTGATTTTGCCTTACAAATATTCGAGCAAAGTTACAGTCGCTTAGCGAAAGGAGGCTTGGAACCTGAGAACTTAAAATCACTCACAGCTGATATACGAAAAGTAATTGACAGATGGAATGCCCTTAAATCCAGAGCCAATAATATACTCTTTGCACTTCAAAGAGATCAGAAGACATACCGGAGGTTTATATCAGCTCATGGTGCAGCTGTGGTAGGCTTAACCCAGGTTGACGTATCTCTAACTAAACTTCAACATCTCGCGACACCTGAGCAGAAAGCTTCACCGCGAAAAAGGCTGCAACAACTGGCAGAAATTGAAAAGGAATTAGTAACTCAGAGTACCATTCTTGAAGCAGCGGATAAGTTGGCTCTTCGTGTAATGCAAGAGAGTCATCCAGATGATGTAGACGCAATTCAGGAACTAGTGGATGAGTATCAAAAACTATGGGAAGATATAAAGACTCGGGTTGCGAATCTACGTACCCAGATGGAAGCACAGGAGAGAACCGAAGTTGATGAAGCTGTTCAGGTTGAAACACTGAAATTCGAACAGGACACTGCTGTACAGGTGGACACTCTTCCGAGAATAATCAGGATGACATCACGAGATGCGTATTTAATGGAATTGGAAGCTGCACTTCGAGAATGTCGAGGTGCTCTTGATACTCTCGAAAATGCTATTACTCCAGATCCTTCACCTGGTCCAGGACTTAATACAGCAGCCAAGACAATTGTAAATATTTAATTAATAAACAAATACAATTTTATGAGAATTACTGTTCTCTAAACATATAAATTGTAACTTCCAGGCCAAGTTAATTGGAAGTTGTCAATCCACGGTGGAGCTAGTCAGGCATTTACATGGTCTTCTAATCGGAGATGGAAAGCTCAGCGAGGAGGCTGCTAAAGGTGCTGAAGTAACTGCTCTTTCTGCACGATACGAGGCTTTGTTAGTACGAGCTCGTGCTCGAGAACAGCAAATCCGGGAACTGAGGTAAAGCTTCTTAAGAAGCATAATATAGTATGTTATAGAAATAATATATTTATAATCTGGTTATGGTAACTATACGATTAATATTACGATTAACATTACCAATGCTTCATAACACTATCGGTTTTTGCTTTTATTAACTCTTCTCCGATCTTCATCTGCAGGTTACCTCTTGCAGACGCTTATTCTTTCCCATGCGAACAGTAAGTTTCTCTCTATCTCTTTCTTCATCATTGTATACTAACATATACTGACGCTTTTTGCAAAGGAAATTAGTTTTCTGAAAATTAATCTAATCCTTTAAATTAAGATATCATTGACTACTAAATGCTACATTTTAAATCTGTACTTAAATAGCGATGGTGGAAGACTGACATGCCCGTTGTGTTCCCGTCGAAATTGGGCTCAACTGGACAATGATCTCTGGCGATTAGAAAAATGGCTGGAGCTTGCTGAAGGTACTCAGAGCGAACAACATGTCCCACCGAATGATATTGAACAACTGGAGGATGTAATACAAGATCATCGGGAGTTCCTTCTGAACCTAGACAGTCACAAGAGTATTGTTGTCAGTCTTAATATAGTCGGTACTCATTTGGCTGATCATACTGAAGACACGGATCGTGCTGATGAACTACGTGACAGATTAGCCACAGCTAATACAAGATGGGATAAAGTTTGTCAAGCAGCAGCCAAATGGCAGACTTCACTTCAACTTGCTCTAATGGGAAATCAACAATTTCATCGTATCATAGAGGAATTGTTAGCCTGGCTGGCACGAACTGAAATTTCAATCAGAGCTAGTGAACCTATTGACTTGACAGAAGACACTAACATTATTCAAACAAAATACAATAAATTCAGGTAAACAAATTTGGAATATCTGATGATCATGTATTGGATTATATGTATACTCATTGGGGTTCTTCTCGCATTTTCAGAGAGCTACGCAGTGACCTGGAGCGATGTGAACCTCGTGTCCTGTCCCTTCAGGAATCTGCCAATCACTTGTTAGAGGAACATGGCGAGACACGAGAGCGACTTCAAGAACTGAGATTAAGATTGCAATCGTTACGTAGGCTTACTGGTATTTATGCAATTAAGTTGGGTGCTGTGCTTGGATTGGATCCACAGGATGTTGGTCTTGCAGCTACGACTTCGTCTCTTGCTTCTCTATCTCGTGATGTAAGCATTATTATTATCTACAAATCAATCGATTGCTTATTATAAGGTCCCATTACTTGAATCAGCTTTGCAAGTGATTAAAGGCAATATAACTACAAAGTTGTTAGAACACATGAAGCCATTGCTTTCGATTGAAAAAATTTTGTTACGAAGTAGTGTGACAACAGGAGGAATAATTGCTTTCAGGTCACAGGGGAGATAAATGAACAGTCCTTTCGTATTTACATTTGTGATATTACTGTAGGTTATTGCACAATTAGTAGAACCACATGGTTTCGGTATCTCGAAATCTTAGTCGAATGAATTTCCAGTGACAGGAGACGATATACTAAATAATTTCTCTACCTCTCACTGGAATTTCATTTTAAATGTAATTGCTGTAGATACCTCTCACTTGCACAGTACCTTATTGTTTGTGTTTTCTCTTTTGTTAAATTGTAGCTGCTCGACGATGCTGCCTCTGGAAGTGCTCAACCCCACGACACAGATGCCACAGAGTATGTTTTCACTTACCCTGTATAATCCAAATGATTAATATGCAACTTATTATATATAATAGACCAAATTTCTTAATCCATTTCTATAAACAATACACTCACCTGAAAGATTTGGTCAACTATAATAAGAAATATTTAATCATATGACATCGTGTATAAATGTTTCAGTGGTGACGAAAGAGATCGGACGGTGTTGGTGCGAGGATATCGATTCTTGGGAAGAGTTTTACGTGCTTCTCTACCTATCCAAGCACTGATGCTGTTACTGCTCGGTGTTGCTTCGTTAGTTCCCTCAGCAGAAGAAGATTACAGTTGCATGCTCTCTAACAATCTTGCAAGGAGTTTTACTCCAGTAGTCGACTATTCTAATGGACCCCCGCCATTGTAACAGTAATGGTGAACAAATGACTTCCTTTGCAATGCCAGTTCGTATAATTTTAATTAAACAAACAACAGAAACGGAACAATAGCGAAACAATCCTTTTAAAAAGACTCTTATATCTTAATGAACAGACAGAATTTATATTCCCCAAGGAAAGTAAGATATTGACGTATTGTCTCAACAATTTCTTCGTAATATTATAATAGTCTTCGCAATTCCAAGTCACTTTATAAATGTATGCCGATCAACTTGACTAATTACTATCAGGGATTGTTTAGCCGATCGTACCATTTCTTTTTTCAAAAACAAGTGTTACAACAATTGTCTAGATAGAGTACGTAGTAATTTTACACGAAGAATTTGTACATAAGTAATGTAATGGACCAATACGGTTGGAAAGAAAAGCGTAACGATTAGCGATGGCATTCTTAATTTATTAAATTTTGTTTTTCTTTTGTACATTGTAATCACCGTGCAATATCACAATGCATACAGCATTCTTGAGAGCGGAATCTTAACGAGGCGAGAGATCATAAATTGATACTTCATAACATGACGCATTATATTCCTATTTCCAATAATGAAGACAGAATGGTAAGTTCGGCTACCAAAATACACAGTGTGTGATTAAGAGACAAGGCTGACACACAGACTTTGATGGAACTGATTATTAAAAATGACTGAAAACAAATTATGATCGAGGATAATAACGTTTGAAAAATTGCAAAATCAAGATGAAAGTTTAATCCTCAGCTGCTATTTCTGTTACACTGCATTCGGTGTAAAGTTTGTCACCTCTTGGACGAGATTATGCTTTTCCAATAACAAAAAAAAAAGACAACTACTTCCTGGTGGAAAGCATAGAAGAGTCGTCTGATAGTGTAAAAAACAAATTCAACCTTGATATACCGACATATTACTTATATGCATTATTGTAAGCGTTAATCCCATTACGCATGTATTCCTACTGTACGCAAACATTCATACTAGAGGGGAACAAAGGATACTCGTCTAACTTTATTTTTTTAATTCTTTAGTTTATACAATAGCGTCCTTTTGAATTCTACTGTGGGGAGTGGAACACCCATAGTTGGATTCAGAATTTCGCAGATAGATTCAATGGTGCTATTCCAATTGCAGTCGACTCTAATGAGAGAGTTTACAAATAATTACGTCGCGATCACTTATCGTTGCAAAGTCAAATATTGTAGATATTTTAATTTCTACTTACGACTATGTACAACTACGTACGAATCGCCTGATGGTTTCTTAAACGATGTTGCTGTCCGCCGAGAATACAATGAAAATGAAATATTGTTTTGAAACACGAAATACGAAGAGGTGAAACGAAATTATAGGAATGAAAAAAAAACTAAAACGCACAGATTAACAAAAGTTAATTCGTTGCGTGCGAATACTTACCGGGCATATACCCACAACTAGTTACGCTTTCTAATTTACAAATTTTTTGCTTATTGCACATTGAGCTTTGTTATGTATTTTTATAAAGAAAGAGCTTATAAGGTGGTGTATATCTATCGATATTATAATATATTGCAATGAACACAATTAAATACAATGCAGTTATTAAAAGTCTCATTTCCATACTTCCAAATCCGCATTCTCTTCTTACCTTTAAAATACTTTAGTGGACATTAAAAAAAAATTATTGTTTCCAAGAATATTTCTTATATTTTCAAATAAACAAAACGATTTATAAATGATACATTTTATGTTGGATATCGGATTGCTGAGAATTATATACAGACCTTTTATTCCCATTTATATATTACTTTTTCAGAAATACTGTAGTTCTGGATTAGTACCAAATAATCGGCATTACGGAAAAACGGTGAAAATGTTATCAATCGAACTTTCAGATATTCGTGATTATTTCGCTATACTTTGTTGTTTTGAGAACTTAAAGCAAGAGGATTCATTAGTTTTCCTTTTAATAATAACTTCCTTATATATACCAAATCACGCTTGCACTTGAAGATTTTATATAAATGATGATTCATAATAATATACAATTCGCGCACATCCATTTATCTATACATATTTATAAATGTTACGACTCTGTGAAAGCCGTTAATTGCTCGGAATATTCAAGATATAATCTTTGCCATCGAAGATGTCCACCAATAACCCCAAGTACGTCTCCCAATAGTTTATGCTTCCGCATACCCTGATAACAATTGAAGAGATAGTAAAAAAAATATCAATCCATAAAGAAAAAATTTCTTTAAACTTACCAAGATCATAGGTTCCCAGGTACTTTTTGATACAGATCCATGACTCGGTCCCATAAGATCATCCAGGATCAGTCTTAATCGTTCCTCCAAGCCATCTACCAGTGAAACACGCAGTTCCTCAATAAGATACAATTTTTTCCAGGACACAAAACATAACAAGTTCATAAAATAAGCATACCTTGCGTTAGCAAAAACGACACTAGGGCCATCAGCCAGTGGACGTATTCTTGAGAGCTTCCAAGAGCTTTGGAAGCAAGTAACTGTTGTTCCAAATAGGAAACTATACTTGAAGAATTATTCGGCAGTCTCGGATTGGGCAGGCTACTTCCTGCAGTTCTGTGTAAGGCTTCCTGCAACGAGGATAGAGGTCCACGAGGTGCACTACTTCCGGCAGTCGTGGAAGCTGCTTGAGAAGACCATCGCCAAACAGGATCCTGATTGTCACCAATGAGTACCCAAGTACCTGAAAACATTATGATTAAGATCCATTATAATTAAACACGTTGATAAAAATTCAAAGCTATGTGACAACTCATTGACGTCTTACCCATTTCCTTGTGATATATGTATGCCCGTGCATTCGTGAAAGCTAAGTGTGGCATTCCGTTATAAAGTGTACAGGATACTAGGGACGTTCCTGGCGCTGCAAGATGACTCGCAGAGGTGGAAACAATTAAACGACACGAGGTTCCTATTTCCCAAACTCGTACAGCACCACAACTTGAAATGACCATTACCTGGTGAGACAAGGACAAAGGATAGAAGAGGGTGCATGCACTGTTAAACGAGTATACTACCGAGATATGATTAGGTATTCTTATCTACAATTAAAATACTGAAGCCTCACCACATTCCCGACAGCGTGAAGCTTTGCCAAAGGTGCTGGAGGTGCTAGTGGAGGAGCTGGTCGTGACCCCTTGGCAGGATGAAATGTATGAATACTTCCATCTTCTAAACCCAAAACAATGACAGCTGGCGAAGCGGCCAGAGCCACAGCACTATATCCCAAGTACAGATCCCAAGTGGGTTCGGAATCGGTTCCACGAAACACTTGAAGATGAGCAAAGCCTCGCGAGTTCGTAACAGTTACGGCGTAGTGACCAGCTTGTTGAGATAGAGAACTCGATGGTTTTAATGAAGGAAGTACCAGATGATTTCTTTCGGACACGAACTTTGGTTTTTTATTCTGTGAGGAGTGATGTAGCTTAGGTGTCGTTTGTTCTCGTCGCTTTAATGTAAGCGCCGGTGTTGGTGTTCCTTGAAGGGATGAATTTACTGCAGAACTGACATTTGGAGTAACGACATCGTCCCGTTTTTCTACGACGATCGTACTTTTGCTTTGTGACGTACTCGTGAATGTTGGCGGTCCTACACCCCCTCCTGTAGAAGTATCCCTGAAAATAAATTATGTTTTTTTATAGAAATCTTTAGGTTAATACTGTCGCCGGTGAATTAGTAGCTAGTTACATTGTATCAGGTGGCGGTGGTATGAACATAGGAGTAATGCGTCTTCTGCCATCTGAAGTCCTGGTCTCGATTTGCTTGTTAATAGGACCTTTGACTGGTGTATTAGATGTGGAGGATGGTGGCGGTATTGAATTTGGAATAGACTGGGCAACGGGTGGTAGCGTTGGAGGTGCTGGAAGTTTTAAATTGAGTAGTTCAGGTGCTTCTACAACCATACAACCACCCTGGACCAATGGTTTTCCATAGAGTCGTTCATGAAGAATACTCTGGAATTGTAACAACAGGTGATTTTAATCTATGAAAAATTTAGTAGGATGTTTGAACACAGTCGACTTACCTGTTCTGCAGGATCCAAGGGCTGGCCAAGTTCCTGCTGCGTGAATTCAATCATAGCCACTGTACCATCTTTTGAACAAGCAGCTAAACATAATCCACAGGGTGACCAGCTAGCATCCAGGACAGAATGCGTGAATAACTCGTGAATGACCACCAAGGGTCTTTTAAGCGAAGTCAGCCATACCGAGAGAGACCGATCACGCGATCCTATTGCAACACAACAATATTGTTGCGGCTTAGATGTACCTGGTTGTTTCTTTTGTAGAATGTTGCCATTGAATCTCTGAAACGTTTGAATGAGCAAGGTTTTTCGAACGTAAATATTCATGTGAATTCGCGAAAAGTGGTTCGCGATTCACAATCGTAATACCTAGCAAATTGCGTGGAATGCAAGTATGAAAAAGTCGGGCAATAGAAGTCCATGCAGCCATTATTATCCTGACCGCTGATTAAAAGGGAAACGTGCAGGTTACTAATAGCAGCGGTTAATTATTTTAGAAGAAGTTTGCGTACAACACATGTAACGGCTTTTCTATGTCCAACGAAATCCTTATCTTGCGTCCATCCATCCCTTTCGATGATCTGAGCTGTAGGTCCTCCACCGTTCATAGCATGAGCAGATACTAAATATTGTCCATCTGGGCTCCAGGAAAGTCGTAGAACATGAGTTGTACCTCCACATTCGTCGAAGGGTTCTGTTATTAATACTTCTTCTGCCCAGTCTGAAGTTCTCCATACTCTCAAGGTTTTGTCATCTGATTGCGAGGCTAGATACTTTCCCACAGGATCCCACGTGATCCCTTTCACAAGGCCTGTGTGTCCTTTGAGTACAGCCACAATTACTGGGAAATTTGAAGCATCCCAAATAATAACACTGTTATCAACTGAAGCTGAAGCAAGCCATGGACTGTGTGGAGCCCACGCAAGGTCCAAAATATCCCCTTCATGGGATCTTAAAGTGGAAATACAGCGCCATGTTTCAACACTAGCTTTTCCACCAAAAATGGAACTACCACCAGCACCTCCTACTAATCTCCATATCATAATCAACTTATCATCACCACCTGATGCCAAAAGGCCACTGGTGCTCCATCGAACACAATTCACACACGCTGTAAATATTAGCATACATTAATGATATATCAACCATTCTTGATTTCAATAGAGTTGTTCTACGATATAACCTATTTACTTACCAAGGTGGTTATCCAATTGACACAACATTTTTGGAATATTTTGATCTACTTCAGCAGTTTCATTGAATACCGGTTCCATGTTCCATATTACTACTCTACCGGAATCACCTCCTATAAACAAAAATAAACATAAAATATACAAAGTACCAATTATATTTTCAATCAAAAGGATAATACTAAACCACAAACCTTGCCCACCAGTAGCAAATCGTTTTCCATTAGGATGAATATCCACAGAAAATATTGGATAATCTGTACAAGAGAAAGAAATGCATACATTTTTTTAATAAAATAAAGAAATGCTTTATTAAAACATGAATACCTACCATCATGAGTAACCCAATTTGGTTTCACTAGCTTCATTTTTAATATATTTAATATGTTACGAAATACTTTAGTTATTCTATACCAATTGCGACAAGCCACATGACGGATATACAATCAAATACAGATCAAAAAGTCGAATAACATAGAGCAACACAAAACGACAATTTTTTGAACCCGGCGTCAATCGACCATCTATGAAACTATGAATACGAAAAAATAAAGATAAAGGTATAACGCATAGGTAGCAGAGATAAGTAGGGAGATGCACAACGCTACGATTTTCGGCGATACTAAAATCATGGCGCCAAATCATAGCGGCGAGTCCGGAAGTAGGACATTGTGATCAGAGATGAGTAGGGAGATTGCCAATGAGCCTGTTTTTGGTGAAGGCAATTTTTCTCTGGTTTCGGCGCGCCACCTTAGCGGAGGGCCCTCGAAGCAGTTCCACGTTTTTGATTGGTCGTGTATATATAGTAATACTACGCGTGATAATCTGGAGCTGTGTTTTGGCGCGTCGACGCGCCACCTGAACGAGACTCTCGAACTAGTTCCACGTTTTTGATTGGTCGAATGAATTCGTGAGTTCCTCGAGATCCGCGACTTTAAACCGGGTGAACACTCAAATAGGGAGACTTGAATCCACCCTTTCTTACTGCATATTACATAAACCGTAGTAATAAGGTAGTAAATTTTGCCGATGTTAATTCCCTTAATATCCATATGAAGCTTTGTAAATAATGGAGTGAGCAAATAAAACTTTAAACAAACCCTCGAACGTTATCAAAATTTTTTTTTTAATCAGACCATGCTGCGACCACGGCACATTAAAACAAAAAATGATATGGAGAAATGTATCTATGTTAGAAATGCAAAAGTGTTAAGCGTTAAGCGAATGAAAGGAGATTTTTTTCCATTGCTGTCAATTTTTCTCTTACATCTTCATGAGAGTCCGTATCACAACCAGAGATGAGTAGGGAGATTGCCAATGAGCCTGTTTTTGGTGAAGGCAATTTTTCTCTGGTTTCGGCGCGCCACCTTAGCGGAGGGCCCTCGAAGCAGTTCCACGTTTTTGATTGGTCGTGTATATATAGTAATACTACGCGTGATAATCTGGAGCTGTATTTTCGCGCGTCGACGCGCCACCTGAACTAGACTCTCGAACTAGTTCCAAGTTTTTGATTGGTCGAATGAATTTGTGTGTTCCTCGAGATCCACGATTTTAAACCGCCTCCGTCGACAATACGAATCCCGTCGTAGCCGAGCTAAACGGGAACACGGACGCGTAGCTTGGCGGGCAGAGGTTCTCCGCTACTCACCGCTGTTTCCCAAAGCAACCCTTAGAACGAGCCCGAGAACTATAAAACTACTCAACAACTATTGAAAAAGCCTATTGTTGAAATATTTTTACCAAATTTGAAAATTTCTAATACTAATGAAATGTCTCTGAGCAAAATTAAAGAATTAAACTGTTTGTACGTAGGCTGTAAATAGATAAGTATATGAATTAATTGAACTTTACTTATAGTCGTTTAAGAATAGCTATTAGTTATAAGTATAGCGAGGCTAGGAAGACGGAAGCAGTTTTGTGTTATTGACAATCAGTTTCGTAAGAAATTAATAACTGGTAGATTCTTCTGTATTGTACAGGCGTAGCTACCCGGGACTCCTAGGACATAAAGTCGACATAGATGTACATTAAAAAGGATTTTGGATCGAGCTGATGATCGCGTTTGAATTCTAGATCGACGTACCATTCAGCATTTTTAATTAATTGTTCAGTAGATGTTATTTCAGACATTAAAATAATTAATTAAATCGATAAAGTAAAATATTAACACTTAAAACTCTGAAATTATGGAAAAGCATATTTAGAAGTACTGGAAGTCGCTCAAAATTGTGTGCGCGCAAATTTTTCACGCAGGACTCGGCGAGCGGGAGCAGGCGGTGAGTGGGAGCAGGCGGATGGGTGGGAGCAGGCGGATGGGTGGGGGCGCTCGAGGCAGCGCCCGGACTCGGAGCGCTCATTCTTCCTCGAGCCGGTCTCCTATACTGGTCTCTTGGAAATACCCCTCATATTCATTTCCAACCTTCTTC